GGGGGGGCCGGCGGCCTGGGCCTCGAAGCGCGGGGGCGGGGGCTCGCGGCCCTCGCGGGCGGCTTTGGCCTCCTCGGCCTTGCGGCGGCGCTCCTCCTTGTCGGCCTCGATCTTGGCGCGGATGCGCCTCTTGGCCTCGGCGTCCTCGAGCTTCTCGGCGCGCTTGCGGCCGGCCTCCTTGATCTGCTCCTTGCGGGCGAGCTCCTCCTTGGCGTCCTGGGTCTCCTTGGTCGCCTTTTGGCGGATTTGCTGGGAGAAGAAGGGGATGTGAGTTATGGCATGAGATGGGACAAAAGGGGAGAGGGAGGAAGATGGGATGATGGGAGTGAGCTACTGCTGCTGGCATACCTCGTTGCGCTTGGCGTCTTCCCGGTCCTGGACGGACTGCGTGGCGCGCTTCTCCTTGAGCTTCTGGCGGAGCTCCTCGAGGCGGGCCTTCTTCTCCTCCTCGGTCAGAGGGGCGATCTCGTCTGTCGACTCGGAGAAGTCGGTGTGTTGGCTACATACTCAATATATTAGTGACTGTAGCTCTTGGGTGAGTGAGACTGCGCATGTGGCATTTGAAACCTACGTCTTGGTCGCGTGAAATGTGGCTGCGTCGTGAGAGCGGAACTTCTTGCCGCACTCGTTGCAGACCAGAGACTTGGCGTTCTGGCCCTCCTCAAGGACAGCCGCCTGGATGGCCGCCTCGTCCTCGTCGTCCTGGTCCTTGCCGGCGCTGCTTGCTGCGGCCTGGAGCTGCTCGAGAGGCTTGTCCTGGTTGTCCTCGAGCCACTGGAGTGCGCCTTGCACTGCGATGAGATGTGAGTTAGCGAAGCATATTCTCAATGGACGAGGGGCAGAAACGTACGGCCGCCGGACTTCTTGACCGCGAGCTCCGCCCTTGGGCGCTCGAAGCCCATCTCGATGAGCAGGTCCAGATCCGACTGTCCCATTTTGTGCTGGTTGGCAGACGGTGTGCGGTTTCAAGTGAGATGTGAGTGTATGAAGGGATCGAGTGAGGTTGAATGTGAACGGTAGGTGGTGGTGGGGTGGTCAGTGATGGATGGGCCTAGTTGAACTGGCCCGACTGGGTAGGGTGAGATGCTGTGACAGCGGTCTCCTTGAATTTGACAGAAGACGAGACAATGCTCTCGCACTAAGGCACCTAAGGTATCGATCCGCAGGAAGGACAGTGTCGACGTGACGTCGACGTCTACGAGGATTGTTGGTCCCGGGGGTGAATGCGAAGGTTTACGGATCTCCGTCTTGGTTCTGGGTTAACCATTCAACGCAAAGTGCTTGCATGAAGTGTATGTGTGTGAACTTCTGTCAAGGCACTTGAGCTTGCTACAATAGTACAAAGGCAAGCCAAAAAAAGAGAGGGACAGCTAGTTGGAGCAGATAGACGTCATGCATGTAACACGTAGTGCTGGAGCTGCCTGGAATGTGTCGCCTAAAGCGCCATAGACCGGCTGAGCTTCCAGCAATGTCCGGGCTATTTATCTGGGCCGAGGGAACCTTGGAACACCGCAATGGCTCATCATGTTAGTGAACATCGAGTAAGGGACTCTTTGTTGGTTTGGCGTGATCCATTGATTGATCATCAAGAAAAGAGGCGTGTCCCGAGCTTGTATACATCGTCCCTAGAATGCACCCTAGCAGTGCCTACCTTAGCTACATCCCCCGCAGGGTCTCTCCTTCGGGTATGGTTTGGGGGGCCTTCATCAGCTAAACCTGGCAGCCGGAACGATTCAGGTTAACTTACTTTTTCTTCCCTTGTGAAACTCTCTGCTCCCTGACGCACACGCACGCACGTCTCGCCCTCGCGTGCTACACTTTGCTGCTGAACCGGGTCACTAGACATATGTCATAACACTTCACGTCCCACACCACCTCACACCTCTACACCAGACCGGGTCTCCTGCTCTTCTGGCTCTTTCCCCCCAATCGCCCTCCTTCCCGGCCAATTTCTCTCGCCTCGACGATCGCCAGCTGCATCTTTCCTTTGTCCCGACAAACGACGATAGTCTTTCCCGCAGCTTCAACTGTTCTACCGTTACCCGGCATAGCTTTTATTCTGCCCGTACACGCCCCTGTCATCGTCCGTCTAGCGCAGCCCCCCTCCACTGAGAATCGCAACGTGGTGTTTATCGACAACTCTGCTGTAGCTCCCCCCCTTCCGAGCCCGCCCGCCGGCAAACTTTATCTTTTCACGGATTTGAGACTGCGCAACAGCCATGTCTGTCGAGATTGATCCCCAGGAGCTTGGCTTTCGGCGTATGTTCCCATATCCCATGTCCCAGGAGGCGGTAAAGAGGGAGAAAGGCAGGGCAGGGGTTGCTAAGTTTTGCGTCGCCAGGTCCCTTCACCGTCGAAGTCTCGCAGATCCTACGGATCAAGAACCCCAACACCACGCCTGTAGCTTTCAAGGTACGAGACCCTCTTCGGGTGATGTGAATGAAGGAGGAGTGCCCCGACTGACAGGTGGACAGGTCAAAACCACAGCTCCCAAGCAGTACGTCAATAGCTCTCTCCAAGGTGGACACCGGGTGGACTCACGCTCTACAGGTATTGCGTCCGGCCCAACTCTGGCCGCATCGAGCCCGGTCGCGATGTCGAAGTCACTGGTATGATATGCCCCGTCGTCTCGGAGCTCCGAACCGTGGCGCAGGCTGTTGCTAACGGACCCCCAGTGCTCCTCCAGGCGATGAAGCAGGATCCTGCCCTCGATGTTAAGTGCCGCGACAAGTTCCTGGTCCAGTCTGTACCCATCACCGGCGACAAGGAGTTTGTCAGCATTCAGGAGATTGTACGCTTTCCATATTCTCATGCTGCTCCTGCCCTTCCAAGCTCGAGGTCTAATCATGTCTTGACAGTGGGACGGTGTCGCCAAATCCGACGTACAAGAGAAGAAGATTCGTGTCGTTTTCCTGCCCGCAGACGGAAAGCCCGGTGCTACGCTCGGCACTCCCGCCAAGCAGTCTCAGACGAATGGGGTATGTGCTGTTTCCATAGCCAGTTCTTGCGCATCCGTACTGACGAACCTCTCTAGGTCGAGGCTACTCCCGAGCCGCCATCGCACACCTTCGCCTCTCCCCGCGAGGGCGATGCTGCAGATAACGCACCTCGCCTCTCCGACGACTCCCTCGCCTCCCCCGAGACCGACCGCAAGGTCAAGCCCGAGTCGGAAACGGGATCGTCGGTCCTGGCCGGAACCGCACCTATTGTCAAGGAGACGTACGAGGAGCTCAAGCAGCAGCTGGCTCGCGCAAAGGACGAGATCGCGGCTCTGACGGCCTCGGCGGGTCTACGGCAGCGCAAGACGACCAGCACCCAGGAGTCGGGAGAGAAGGCGGCAACCTCACAGCCGCAGCTGCAACAAGCTGTTCGCCAAGGAACCGAGGGTGTCCCCGTTCAGATGGTCGCTATGCTGTGCCTGCTCAGTTTCCTGCTCGCCTACTTCTTCTTCTAAGTGACCGACTACCCGAGGAATAGCGAAGAAAAGACACGATGGGAGAGCGAATGTCAGACAATGCTTTTTATCTTGGCCAGGTCGACGGCAGTACATGCCACGGAGCTATCAGTCAGGGCCAAGCTGGTGGCCGTTGTTGGAGTAGGCCGGGGCATGGCAATGGCTTCAGTTGTTGGTTGCTGGAAGTGAAATGGATGGACTCGCGAAAGAGTCGGAAGGAAAAATATGGGAGGCACGAAAGCTCGGAGCTAATCAGAGCGCAAGGAAGCTCGGATGGGGCGGTCGTGTGGCTCTTTTTGTTGTTCTTACTCTACGAGTGCATATCATGTGTACCGCCTACCCGACTACAAGCCGCGGACACACAGGTTCTATATTTTCTTGTTGCTGCAAAGTATACCGCGAAGTGAGAGAGAGAGACCTGGGGCCCTCCCGGGGGAGTTTCACGACATTCACCGTTACAATCCACCGTTATACCTTTTTTTTTTCTCCCTGAAGACGAATGAACGATGGGAGTTTGCTGGTTGGTTGAGAGGGGGTTGTCTGTCAGTGTTGTTCGAGTGGAAAGCCTGTAATTCTGTCTGTAGTTTATCGTGTAAACAGTGTTTCGAAAAATTCCGTTTCAACATACCACCTGCATCAGGCTTTTTTTCTTTCCCGATTTCTTACTCTTGTCATCTCCAAGCTAACTGGGGGTATACATATGAGGAACCAAGCGGCGACCCTTGGATGGCGTGTGGGATAATCACAGACGGGCTTGCAAGAGTAGACTTGTATCTTGTGATGATGACCGTGGATGTTGTATTAACAGAGGGTATCATGAACTCTATATATATGTGTCCTTGGATATGTTCCCAGCGTGTATATGTAAATAGAAGAAGAAGAACAACCAATACCCGAGCGCTCGTGATGTTTTTGTGCTGGAAGGATAGACTTGCTTCCAGCCTCGCAGATCTCTCAACACATTTGCCAATTTATACGTCCCCTTAGATGTATCAACAGGAGCTCGACGTCCCCCTTTTACCAACTGAGGACTTGTGTGCTTCGTCCCTACCACCTCCCGTGCCCGCCCTGCGTGGAACTGAGACGCCTTAGTCCTCATCCATCTCCTCCACCGACCCGGCCTCCTCATCGGGATCCAGCAGCTTCTGGGAAGATGCATCCGGCCACGACCTCTTGATCCCGGGCTGAATCGTCGGCGTCCACTCGCTGCCCCTCTTGCGCTTGCTGTCGGCCGCGCTCGCAGGCGGCGTCATCCCCCTGGAAGGCGACACGCGCATGACGCGGAACAGGCCTTCCGGGCCGCCCTGACCACCTCCTCCTCCTTCTTCTTCTTCGTCGTCGTCACCCTCACCTGCGCCCACCCTGCCCACCTTGCACACCCTCCACGTCTCGCCGGCAAACACGACCTGCGCCTCGCTGCGCGCGGCGATCGACTCGTGGCGGTAGTTGACGATGGCGTACTCGAGCAGCACGGAGCACCCGGGCCGCACGGCGTCGACGCGCATCGTCACCTCGGCGAGGCCCGTGGCCGGGTTCCGCGCCACGAAGACGGTGAGCGCCTCCTGCGGCGGCGACAACAAAAAACCGCCCCCGCCGCCCTCCTGCTTCTCGTCCGGCTGCTGCTGCTGGTGAGGCCCGCTCTTGCTGAAGGACAGGAAGCCCAGGTCTCCCGCGACCTGGACCGTGTCGTCGGAGCGCGTCGTGATGCCGTCCGAGGGGCACCACGCGTAGGCCTTGAAGCCGCTGGCCTCGAGGTCCGTGACGTCGAGGTGCGTCACGCTGCTAGGGTACCCGTAGAGGCCCTGCAGCGTCTTGAGCGTCAGGGGCATGTGCACAAAGACGGACGAGTACCGCGCCTTGCTCATGTACGGCGGCATCGCGGTGGCAGTCTTTTCCTCCGAGTCGGCGGTGATGTCCAGGAGCAAGGGCGTCGACCTTACCGTCCGCCAATACGTGCCGTCCTGGTGCCTGCGCAGGGGGATAATGACGGCGATGTCTACACTCCCACCCTCTGGGGCGGGTCGGCTGAAGAAGCATATAGGGGCCCAGGCCAGGCCGTTGAGCCACTCGCAGTGTATCAAGGGCAGGTCGATGCGCAATCCGCGGCTGGTTACCTGCCAGGGGGTGGGCGGTAGGTCGGTGGAATGACCAGGCAGGAAGCGTGGCTTGAAAGTTTGCATATCATCGATACAGTTCTTGAAGGGCGTGGGGGAGAGTGCGAGTGCGCCCTCGGGTAGGAAGTTGGAGAGCGTGAGGCCCATGCCCCATGCGAGGAGGCTCTGGTCTTCAGACTGCTTGATGATCTCCTCTTGGAGGCGCTGGAACGCCTTGATGCCTTCCCCGTACAGCAGCGGCATGTTCACTCTCAGTATCCCGAGGAGGCTGTAGGCGCGGTCTTCCACCCTCGTGGTCTCGCGCTTGGAGGCCCATCTGAACTTTTGGGCGACGCCCCTGGACATTGCTCGAGACTGGCTCAAGAGGTCTCGGGTGTCGATGTGCGTGGCTTCCCCGATGAAGTTGGCGAGCGACTTCTTGGTCCCCAGGCGCTTCCAGTGCATATTGTAGAAGACTACGTTGGAAGGCGCCAACAGCTCTTGGAGTGTCCATCCGCGCGTGAACCACCGGCTCTTGATAAACTGCGCTTGATTGTCCAGCACCGTTTCCACGTCGGCCAGAAACGCATAGCACACCCTTGCTCTGGCATACCACTTGTACATGGAGTTGATGGCCTCGCTGAGCTCGGCGCTGCTCGACTTGTCGATGCAGCAGGTGTCCACCCATACGTAACGCAGCTTGTCCTCGGCCGCCTGCGCAGCCGACCGCCTGATCTTGTCCCAGCCCTTCTTGTTCTTGTAGTAGTCAGACGTCTCCATGTCTTTGAAGGTCACTTCCTCCTCGGCCCAGGTGTGGGAGAGGATGGCATAGTCTGGCATGCCTTCGATCGAGTCGACAAACTCGACCAGGCGGAGTGTCGAGACTTCGACAAAACGCATGATTAAATACTCAACGATACAACGCTATATGTGTGCAAAAAGGAGATATAAACGGGCGAAAATGCAATGAAATCAGTCGAGTTTCTCGACCGCGGCGCTTGCTAGCATGAGACCAACCCTTTTGTCGAGTGCTCTGAAGATGTCATCAGGCACTGCGAGGCTGACGTTCTGGGTGCACCCGTCAGCTGCAGTCGGGTAATGGTCACATGGGAGTGCGCACTTGCGCCCAGAAGCGAGGCACCCTTGTATGTTGGGACTTGACAGCTCAACAACTGTCAGGATAACGAAAAGCAAATACACATAAGGCGACCAGGTTTATACGACCAGACTTGGACGAGGTTCCCATGTCGAAAAAAAAACGAATGCATGGGAATGACCGAAGAGATAACAACATTGAAGTATTAGATTCGATAGAGAGGGAAAACATTAAAAGAAGTGAAGACCCCATTGGCTGAACTCCTCAACCGAGCAGTTGTCGTCGTTTGCTGTTGAACTAGCCTTCAAGAACGATCGATGCTGCAGCAGAATCGTATGTAACGATGATGCTTGCGCACGACTTGCCTGTACTGTGAGAAGACTTCAATCTTTTCTTGTTAGAAGTAAACTGAAGGCGTCTCGGAATTTCTGAAGAGATCGTGTGTTTTTCTATGTTGTTTTCAAGAGGCAGCCACTGCTCGGGAAGGAAAGAACATGGGAATGGTTCCGGACTTCAGTCAATTCTGACCCAGCCAAGTGGTTCCTTCCTCTGGGTCGCGCTGACAGGGAACCCCCGCCTGTAGCTTCGTCAGGTGGTGCCTTTCAGCCACTAAAACAGGCCGTAAATGGACCAGTGCTTAGCCGGATCGGGCGCTTACAGTGGACGCCAGTTGGTTATGTGATTCTGTGCATGAGAAAAGACTCCCGAATGCCTCCCGAATTCCCAATCCACCCGCCCTTAGCGGAGCTCTGCTAGCGTCCCAATCATTCCCTCAACTCCCCTCCCCCCAAACCAAACCAAACCCAGGGCTTCGATTCTCCGGTTCCCCCCCAAACAAGCTGTCATGTCATCCAGGTAGTTGCCGATAGCCCTTTCTCAATCCCGCGTCCAGTCACTCGTTCTATTTTGTATCAGCCGCATTTTTCGGAAAGGCGTCAAAGGCGCTGTGCTACTTGAGTCCATACCTCTCCCTTCCCCTTCTCTCTCCCTTTCTCTCTCTGGTGATCTGGTGATGCTGCCGAGGTCTGTCAACATCATATGAATTCTCCATAACGCGACGAACCCGCCGAGGCCCCCATTGAGCTCGCATCTGCTCGGCACACCCAGGATCCTGCGACGACGACCCCTCATCCTGCTCCAGCGTCAGCACTGCACCCCAGCATTGCGACAGCCATTCGTGATCTGCCTTTCTCCCTTGGGTGCTTGTTCGATCTCCTTAATGGCCGGCCCTCCATCGCAACGGTCGATGGAACGATGAACTCACTCAACATCATCTCGGGCCGTGTCTCACCGTCCACAAGCCCTTCTCCTTCGAGATCAAATTCCATAACCTCGCTCGGCCTCGCGGTCACCTCCGAAGACAGTCCCGGCAGTGGCGAACCAACCGACAGAGAACCCTCAACATCCGATCCGGCCAGCTTGGAGAACGAAAAGCACGCCAACCACCACCACCACCACCACCGCGGCGGCAGTGCCGGAGACGGTTCAGACGAGAGCACGCCGTTGCTCTCGCACGGCGATACCAAGGACCTGGGATCGCGATCCTCGGTGTGGCATACCATCCCGAAGCGCATAGCAAGCACATTCCTCAACTCGATCCGTTGGGTTCTCTCAACGCTTGCCGCCCCCGGCGTGTACCTCATCGCCTGCCTGTACGACGAAAACGGCAACTTTGCCCCCCTGCTACAGCTGCGCAAGCTGTTCGGCGCCTACAATGGCGACGTGCGCAAGATGACTGCCGAGTATCAAGCCATGGACGAAAAGGACGGTGGCCGAAACAGGACGCAGGGAGGGCGTATCATACCCCTACCTTCCAGACCACCGTTCACCTCGGGATCTTCTTCTTCGGGCATGTCTTCGGAATCAGACTCGGATATGGAAAGGCAGACGAGCACAGCAAGTCCTACTAGTAGGCACACACGGTCCAAGTCACTGCAGTCTTCAGAAGAGATAGCTCCCGCGCGGAGATCCATACGCATCAAACTACACAATGACGAGACACTGCGGCAACGCAAGCACCGAAAGGCGCAATCCACGAGCATGAAGGGTAGCAATAGCGACAGTATGGATTCCAAGGACATCTCGGCTCAGCTCAAGTCTCCCACATCACCCATCGCCGCCCTGACCAAATATCCTAAAACGCCCGCGCCACCGAGGCCTCTGATCCCGCGGCGGCAACCTTCATATCTCAACATCGAACCTACAGACCGGACGCACCAAAAGACGCTGATCCTGGACCTGGACGAAACTCTCATACACAGCATGTCGAAAGGAGGGAGGATGAGCTCGGGACACATGGTAGAAGTACGACTGACGACGACATACGTGGGCGCCGCAGGACAGCAGAGCCTCGGACCCCAGCATCCCATCTTGTATTATGTTCATAAACGGCCGTTTTGCGATGATTTCCTGAGAAGGGTGAGTTTTTATGGAAACCTCGATGACTCGGCAAGACTGCAAAGCTGACATTCGTGTTTTCCTGAAACAGGTCTGCAAGTGGTACAACCTGGTCGTCTTCACGGCGTCGGTGCAAGAGTATGCCGACCCCGTCATTGACTGGCTCGAGTCGGAGAGAAAGTTCTTCTCGCGGCGGTATTACCGCCAGCACTGCACGTACCGGGCCGGGGCGTTCATCAAGGACCTGAGCTCGGTGGAGCCCGACCTGAGCAAGGTGATGATCCTGGACAACAGCCCGCTGAGCTACATGTTTCACCAAGGTAAGTCTTTTGGTCCAGACAAACTTGCTCATATATCCGGGGTGCCAGAGCGCTGATGATCTCGTGTAGACAACGCCATACCAATACAGGGATGGATCAATGACCCGACGGACTACGACCTGATGCACCTGATACCACTTTTCGAAGGTCTCCAATACGTGTCGGACGTGCGGGCGCTGCTGGCGCTGCGCAACGGCGAGGAGGGTCAGCAACAGCAACAGCAGCAGCAAGCAGCATGATTGATAAAATGTAGACTACTAGGTTTAGCTGGCGGAGCTTACGGGTGGGGAGGGTCTCAACGGAGTGTTTTGTTACGGGAAAGAATAGCGTTATCTTTTTTGGTTTCTACTTAGAAATACACACATGGGGGTTGGTTCGGTTACTGCTGGGGAATCGTATCACGATGCGAAAGGGGGCAGACATATACTGGGACAAATGAAAAGGGAGGGGCCAACGAGCCACGTCCTTCTCTACCTAGTTTGGGTGTTGGGCGGGCGTGTGGTGTGAAGATTAACGATGGGACGCTTCTTCTCTTGCACATGATCTCTGCATGATATATAATAAGCATTGTCGTGAGAATGGGAACTTGAAATATGATGAATTGTGATAAGACGTGAGTGAGATCTGCATACATTACGGAGTTCTCGAGACGAGGCTTGCAAATGCCAATTGTCGAGACTGGTTTGGTCTTGGAAACAGGAACTGAATAACACCGTAACCATGCAGCAGGTGGTCCGAGGTCGAATCGCTGTACACACCCATACTGAGCAGTGCTGTGTTAGCCGCGTTAATGCCAGGCTATCCGTACCTGGGCAGCTCCTCGGTTATGTTGACCAAGACTTATTTACAAGGTTCAAAGGGAAGAAGACAATGGATCGGAACTTGCCCTCTTTGCTCAACTAACTACCAAGTACCTAACTAGTCCCTTTGAGTTCGGAGTAGTGGCCTGACTGTCGAAAGTGTATGTTCCTGGCGATCCCGGGACGTGGGAGCGAGACGGTGACGTCCCCAGGAGGCCAGCGCTGGGGAGAAGAAAGAAAGCAGAACGAAACAAACAAGCGACAAGTGCCTTGTGACGCAGTTCTGGCCAGTGATTGCGTTCGGCCTGGCGGGTCCCTCCCTTTCGGATAGATGTGTCTCTCTTGGTGGGGATGGGTCTCTGCGCCTTCAGCTACCAGGTGATATTCGAATCATTCGGGCCTTGGATGGTGCCGATGTCATTCCCTTCGGTCGGCCTTGGAATTGCTCAGAAGAAGAGGCTTCTTCCTCTTCCATCTTCATCATGGTTAAAAACGCCCACGCAAGCCATTGTGGGGTCCTTTATTGCAAGTGAAAAGAAGCAAGCGGGTACTGGAGGCGCATTGATGGCCTCGAGAGGGCCACTATGCGATCATCGAGGAGGAGCTGCTCCGATGCTGGTCTTGTTCGGGAGGGACAGCTCATGCTGAACACCCAATGAACCTGACCCGTTGCTGGGGGACAAAGCCACTTGCAGGGAGGGCGGAAGAGGATTGAGGGGAGGGAGGAGAGGAACGCAGTGGGAGAGAAGTTCTGGACCCACAGAAGCTCCAGTTCGTTGCGATCGATGCTGCTGTGGCTGATCCCTGCTACTGGTGCTACGGTCTTAGGTACCTAGCCCGCCCGCGCTACTGTCCAAGCAGGGGTTCCAGAACCGGAAAGGTCGCCCAATATGAGGGGGGACAGGCCCAGCAAAGGTGGTGACATCATCAAAGAGTAGTGACGAAAGGCTAAAAGTCTGGAGAACAGAACAGAACAGCAAAGCATCAATGGATGCGGATGCAGGCAAAGAGGTATCTCCCGAGGTAAAGCAGGAGAGGGCAATTCCCAATGGCCCGACCGACACTTGCAAGAGACCAGACCCAGAGCCCCTCTCGTTGAGAAAGAGAGAGAGCGAGAGATTGAGAGAGGGCCATCTGTGGCGTAGTGACAGCAACGGACGGGGCACATCATGATGGAATGAGACACACAATTTCAGGTGTACCTATGATCTCAGCCCACACTTCCCTGGCTTTGTACCTGAGGTGGCTCTCCCTCCTGAGCTCTCCCCCTCATACTTGTTAGCTACCTTTTGGTCCGTGACGTGACTGCAGCATTTAAATACCGGCTGGCACCTGACCTTTGACGTCCTTCCCACCCATCCTTTCTCCAACTTCATTCCAATAATTCAAAAAAGGCACACATTTTTGTTTTATTGAATCATTATCACACAACACCCCAAGACACCACCCTCGAGACCCTAGACCTGCACACATCTGCAAACATGTCTCTGCACTGTGAGTCCTCACCCGCTTCCTATGAGAGCTGGTGGTTGGATCCTCCTCCGGGATGCTCGGCGCATGAGATTTGGCTGGTTCATTTATGAGCGCAAGTTGGCGCCTGGATGGAAGAGATACGAGACAACGACGTGAATCGTGTCGAATTGCGGTATCTCGCCATCTCAACCCAACCAGCTTGGCAGACCCAAGCTCTTTCTCAGGCGCAGAGCTCCCTCGGGAGACACCCTCCCACCGCCTAGATAATCAGATGAGCCTTCGCAACTAACAACTCAAACCCTCACAGACCTCCCTCCCGTCAAGCCCTCGGCCATCGCCCTCGGCACCCTCTTCTGCCACGGCACTGAGCTTGCCGGTAAGTTTCACACCCACTTCACTTTTGACATTCCCTCCCACGAGAAGAACCATCGTCAACTGACAAGTTACTCCCAAACAGTCCTCGCCCCCATCTTCGGCGCCACCTACCAGCGCGCCAAGGAGGCCAACACCAAGGAGGAGTTCCTCCACTCGCGCCAGGCCACCGGCGCCGCCGTCGCCTGGGGCACCTCGCTCGTCGGCTCGGCCCTGCAGTCGTACGGCGTGGGAGCCCTCATCAACGCCACGGGCACCCTGTCGTACAAGGGCGCCGCCTACCTCGGCGCCCTCATCTTCGCCGCCACCTCGGCCCCGGGCTACATCAACGAGCTGCTCGTCGAGAAGCGGCCCGCCGAGACGGTCGGCGTCTCGGTCGTCGCCAAGCTGCTCGAGACGGTCGGCCTCGCCACCTTCCTGACCTGGTGGGGCACCCGCACCAACCCCTTTGACTAAAGGGTGAATGAATGCTCTGCTTTGCACTACTGCTGCTATTGCCTGTCCTGATTTGATGCCCGTTATCGAGGATTGGGATTGGAGTGGTGCCGGTAGCAAATGAAGAAAGTCATTGTGGAGGGCGAGAGGTGGTTGGTTGATACCAGGAAGAGAAAGAGAGCAACCCATCGTGGAGGATATCCGGATCGGAGACAAAGTCGTCACTCGATGATTTCCTTTGCCTGTACTTTAGCACGGCCCTTGTGTGGCCGGAACATGAGATAGTCGAGAATTCAAATACTTGACACCATACTATTGCGGAGCTGTTAACTGCCATACCATGAATATACTTGTGTGTCAAGTAGAAGTGCTGAGCATGTTTGGTTAGCGTAAGGTCTGGCCAGCCTGACATATCGGAACTGTCACTTCGATCACTGGCGAAAACGGTTCATGCTTATGCAGTAGTGTTCATTTTGATGTCCCCTTTTTCCCACGGTTCAGGTTCAGAAACCCAAACTGATGAAACGAAAGCCACCTATAACGCCGGTAAGATATCAAGCGAGTTGCAAAAACTCCAAAGACCAACCCCTTCGACAAAAGGTATCTCTGAAGAATCTCTCCGCCCTTCAACCACTCCCCTCGCGGATATATCGACTCATATCCGGCCAGATCTCGAGCGATCTCGAGCTCCTCCGTGCTCCAGCATGCATCTTCCCCTTCCTCACTTCTTTCCCAATTTAGATCCGACCCTTCATCTGCTTGGCAAACTCCTTCTGCACCATCTTGACGAGCTCGGCGTACGCCTCGGCGTACTCGCTGGCGTCCTCCTTGCTGCCCTCCTCGGCGGCCTTCTTGCTGCGGCCCTGGGGCAGCAGCATGACGACCGAGGTCGGCCTCTTGGTCTTGGCGGCGGCGCCGAGCTCGGCGCGCGAGGCGACGAAGATGTAGGGCGCGTTGACCTCCTCGCAGGCGACGGGCAGGTGCATGATGACCTCGGCGGGGCTGATGTCGCCGGCCACGATGACGATGCCGGGGATCTTGTCGGCCGTGGAGGGGGTCTTGGCGGGGGCCTTGCGGAGGGCCTTGTTGACCTCCTTTACGCCGCGGAGGAGGGCGTGGGACTTGGCGGCTGTTGGGGAGGGAAAAGTTAGTTTTCGTGTTTCGTGATTTGAGGAAGGATATGGAGGGAGGGGGGGTCTGTGTGGGACGAATGTATGAACGTACCCTTCTTGACGGCCTTGTAGATCTTCTTCTGGTGCTTGTCCGACGCCATGGGCAGCGCAAAGTCGACCAGCGCGCCCTTGACGACGGCGCCGCCCTCCGCCGCCGCCGCGTCCTCGGCGTCGCTATCGTCGGCGGCAGCCGCGGCGCCCTTCATGGGGACGTCGTCCTCGTCGTCGTCGTTGGCGGCGGCCGAGGCCTGCAGGTGCTCGTCGAGGGCCTGGACGAGCTTCTCCTTCTTCGACTTCTTGTCCTTCTTGTCCTTCTTGGACTTGTGCACGCCGTCCGACTCGCTGCGGCGCTTCTCCTTCTTCTCGGCCTTGGCGACGTCGGTCACGTCCCGCTTCGACTTGCTGGATGCCATTGTGGGTGGTGGGTATGGAGTGATATGGAGGCGAGAGGGCGAAGTTGGGAAGGAGGTGACTGTCAATCGTCCCTTCTGTTTCAATGGCTCGTTGTGAGGGTGTGTAGTTCCTCAAGGGAATTCGATGTCTTCTGAGGAGGATTGTCGTGTGGAAGATTTGTTGCTTCCACTGCGGTGATTTATGGTTTGAAAACGAGCAAGAAAACCGTATTCTCGGTCCCTTCTTTCCAAATTTCTCACGACTCGAGTCCCTTAAAAGGTAAGGATTTATGTCGAGGTGGACTTGAGCTGGGGATCGAATATTTCAACCCACGACGCTTTCGATTCGGCTGCCCATTTACCAAGAGACTTTCTTGCACGCCTACAATTTTTTTTCTTTGGAGCTTGCTCTGCGGTGGCCCGTGCGCCAATTGGGTGTGCGGTTGATTCGCCCGAAAGTGGGTTCCTCAAGACCAGACCAGACCAACATAAAGACTAGAGTCACGTGGGCAGCACGGCGGAGAGTGTGTGAAGATGGAAAGATCTGTGAATTAATTCAGATATGTACTTATCATTCTGTTCCTTTTGTTCATATAGGGCATGCACTTGGTCTTGACTGCCTGGACAGCTCGAAGTTGTGCAGGAGGCAGTAATGTCCTCTTCCAGTGTCAATGTTCCAGCCATTAAGGGCAGGACAAGCAAAGTCTCCGACTACTTACCTACTTGACTGTGTCTGCTGTGGCAATAGCAAAATAAGCTTAAAGCGGATGCTAACATACTATCTCGAGAGCATGTGCCGCGAAACCATCTCCAGAATTCTATGTCCCTTGGTCAACCAGCGCGGGCAGGCTGCTCTATTGCGTACCTGCAGAAGCCCGGTGGCAAGCTCAGCTCGTTACTTGATACCGGGGCGTATCAATGGGAGGCCCTGCTTGTTCATTCCATAGCCGGAGATGTCCCAGAGCTCCTGCCAAATGGGCTGAGATGTACATGTGCCTAGGCCTGGGTTATCGTCAGGCCGAAGGATGCAATGTATGCAGTCAATGCAGCCAGGTGTGTAAGTAGAGCATCAATTCAGAAGACAATCGCCAGATGAACCAAAGGCAAGTAGGTTCTATCAACATCCGATTGCATCTCTCGTCTAGGTAGTGATGTACAAGTTTTGGTATACCGGGACCGCCTGCCCTACCTTGGGTCAGAACGTCCCCTGACAAGTCTTCATCCTCCTCAAACCGTCTACTCCTCCGAATCGGCAAACTCGGCACGGCCGGCCTTGGAGTTGAGGTACTCGTTCCTAGTATCCAAAGTCAGAGGTTTGTTCGTGTACATGGGACGTCACAAGAGCGACTCGAGAAAGTCCACCTACCGCTCGGTAGCCCACTGCATGATGTAGTAGCTGGCCAGCAGAGGGGGAGCCCAGTAGAAGACCTGCTTGCTGAATCGCCTCCACGTGTTGAAGACGGCGTCGTGAGCGGCACCGGCGAAGGGGTTGGAGCGGTTCATGCTGATGCCATAGCTGACGATACCGCGCTGAGGGAGGCCACCTGTGTAAGGAGCATCGTGTCAGTCACTCTGTCATCCAAGGTTGATGTTGCAGTACATCAGGGTCGGCCGCTACGACGATATCGGGGTCTGTCGAGTGTATCCTTCGTTCCCTTCTCTGTCGTGCGCGCCTTCTCCCAATCGCTCGTGTCGCTTCGTGTTGTCGGATCGTGAAAAGCCGGTCGTTACTCACCGAAGTTGCCCCAGCCACCAATGAACCTATTCAAAAACAGTCAGCAAGATGTGCCGGGATGAGTGACAGTATGGCATCCGCGTCCTTCGGTGCCAGAGGAAGAATGGTCTCGTCACCGGAGAAAAGGCGCATACGAGGCCATCCGTCCCAAAGCTTGGTGTTGACTCACTTGTTGTACTTTCCGATGGGGCCGTCACCGCCACCGCCGCGCATAATCTGAGTAGGCCTCATCTTGACGAGTGGTGCAAAGGATGTGGAGGGAATCAATTGCGACTTGAGATGAGGAAATGGGTGACGGGGAGCCAAGTTTGCAGGGCGTCGAAATCAGTCCATCGACAATCCCGAAAATTCGGGCCAATCAGGATTAGCGTAAAACCGAGCTCCCAAGTCGCTCCTTCCCAATGGCAGCCGAAAAGTTCCACCGTTCCGACTCTGAGCGATTGATTGAAGAAAGAGCGGAGCACGGACCATCAAATCCATAGGTAGGTGGAACCTCGAGGAACTAGAGTGGTGAGCTTTAGCTTTTGGAGAACCTCCCATCCACTGACTGCAAAGCGGAAGCCCGGGAAGGACCAACAACCTCACCTCTTGTCAGCGATCTCCGGAGGGAACCTTTCTCTCTACCACACACAACCGGCAAGATGGCGAACGCGATGGGCTTCATCTACAGGGCGGCATTCCCCGCCGCCATCGGCATCGGCCTGCTGCAGGCGTCGATTTACGACGTCAAGGGTGGCACGAGGGCCGTCATCTTCGACAGGCTCAGCGGAGTCAAGGAGCAGGTCATCAACGAGGGCACACACTTCCTCGTCCCCTGGCTGCAAAAGAGCATCATCTTTGACGTCCGGACGAAGCCGCGCAACATCGCCACCACGACGGGCAGCAAGGATCTCCAGATGGTCAGCCTGACGCTGAGGGTGCTGCACCGGCCAGAGGTGCAGGCTCTGCCCAAGATCTACCAGGTATGGACTCAATCTATAGACTTCTGTGTGATTCTCTACAGGACGACGCATCGCTGACTCTATACCCTTCTTCCTTAGAACCTCGGCCAGGACTACGACGAGCGTGTCCTGCCCTCCATCGGCAACGAGGTCCTCAAGGCCATCGTCGCCCAGTTCGACGCCGCCGAGCTCATCACCCAGCGCGAGGCCGTCTCGAACCGCATCCGCACCGACCTCATGAAGCGCGCCAGCGAGTTCAACATCGCCCTCGAGGACGTCTCTATCACCCACATGACCTTTGGCAAGGAGTTCACCAAGGCCGTCGAGCAGAAGCAGATCGCCCAGCAGGACGCCGAGCGCGCGCGCTTCATCGTCGAGAAGGCCGAGCAGGAGCGCCAGGCCAACGTCATCCGCGCCGAGGGCGAGGCCGAGAGCGCAGACACCATCAGCCGCGCCATCCAGAAGAGCGGCGACGGCCTCGTCCAGATCCGAAAGATCGAGGCCAGCAGAGAGATCGCGCAGACGCTGGCGTCCAACCCCAACGTCGCCTACCTGCCTGGTGGCAAGCAGGGCACCAACATCCTGCTCAATGCCGGCCGGGCGTAAACGCGGCGGCGGTCGCGCGTGGATAGAGAGGTCTTTGTACGTTATTATGTCTGAGCTGAGCAAGGACGCCCGCAGAAAAAGAGAACCTCCGGCGGTTGGAGTGGAGATTTGTACTATTATTCCAAGGGATCTATATCTTCCCCGCTTTGAAATGAAATAATGCCCAAAAAGACACAGCCTAATTTGCATCGAAGCTGCTATTGTATGCCTGGCCTCACGTATCGGGACGTCGTGGCCCGGTGCAGAACATATGTCGCAACGGCGGAGCGGAAGGGTGAGGCAGTAGGTTGCGCCTATGCGGCGACCTTGAACGGGCTCAGATCAATTCCTACTGCTCTAGTTATGCCACGACTTAGTTCGCTCAAAAGCACTGTTGACAGCCAGCCGACGTCCCAGACAATGGCCATCTGCATCGGGACGTTCTATCCCATCTTGCAGCAAGCCCATATTGGAAGACTTTGCGACGCACAACCATATCTCCTATGGCATGCTTCTGTGTATAGACGATGTTGCTTCTCATCTCTTCGAGCATTGGCCTATGGCGCCACCCTGCTTACGGGGTGAGGCTGAGTGCGTCCAGTCTCCAAAGTCTGGTCCAGGTCGTTGCATTGATTCCTGTGTTTACGTAAGATGGCGAAGTCTAACCGAGTTCGCGAGGCTGCGGCGATGGATGTAAGTACCTCCAAGAACGCTATCGTCAGAGGGGGAAGACATCCACCCCTACCCCTGGTACCTGATTGGCTGCGGGCGTGCCAACCGAGCACTGATGCATGAGCTGAAAAAAAATCAGGAGGGTGTCACTTCGCTGGTCACTCGCTGGCCTCTCGCTCTACACCACCTCGCTGTTTGCACAGCCCGATCGGGCACTGGGCTGTTGCCCGGCTCAATAGGATATCAAGCTGCTATGGTGCGAGGGGCATGGGTCAAAAGGGCAAGGTGTCTGTTGTGCAAATTTCCTACCATTGATCCTTTCTCCTAAGAAAAAAAGGGGGGGAAACTCTTACTGTTTGCCAACGACAAGTCTACGACGACGTTGACCTCTCCATCTCAAGTGCTTGACGAAGCCAAGTTATCGAATACGGATATGTCTCAGACTGGCAGAAAAGACTACACCCACGGCGACTACGCTGTGGGGTGGGTCTGTGCCTTGTCAAAAGAGCAGACAGCGGCGATAGCTATGCTGGATGACGAACACGATAAGCTTCCGAAGCCGTCCAATGACCATAACACGTACACCTTGGGCTCTATTGGCAGACATAATATCGTCATCGCTTGCTTGCCGATGGGCAAGATTGGCACCAATTCGGCAGCTACAGCAGTTGCCAATATGGTTTCTACCTTCCCCTCTATCAAATTCGCCCTGATGGTGGGCATTGGTGGAGGCATCCCGTCAAACAAGGTTCGTCTCGGCGACGTGGTGGTTAGCAGCCCAGTTGCTACATATCCCGGGGTCGTTCAGTGGGATAAGGGGAAAGCAACGGAAGGGGGCAGCTTTGAACGGATCGGGGCCTTGAACAACCCACCCTCATCGCTATTGACTGCTTTGACGGTCATGAAGTCATACCACGAACTACACGGGCATCAGATACAACATTATCTGGATGAAATGACAGAAAAGTATCCAAAACTGGCACGAAGATACCTCAGGTCTGACTCCCTGAAGGATGTGTTGTTCAAAGCAGGATATGGACATGTCAGCAAACCTCCTTCAAATGACACTGATAGCGACGGCGTCTACGACGACGATGACGACGATGAAGAAGACTGTCAATTCTGTGACAAGAGCCAGATGGTGAAGCGGAAACCTAGGGATATGCAAATCCACTATGGCCTGATTGCATCGGGTAACCAAGTGATCAAGGACGCAGAATTTCGGGATAGACTTAATAAGGAGCTTGATGGCAAGGTCCTCTGCGTCGAGATGGAAGCAGCAGGGCTGATGGATAATTTCCCATGCCTTGTCATTCGGGGCATCTGCGACTATGCAGACTCGCACAAGAACATGGCTTGGCAAGAACATGCGGCAGCGGTGGCCGCCGCGTATGCGAAGGAGCTGTTGCAACATGTCCAGCCAAGTGATGTTGATGGCGAGCATTCAATTAAGGATTTAATACAGCAGGGTTAGTTTTCTTTCATCCAAGTATTATAGTTTACGCCTAACGAAGGAATACAGTTTTAAACACAACATCTACTACAGCTGCCAATGTTGTCCAGGTTAAGGCGAAGATTGATAGTGGGGAGGACCGCAAGATTCTCGAATGGCTTACGCCAATGGACTACGGACTGCAACAGAGCGATTATTTGAAAAGACGACAGAAAGGCACCGGCCAGTGGCTCCTAGACTCAAACGAGTTTCAGGACTGGCTGTCTACCAGCGGTCAGACCCTGTTCTGTCCAGGCATCCCTGGAACGGGAAAGACGATTCTCACTTCAATGGTCATCGATCACCTCTTTACAAGGTTCTACAGCAACCCAGATATCGGCATCGCGTATATTTACTGCAACTATCAACGGCAAAATGAGCAGAATATTGACAACTTACTGGCGAGCATATTAAAGCAATTAGCCGAGAGCCAGCCCTCATTGCAAGACCCTGTCCGTGATCTTTATGACCGGCATGAGAAACGCAAGACACGGCCATCATATGACGAAATCTCGCGCGTTCTCCAATCCGTCGTGGATACATATTCACGAACCTTCATTATAGTCGATGCCCTTGACGAATGTCAAGCAGCTGATAGCTGCCGGACTAGGTTCCTCTCCGAGCTCTTTCACCTTCGGGGAAACGGCTTGGTATCCATTCTTGTTACGTCTAGAGATCTTCCGGAGATCTCAAGCCATTTTGAAGAGAAGTGCACCAGACGGGAGATCCGTGCGACTACTGATGACATCACACGATACCTGGAAGGCTCTATGGAGTCTCTGCCGTCAGTGGTCCAGGAGGATAAAGGACTCCAAAGAGAGATTGTGATAGGGATAGCAGAATCTGTTGATGGAATGTACGATCACTCAAGTATAATACATCAAGGTGTTTGCTAATCTTAATAGGTTCCTCTTGGCACAAATTTATATCAAACTGCTTGAGGATAGGCTGACGGTCAATGACGTTCGGAGTGCGCTGACGGTCTTCAGCAAGCAGCAGAGCTCATCAGGAGGATATGAAAGAACCAAGATACTGGAATTTGCATATGGGCAAGCACTGGAGAGAATCAACAAGCAGATGCAAGGCCAGAAGAAGCTTGCACTTAAGGTTTTGTCATGGATTACCTGTGCAAAGAGACGACTCACGTTGTCGGAACTTCAACATGCTCTTGCAACTAAACCTGGAAGGGACAGTCTTGACGAAGGAGACTTGCCACACATCAAAGATCTGGTATCTTTTTGTGCTGGGTTGGTGACAGTCGACAAAGAAAGCAAAATCATCCGGCTTGTCCACTATACAACACAGGAATACCTTGTACGGACGCAAGATCAGTGGTTTCCGGACGCAGGTGTTGAAATCGGGATGGCCTGTGTCACTTACCTTTCATTCAGGGTCTTTGAGACCGGAGCCTGCGACACGAGCCAAGAGTTTGACCAGCGATTGCTGTCTAATCCACTGTACGACTACGCTGCCCGCCACTGGGGTCTTCATATCCCATATGAGACTGGCTCAGATCAAGTGGTCATCAATTTCCTTCAGAACCAAAAGAAAATCGATGCGTCGGTCCAGGCACTGATGGCTCGTATGCTACACGCTCCGAGAATCGAAGTTCCAAAACGTATGATAGGGCTACATTTGGTGGGATATTTCGGCCTGAGCAAAGCCGTTGATATACTGGTTGCAGCTGGACAATGTGTTAATGCACAAGACTTTAATCGCAGCACACCGCTCATTTACGCCGGCAGAAATGGGGACAAGACTACCGTCAAGAGGCTGCTAGCAGCGGGCGCCGACATCAATGCTCCTGATGAGCACGGCTATACAGCACTATGTGTTGCTGCTGTCCGTGGCCATCTTCAGGGTGTCGAGAGGCTACTAGCAGCAGGCGCCGACATCAATGCTGTTTATAAGGACGGCAGAACAGTACTACATCAAGTGGCTTCCTTTGGCCGTCTTGATGTTATTGAGAGGCTGCTAGCAGCAGGCGCCGACATCAATGCTGTTGATAAGGACGGCAGAACAGTACTACATGAAGCGGCTTCCTTTGGCCGTCTTGAGGTTATTGAGGGGCTGCTAGCAGCAGGTGCTGACATCAATACTGTTGATAAGGACGGCTATACAGTACTACATAAAGCGGCTTTATTTGGCCGTCTTGGGGCTGTTGAGGGGCTGCTAGCAGCAGGCGCCGATATCAATGCCCCCGGTAGCTCCCAGGGTGGCAAGACAGCGCTGCAGTTGGCGGCTGAGAGAGGCCATCGCAAGGTCGTCGAGAGGCTGCGGGCAGCGAATCCCTGGACAAAAGCGTAATTCATCGCTTCTATCCACTAGCTAGATAGCGTACTTTTGGTTCCAGTAATAGTGTTGTCAAAAGATGAAGACATCGGGGAGACGAACAATATACGATACGTAGCAGTATTATGTATTCAAAGGGCCACTGTACTCGGGACACGAGAAGATGCGATTACTATTGTTACAGTCATGAGTATAATATATACTAATAGTCAGCTGACACCGAATATTGGTCAACTGATAGCTGTTTGGAGGTTTTACCAAGGTGCAAATAGGTGTCAAAAGTTTGCATGTTCCTTAGTGCTTGTTCAACGTGGATGGATGTTGTGTACAGTTCTCTGACCCGCGTAATGTTCTGGCATCACTGCCAAAAGGCGCTGTTGTTGAGACTATCAACGAATCTTGTGGTTTGTAACAGATTCGTGACCTCCAATCACCCAGTTCATCATCCCACCCAACGCCCAATCAGGCAATCCAGCGAATACTCGACAGGGTACCTGCCGATGGCTTTCCACGGAAGATACTCGACCCAGTCTTTCAAAGGTCCTCGAGTGTCGATTGTGCTTAGAGCTCGGACGAACTCCCAGTGCTCGGGGTACCATCCAGCTAGCTCCCAATCCAAAATTGATGATACGTTTATGGTCGACTTCTCGTCGTGATATGTTTCCATAGTGACCATGATGTTCCGAGGGTGCAAGTCGCTGTGCGTCATCACAATGCGATGATCTTGTCGTAGGAAGGACCGGACCATGGATATCCAAGGCCCAGCTGTTCTGCCTGGGCTTTGGCAGAGGAACTCGTTGAACTCGGACTCACTGTATATGGCGGTGGGAGAAACACGCTGAAGTCTCCGCAGGTCCTTGCATGTGCCTGTCTGGAAACTGCAGATGCGTAACGGTTGGCTGGTCGGATGCTTGGCGCGAAGGATCTGGAAGTAGTTCGCGAGTTGGTGTTGAACGGACGTCTTTTGGGCTGCAGTGAGGTCCGGCCACGCCTCCTCCAACGTGACGCCCTCGGCACGGGACAGGAAGGTGAAAGTCCACCGGCTTTGGCGAAAGGCCCCAGCTACCTGAGGGGTCGGCATCTCTGGAACGTGTTCGTTGATGTAACTCAAGTTGTCGATGTGGTCGAGATCGATGTCGGACCCAATCTTGACTACGTAAGCTGATCCAATGCTAACCACCCAGTTGTTGTGAAGCAATTGTAGCACCGTACCAGATCGGAGGGCCTGGTGAAGTGCTGTCAATGAGATCTGGGACGCTTGATCCGAAGGCGGGGACGTGAGCTCATGATCAGCGTCGTTGCCAGCCAGTAATTCTTTGATCCCGCCTTTCAGATCACAGATGACTTCAATGGCGCCACCGTCTTGGATGTAGAGCGGGTCGGGGGTTCTCTGATCAGACGCATCTGTATGATGATTCGAACTGTCCTCGGACTCGCTCGCCGCCACCCTGAGACTCTCAATCAACTTGGGATACGAGACTGATAACTGCTTCAACGTATCTGAGAGGTCGGTGTCAGGGGCATTTTTCACCTTGGAGGTGAGCTGGCCGAGCGTGGCCGTATTCGCCAACCACCTAGCACCGTCCATCCTCTCTTCTCAAGAAGCTGTAGTTGGACAAGTGTTGAGCAGAGCCAGAACGAGGGACAGAGGCGGGCCCGTGAGCCTGTGCGATGGCCAGATTATCTACTCGTGTTCTTTCAGCAATGTGCCCGGCTCTGAGTTGGACGCCTGGCGATTTTCCTGGGCTGGAGCTCGGTATTTGAACTGACAGCAGCAAACAGTCGGTGTAACCGAGTGCCTGTGCAGTCGGTGGCACTTCGGGCCTGTATCTGCCTGGCTTAACACGTGCTCACTTTAGCATAGACCAGCTAGGTACCTAGGTATCTGTCTCTCTCGTATATTGAGACCTACCTTGGCTTTTGCTGTAGGCACCTGCCGGACATCCGCACAAACGAAGAAAAAAGTATAGTCAACATGATAAATTCTACTCTTAGCTTTACATGAGAGCGAAATCCGGCCACAAGAAGACTTGACTAGGGCGATACAATGAAGACTCTGCCAAGGCCTGTGCAGTAAGTTGACTTGTGTCCCCTAAACCTATAGGGGATGATACATTCATAGATCTCCGGGAGGCTAATGTGATTTCAATCTGACGGTGAACCTGCTATCACTGTTTTTGAAGTAGTCTATCGTGTTGTAAGGAGAAATTGCAGATATTATGATTTCTAACGATGACACAACCTTCTCGGTGCGCGCTGGTGATGTCCAACACAATCAATTAGTTAGGCCTTTTGGTCAACCGTATAGTAAACTTCTACGCATCAGTAGCTTCGCAGGCAAGACTTCGGAGTGATAACGTCTTGTCGAAGCTTCTACTCCTGAGCCGCACTTAACTGGCATGGTGGTGGACTGAGCAAGTGACAGTCATTTGAGAGTGTCCATTAAATGCAACAGTTAAAACCTAACGAGAGAAGCCAAGGCCAGATGATCCGTGCTGCAAAGCCTCGCCTAGTTCACCAGCATGTTAAATCCTGTGCTAAGTTGGTGACATGCTTTGCTCGTGCGCTCCTAGTCACGCCTTACATACGTGGTTGCATAACACACCAATCGGTTGGGTTTTCAAGGGCCAGTATGCATGCAGCTCCGAGCCAATCGCTGAGCTTTAACGATGACATCGCAGGTCCGAGGGTGGCTGAGCCTGTGCAAGGCGCACTGCTACAGTCGCCTGGTCTAGTTAGGCATCCCTATTGCAGAACAGAAGGGAAATCAATGTTTCAGCGCACGGGATAGCCGGGAGAGCTCTATCTTCTTGCTCTGCAAAGGATCAAATATACCCAGTAGTCCAACCACCCGCGCATCATCACGGTGCTACTCCCCATTCGCAACCTCAGTGGGGGGGCTCAGTGGCGGTCAAGCCCAGCTCCGCTCAAACAACCAGACAATGTCGTTCGGCTACGCAATCGGCGACTTCATCGCCGGCGCAAATCTGGCCCACCAGCTCATTCGTGTCATGACGCAGAGCAGAGGAGCGTGCGAAGAGTACCAGGAAGCCATGACAGAGCTGTGCGCGATCCAGCAGGCCTTCATACACGTCAGCCAGGTCAAGCGGAGCAACTTGCTGCCGCAGGCCACGTTGAACTCGGCTGAGTTCATCGTCATCTCGTCAATGGATATCATAGCCAAGTTCCTGGAGAGAACCAAGCACTACCAGAATAAGCTCTCCATCTCCTCGGACTCGTCCTTCGGCGTGAGTGTGAGCAGCAGTTGGTGTAAGGTAGGCTGGGCGCTCTTCAAGAAGGAGGAGCTGCGGGCCCTCCGGGATTCCCTGCACTGTCGGCTTGTGGCGATCAACATGCTCTTTACAGCTGCGAAGCAGTAAGTTGAACACCTTCAGACTTTCTGAATAGCTGTTGGGGAACAGGTCACATCGCTAACGGAACTCTAAAAAGCATCCAGCCGCTACCCGAGTCTATCGCACAATTTCGGGTGCCAAATGACGGCTTATACGCATACGAGTCGACAAGGGAGGAGTCGCAAATCGATCATCCTGAAATATCCTCTACCGAGCCCGTAACAAGCAGGACAGACGTCAAAACTGTTTCAAACACAATCAAAGATGGTCAATCTATACAAACTTACGAAAAGCTTCCGACTACAGATCGACCGAACCGACCGAGCTATACAGCGACGACTGAGAATTCTACACAACAGGGTTGGAAGTCACAGACTAGTATCCAACAGACCGAGATCCCCAGGAATGTTGAGGAGCGTATCGAAAGTCGTCTAAATAGCGCTAAGGACCTGTGGGAGGATATGGCTGCGCAAGAATGGAGGAAAAAGATTGAAGCACTGGCCAAACTAGATGCCGAGCTATCTCTCCGGGACGAGTTGGAGGCTGAGAGAAAGGCTGCACAGGAGGTCGAGAATGACGATACGCTGAAATTACCAATCAAATTCAAGGATGCAGTTGGCAGGAAATTCTGTTTTCCATTCCATCTGTGCCGTACGTGGTCGGTATGTTCAACTGCAATTTTAACTATAGTCTTCAAATCAATACTAACATCCACACTATAGGGCATGGAAGAGCTCATTAAACAAGCTTTCATCCAGGTGGATGTCATTGGACCCCACGTACAAGAAGGCCACTACGACCTAATAGGTCCGAATGGTGAAATCATCCTCCCTTCCGTATGGGAGAAGATCATTGAACCCGACTGGGCTGTATCGATGCACATGTGGCCGATGGACCGAGTTCCACTTAAACCTGTTCTCCCATGGGGAAGGCCACTCCCAAGCCCTCCTATTCCTCCTGGGCACCCAAGACCTCCTATTCCTTCTGGGCACCTAAGACGTCCTAGCATTGAAGATGTGACGCTGGAGAAGAAGGGCGGACAGAAAGTGAACTTTATCAGAGGTTTCCTGCGTAGGAAGGTTAAGTGGGTCAGGAACAGGCCGGAGACAAGCTCCTCAGAATGCTCCTCATTGGACGAGGCATTTTCTAACGAATGATTACGAAGTCGAAAGAAGAGTGTGCGGTTGATCTTTATTAGTTCTAGGCATTTTACGTCAAATACATGGGAACTCTGTCTCCCTCAGTAAACTCAGGCATTTCCATATCACAAATTGGTTCCTCCATAATACTCGCTTTGCAAAGCCTTTCAACAACTGACACAATCTCCGGGAATCTTGGCATCAGTTGAAATGATATCTTGATGGAGCAATCCAGATATATCTTGTCGGCTTTCCATTTTGGCGCTGAAAGGCTGCAATTCAAGGAAATCTATCTTTTGAGAAGATCGTGTTTGATAGCTTCAATTACACGAGCCTCGGAATTGAAAGAGATATCCGCATGATGTTCAACCCTGAGAGCAAGCCCGACGCGGCTAGAAACGGTGATTCTGAGTTGTCCTATGCCCATTGGACCAACCATTGAGTATTTTGAAAGGGTTTCCTCGCTGACGGCACGATCTTTGGCTATGATAATGAGCTGTTGTAGGAAGAAATAGTGTGCACAGGATTCCTACCTGGAGCCCTTGGCAAACCCTGTACCGGTCCCTTTTCTGATGCCTTCTGCAGCATTGAAGTGCGAGAAGTGCTCGTAGAGAGCGATTTCAAGATCGACTCTTCAAGTGCTCCTTCATCAACAAACAAATGTTGAATAACTTCCTCAGTCAGAGGTACTTTAGAGGGGACTATATAAGCCATGATGAAACTAAATAGATTTTAAGAGGAGCTAGATGAGATGTGTTGTGATCCTGAAAGAGCTTCTTGGAGTCTAGAAGATTAAGTCCTGAAATTTTTGGGGTTGGCTTAGGCTTTATGTAAAGAGAGAGAAGAGGTCTCAGACATGGATTGACTCGACTCGCTCGAACCTCGGTACGCTCGCCATGTAACCTTTGTCTTAAATTGATTCTGAGACCACTTAAATCTGGCTATCAACCCTATCCAGCCTTTCTTAGAGCGAAAGCGTTTTACCTGGTTCCCCGCTCAAACAATCAAGCAGGACCCTCCAGAATGCTCCTGTAAAGAAGCTTCAATACGTTCTCACAGGGATCATGCCCTGCCGTGGATCCGATGTACTAGTTCCTTTCAAGCACTCTATATTGACTTGCCCTTGCTGTTAATGGTGGCGTTTGAGACACTACCCTAAAAGGTCCTTTAGATGGGCCGGAAGAAGCAAGCCTCTTTCATGTAGAGGGCTTTGAGTCAATTATTGAAACCGTAGATAGGTCATTGTCCTAGATAGCTCGGGTGGTACATTTGGGTTGCAATGTGGACCGCTTTACGAAGGGTAATGTTTTAAGAGCTGAGATTTGTACGGCTTGAAGACTGCATAGTCAACTGTCCCCTGTGTAAAACAATAGTCTTCAAGTAAGGCTGGGGGGGTGGTTCCACGTGGATCATTCCTTGCTAACAAGCCCCTTCATGTTCTCTTCAGAAAAGACAAGCAGTGATCTGGACGTAGTCGATGACACCAGAACTGTTAGATTAGGCTAATTGAGTAGCAGTCATTAGCAACGGTCCTGCGCCATATCGTAGGTCTACCAGTATCATTGAGAGCACTCTCATAAGTATTGCTGCCCACCTTTAGCTGCCGCGGCTGATCCAAAACAAGTAGAGGCCAGCAAGCATCTAATCAGACAGCATCATGAGACAGCATGACCAAACAGGACCCCGCACATATAGAGGCTCCTGATCGAGCAAGCTCAGGTTGTAGACACAACCCTATAGCTCTGTTCTTCTTGGACGTCTTAGGTAAAATAGCCATGTCACTATTGGAAAGACCAGCTTGAATGCAAAGTAACACTGCCTCGCCTCGCTGGTCCTTTATGCATCAAGCGTATATATGTGAGGCCGCCATATTGTTCAGAAGCTAGAAAATCATTGGGCCATTTGATGGAGACTTAGCCACTGTCCAATTCCAGGTAAGAGAATCAGTTATCGATCTCAGCGGTTCAACTTGTGACTGGTCACTAAGAGATCGCAGGCCAGCATTGCAGCCCTTGTTTAGTGTCTATGGTCCATAACTGCGGACCCAGGGTGAGCTTACGAATTTGCAATCAGCATTGTACGAGCATCCTCTATGCGGCTATAGGCGCGTATCGTGGGTTCGCGTGGTTAATAAACCCGAAGCTGCACAGTTCAGTTAACGTTAGTGGTGAGCAACACTCGGGTTGTAAATTGCATAGTCTTCGAACGTGGATGGTAAGCGCATCAGTACCAACTATCGTTTCTCCCTGAGCACCTCACGTTGTCTCTTGCCTTTTTATGCCTTTGTCCCGTCTACAGCGTTGGTATATATCTACCCCAAAACAGGTATTCCAATAGCCCCCTAGGTACTTGAGGACTGTGAGTTGTGACAGACAGAGACACCTTTAAGCTCCGCTACTCGACTATGATCTGCCAAGAGATATGACGAACGAACAAGGGTGGTTGTAGAATTCTAAGAGTGAAGGAAAGCATTCGGGCAGTTGCTTGAGTCCAGCCAAGGCGAAGAGACCGTCTATTGCGAGAGAGGCAGTTCGTATTGTCTCACATTGTAGATAGTCTCAAGGGCACGGAGACCGAAAGGTTGGAGGAAAGAAGTGGTACAGGAGGAACACACACCCCTCCCTGTTGAATTGTAAGCCCACATGCACGCCTGGATCAATCTTCTTAGGTGAGCCAGGGCACACCACCGAGAGAACACATTTCACACATTTCAGTGGTACAGGAACACGGCCAGCTAGGTATTGTATCAGTGCTGTGTCAAAGACCCCCACGGACCACAACGGCCAGCAGTGCTGGTGTTGCGGGCAGATTCGAGGATGACCCCGGCACCTCGACACGGGTGTGCCTTGTTGCAGATGACTGTCTCACCCTGTACGAGCAGGCCTACCCGTCCGGGCCCGGTCACCAGCCAGCCGCATTTCATTTGACAGCCCTGGGCGGGAAAAAAAAGCAATGGGGCCTCAAGTATACGGACTGCAGTGATGAGCGGGCCGCAGGACGGCCGGCTTGTGTGATTGCAATGTCCAATATATCGATGTGATGTCGCGACTCTTGCACACGAGACAGCGAAATTATTCAGCGCCCCCCCGTGTCTTTGAGGCGGACGGACGTGGCGATCGGTGCCATTCCTGCCGGTCATGATGACGTTGGAGCAAGGGTAGGACACCGAGTCGAGCGCGCACTCGCCATGTGCTGCTGGTTCTTACACATTTGCTTATCTACTTGGGGTGTGAAGAAGGGTTAAAGAAAAAAAAGGGAAAATGACGATCACTTTTGATGGTTGGACAGTTGCAGCGTAGATCGCGGCGAAAAGCGCAGGATCGGTAGGCTTGCGAAAGGGCCCTTGAATCAGTCGACGGGAACGGGGGGTAGGACCCGGAGCAGCCGCTTTGGGGTAAGAAAAAAGGTGATGATGGCATTCATGGATTGGGGGTCTGGCTCCGCCCGCCGCCGTGGCCGCCGCCAGAGACGGAGCCACGAGGAGAGGGCGCGCTGGTCTGACTCTTCGGGTGGGCGGTGGTGTGGGACACGACGTCGTGTTCGTGCAGGACCGGCAGATCCAGAGCGGTCCTTTGATGGGGTCCAGCCAGCGAAGGCATGCAGCAGCAAATGGAACGGGTGCAGCAAACGGCAGAGGGGGGGAGGGTGGTGCTGTTTTGATTGTCCTTCTTTGTTGGCTTTTGAAAGACGCAAGAGGCTGACGGGATCCAATCAATGATGTGACAAACGGAGTCGTGTCGAGAGCAGCAGCATGCATCCGTCCGAGACAGGACAAACAGGGGGAGGAGGAGGAGAAAGAAGGTGAAGCAGGACATGGGAGTCACTCGCCCGCCGCGCACTGGCGGCTGGGCAGGCGCTCGGAGTTGCTGTACGAAGTACTTGAACTTGTACAAGTAGTTAGTGGCTGAAATGACGATCCGCTTAGCCCGGTGCGGTAAAGTCACACGACTCACCCGTCCGGGGGGGTCCCAGGCGAGCTAGCCAGCACTAAGCAGAGCGCTGGAGGAGGACAGGCGGAGCATCCATATTGAATACATGGAATAACTACCCAGTCGATGGATGGAGGAAGAGCACAACTCAATAACTAACTACTTCTACAAGTACAGAGCGAGGGATCAACCGGCCAGTGCGTTTGCATCGGAATGGAAGCAGGGGTGTGCTGGCGGCGGCTACCGGTCAATGGACCGGCCATGCATGCATGCACCTCTAAATGGCGAGCTGCCGGGGGGGCTTGACGCCCAAGACATCCATGCTGCAGCCTCTTTCTGGAGCCGACGGCTGGAGCGGTTTGCACCCACACCCCCGGGGACTTCTACCCGACAACCCACAGACCCTGCATTTCGCTCTCAACCTATCCGTAGCTGGCGCTCTCGCCGGCTTCCGACCGCCGCCACGAATCAAACCCGCCCGGGTTGGCGATTCTGCAACCGGCCAGGCTTGGGCAGCAGTGAAGGAATGGATGGATTGGGACGGCTACATGGTGCGACTGGGGCAGCGGCCATGCAGGGTTGGCGATGATCTGTCGTGCCATTGCTTCGTAAAACAACATTACAAGTTACTATGGTATTCGAGGATGTGTATCTCGTGTGTTCATACATCACCACGTCTTTGTTCGGGTGTTTGCTCTTTGGCGACCAGACTGCCGTTTGACCATTCTAGCTGTTTCCTGTGTTTGAGCACATCAAATACTCTGAAACATTTGGACTGTTCTGTTTGTCGGTCCGGCTTTCTGTTATCCCCCAACGCATCTACTTACTTTTAGCTCGATAGGGATAGGTCTTGTCCGCACTCTGTTTGCCTTGCTTTTTGCCTCGCCTCGCCTTTGCTCTTCAACTACTTGTACTTGTCTACTGATTGCCTTTGCGGCTGGCTCCACCCCCGTTCCCACTCCAATTCCGGCTTTCGCACACGCCCTTGACGCCCTCTCCACCCCCCAACCTTGATCCCCTGCGACCCGGCAATCCACTCCCCCGAGAGCGGAGCCTTGTCCAGTCACCAAGTCATTCGTTCTTACGGAGCCGCTGTCCCAGTCACCACCACCCAAGTCTACCTAATCGTGGGTGGAGAGAGAACAGGCGAGACAGGGTCCGTGGTAGCAGCCAGAAGCGCATGGGCGCGCAAGAGCCCGCGGTGTTGGTCCATTACTCATCTCGCCTCATTCGCTCCACGTATTCACTCCTGTTCTGTCAGTTTGCCTCCTCTCTCTCTCTCTCTCTCTCTCTCTCTCTCTCCCTCTCTCTCTCCCTCTCTCTCTCCCTCTCCCAGGCCGCAGGTCATCATCACCTTATCAGCCGGCCACCTCCCCATTTCCACCAGCTTCCGCCGCTTCACTAGCGCGAGCCGGTAGCGCAGCCTCTCTCTCTCTCTCTCTCTCTCTCTCTCACCCTCTCACAACTCAACCCAGTCAGTCACCCTTCTCCACGTGAGTCGTCTCGCCCTCCTTGTCTGTCCCAACACTACCCGTCCTTGTCATTGCAACCCTTTTAAAGAACCGCCTGGCCCCCCTTCCTCATCCTTCCCTCCTTCTTTTTGATTTTCTTTTCCCTCTTGATCACCACACGAACGTTTACGCTTTTGCGTCTTCCAACATACGTTTCTTTCCCACCCAAGCTGACTTGGCCTCTCCGGGCGTCTTCCCCCCCAACAGGCATCTCCACTCAACGCCCATTAACGGCCTCGCATCCACTCCGCCCAGTCAGCCCCAAAAGCAGCCGAGGCAGCCAGCGAGCCTACGTCACGCTAGAACCCCGTGGACGAGCCTCCCAGACTTGACGCTCGCCACCCGACAACCCTCGTAGCATCACCGAAATACACACCTACACTCTCGTCGAAAAAAAAAACTCTCCTCCCGCAACACACAAGACATCGCCATGGCTCCCAAGAAGATCAAGTGCAACTTCAAGGACTGCAGGGACGCCGCGCAGAGGATAGTGGGCGACTGCGCCTTCTGCAACCAGCGCTTCTGCGGCAGGCACCGCCTGCTCGAGGACCACAAGTGCTCCGGCCTGGAAGACGTGAGTATCCCCGACACCCCCTGGTGGCTCGTCGGCCTCGCCGGCGAGCTCTCGGGCGACGAGGACCTGTTTCACGAGGCTGACATGATGCTGACCGGTTGTATCGACAACAACAGTGCAAGAAGGAGGCCCACGAGCAAAACGCAGCCCAGCTGCAGGCCGAGCGCACCCACGTCATCAAGGGCGTCTAATCGGGACGACCGGCGCCTGCACCGGCGCCTGCGGAAGCAGCAGCAGCAGCGCCGCCACCGACAACGCCGCCGCCGATGCCGCAGCTGCCGCGACACCCGGCCTACCACTGCCACTGCCACCCCGACGAGGCAATCCGAGGACGATGCGCCGACCACCTGCGCGACGCAGTGGCCGATGACGACGAGCTGTACGAGCGAGATGCCGCAGGCCATCGCCGTCTAGACGGCGATTCCTTCGATTTCGATGACTCGCCTGGTCCACCCCTCATCGGTCAAAACAAACCACCATATCATCTTCCAAAGCACACCTTTGATTCTCCTTCTCGAGAACGTGCTTCCGTACCATTCACGCGACTCGGCAGAATCTGGGACATCGTTTTGATCTTCCCGGCTCTCTCCGATGTAATCTACCATTGCTTCTTTGGCAAGGCGTTTGAGGATTGGGTTCTTTTTGTTTTTCGATCTTCTCCTCGGAGAGATCTCGTTTTCTAATTTTTCAAAGCTTTTGTTGCTCTTTTTTTTTTTTTTTTCGATAATGAACGTCGCCTGCCCCTTTGCGTCTTTTTTCACCATTGGGGGATCTCTATTGGCGTACGGTGGCTTGCGGAGAGTTGTCGTTTAACTGGGCTTGGAGGTTTCTTCATGCCCGATTTTCCTGCTCTCCATTTCTGAAGCTTAGCAAGCCTGTTGCAGTTAGCTGCGAGTAAAATTGATGATACACACACAATAACCTGTGCCCGAGATACAATGTGCCCTTGTGACCCTTGTGAAACTGTGAACCCGATATTTCGTGTCCCCATGTAATCTCTCCATCTTCGGATTGTAGGAATTGCCATGACCAGTGATCCGGGTCAGATCCGCCTTGTCAGCAGTATGTATCCATTATGTGTGACAACAGTAAAATGGGTATTGTACAGGACGTTTCCAGTCCGCGGGAATATGTTATGATACAATGTACATCACCTGGCCGGCCTCTTGCGCCGCTGACCGCCGAGATCCTCTTCCTCCTCCTTGACAACACCCGCTGTGCTCCCAACCTCGTCGTGCTCGTCCTCCTCCATCTTGACCTGCCCATCATCCACACCCTCTTCCTCCTTCTTCACACCCTCCTCCCCCTCCTCCTTCTTCACACCCTCACCCTCACCCTGGCCACCCTCCTCCTTCCCCAAAACCGCCAGCCCGTACCCCTCGCCCGCGTCCTCCCTCCGCCGCCGCCCCTCGAGCACCTTCCTCCGGTCCGCCGCCCGGCACAGCCCCGCCATCCCGACCTCGCAGTCCCCGCACCGCCGGCCGACGGGCAGGCACACGGCCTGGCCGAGCCCGACGAGCAGGGAGTTGATCTCGCGCCAGCGGCCGCGCGGCAGCCAGCTCTCGAGCGCGGCGCGCGTGCCCTCGGGCCCGCGGGTCGCGTGCCAGCCCCACAGGTTCGTGATGCGGTGCACGTGCACGTCGACGCCGATCCCCCGGCAGTCGGCCCAGCCGTCGGGCGCCGACATGCACAGGTGCGCCATCTTGGGGCCCACGCCCGGCAGGGAGGTCAGCCCCGCGATGGTGCGCGGGATGTCGCCCCCGTGTTGGTCGCGCAGGATCTGCGCCGCCTGCTTGATGTACTTTGTCTTGTTGTTGTGGAACCCGACCTTGCCGATCAGCTCGTTGAGCAGCGCGGGCTCGACGGCGAGCACGTTGTCTAAATTGAGGCCGGGGGGCTTCCCGGGCGCGCAGGCGGGCAGCTCGGCGTGCAGGCGGGCCATGGCCGCCGCGTTGACGGTGTCCTTGGTCTGCGAGGAGAGCATGAGCGCGACGAGCGTGTGGAAGCGCCGGTCGCGCGGGCTCGCCGAGGGCAGCGCGAGCCGCTCGCAGCCCATCGTGTCGACGGGGGCGTTGGCCGCGGCCCCGCCGGGGGAGAAGCGCATGTGCCGCACGAGGGCGTAGATGTCGGCCCAGCCCGTCGGCGGCTCCACGGTCGCGAGGCCCGTGGCCGGGTCGGTCGTGGCGCGGGCGGGCTGCTTGCGGGGCTGTCTTGTCGCCGCCGCCGCCGCGTTCTTCTTCTTCTTGGCTGGGGAGGGGATGCTGGATAGCGCTGTTGGTGGTGCCGAGTCTGGGTCCTCCTTGAGCAGCACCTCTGATTTGATGTGTGTCGTTGCGACGGTGGTGGTGGTGGTGCGCTTGCGCTTGAGGCTGCGCGCCGTCGCTGACGCCGTCGCCGTCGGGGTGCGGGTGCGCGAGCGGGACGAGGACGCGGACGGGGTGGGGGCGAGGTCCTCTATGTCCGGCGCGACGAGCAGAGGGCCGTTCTCCTTGTCCTCTTCGGCCTTGGGCCCCGTGCCGTCGGCGTAGGAGGCGAAGCGCGAGAGGGAGGACGTGCGGGCCGAGCGGCGCAGGGGTCTGGCCGCAGGTGCCGCCGCCGGCGCCGAAGGGGGAGTAGAGGTAGAGGTAGAGGTAGAAGACGAAAAGTACTTCGACGTCGTCTCGCGGGAGACGCGTGAGGCGCGCATCTTGGGCGTGCCGCCGCGTGGGAGCTGCCGTAGCGGCAGGGTCGGATGGAGTGCGCGTAGAGAGGCCGAGAGTCACGATGCCATTGTCCCCCGGGCGGATATCAGAAGGCAGAAGGCGTCAAAAACGGTCTGAAGCAGTGTATGTAGTCGAGGAGCTATGGAATGTGTGGTGAGGGTTGCGTTTCGACTGAGCACACCTCCTTTCAGCCTCTCACGAGCTAGCAATTATTCACCCAGCACAGGGGTCTGATGGGATTGGTGGACAGCGGATACCAAGGGTCGAGACGCGGGAGCTGCCTGCATAAAGGTACCGTACCTACTTGTACTCCGTAAGTTCCGTGTGGGGGCTAGCCCCGAAATAGAATTTCCATCTCCAACTCCCCTTGCATTCCCGGCCTGGCTTGACATCACAGTGGGAGATATATGCCTCTGGCTGAGCTTACAATGTCTGAAGAGGTATAGAACCGAATTGAGGTTCTTTCCGATCTCAGAGAACAGGAGTTCCAAGCAAATTATCCCATAAGGAGTTAGTTACTCTATGGAAATCCATTTGAACCGCAACGGCACTTCGTTGTCACCAACTCGGTAATAACCAGAGAGATCAGACTGATTTACAAGTAGACTGTGGTCTCCCAGCCTCGTGTTCAATGGCCGTACGTAGCAAATCATTGGACACCGTTATCTCAGTACTATCATACATACCACCGAGAAGGGAGCGTGATATAGTCATCTCTATCACTTCTCACACATACCACCAAGAAGGCACAAGACGCAAGCCCTGTCCAGAGCCGTCAAAACGACGCAACGACAAGCAAACTGAAGAACACAGTCAGAGTCTATTTTCTGAGACTCTATTCAGCTCTGGAAAAAAAAAACACCCCCTTATTCTAGGGTGTCAATAAAAAAGAAACGCCATGCCATTACATGTAGTCCCGCCCCTTTTTCAGTACACTCCCCCTCGATTCTTCTCATGATCCCACGTCCACCACACCCGCAGGCTTCTTCAAATCCATCGGGTCCATACACTCGATCATCAGATCGCCCCATCCGCCTCAGCAACCCACAGCCGGCCCAGGTCCCGCGCGAGACCGAGCCTCAGCCTGGCCAGCAGCTCGTCCCCGCCCATCCCGGCCCGCACGCCCGCCCTCTCGTCCGTCCTCCAGTCCCAGCCCCTCCTCCTCAGCGCCGCCGCCGCCGCACCGCCGCCAGCGCCGCCGCCAGGCCCACCGACGATGCTCCGGTGCAGCTGGCTCGCCAGCATCGAGCTCCCGCCCAGGACGTAGCTCCCGCTCGTGCTCTTGCGCATCGACCGCGCGAGGTCCGCCGGCCCCGCGCCCCGCAACCCCTTGGCCGACTGCAGCACCAGGCCCAGGAACTCGTCGCACGCCGCCCGCACGCGCGACGACCCGCCCAGCGACGACAGGTCCTCGACGGCCTTGAGCAGCACGTCGATGTGCTCGAGCGTCAGCGCCGGCTGCTGCTCCCTCTCGACATCGACAAACATGAGCGCCTCCCCCAGCAGCGCCAGCAGGAAGTCCTCCGACACCACGGCGCCCCTGCCGGCGTCGTACATCCCGCCGCGGATGTTATCGCCGCTCGACGCGATCACCGCCGTCAGCGCCACCGCCGCGGCGCTCCTCCTCGACGACAGCGAGGCCGACGGACCTCCCGAACCGCCGCCGTCGTTATCGTTACCGTCGTCGTCGTCGCGCAGCTCGTAGAAGCGCCGCAGCGTCGCGTACCCGCTGAGCAGCTTGCCCAGCAGCTCCGCCGCCTCGAGGTCCTGCTTGGCGAACCGCTGCAGCGTCGCGTTGCGGTCCGACAGCAGCCGCGCCAGGTAGCCGTCGAGCTCCGGCTCCGGGGGGTAGGCCGCGCTCTGCACGAGCGAGTACGAGATGAGCAGGTTCATCACCTCGCGGACCTTGCTCGGCCGGTGCGCCAGCGCGTAGTACCACATGGCCTCGCCGTACCGGTGCGAGTCCTGCGCCAGCGTGTCGCCGTAGTGCTGTTTTTTGGGCGGGGGGTCTTGTCAGCAAATCGTGTATCGCGGGGTGAACCATTTTTTTGTTACATATGAATGTTGAGAAACTCACCTCGGCCGTCTCCTCGGCAAAAGCAATCATGCCCAGGTCGTTCAGCAGCCGCCAGACCTTCTCCACCGTCGCGCCGCTGCCCACGTCGACGCCCTCCAGGATCGTCCGCACCAGCTCGCCCACCGTCTCCTCGGACCGCTCCGGCGACTCCATCCGCCCGAGCACGTGGATCGCCAGCTCCCAGCCCTCCATCGTCCGGCCCGACTTGTCCGTGACCGTGGCCAGCTCGTCCAGGTTGACCAGCTCCTGCGCGTACTGCACGAGCGTGTGGTCCTTGATGCCGTCCAGCTCGTCCGGGCTCTTGGGGTCGACGCCCAGGACCTCGAGGTCGTCCATGTCCAGGTCGTCCATGCCAAACATCAACGAGGGCTGGTGCGGAGGCAGCCAGCCGCCCAGCGAGGCGATCTCGGCCACCGCAGACGCGACGGGCAGAGACCAGCCTCGCAGGATGCCGATCACGCCCTTGGGGTTGTCCTCAAAGACGCACGCCATGCCCACCTCGAGCGGGTTGTTCGAGTTGAGCTCCAGCCCCGCCCCGACGGCAGCCTGGAACGACCGCGCCAGACGGTCGAGGTAGCTCTCCGAGCTGCTCAGATCCGACGCCAGAACGAGGCTCTGCGAGCGCGACAGCAACTGCGGCTGCTGCTGGGCCCGGCTGCCCTCGTCCCACCAGCCAAACAGCGCGACCGTCGCCTCGCACCAGTCCTGCGCCATGGCGACGATGCGCTCCCGCACGCCCAGCACGATGTCGAAGATGATGTTGAGGTTCTCGTAGATCTCCCAGGGGACCTGGCTCTCGGCCTTGCGCGCCAGGCCGGCCATCGAGTTGCGCCCGCGGAACATCTCGGCGTCGCCGCCGCCCCTGTCGCGGCCCTCGGCGAAGCGCCGCAGCTGCTCCAGGAAGCCCTTGGCCCGGATGCGGAACAGCATCCAGTCGCTGCTCCAGATCTCCCAGTTGCCGTGCCGGCCGGGGCAGCCGCTGAGCATGTCCCACGTCTCGTGCACGGCGCGCTCGACGTTGGCCAGCGCCTGGCCCGTGTACGCCGCCTGGTGGCCGCGCCTGACCCGGTCCCAGCCTCCGCGGCTGAGCAGGTCCAGCGCGTCGGTGACCCGCCCTTGCAGCAGGGCGACGAAGACAGTCTGCCAGAACATACTATGTCCTGCGGGGGCCGGCTGGTGCGAGAGCACGTCGCGGACTTGGCCGGGATATAGGTTGTGGTTCTCAGCCAGCCATCTGAACATGGTCTCCGTAAGCGGCTCCAGCCGTGCCTCTCCGCCGTCGTCGAAGCGCGTGTGATGGACCTGCAGGGCGAGAGAAGCGAGGTAAGACGCGTTCTCAAAGGCCGAGGCGTTCGGGCCCGGGCCGACACCTGCAGAGTGCTCCTCCTCCCTGCGCGGCATGCTCTCGACGTAGGCGCGCCATACTGAAGCGAGCTCTGCCGATGTGCCGGCCAGCGTGTTGTCCATCCTGTTGGCATCCTCCTCCGGGCCCACGCCCTCGTTGTACAGGCGACCGACTAGGTTCTCGGTCTCGATGATAACTTCTGGTGACTCTGTGATCGTAGCGTAGCCCATCTGGTCGTAGATCGCCTTGGCTATGGGCGCAAATTTGAATTCTCGCGGAGGCCTGTTGGTCGAGCGCATAGCCGAGGCTCGGAAGATGTCCTCAGCCTCTCTCCGTATCCGGTCGTTGACTGCCGGCGTGGCCATCATCATGAGATCTGACTCGTCTCCAATCATGGGCTCGTCTGCAGCCGCGTCGAGGCCGAGCCACAGGTCGCCCTCGACATCGTCCTCGCCCATAGCGTCCGCATCCGCACCCAGGCCGTCCTCTCGTCGGTAAGGTCCCAGGTCGTCCTCGCCCTGGGCATCAGAAGCCTCATCAGAGTCCTCGTACCGCACAGAAAATGTTCTCGGGCCGCTATCCTTTGCGCTCCGCATATCCTGCTGCAGCTGCTGCAGATAGTCGTCCTCTTCGTCGCCCTCGGCGTCACGCTCGTCATCTTCTTGATCTTCCTCCTCCTGGTCCTCGTCCTCGTCACTGCTCATGACGAACTGCTTGCTCAGCTTCGACGGCTGCCTGCCGCCTTTGCCCGCCGCCGACGGCGCGGAGGCCTGTATCGAGCGGCCGAGGGGCGAGTTGGTCTTGGGCGCAAACAGGGTCTTGTTGGCCGCGCCGCTGCCCGCCAGGCGGCTGCCGAAGCTGGCGGGCTTCTGCGCCGTGACGCCGCGCATCATGGAGCTGCCCAGGTACGAGGCCGACGGCGCGCCCGCGGGGGTGAAGCTAGCGGCGGAGGAGGGCGGCGGCGGCCCGGCGGGCGTGGTGGAAGGGTTGTCGTCGAAGTGGAAGAGGTCCGAGCCGCCGCGTTTCGTGCTGCCGCGGTCCGGGGTAGATGGCGGGCTGCTGTCGCTGTCGCTATCAACGACGAATCGGTACGCCATCGCTGCGGCAGAGCCTCCTCGAGCTCGAGAGAGAGGTCGGGCAGCTTAAGAGGTGAGGTTGATCCTGCAGGGAGGGCAAACAATTGGCGTAGACCGGAATCGAACAAAGGAAAAGGGGAGAGCCAGTAAAAAGTGCTAGTAGGTTGGGCCGAAGGGATTGTTTGCTTGACGTGGAGAAAAAGAGAGCCCCAGCGGCTTGGTTGCTTTCGAAAAAGGTGAGGTGAAGCTAAAGGTCAAGCAAGCACCGAGCTTTGTTCTCAATCCTTGCTTGGGCCAAAGAAACGACGCGACTTATTTTTCTTTTGGTCGCGCAGCACCGGAGCACAGATAAGGTAGTTATCAAAAGGTACGTGCCCCCACCACCAAAACAACATACATCCATCAGGTACATACATCACAGGATGTTTGTCCACCATTAACGCAACTTCATCAAAGTCAGTCAAGAAAGTCGCTGGTCATGAAGGTATTATTTTTATTCTACAACATGCTTCGTCCCCGCCCACCGCCAAAGCCCACCATTCTCGCTCGGGTATTGCATGATCGAGCCCAGGCTCTCCCTCTCTCTCTCTCTCTCTCGCTTTGAACACTCCCTGTCTCTTCTTCCTCCTCCTCACCGCTATCCCATCTCTTCGCTTCAAACCACCCCTTTCCCCCCAAAGTATTCACGTGAAAATGATGCTAGAGTTCTCGCAGTCAAGAAGACCCACGATGAAAATAGCAATAAAAAAAAACCAGAGATGTGCTCATCAACCCGCCATGTCATGTCATGCCATGCCATGCCATGCCAATGCTGTCTGCTTCAAGTGCATCGAACAGAGAAGTTGATCCTTTCTGCTCGCACTTCAACCCCCACACCCCCGAGCTGTCATGAATGCTTTGAAACTCCAATACCAACCCCCAGACACAGGAGTATACGCGCCGTGTTCCATCGTGAGGATCCACCGTCTACCTATATACCGTGCTGTTCTTGTCATGCATGCGTGGTGGCTTAGTAGGATACCGACCGAGGAGCCATGTTGTCCCTGATCTCATCCCAATCCCGCCACGTCTGGGCGTCCTAGACCCTCTGGTAGAACAGCAGATAGGCCACCTTGTTGTCCTTGACGCTCTCCTTGACTTGCTTGGAGCGCGGCTTGTTGGCAGCATTGCCGTTGACACCGCTGCTGCCGGTCTTCTTTGCGCTTCCAGGAGAAGACGAGACTGTGTTCCAGCCGCCCTCGTTGTCGCCAGAGTCCTCATCGCCCATAGCTGCGAAGCGGTTGGCCGAGCTGGACCTAGTGCTGGTGCCGGTGCCGTTCTCCTTCCTCGCCAGCTCCTGAGCCCGGGTCGGCTCCTCTTCGCCGCCACCCTCAATGACGTCCTCGCTGCGCACCCGGCGGATGACAGTGTCATCCATGCGGATCCACTCGCGACCGTCCTGTCGCCGCACATCCGCCGTGTAGTGGCCGACACTAGCATTCTTGCCATGATGGTAGACAACGGCGATGAGCTTGTACTGAGGAAGTCCGGTGCCCTCCGAGTTGATCTGGTTCCTCTTGGGGCGCGAGAGCGCCTCGACGGGGATCTCGAGATCAAGAGGGTAGCCAACCTTCTTCCAGATCTTGGTTGTGCCGTGGACCTCATCGTACTGGAAGCGCTTCAGCTGGATCATGAGGATGGGCGGCAGCGTCTCGAAGAGCTGCTGCTTGGTGGCTGTGTTGGAGACCCGTCCATGCGCCTCAAAGGTCCCGCTGACGGTCTCGGGCTTGATGATGTTGCGAATGGCATCGACGATGTTGCGGACCTGAGGCAGGTCAATGTCGAGCTGCACCGTGTTGTACGGCTGAGGCGTGACTGAGACGTTGCCAGGGTGGCGCAGTTCATTTCTGAACGCCCCAAAGAAGATCTTGGTGATGGGGGACTGGGTGTAGATGATGGAAGAAGGTCGCACAGTAGCGCTGGTCTGACGAGGGCCGACTTCCTGCCACGACTTGGCCGCATCAGACTCTGAGCTACCGACGACTTGACCCGTGGTGCTGCCATCGTCCACCGACGTTGTAGGGACGCCCATGGCGCGGCAGCATTCCTCGTGTAGGGACTCGAGGATGAAGCCCAGGAACTCTTGAGCATCCTGCTGGTGACCACGCTGATAGGTGTGTCAGTCTAGGTCAAAAGACAGGGATCGGTTGGTTGGTCATCTCACCTTCATGGCATCGAAACGCTTGATAGTCTTGAACGCATCGTATACGAACTCGGGGCTGAAAGAATCCCCATAGTGCTCCATATCCTCCTTCTTGAGGCGCTTACACAGCTGCTCCGTCGACTCAGCAGAGGCGGTCACTTTGAACTCACGCATAAACATAATCATCGCATCCAGGACAGGCGTGTCACTCTTGAAGCTGTGAGCGGCCTTGCGGCTGGCCTGGTCCAAAAAGTCATAGAAAGGCTGGCAGTAGAGAAGAACCTGGAGAACCGAGTTCAGGTAGCAGATCTGTCCGATGTTGCTCAGCCCCCGAGGCTCCAGGAAGTGGATCTTATCCGCGCCGTCAACGCGGTAGGCGCGAAGCGCATCGCCCATGGAGTTGGCTTTGGACTGGGCAAACCCCGCAGAGGCAGGGCTGCTGTTGTCGGCACCACCGCTGGAAACTCCGTTCGGACCACCGGGAGCAGCATCGGTAGATGCCGTCCGAGGGGCAGTCTTGGCAAAAAGGTTTGTCCAAAGTTTGGGAGGGGCTGGAGCGGAAGGTTTGGCCACAGTGGGCTCCGTGTCTTCCTGGCCCGCAGTGATAGTCGAGGCGGTGTTATCGTCAGACTGAGAAGCTGCTGCAGCTGCCGAGTCTTCTGCAGCAGGGGCCGGCCTGGTTGCTGACTTGGTGTCCTTCGGGCTAATAGCCGGAACAGCAGGCACAAGGGGGATGGCCGGGACGGCTGGGCGTTGAGTACCGCTTGGCTTTGTCTGCGTAGGTGTTGCGACGGCAGCAGGCTGAGCATGCTGTACCGAGCTCGGAGTTGTGGGAGTGGTCGAGGGCAGGTCTGAGCGATCGTGGGTCGAGGGCGTCTCTGCACGCTCGGTACCACGATCCGCAGTCACCGCAGCACCCTCGGGCACAGCCTCTGGTGCGGGCTCTTGTGCCTTGACAGGCAGCTCCACATCGTCGGCGTCCGCAGCGATGACTCTCCTCCTCCTGCGCGATTTGACTGACTTCTTAGGGAAGGGAAGGTCGGGCCGGGAGAGCCAAGGAAGCTTGATAAAAGTCAGAACACTGTGAACGGGAGATAGTGTCAAGAATAACATACCGGAGGCCGGAAAGGCTCCTGCGGTTCTTCAACCTTTGTCTCCAGTACCACAGCAGGCGCAGGCTCGCTGGCAACCGGAACCTCGGCAGGGATGCTCTGGACTGGCTGCGGCGGGCTGGCGGGCGCAGGTGGTGCAAAAACCTGGGAGGAGTGTGTGGACGTGGGAGTCGGGGGAGGAAGGGGTATGTGGCCACCCTGGGTCGGAGCATGGTACGGCGGGACAGGGAATGGATGCGAGGCAACAGCCGGCGAGTGCTGGATAGGAGGAGGAGGCTGGTAGGCGGGTGTCGAAACGATGACGGGCGACTGCTGGGGCGGCCTCGAGTAGGGCTGCGGCTGCATGGCACCGGGCATCATAGGGACGTATTGGACCGGTGGAGGGGATCTCGTATATTGGCCGGGGTGAGGCATGCTGTATCCATTCGACATGCCATTCTGGTAGTACATCTGCGGAGGCATCGGAGGGGCGTAGCCATAGGGGCCTGCGTTGTAGGGGCTCATGTAGTTGCCATACATGTGCGGCGGCTGGTGGGCGTGCTGGGGCTGGTGATGCTGGTGCGCATGCTGATGCTGGTGCTGGTGCTGTTGGTAATGCGCCGAATAGTGAGCCCTTCCGCCGCCGCGCCTCGGACCGCCGCCACCGGGGCCAGGTCCCGGTCCCATGTCTACTCCAGGGCCTCCTGCGCCTCCTCCCCCGGTGGGCTGCCCAGCCGGCAGATGACGGTTGTTCATCTTGCCGGCTTGGGGTGCGAGCTGTTGCAGTGGCTGCTCACTGTGCCGTGGGCGACCACTGCGAACAGGTCAACAAGCAACACGAGGCCGGGTTTGCCTTGGAGTGCTGTGTGTGCGCGATGGAGGGGGTGCGCTGGGTTGGATTGTGCCGCGAGGTTCTTTGTCGATAGGTCTGAGCTCGGCTGTTTCTGACGAGCTCAGCAGAATGGAAGTTGGGGGAAGCGGAAAGCGCAGGCAACTAAAAGGGTCGGGAGAGTTCCATTCAGAACAACAAGAGAGGAAAGGAGTGACGCGAAACAAGCCAAGAGGAGAGACGCGAAGAGTCAGGATGGCGCTTCACGATGAAGAAAAGCTGGGGCACCTGGGGAAGGGGAGGTGAGGTTGAGGTGAGGTTGGCCGGATTCTGGCGCAGGCCCATCTGCTTCGATGCCTTCTCTCAAAAAAGAAACAAAATTTGGGGCTGCCCGGGAAGTTTTCCCAGCAAGCTCGGCCGATTGTATGACTAAGATTCCGGCGCAATCATTGGCTGCGACCGGTGAGCCTAACAAGCCAATGCAGGGCGCTCGAGCCACCCTCTGGGCCATGCTCGCATGACGTGGGGCCGCCGTAGCTGTAATGGACAATAGCAAGGGGTCGGGTCGCTTCGAAAGATGCAAGGAAGCTTCACGAATTGCAATTGAGTACTTGTACTTGTAGTTCCCCATGGTGGAACCCTTTGTGAGCGGATTACCAATCCCCTTGTCGCGAGCTGCAAAGCCTCGCGGCGAGAGAGTCTGTCGAAGATCAAAAAGACAATGCCCACAGGAAGATGCAAGCGAGAGACAGCTCCTAAGGCAGCATTCTTTCGAGTTTCCAGCCTTCTGGGAACACAGTATTACGCGGCAAACATAGGATATCTACTTGTTATTGAGACTCAGATATATTGAGTGATGCATGATCGTCTTTGGTGGAAACCTGAGGAACTACTGACCGAGGCACGTCACAGGCAATCAAAGCAATAACAGAATGGCTTTGCGAATGATTTTGATTGTGATTGAGCTGCTGCCCAACTTGCAGTGACACCTATAGAAACCACACCTAAGGGCCCTGACACAATACAGAGCATCAAGGAGAACAAATGAGGTGACGTGTCATGCTACCCAATTGATTTCCCAGTTTGTGAATAGTGTGTCACTGCAACAATACTGGTTAGAGACCAATCTATTGTTTACGGGTCTAGAAGTGAGGTGAAGTCACTTGTGAAAACTCAATAGGCACTGAATTCACTTGTGCAAACTCAATAGGCACTGAATCATAGTGACTATGATGTTCAGAAGTTCAAGGAGCAAACTGATGAGATTAATTGTCATTCATTCTTAAAAGTAGCTGCCAACCTCTACTTGATCTCTTCTCTCTACTCTTCCACCATCTGACATTGACCTCTACTACCTCATCGTCCGTCGTTCATCATGCCGACCTACACAGATGATGATCACGATGAGATGGTCGAGATAGCTTCGGACACACATCCAGATTGCCAGAAGAAAGCACTGGCGATTATCGTCGACATTCTGGAGCGAAACCAGATTGCCTATGGCATCATGGGAGGAATGAACTTCTTCCTCCGTGGTTCGCACAGAATGACTCACGATGTCGATATCGCTGTCGATAACCCACCTCGCCTCGACGCACTTCTTTCTCTCTTCGAGAACGTGACCATGTGAGTTATTAGGAACTAAGGAACTCTTTGGGAACCACCAAAGCTATTGTTCCTAGAACTCTACTAATGCGAGACTTATTTGATTAGGATTTACCGGACCGCCACCAGAATGCAGTGGGCTGGCGGTATAGCCCGCATCTTCCTGAAAGTCGACAACAGCCTGGTTCAGTTCGACCTAAAGCCCAAGGGCGCTGAAGGCCACGTGATCCCAGGAAATATCAGTGAAGTCGTGGACCGGGAGCGCGTTCTTACAACTAGGGGCACTTTCGACTGCAACCTGTTGGGTATCGGGCCCCTGGTCCGATCCAAGATCAAAGCACACTGGGAGCGCAACTCCGATCGAGACTATCGCGATCTTCTGTTCGTCTTCGGGCGTAAGTCCTTCGCTGAACAGGTCCGCACTGTAGCGTCTTCGTTCAACGACGAATGGAAGGACGCCTTGTTGGAAAAGGTGCGAGAACAGAACCCAGATATGGAAGCGAAGGTGCGATGGGGCCTCCAAATGGAAGCCACACCTTCTACGCCCAGCAAGGGATTGGCCCCGTCAACTCCAGGAGGCAGCGGTCGCACGGGCTCTGGCGGATATGGTGGGGACTACAACACCGGCAGCGGACCTAGCCCTGGCAGCGCCCAGTCGAGCAGCTCCAAGACTGGTGCATACTCGGGCTACAGCGGGGCCAACCAAGGTTCGCCTTTGGGAACTCCGAACCCCAAAGCCTCGTCGCCAGGCTCAGGCATGGTCTAGTCGCCGAACAACATGGCCCCGGAGGATGGTGACAAGTCTAAGGATGGCTACTGGACATACAGTACCAGAAACAACAAGTGGTACCACAAACACGGCAACTGAAGCTATTCCTGGGCTTTGTAGCTCTCAACTAGGGAACCATTTGAGGAGGCGGTTAGGTAGAGAAAATGGAGAAGAAAAGGAATTCCTCCCCTACTCACAACCTTGTCATGAGGTTGTCTTTAGATAGCCAAATAGTCGTTCCATAAAGACAAGGCTACCTATCAGGGATCCATAACCCGATGCCGAGACTTGTTCTTGATTCTTCTCAAATAGCAAGGGCAGGTTCCCTGTAAATCAAGTTGAGTACGCCAGAGTCCAAGGATGCAGGATCCAGGATTGTGATAGAGGGGAAGGAATGGAAGTTCTAACTAGTAACTGAGAGCCCCGAGAACACTGTGCTCACATTGAAGCCACTCCCGAGAGCACTGTAGCATCTCCTGCCGTGATTGGAGGTAACAAAGTCATCTACGATGATGCTTCTTTGTGAGGCTTGCTGCCAGGCCAAAGTATTTGGTCTAAGTAAAATAGCTGCTTATTGATTGATCGGAACTCTACACCTGCCGTTTCCGCTCTCTTGGGTCCATGTCGTTCTTGATCCTTCTCCACCGAGTCTTGGAACGGCCCCGCATCAGCGGGTCGATCCGCTCGTCCTTGTTGGCTACAGACTTGCTCCATTGCTTCCTGTAGTTGATCGTTGTGCTGAATTGACCTGTGTCCCTGATAGCCAATTCGTCGTTCCAGAATTGTGTAGTCTGCAGTCCTGTCACCTGCAGCTCATCGAAATCCAGATGCTCCTCTCCCCAGGCATCATCTAGATCCATCCCGTCGATGAAGTCCTCAACATCGGCACCATTCTGCGAAACGAGCAGTGCCCTCGCGAACTGCCGCATTTGCGGATAAGGAATGCCATTCTTGCTAAGCTCGCAGTGCTCCGGACGAGGATCGATAAAACATTCTGAGGACGGCATGATAATGAAATAGAAGCCGACATTCTTCGGCTTGAAAGTGGCGCTGAGATGACGGAATGAGTTAAGGAGTGGTGGCGTATGCTCAGCTCGCTCGTACTTCTCGGATGTGTCGAAAAGATTCTCTGCTTCTTTGAGATGCTCTGTTGGAACACAGATGTCCCATTCCTAGTGGTCTCGGCCGTCAGCGACTTTTGGGCTTGAGAATCAAATACCGTGAAGAAGATAGTTCTTACATTTGTCGACCTTCCAGCTCCGTAGTAACGCAAGGCATTGATGCCGACGACACAGGCTGGGATATCAGCGTCTGCGAGGAACTCAAGGACCTCGCGCAAGTTCTCTAGACCATGTCCTCGAAGGCCCGTGAAGTCTCTGTCGCCCTGCGCGTAGCGAACCTCGCTAGTTGGGGCAAGCACTGACCGCAGGGCCTCACTCAATACCATGTCTCTAACTCCATTCGAAGCGCCCTGCTCAGGTGCAGATGTGAGATGGGTGTGGAAGTCCGACTGGGTGCTCACTCCTATGCCTGTTGTCAGGCTTTCGAAGCTGTGCGACACAGTATGGTTCATGATTGATTTGGCACAAAAAAATGGCCGTGAGTATGAAAGGGAAATAAAACAGGGCTGGTTCATTCTTGCGAAAGCGCACTACCAAGGCTACCTTTTATGTCAGTCAAAGGTTAAGGTATTTTGTTTGTGTCGCTTAGGTCGGTTAGCGACTTCCCCACCAAAGTTCAAGCTGGAGGTTCCTTTCACCCATGTGTCAGAACTACCCGAGCTCCCAAGCCTGCAAGGAATATTCTTCGCCTCTACACAACGGTTTTCAAGATGTAACCAGACCTTAAAAACCATGAATCGCGTCTTAAACTTAACCGTTAGCATTGCTTTGCCGCGGGTTCCTACGCTTGGCCATATCTACAGGTGTGATAGTAACATCCCTTTCAGGGGCGCTAGACTCAGCAACAGCAGCTCGGATTATATTCTGATGTGGACAATGAGCTAGCTGCCTTAGTTATTGTACAGGCTACTACTTTGAATTCACTCTCTTCTCCCATCGCGCCCAAGGGGTATCACGAACCAGTCAGCATTCACCTCCTCAACCCCTCCCTTCACTCATCGCGGAACAGCCACCGCCCATCCTGCCTCATAGCCTCCCGATACCTCTCCTGCACGAGCGCCTGCTCCATCTTGAGCCCCTCCTGCCGCTCCCTCGCCTCCTCCTGCGTGCTCGGGAAGTCCGCGTTCCAGAACCCGGGCGGCGACGGCCGCCGGTGGTGCCGGTGCCGGTGCTTGCCGTACTTGTTGGCCAGCTCGCGGGTGCGCGCCGCGAGCCACAGCTCCTCCTTCTCCTCCCGCGTCATGCCGCCGAGCAGGAACGCGTCCTCGCCGAGGTACGTCTCGAGCAGGACGGTCGCGTCGGGCAGGTTGAGGAACGGCGGCGAGGAGGGCTTGCCGGCGCGCTCCGCGCTCGCCATGGCGCGGAAGTACTTGCCGCAGCAGTTCATGTCTGTGCACCCGGGCAGGCCCTCGCGCTCCGACCTGTTGCGCACCACCTCGGCAAAGGCAAAGTTCTGGCCGTCGTTGAACTTGGGGTTGATCTTGAAGTCGTCCAGCTTCATGCTAGATAGGGGCTTTTGGCGGAGCGGGACGGCGGGGCCTTGATTCTCGTTGCTCCTGCGCAGGGGAGGGGCGGACCTGGTCACCGAGATGGGTTGTGCCAGGGGTGCTAGGGGCGTTCGATGCTTTGCACTAGATGCGGTCTGGGGCGTCTGAAGTTGATTCTTGTCCGGGAAAGGGAGTGCTCGTCTGGGAGGGAGATCGACATCTCTCTTAGAGCTCAGATCTCGTGAAAGGCGGTTCGACGGTCGCGAAATTATCGCGCTAGGTCGGCTGCTCGTCGAGTTCAGCAGGGCATTGAGCCGGCCAACATTTGTTGAGGGGGGTAAGGGGTCCGACGGCTTCTCCTGGGCATCGGAGCTATACCCATCCTCTCCGAGTATCGTGACAGCATTCTGGAAATTCTTGCTCCGTTTCTCCTTGCTTTTGCCAGCAGCAGTCTTAATGATACGGCGGTTCGGCGAGATCGGCTGGAGAACTGAAGAGGGTGTGAGTAGTTGCCGTGCAAGCAGTGCCCGTGAAGGGGTCGGAAGCTGTCCTGACGATGCCGAAGAGAGAGAAGCTCGCTTGTTAGCAAAGTGTTCCTCCAAGAGGCGACGCTTTCTTGGCGTTGGGAGTGTGTTCTGGCCCTCGTCAAGATCCATGCTTTCCTGGGGGTCAAAGTAAGCCGTTTCCTCGGTGACAGACGGATCTGAGTCTCCATCCTCTGTCTTCACTCGGCGTCTCGGAACAGCCGAAGGGTACCCGGGACTGTTATTCCTTCGCTTTCGGACGGCTCGCTCCGAGACAATGATAGGAGGGTCTGAAGAGGGCTCTTCTTTGACACGGACCTTAGCCGTGTTCGCCTGGCTAGGCAGCCGGGGCAGATCCTCCAGGTCATCCTCTGGGTTATGGGTGTCCGTCTGGGATGTGGCAGGAAGGGACTCGGTTCTATCAGATACCTGCGAGCCAGGAGGTTGCGAAAGGGCTCGCCGCGGTGTTATATGCACATCTACGGTCCTCTCGGGTCCAAATGAGGAGCTAAGGTTTGAGATGAAGCCTACATGCGACAGTGGCCGGGCGGTGTTATCGGGCAGCTGCAGGCGGTCCTCTTCGTTCGCGACTCGGCCCTGACCCTCGAAGCTTTGGGCGCGCGGAGGTTCTGCATCGCTTGGACCGAGTTTCTCGTTGTCTGCCTGCGATCTCTTGAGTTTCGCCTCGAGTGATTCGGCGTAGGCAATCCACTCGTGAACCTCCTCTTTCCGCTTCTTTAGAAGGGTGATGGACTGGTCATAAAGAGCCTTGAGCTGGCTGTATTTGCCGCGCAGCTTGCCCAGGTCGGCTTCAAGAGCTGTGAGATCTGGTGAAGGTACCTGCACAGTGTTCTGTGCGTCTTTCAATTCGACCGCTGCCACTGTGGCTGGAAGCTCTGGCTGTTTGAGCTTCTCAATCGTCTCTTTGAGCATAGAGTTCTCCGCCTCCAGCGACGATATGCGAGATGCTCGGGCTTGAGATTTCTCGAGCTCCAGGACCAACTCGGACTCTCGAGATTGTCTATTATGGAATTCTTTAAAGGCAAATGTAGTTAGAGTTATGCTCTTGTGTATCCTGGAATACGCGAAGGGTACCTTTGGTTATGTCGGCGTCGATCTGGTCCCAGGCGGCGCCCAGCGCCTCGAATAAAACGACCCGGCCATTGCTAGACCAACCACTCATATCTGTCCAACAGTATCTGGAATGGTCTGTACTTCCGGATAACACATGCCGTTGTGACGTCGAGCGTACAGAAATGTGCTCAGCCTGATGATGCTAGGTCGCGACGTGGTGCATAACGATACGCGTCTCGATTGGGGGTCCGCCGACCTCACAGACCGAAAACGCGCCAAAATGCGCCATCTCACGTGGGGCAGCAGTGCAGTATGTATCTTGCTCTTCTTGGGTCCACTGAAGGAAGCTTCGATCTAGGCCAACATGGATGGGCCCCAGCGCATGGGCCACCCCCGGACCCCCTGTGGTTGCCAACTGTGACCCGCCCAAGGAATACCTCCGGTGGGCAAGCTGGGTTAGAATCCTCTCATGCAACTCCTCTCGTGTCTTGACAGATATTCAGCATCCTTACCGAGTCTGGCTGCAGCGCAGCGTCTGAAACTCGTGTGTGTGGTGGACCACTCGGAATGCTTGCCTTTCCTGACGGCCCAGCGTCGCATTCGGGGTATTAATTCGTCTCTTCTCGCTCTGCGACTCGCCTGTGCTGCGTGCATTCTCCTGGTTCAAACCGCAGTCTCAGACTCTCTCTGCAGTTGATCGCCCGCCTTGGGCAGTCCGGCCGTGCGAGGAGGCGGGACAGCGTTGCAACCTGAGCCGGGGGCCTGTCGTCATTTTGCCAGAACCGACGTGTCGTACAGTCTAGCGCGTGATGCACACCCTACAGCGATAGGACGGCCAAGGTCGTATCGTAGATGAGCTCATACACAGCGATCGTGCACCAGAGTTTGGGGCGACGAAGGGGGGGGGGGGTGTGTGCTCTTACTGTGATGCCAACCCAGTCCAACCCTGCCGCACCAAGGTTCGGACGACTGTTCATCACATGTGTCCTGCATCTCACGCTCCCTGCCTATTACGGGATACCGACCTTCCGATGCGACCTTTATGTGGCGATATAATCAAGCCAGGATTGATTGACTATTGGCAGCGTAGGTAGATGGAAGAGACGATTTGGCAGACGTTGATTTTTACCCCGACCACACCGTTCTTATTATGGACCGCTTGTCGCAAAACGGCAGCTCTGGCAATCAAACCGAGGCCCAGCGGTGCGAGCTTCGCGGTTCGGGGCCGTTGGGCCTAAGGCGAGATTGATCCGCGGTGTGACCACAGGAGCCTGTGTCGACCCGCGTGGGAGGGAGAGAGAGCAATCATCAGACGAACAGGCGTTGTTCCGGCGTGCGGATCGTGGGAGAAACGTACGGGCAACTCCGTGTCGGTCGTGGTACGGTCTGTTGGATCGCCAGCATGGGATGTGTCAACGGCATGAATGCTTGGCACAACTTCATTCTGCCAAGCTTCTTCGATTGTTCTCTTGGATCCCGTCTGAAATGTGATCTGCAGCCCCCGATATCACAGAGCTGGCGAGGACCAGCCTGATCAGGAAGGCACACCTATTCTAAGCGCATGGAGATCACCTCCTGTCGCCAACCTTTGCCTGTCACAAACCGCTTTTCCGACACACAAGTGATCTGGATGTGATGCTGCCCTGGCAGTGGATCGGTGCCAAATATAAACTGCAGGTAACCGGAGCTAGCCCCCTGAATTGATGCCTCGTTGTCGTGCTGACCAGACTGTTGTCCGCGAGCAAGCGAGAAAACATGGATGACCGGGCGTCTGCATATCCGCACCGCCTTTTGGACGGGGACCAGTAAGGCGGCGCAGACGCTGGGTGGTGCAGGTATTCGCAGATGCAGGTGAGAGTTTGCTACGTATGCATAGCCTCCCAGCCCTGCCTAGCTCGCACACACGAGACAAGCTGGAGTCCCAGATGGGATATGCAGGCTGGACACGGGCTGGCTCCCACTCCCAGTTGCCATGTGTCGTGGTTGGGTCCTGAACAGCTCACCATGTGGACTTCATGATGCAAGGAACATGCGGCAGGACCAGATCATCAGCTCTGAAGCTGAACCCCGGCCCTCCGTGTGCTCCGTCGAGATTCAGGCAAAGGAATGACGGGGGAGCAGCATGGGAGCCCTGGACCGAGGCGCCAGGGGTCGCGACGGACGAGCGAAGCTGGCACCGTTGCTGGCTGGGCACGCACGCACACGATGCTGGTGCTCTGGGCGGGCGACAGGGATGCCCCGCCGAGCTCCAACAAAAAGAGTGAACGGCCTTGAACCCTGTCCGACTGCCGCGCGACCACCAACGTCCCCTCGGTCCCATCGCAAACGCCCCAATTGCGGCCTCTGACTGGCTGCCAGAATGCGGTGGAGCTGGGTCCAGATTCCCGACTAATGGAAGAAAAGTAACGAGAGGGAAAAAAATTCCATCCACAATTCGCATTTGCCTGAAATTTTTCTGTGAGCGTGGGAGCGTGCCTGCATGCATGGGGTCTGGTGTGTGGTGATAGTGTGAATGTGTGTGTGTTGTCCCGTCCACCACCATCCACCGCCCATCTGACTACTCTCTCTTTCCCTCACTTTTTTTTTTCCTTCTACGGGCGGTATCAATTTATTGACTCTACTCGAGGGCACTGAAGAAGGCAATGCAAATACATTTACAGGACGGTGATTGCATGAGAGGGTGGTGATGTGATATGTGACCGTAGATACCAGACTCGGCCGGGACCTTGAAGTAGATCGAAGGTCCAGAGCCACAAACTCTGCTTGCTTGCTCCAGACGAGGAGGTATCCCGTTGTTCGGAGCATTGAGCTCTGCATGCCGGCTGGAACAGTACAGCAAGACCAGACTGGGTTGGTCAGTGAGTGACCCTGGCCGGCCTTGTCACCCCTTGTCTTTGAATTCTTCCTGGGCCCCTACAAGTACATACGACATCAACCTCAGATCGCTTTTCTCCATCCGGCGGCGTTGTAGATCTTGCCTTAGCCCCAAGTACTACATAACCCCTCGACGCTGTCCCATATCTACCTCTATTTTCTTCTTAGCTCCCCTTCCTCCCTTTTCTTCCCTGAACAACACGATCATTGAATTTCGCAAAGGTCAGTTTGTCAGTCCATCAAGCAGTCGGTCGATCTCGAGCCCGCGATTCCTCGCCATCCAAGCCCACTCTCAAGCCCTGCAGCACATTGGTCTGCCCTATCTCTCGAAGAGGTCAAGCGGCCCGCTCTACCTGCTTTCTTTTTGCCTCTGCCCTCACCCGTCTCCATCGTCACTCTCTGGCGTTGGTCTTGTGTATGGTCACCCTAGAGCTACAAGCCCAAATCGCAGAAAAAAAAATACGATCAAAAAATAAGACCAGCCAATCCTCGCCTCTCAGCGCACACGCCACAAAGACTCTATCTATCTCTTCACCTCAAAACCCCACCTGCCCACCATTTTCAACCACCATCCACGCTTCCCAATCCAACCCCACCTTCCCAATACTCTTGAATACTTTTGCGCTTTTCCAAATTCCCACCTCATCGCTTCAGATCTTTCTCCAGCCAGACGTTCCCAAGGATCCGGTTCATCGAATCGCCTTTCATTCAGACGACACTGACATCTTAGTGGCCTATCTAGACGCCCGTCAACTACTTTCTCAGATCCCCCAACTTTCAAGTCAACATCACACCGACAAACATGGATTTCGGCGCCCCCCAACCCCGTGGCTGCTTCACCTGTGAGTTACTTCTTGTCTTGATATTGCATCGCATCCATACAGATTTGGGATTTTGCCATTCCTCCAGCTCGCCGGCGCGATTGGCGCCGTCGCTGGAGCTCTCTGGCCTCTCTCCGCGAGCAGTCTGCACTTGCCACCAGATGGCCTAGCAAAACAAGCTTTTGCTCTCAGTCTGATCTCACCACTCGCTGAGAATTTCTCATGATGCGATGCGCAACCGGTCTTCATACATGGCCTGGCAGCTGCCTCACGGCACCCGCTCTTGCATCTGAGATGTGTACTCGTTATTTGCTTCTTCTCACATATTTCATCACCTCGACTTGATTGCTAATGATCTTTCACACAGGCGGCCAAACCACCCACCAGGTATGATGCTTCACCTGGCCAGACGGCGCCAACAATGTCGCGCAGCGCCTTTCCATAATATGACTAACCATCATGCTCCAGGCCCGTGATTGCCCCCAGCGCGGTCCGGCTAAGTGGTGAGTTCTATCGCCTGGATGTGTTTGTGTTGTTTGAACTGTTTACTGACCCCCTCCCAGCTACAACTGCGGCAGTAAGTCGCGTCCTTGGTCCAATAGAGACATGCAATCACCTTGAGACTGACCGGTGACTTTTCTGTTGCTTAGACGAGGGTCACATGAGCCGCGACTGCCCCGAGGGCCAGAAGGAGGCCAAGACCTGCTACCGATGCGGCCAGGCCGGTCACATCTCGCGCGAGTGCCCCCAGGGCGGCCCCTCCGGCGGTGGTGGCCAGTCCGGTGCTGAGTGCTACAAGTGCGGTGAGCACGGCCACATCGCTCGCAACTGCAGCAAGGGCGGCTACGGAGGCGGCGGCGGCAGCTACGGTGGTGGCTACGGCGGTGGCTACGGCTCCCAGCAGAAGACCTGCTACTCGTGCGGCGGTATCGGTCACATGTCCCGTATGTGCCCCTTGCCACTTTCAATATTCAAGGCGCTCTCCAGACTGACAGAATCCAGGTGACTGCGTCAACGGCAGCAAGTGCTACAACTGCGGCGAGACCGGCCACTTCTCGCGCGACTGCCCCAAGGGCTCCTCGACCGGCGAGAAGATTTGCTACAAGTGCCAGCAGCCCGGTCACATCCAGTCCGAGTGCCCCAACAACTAGGGTGCTCGTCGAGACGTGACGGACCTGTGCGCCCGCCTCTGAACGTGGAAGAGGACGGGGACCGTTTGTGCGTGGTTGTGGTGTGTCTTGGGGACGAGGACGAAGTCAGCAAGATATACTCCTTTTCTTGTGGGTAGTCTCTTCGCGCAAGCATTGGATCCCACTCCGGTCTGGTTCGGTCATCGGCATCTGGATACCACGCATCATCTTCTGTTTTCATTTGTATTGTTTTGTTGTTTTTCTGCTGCCATTTCTCACGACCTTTGAAACGATGGGGGCAATTGATCGCATCATGACACCTCGGGGAGACAAGGAAATAAGGAATCATCATTCGGCACCGGGGACGAGAAAAAAAAAGTTATTTATTGCAAGGATTTCTTACGGAGTCAAACGGTTGGGCCTGTGCATATTGGTCTCATACCAGCTTGCTAGTTTAACGGCGTGGTAGTAAGAAAACGATCACCTCTGGGCGTTTTTGCTGTTGAGGGAGGCTGAATGATGCATATACCGTCCTGGGACTGGTTGTCCCACGGCTTCTTCAAGCGCGTTATCCTCAAGTGTGTCGTCTTTGTCAACCTTGTGACGCTTGAAGTGTTGTCTTGACTGTTTGGCCAGAGCTGGATATCACAGATGAGCAGTGAAGGGCTGACACCCGAAGTAGTGGCTCAGGAAGTCTTGTATCATGCTAATACGCTATACCGTACTCCAGTCCTAATTGGAACAAAATATCCTCTCAAATCAACTCTACAGCATGGCCTTGGGCATGTTCTTCATCGCCTGCCTGACACCCAAGTCACCCAAGACCTCTTCGGCACCGCCCTGGGGAAAAGAAATGCACGTTAGCGAGGCCACTCGCTCCAAGGAGAGATAAGAACGAAAACAAGAAGAAGAAGGAACTCACCAAGATGGCGTCGAACTTGTAGGTGCGGTTAAAGTTCTCGATGACGCGGCCCATGCCCGTCTGCGTGAGGCCGCGGCCGCCCCAGATCTGGACGGCCTCGTCGGCGATCTCGTGGGCGGCGCGCGTGCAGCTCATCTTGAGCAGGGAGATGGGCCCCGCGAGGTGGCGGGCCTGCTGGGCGTAGGGCATCTCGCACATCTGGTAGGTGACGGACTCGAGCCAGGCCTGGTTGGCCTCGACGAGGGCGATCATCTTGGCGAGCTTCTGGCGGATGACGGGCTGGTCGATGAGCCGCTTGCCGAAGACGAGGCGCTGGTGCGACCACTTGAGGCACTCCTCCACGACGACGCGGGAGAGGCGGACCGAGGCCGCTGGGGGTTAGAGTGTCAGCTTCTTGGCAAGTCGACTGTGGGTAGTTGAGGCGGGGAAGAGATGGGGAGGGAAAAGTGAAAAAATAGAAGAACATACCGGCCATGACCCAGCGCTCGTGGTTGAAGTTGCTAAACACGACGTAGGCACCCTTGTTCTCCTCGCCGATGAGGTTCTCGACGGGGACCTTGACGTTGTCGAACGTGACGTAGGCCGTGCCCGCCGCGGCCGAGTAGCTCGTCTTGATGGGCTTGGTCTCGACGCCCTCGCCGCGCTCGATGAGCAGCATGCTCAGCCCTTTGCCCGTCCGCACGGCCGTGGAGAAGTAGTCGCTGAAGGTGCCGTTGGTGATCCACTTCTTGGTGCCGTTGACGACGTAGAACCTGCCGTCGGGCGTCTTCTCGGCCGTCGTGCGCAGGCCCGCGACGTCGGACCCGGCAAAGGCCTCGGTGATGGCGAGGCAGATCTTCTTCCTGCCGGCGAAGACCTCCTCCGTGACGCGCGCGCGCAGGGCGTCGTTGCGGCAGAAGTTGAGCACGGGGGACAGGCCGATGGTCATGCCCGCCAGGTTGCCGTCCTGGAAGCCGCGGGCCGTGGCGCGCACAAACTCCTGCGTGTTGACGAGGTCGTGGAAGTAGTCGACCTCCCGGGGCTTCACGGCGCCGCCCGCCAGCTCCGCCGCGCCGTCGAGGTGCCGCCCGGGCCCCATGCGCAGGTGCAGCAGGCCCGCGGCGCCCATGCGCTCGATGAGCCCCTGGCTGATGTGCTGCCCCGTGCGCTCGGCCTCGAGCGCCTCGGGCGTGACGTGCGTGTCGACGAACTCGCGCACGAAGCGGCGCAGCCGCCGGTGGCTCTCGCCGTAGTAGGGGCTCTTGAAGGGCGGCGTGAGCCAGAGGGGCTCGGCGTAGGGGACGGGCGAGAGGTCGCCCGGCTGCGGGGTGATGATGCTCGGCTTCTCTCCCGCGATCGTGCCGATCGCCATGTCTGCGTAGCGGGCGAGGACCTCGTGGCGGTGGAGGTTGTAGAAGGCCGTCGTGGCGTCGGTGCCGGCGACCTGCCGCAAGACGGCCTCGCCGCCCGGGTGGGCGTCGACAAAGTCGGTCGCGTCGTAGACGAAGGTGTCGATGATGAACCACAGGGCGTCGTCGGACTTGCCGCGCTGGGCGACCTCGTCGCGGGTGAAGGTCTTGGAGGGGGGTGCGTCGACAGCCATGGCTGCGGGTTGGGCCAAAGAGAGAGAGAGAGAGTGAGGCTTGTGTCTGCACAGGGCGGCGTGGTGGATAGACGAGAAGGAAGATCGATCTGACCAAGCACCTAGGTATTCCTCAATCGAAGGGGTGTATCCTTTCCCAAGCCAGAACGTTCGTCGAGTCTACAATGTAAGCCGGGAGGGGAGAGAAACGGAGGTTTCCCAAAAGCACTTCATATCAAGCAGGTGAGCCTCGGCCGTCGCCAGCCGGACCAGCCACGACCACATCATCTCTCATCGACTGCTCTCGGTGTGTGGAGTGTGCCTCGGCACTGCCTAGCCAGGACAAAGTTCAAGTCTGTTTCACGGAGGAATGGGGTGGGACGAGTTAGCGAGTGGTCTGCATCTGCATCTGGTGTGCTGCACCGAAAAAAGCTGGGGTACGACGGGACGGGGGGCTTGCTTGGGCCAATTACAGGGCCTCGAGATCCAGAAATGTCAGCTCCAGGGCTGGATAAGCGTTGCCTGGCCCAGTAAGACACTGGCAATTTGCTGTTTACTCATCAGCTGGTGCCCCATTGCGAGATCCAGGCCCGGCGCCAAGTCTTGTCTTGGGGTGTACATCACATCGTGTTTCTCGATTGAGAGCATTCTTTGTTTTGAAACACTGAACCTGAACCTGAAGAAGGATATGTACGAAGCTTCCTGTCAGAATATTACGATCAAATCGAGTGGATTGACATGATCTTGGCAAGAGCACGGGAATGGGGCGTATCGCCAGAGGATCTGCTAGATTTTGGAAGCGAATAGCTTTCCATCTCTGGTCTCCTTTTGTTGTATTTCCACCACCCTTAAGTCTAACCATCCTACACGCAATTCTTTTTTTACGACAAGCAAAGATGTCTATCTCTAATAGCATCCCCCCGCAGAACAAAGCGGCGCCTGATACCCCCACCTGTCGCTGGAACGATCATCCCGGGTTTCTTTTACTCCAGTTCCTGGCCCTCGAATTTGGGCAGCCTCTCGTATACCTGGCTCCAGGTCTCCGTGCCGTGGACCAGCTTCACGAGAGCCTCCAGGATCTCGTCCTGGGTGGCCCGGACCTGGTCCGTTGAGTCACGGTCACGAAGCGTGATAGTGTTGTCCTTGAGAGACTGGAAGTCGACCGTGATGCCGAACGGCGTGCCGAGCTCGTCGTTTCGTGAGTACCTATGTGTGCTAATTAGTATTGTTTCCTAAGAAGGAGAGCTGCGTGTTTCATCTTACCTCTTGCCGATGGAAGCACCCGAGTCGTCCACCCTCGAGGACAGATGGTGTTTCCTCAGCTTCTTGGTAAGCTCGGCGATCATAGGCTTGAAGTCGGGGTTCGAAGAAAGCGGGACCAGGAGGACCTTGGTGGGAGCAATCGCTGGCGGGAACGAAAGCACAGCTCGCTCCTCGGCGCCCTCTCTCGTCCAGAATACCTGCTCGCACAGACTGTAGAAGATACGGCCGATACCAAAGGACGGCTCGATGACGTTGGGAATGAACTCCCTGGTGTGCTCGGTGCGGGTCTGCTGCTCGATCTTGATGAGATCAGAGGTCAACTCGACCTTGCCATCACCGACGCCGGGGACGGCGATGGTGATCTTGCCGTTGTCCTTGAGCTCCAGAGACAGCTTCTCCTTGACCTCCTCGGTCAATTGGTCGATGGCGGACTGGACTGCCTTGCCGTCCTGCTTGAACCGGGGACCGAACTTGGCCTTGGTCGTCTCCGCAACATACTCGGTGATGGTCAGGGGCTCCTGCCTCGTCTCACGTACAACGAGGGGCACACCGGTGGCCTTGGTGTGGCAGGACAGGTCGTAGGCACTCCTGTCAGCACAGCCGACGCACTCGATCCAGCCGTAACTGGTCAGGAGCTCACAGTCGACGCAGTATCTGGCGTAGTGTGCTGGAACATGGTCAGCAAGAGGTAGATGACTGATTCGAGGTAGCAATTACTCACCCATCTCGTTCTCCATGTGCTCACGGAAACGAATCTTGGCGGGGTCAAGGCCGAGCCTCAGCATGAAGAGCTGAATGCGGGCCATGAAGTAGCCGACAGTCTCGTTGTCGATAACGCCAGTCCGGACACCCTCGCCAATGGTGATGGCCGTGGTCTCGGTCTTACCCTCGAGCTGGACTTTACCGTCGAGGAGGTTGATCTTGACATCTTCGACTTCGTGGAACCGCGTGTGCTTCTTGCCGCTCTCGGGGTCGACGTAGTCTAACATCTCAACGTCAGTGTATGTTGTAACCCGGGAAAGAGTATCACTACTTACGCTCGATCTCGGCCATGAGGAACTCCCTCACACGCAGAAGGCCAGACCTGGGTGCAATCTCGTTGCGGCCCGACTTGCCAATCTGGGCTGAAGCGAAAGGCATCTTCTGCTGGTTGAACTCGAGCAGCTTGGAGAAGTTGAGGAATTGACCCTGGGCGGTCTCGGGGCGCAGGTAGGCGGGCAGTCTGGCGCCGCCGATGGTGACGTCGAACATGAGGTTCTGCTCGTAGACGGGCATCTTGAACTTGTTGCCAGTGTTGGGATTTCGGATGTCATACTTCTCGAAGAGCTCTGAGAGGCCGGGGCCGTCGTAGTTGTCGATCTTGGCGAGGATCTCGGTGTACTCCTGGACGACAGCATCGTCCAGCTTGATCGCCTCGACCTTGCCCTTGACCTTCTTCTTCTTCTTCTTGTCGGCGGCGCCATCCTCGGCAGCAGCCTCGACCTTTTGGCCGCGAGCCTCCTTGTCACCCTTCAGCCTGGCTTCCAGGACCTCCTCGACGACGTGGTCCGCTCGCAGAATCTCGCCGTTCTCGGAGTCCTTGGCAACGAAGTCGCAGAAGCGCTCGACGTGGCCACTGGTCTTGAGGACGGGGAAGGGCGTGATCATGGGGCTGTCGACCTCGAGCATGTCCTCCTCCAAGACGAAGTGCTTGCGCCACGTCTCGACGATGTTGGCCTGCAGGGCGCAGCCCGGGGGGCCAAAGTCGTAGAAGCCGGCGACACCGCCGTAGATATCCGCCGTGGGGGTATAGAAGAAGCGCCGCCGCATGAGCGTGTCGACCGCCGTGCGGTTGAGGGGCTGGCCCTTGAGGGTGGTCATCTCGGGCGCCATGGTGGGCTTCGTTTGTCGGTCCTGCGTCGGCTTGACCTTTAGTCGGGACGGGGAGCTGGAGAAAGCCCTCGAGCGCGGGAGTGGGGTGTGAAGACGGGTGCAATTGCGCAGTGCTGGAGCGCAAGAAGCCCGGGAACGGAGTAGCAGGGAGAGGGGAAGACCAGAACGAGGCAGAGAGGGCGGTGGCATGGGCGTTATCGCAAAATGAAGATCAAGTGGGAGGAGGAGGGGCTAAATCTCGAAGCAGATGCATATATGCAGTAATGTACACTGTGAGTGACGGTTGACTCACCTTTTTTTGTGTGTCAGAGGCGGTCCCGCCCAATCATTGTGCGTCTGGTCGAGTTGAGGGGCGCGCTTCAGCGACTGCTAGGTCTCTAGGAGCGACATTTATCCGCTACAAGCCTACAACACTGTGCAGAATTGAAAGCAACTCCGAATTGAGCCCTGCCAGATCGGGGCACGGATCTTGTGGTCCCCCACACCATTTCGATGCAAGATCCATTTTGAGGCTCGATTAAGATTTGATCCCTCGCCACGAGCTAGGTATCTCAATTTAGACATGTCGACGCTGTCATGAGTCTACACTTCAACCCCAGAGCCAGTAACCTGCAAGGATATGTTTGCATCTGAAGTTGTGTGACTGAAGTGGCCACCCCATTCAGATATACATATACCTGGCACAGAAGCCCCTTCTTAACCAGGTGGCGCAGATTGACGCGCGCCTGTTGTGCACTGCATGAATGGGGCTCACCGACTCCATGTTAGTGGCGGGGTGATGGGATGGACTTCCAATCTTTGATATCTCAAAAGCTGGAGTTGAAGAACCCTTACAACCACTGCAACACCTGGCTTGCACCGCACGCAACCAACTACCCTACCTCATTCAAGACCTGCACAGCTCCACCCTGAATGAATAGGGAAACAGAAACTGGCATCGACCAAGGCGCTTCTTTTTGCTTGACTTGGGTCAGGCCATGATCCACACAAGCTGTTCCCTCAAGCCTGGTTCCAACATCATCCAAAGGCTCGCCCGCTCTGTGATGTAAGTGTCAATATTGTTGCGCCCGACCACCGTTTGGGTCTCTTGTTTGCATTTATGCATGCCTGGAAATGCAGTTTCGGCACTCAGGTCATCACCCTTCATTTGATGTCTGCTCTAGACATCCGCTAAATGGGGTCGTGTGGCCACGCATGCCGGCTAGTAGCAATGCGATTGGCCGGCCCAAACTCATCACTCCTTGTGATGAAGGATACACCCGCAACTGCCTTAGCCGCCAGCGGAGTCGTCGATCTATATAAGATGCGTGCGAGCTAGTTGCGGTTGTTTTGCGTTAGTTATCCATTTCGCCCCCTCGCTTTCACCCGACTCCCCCGCTGGGCTGCGTCTTATCAGCCTGCAGGTCTCCAGTTGTGAGCAGCTCTTATCAGGGCCTCATACCTATGTACAGAGGGTCTCGGCTGTCCTCAAGAGTGTTCTCTTCCATCTCTTCTTAACCAAAACACTGCCTTGAGTCAAGTGGCTCTGAGAACTGTTGTGCTGGTTTTGTGTACTGCTGTTGCGACCCTTTGCTATTGTATCCTTGACTTGTTCCAGATCTAAACTCGCTACCTACCGTGATGGATGCTTACTCGGTTTCCTGTGGAAGTTCCTCTCAGCGTAGCACATCCCGCATATACCAGGATCTGAAGTCCAGTCTTCACTACGTCGCCGAGTGTCGAAAAGAACATAATTCTGCACGCTTCAGTACCTTGTCAAAAGCACTCAAGGTATGAGACAGAATTCTTGCCACACCAGGCTTGCACACTCTTCGCATCTATCGAGGTTGCTGTCGAGGTTGCTTCCTTGGAGTCCTCTCTTACGGCGAGACGTTTGCTGAGGCCGCAGGAATGCAGGGAATGAACTCGCCACAAGCGAACAAAGGACACATCGGAATTGTCGGCGCTGGTCTTGCTGGTCTTCGGTGCGCCGATGTACTTCTTCAAGATGGCTTCCAGGTAACAATCATCGAAGGACGAGAACGGCTTGGCGGCCGCTTGCACCAAGAGAGACTGCCCAACGGCCACCTGGTAGATGTAGGACCTAACTGGATCCACGGGACCGACGACAATTGCATGCTGGACCTTGCAAAGCAAACCAATACGGAAACCAGCAGCTGGGACAGCCGTTCTTATGCCTTTGATGAAGATGGAAACCTCTTTCCGGTGAAGGAAGGCGAGAAGTATTCCACCATAATGTGGGATATCATCCAGGAGGCCTTTGAGTATTCGAACAAACACTCCAATGAGACGGATCCCAGCCAGAGTCTGTACGACTTCTTTGAGAGGAGAATACTCGAGAAGATACCCGACACTGGAGTCGACTTTCAAAAGCAGCGCCGTATCATTCTTCAGATGGCCGAACTCTGGGGAGCGTTCGTGGGAAGTCCCATCCAGCGCCAGAGTCTCAAGTTCTTCTGGCTTGAGGAGTGTATCGAGGGTGGTAAGATCACCTTGTGAAGATTTCAGATCTGCCGATTTACTGAAGGCATTGTCCAGAAAACCTATTTTGCGCTGGTACCTATCACAAGATACTTGAGGCTATCGCCAAGCCAGCAGTCGATGGCGCTTCCATTCTATACAAGACCACAATGGCAAACATCGCCACGAAGAGTTCTTCAAGCGAGAAAGTCCAGGTGATGACTTCAACTGGACAGAAACTCGAATTTGACGACGTGGTAGTGACGACACCGCTTGGGTGGTTACAGAAGAACATCTCTGCGTTTGAACCTCCCTTACCCTCGAGACTCTGCAGTGCCATTCAGAGCATCGGATACGGATGCCTCGAGAAAGTCAGTCAAACGCTCTTATGCGGATCTTGCCATGTCACTAAGATCTGTGTGCAGGTGTACATCAGTTTCCCCGAAGCGTTCTGGCTCATCCCCGACGACCAAGGCCGCACGATCCAGGGGTTCTGCCAGTGGCTCTCACCTGCCTTTGCTCTCGATTCGAATCCGCACCGATGGACACAAGAACTCGTCGAGCTCGGCTCGCTGCCCGCTGGGGTTGCCCACCCGACCCTTCTCTTTTATATCTACGGCGACGAGTCCAAGTATCTGACTGAAGCCGTCTCATTGCTGGGCGGCGGCGACTCCAAGCCCAAGAAGGAGGCCTTCCTCTACGAGTTCTTCCGGCCGTACTACTCCCGACTCCCGCACTACGACCCGGACTCACCCCACTGCCGACCCACGGCGTGCTTCGCGACGGACTGGCTGCATGACGACCTGGCGGGCAACGGTAGCTACAGCAACTTCCAGGTCGGGCTGCGCGAGGGCGACGAGGACATCCGCCTGATGCGGGAGGGCCTGCCGGAGCGCGGCCTGTGGCTGGCCGGGGAGCACACTGCGCCCTTTGTGGCTCTCGGCACGGCTACGGGAGCGTACTGGAGTGGCGAGGCGGTTGGGAGGAGGATCGCGGAGGCGTATGGCTCTGTCAAGGGCGAATGATGCATAACGTTTTCTATGGACCGGCAACTTCAAAGCCAGGTGTAAATGATATTGAGCAGGCTCGTGGCCTTGAATCTCTGATTTCTCCGTCCTAGGTTTTTGAGCACATGCACATGCTGGGAGAGAGGCTCAAGCAATACTGCGGGCTAACTAACAGAAATCATGTGTGAATCAAATCGAGAAAGTACCTAGGTATGAAGAAAAAGAATGTTTGGTTGGGTGATGCTGTCCAGAGTGCAAGCACGTACCTACAAGTAGGCATTGTTAGAGTCGCTAGGGCCAACCAGGTCCCGGCCAACTGGTGGGGCCTTGATCTTGGCTCAGAGTGGTCAGGTCTCGGCTTCTGGCTCTTTTGGCATGCGTGCCCCTGTTGATGATAAGCGATAAGGTCAAATGATAGGCTGACCCTGACGTCTTTGTTGTCACGGGGCGTCGTGGGTCGCCCGCCCGCCATAGCTCGTGCTAGTTAGCTCCAATGCGTGCTGGGGACAACCACCCTGCAGCGGCATGATCCACCCTCCGCCCTCCACCAGCCGCTGTTGACGCATGCTTGTCCTGGCCTCCGGACCCCAGTACCACTTCCAGGCCGAACTCTCTCGCTCTCTCTACTCTCTGCCTAGCTCTGCGCATTTGTACACTTTCTATCTTTGCCTATAATCCCATCTGTCGGCCTGAGGGAAGCTCTGTATTCTTCTCACTGACGCCGATAATGCAGCTCCTGGACTCACGGACGACCGTGGCTTGACAATCAGTGCATCTCCAAACCATAGCTTCCTTATCGTGGCTCGACCTACCGATTGTGAACGATGAACATCCCCGCATCCTATCGCGACCCCGTGCATGTTCAGACGACAGAACGGTTCCGGTAGCGGACTCTCTGCTGTCGAGAGGAAGGCCGTTTTCATTTCATCTAGACTTTTTTCTTCTTTCTTTCCACAATAGACATTACTACTTCTGCCCTATTCTAGCCTGCCGGGCTTGGGGTGGTTGCATCCCACAGGCAACATGGCGGCCCTGTTCGAGACGTTCCGGGCGTCGTCCATGCCCAAGCGGCTTCTTCGATATGCCCTGTCCCGACTAGATCTCCTAGATGCGGAGACTTTGGACATGGAGAATCTCGATTTGGCACTGGGAAGGACGAATACACTCGAGTTCAGAGATGCCGGCATCAAGCTCAAGGTACGGGGATGATCTCCACGCCACGCTCCTCCTTACGCACCCCTAGTGAAACTGATTTCCGTCTGTTCCTACAGAAACTCAGAAAACTGCTCAACCTCCCGCCGTCCTTTCATTTGCTCAAGGCCAAGGTCGCCGTGCTCAGAATCACGATACCCATCGATTTCTACACCAGCCCGATTACGGTCGAAGTTGACGGGGTCGATGTCCGCCTCAAATTCACACCGAAGGACGAGACGGAACAGCAGAGGAAGAGGAGGGAAAAGAGCTCAGAGGCTTCAGAGATTGTCCCCAACCCCGTCGACCTTGCCGAGTCGTTCCTCGAACAACAGCCGCCCGCCGAGAGGAAGCAACTGGAGGAGGCCCTTGTTGCCGAGACCCACGACATGGGTGCCTCGCTGGCGATGAGTGAGGACGAGAATGACGAGGATAGTCAATACGGCACTGGCCAGGCCCTCTCGCTGCCGGCTTTCATGGCCGACTTTCTTCAGGGGATTGTCGACCGCTTGCAGGTCAGCATCCGCGGGGTAACATTTCAGGTCGACGTCGAGGTCATGCTTGATAATGCCGCTACGACGCCGGAATTAGTGACGCTTCAGCTCGCGATGGATGGGGTCAGTGTCGAGGGTGTAACGGTCGGTGCCCTCGACGAAAGCGATGGTCCGAGGATAGTTCCCAAGGAAGGAAAACGGCATATCTCCCTGGACAACATCCGCGCTTTTCTCATCACTGAGACTAATGTTTTCTCTTCACTGGCACAATCGCCGTCTATACCCTCCTCACTCGCCTCCCGATCACCGAGCGTCAGCACTGGGCCGGCGTTCTCTAGGGAAGCTTCCATTGCGGGCCGTACGATGGACGAGGGGTCATTTGACGGGTCGATCGAAGTCGATTCAGGCAATGACCCAATGCAAGACAGCGAGGATGCATTTGATATTCCTTACGAGTTCGACGCCCCTGGAGAGGAGCAGGATGATCTGCCGGAAGGGGCCGCCTCGCCTGCTTCTTCACTCTCGACACCGCGGGCCTCCTTGTACCAGGGGTCACCTGCGTCTAGCCAGTCCCCTATCGAGCCGATGGGGCCAATAGACTCGCAGGCGCTGCACTATAGCACTCTTATCAGGGGAGCTGAGGACGAGCCAGACCCACGGGAGTCAGGACATCTCGACGCGGCCTTCCCGTGGGAGCCAATGGAAGATTCGGTCGACTCATCGCCTGCAAGTGACACATCTAGTTCCGGAGCGGTCGAGGATCTGGCGCAATCTCATGTCTTCAGCCACGAGGAGGCTGAAAGTATGTACATGAGCGCCTTCTCCCAGACCGAGTCTACGCGGCTGCGCTCCGCCATGCCAGGCGGTTGGGATTCCCCTGCGCATAGCCCCGACAATTCTCCCAAGGCTCAACGGATGGAGCCGAAACCAAGCCCGCCTCCCGAGGATGTGGAGCTGCCATCGGAGGAGATCACACCCTCTGACCCTTTGCAGGCCTCAGAAGTTCACCCTATTCAATCTCATGTTGAGATTGCAGAGCGGGAGCCATCTCCAAAGCCGGATCACGATCCAGTTGAGACCACGCCTCCCCAAGTTCCGGATGAGATCCCGCAAGATGGGGCCGCGACGCCAAGAGGACCAACCCGACTTGTGAAAGAAGTATTATCAATGAAGACCCTCTCTGTCCACATTCCCTCAAATCACAAGCACATCCAAGTCCCGATCCCGACCCCAAGCTCCATGGGACGGTCCGTCGCTCCAAATCTTCCTGGGGCCTTCTCCGTTCACAGCTCCTTACCGACACCATCGGTGAGCCAATTGGATCAGTCGCATGCTCCAGAAGTACAGCCTCCCCAAAAAGACAACATCTTAGAAATAAACCTGTCTCCGCTGGAGCTCCGGTTCGATGCGTCCATCGGGTTCCTCATTGCCCGCATCATAGGCGAGCTTCTGGCCTCTCTGACTGGCTCAGAGACGAATCCCAAAGAACAGACAACCGCAACTGTCGACAAGAAGGAGTCATCTCCTCTTAATGTGAGGATCACAGCAGAGAAGATATCGCTGCTGTTCCTGGACAAGCTTGCTGGGGTTGCTGATACCGCAGAGAGGATACTCGGTCAGCAATCGGCTGGATTCCAGCACGATGTGCTCCTTCAGGCCATCCTCGAGAACCTCAAGGTCGAGACGGCACAATCTACCGTGTCGACCGAAACAGTTGTCGACCTTGAGAAGTTTCGTTTTGGGTATGCAAATGCCGACATCATCTGCTTTGATCGCGAAATCCAGATGCGCACATCTGTTAGAGACGTTTTCCCTGCTGGAGGGGCAGATGTTTCGATGAAGCTCACGCAGTACCCGGATGTGACGAGATGCGAAATCAACACCCTCCCGCTCATGGTACAGGTCGACTTGCAGAGGCTTGACGAGACCTTCAGCTGGTTTGGTGGCCTGAGTAGTTTCCTGGGTATGGGCTCATCCATGGCATCGACAACGTCAATGATGAGCCCGGTGAAGACCACACCCAAGCCGCGAGGTGTGCGATTTGACACACCGCATAGCCCTGGAGCTCCTGCTGCCGAGGAATCTTCTCTTACGCATGAGAGCAAGATTGACGTGCGAGTCGGTGGTATGCACCTGGGCATTATCGGTAGGGACTGCAGTGTCTCGTTGGATACCAGCGCCGTCAAAATTGCCAGCCGACAGAATCTGCTCGGCGTCACGATTAGCAGGGTTCGCCTGGCAGGCCCCAATCTGAGAAATTCTCGAAGCGAGACGCCCGTCGTCGCGGAGATCTCCAATACGCGGCTCGAATACCAGCCAGGTCCTCGCGACACTGATTTGGAAAGGCTCTTGGAACTCATTACGCCTTCCAAGGTAAAGTTTGATGATAGTGACGACGTTATCATGGTAGACACGCTTCTCAGGCAAAGGAGGAAGGGCCCGATCCTGCGGCTGACCTCTGACGAGGCTCGAGTGACTGTGCGGAACATTGCACAGCTCCAGTGCTTGCCCGCTCTGGGGGAGGAACTCGCACGCCTGGGCACAGTGGCAAAGTACCTGCCCGAGGATGACCGACCCGGCCTGCTGACTCTGGGCCTCATTCGCAAATGCAATGTCTCCGTCGACGTGGGTGGGCGTTTCGGTACCGTCGAAACCTCGCTGCAAGACCTGGAGGTCGCCCAGATCACGATGCCTTCCTTGGTCGCAGTCGCCGTGGGTGGAGTGACGGTCACTCGCAACCAGATTGAGGACCTCATAGGGTCCTCGAATCTGCCACCCAGTCAAGACGACCAAAGCCCGGTGCTCATGATCCGCATTATCGGCGACGAGATCGAGCCCGTGATCAAGGTCAAGATGCGAGGCCTGAACTTCGAGTATCGCGTGTCGACCATCATGGACGTGCTCGATCTCGCCGACGACGCGACGCCGCAAGATTTCGAGGCCAGCCTTGCCGCGTCTGTCGCGAACTTGGGCGAACAGGCGCACACTGCCATCACTGGGAGGACTTCGAAATCGAGCCCCGTCACTGCGGGCAGAGCTTCCACAGGGACCGGGAAGCCTACGACAGTCGACCTGGCAATCCGAGAGTGCATCCTCGGGCTGAACCCGCTGGGTTTGACGTCCAAGCTCAATATCGTGCTTGTCGAGGCCCAGGTTGCAGTGACGCTGCCCAAAGACGAGAACGTGCAGACTACTGGCACCTTCCACAAGGCCTCGCTGCTCTTGATCGACGATATCTCGACGGTCTCGTCCGGGGCTGTTACCTTTGTGCCCAGCCATACTAAACGCCTCTCTGGTGGCGCACCTCCCTCTCGTGACCTTGTAAGCCATCTCTGCGCCAAGGGGTTTGTGGACATCTGCCAAATCTCTTCCGCCAAGGCTACGGTCAAGATTGCAACTGGTGATGATGGACAGAAGCGTGTCAATGTTGACTTCCGGGATGATCTGCTAGTGCTTGAGACCTGCGCAGACTCGGCGCAGACTCTGATTGCTCTCGCCAACGCCTTGACGCCACCGACTCCCCCTAGCAAGGAGATCAAATTCAAGACGGAAGTGATGCCGGTCAAGGATCTTCTAGCGTCCATATCGATAGATGCTTTCGGTAACGCTGAGGGCAACTACAATCTCGAGGACGACTTTGCACTTTCCGAGGCACCGGGCGAGGAGGAAGATCCCTTTGGAGACTACACTGGCTCTGTCATATCTGATGACGGTATACTCGGCGGCGATCTGGATGAGGTTCAGGGGACCCTGTTCGACGCATCTGCCTCCAATTTCACGGAGAGTATAGCTGGCCAGGAGCCGGCTGATCTCCTGGAGGACGACGACCTCAGCATTCATGAGGATCATTTCGGCGCCGGATCGGAGCTTGAAGGCACCGCTCATCGGTGGAACTCGGCCAAGAATACTTATGATCATTCGAAGAACCCGATGGCCAAGAAGAGCCCGTTCAGGGTTTGCGTCAGAGACGTACATGTCATCTGGAACCTTTTTGACGGGTACGACTGGCAGCACACGCGCGACGTCATCACCAAGACTGTTCACGAGGTCGAGGCCAAGGCGTACGAGCGCAGGTCCCGGGCTGAGCGTCGCGCTATGTATCAGGAGGAAGAAGAGGAAGAGGAGACTGTCATTGGCGATTTCCTCTTCAACTCAATCTACATTGGCATCCCGGCCAACCACGACCCGAGAGAGCTCACGCAGGCCATCAACCAGAACCTATATGGCGACCGCATGACCGAGACGGAATCGGTGACGACAACCGTGACGGCGACGCCCAGCCGTGTGGGAGGAGGCCACCATCCCAGAGCGAAGAAGCTCAAGCTCCACAGGAGCCGGCACCACAAGATCACGTTTGAACTCCGGGGACTGAATGTCGACTTGGTGGTCTTCCCTCCAGGGTCGGGCGAGACTCAGAACTCGATCGATGTGAGGGTTCAGGACCTCGAGATCTTTGATCACGTCCCGACGTCGACGTGGAAGAAGTTTGCAACGTACGATCAGGATGCTGGGGAGAGGCAGCTCAAAGCCCCGATGGTCCATCTCGAGATACTCAACGTGAGGCCCGTTCCCGAGCTGGCGGCTACCGAGATCGTCCTGCGGGCTACGGTCTTGCCTCTGCGGCTCCACGTTGACCAGGACGCGCTCGACTTCATCACGCGGTTTTTTGAGTTCAAGGACGACTCTTCGCCCGTACATGCTTCGCCCAGCGACGTTCCGTTCATCCAGCGGGCCGAGATCAATTCGATCCCTGTGCAGCTCGACTTCAAGCCCAAGAGGGTGGACTATGCAGGGCTCCGGTCTGGCCATACCACTGAGTTTATGAACTTTTTGATCCTGGAGAGCGCCAGGATGACGCTCCGACACACAATCATCTACGGCACGTCTGGGTTCGACAGGCTGGGCAAGACGCTCAACGACATCTGGATGCCAGACGTCAAGCGGCACCAGCTGCCTGGTGTGCTGGCCGGTCTGGCCCCTGTCCGGTCGCTGGTCAACGTTGGCAGCGGGTTCAAGGACCTGATCGAGATCCCCATCCGAGAATACCAGCGCGACGGGCGCATCGTGCGGTCCATCTCCAAGGGAGCGGCGGCCTTTGCCAAGACGACGGGGACGGAGCTGGTCAAGCTCGGGGCCAAGGTGGCGACAGGCACGCAGTACGTCCTCCAGGGGGCGGAGGGCATGCTGGTCAGACGGCCCGCAGCGGCGGCGTCTCCGGGCGGCGGCGGCGGCGACTGGGAGGAAGACGACATGTCGGACGAGGAGCAGCGGAAGCAGATCAGCCTGTACGCGGACCAGCCGACCGGGGTGGTGCAGGGCTTGCGGCACGCGTACACGAGCCTGGCGCGGGACCTCAACACGGCGCGCGACGCTATCATCGCGGTGCCGGCCGAGGTGCGGGAGAGCGCGAGCGCCAAGGGGGCGGCGAGGGCGGTGATGAAGAGGGCGCCGACCATCATCTTCCGGCCGGCGATCGGGGCGACCAAGGCGATTGGGCAGACGCTGCTCGGGGCGACCAACACGCTTGATCCGCGGAACATCAGGCGCATGGAGGAGGTGAGTAGATCAGCAGACCCATGCTGTGTGGATGCCCTTTCGCTAATGTCCTGCTTTTTTTTTTCTTTTTTAGAAATACAAGTCTGGCCCTGGGCGGATGTAGTAGCCATTGCAGAAGCAGCTCAGCTCCATGTTTCACGATACTGTACGACAGAGCACCCGACCATTACGAACTCGCTCCTTTTGTCTTTTTTTATTTTCCGAGCCGCGTTTATCACGACCAAGACCAGACATGCGCGGCGTATTGATACCTCCATTTTTCCTACCTTGGGTTCTCTCTCTCTCTCTCGAGATCTGCATCTAGAATCGGCGTACGGGAGATCAGGAAAGGGCCAATCGCTCAACTCAATTCGTGTCTCTAGATTGTTCACAGCGCATTTGCAGCACACAGGCAGGCATGCAGATTCGTGTTCCTACTTTTACGTAGCATACATAAATTGGATACTGTTAGCTCACCCCATCTTTTGTTTACTGGCAACAAGGGAAAGAATATCGATGTCGTAGGAGGCGGATGTGAGCGATAGCAAATGCAGTGTATTTATTTCCGTCTCGCATTCGGATTCCACTGCAGAACGCAAGACATCATGACTCGGCGCCAGCTCCGTCGAGCTTCGGCGGCAAGAGCTCTAAAGTCCGGGCAGAAGCTGCATTAGCGCTACTGTGGAACTCGTGCCTGGGGGGGGAGACGGGCCAATTCCAGCGCCGGCGGAGGCCGCACATGGACTCCTCTGTTGTTTCTGGAAGACACACACACCTAAACAGCCACCCCTGTCTTGCAGTTAAATCCGTGACGCAGTGCATCTTGGGTGCCTGTCTGCTGCCAGTCGGGAGCGCCGGGGTTCCTTGGACCCCGATTGTCGCCGTGTCGTCTCGTGTGTCATGACGAAGCTATATGCCTGCGATTGGTGCACCAGCTGGGGGTTGTCGGGGGAGGCTTGGCTTTTTGTTTTCGTGGCTTGTAACTATTAGGAGTGGGAACGAGACAACGAGACCTTACCTTTGCCCTGTCTCCGAGCTGAGGATAGAAAGAATCATGACAGAGAAACAGATGGGAAGCCGTACTTAAGCAGTTGCGTTCCCACACACACCCGCCTTCCCCATGGCGTCCTTCCTCTTGCTATTTGTGTTTTCCGCTTTTGCCATCCTGTCGACGGCATTCTGGTGGTTCATCTTGCGCAAAGTCGGCTCGAGCTCTCCAGGCGAAGAGGAAGCAGACATGGAATACAACGGCGGCAGCGAAAAGGCCGATCACCTCTGCGTGCTCGTCCACGGCGTAAGCACTACCTACCTTACCCTTTGCTCTTACCCTTACCCAGCGTCTGATGGTGTGCACTCGTGCTGCCGTGCCGAAAGGGGCAATTGTGCACCTGATCGGCTCTCAGCGCAGCGCCAGATGATCCTTTTCTACGGGCGGCACAAGGACCTTGCATGCGTCTAGTCGCGCTGCTTAACATTTACACTTTTTTTTTCCCCCCTGTGTATCCATATAGATTTTGCTAATTTCTCTTTTCTCTCTCTCTCTCTGGCAACAGCTCTGGGGCAAGCCGGCGCACCTGAAATCCGTGGCCAAGGCCCTGCGCGACGAGTTCTCCGAGGACAGGGTGCACATCCTCGTGGTCAAGAGCAACGCCGGCTACAACACCTACGACGGCGTCGAGACGGGCGGCGAGCGCGTGTGCGCCGAGATCGAGGAGGAGCTCGCCAGCATCGAGCGCAAGAGGCGGAGCAACGGAGGGGCCGACAACAAGAAGAGCGGCCGCGATGATGACGGCGGCGACAGGCAGATCAAGAAGCTCAGCGTCGTGGGCTACTCGCTCGGCGGGCTCGTCGCGCGCTACGCGATAGGTCTGCTGTACGCGAGGGGCGCCCTCGAGGGGCTCGAGTGCATGAACTTCACGGCCTTTGCCTCGCCCTTCCTGGGCACGCGCTCGCCGCTGAAGGGCTGGGCCAACACGCTCTTCAACGTCCTGGGCGCGCGCACGCTGTCGGCCTCGGGCCACCAGCTCTTCGGCATCGACTCGTTCCGCGGCACGGGCCGCCCGCTGGTCGCCGTGCTGGCGGACCCGTCGTCCATCTTCATGGCCGGCCTGCGGAGGTTCAAGAGGCGCACGCTCTACGCCAACGTGGTCAACGACCGCACGGCCGTGTACTACACCACGGGCATCTCCAAGACGGACCCCTTCGCCGACCTCGAGGCCGTCACGCCCCGCTACGTGCCCGGCTACGAGGACGTCGTGCTCGACCGCGACGAGCCGTGCTCGCCTCGCGGCGGGAAAGGCCAGGCTCCCCCGACTACTTCCCTGCGCGACGCGGCGCACAGGTACATGACCCGCGTGCCGCTGGTCCTGGCGCTGAGCGTCCTGCTGCCCGTCGGCGTGGTGGCGTACCTCGCCAACGCCGGGTGGCAGACGGTGCAGTCGTCGCGGCGGCGGCAGCTGCACGAGGCCGGGCAGGGCGGCGTCGACGTCGCGCCGTACCGCGAGAGCCCTCCCTTGCTCAAGGACCTGCGGCAGGCCGTCGAGGGGGCGTACGAGGAGATCACGGCGGCCAACGCGGAGGAGTACCTCGACCATGACGGCGGCGACGACGACGACGGCGGCGCGGTAGACAGCAGCAGCGGTAGCAGTAGCGGCAGCGACTCGGACAGCCAGCACGGAGCAGCAGGAGGGGACGCGCAGGAGGACATGCTGGGCAAGAAGATGAAGAAGGACAAGACGAAGAAGCTCACTCGGTCCCAGAGCGCTTCGCACGACCGGCGCGTCCTGCGGCGCGAGCGGCGGCTGTCGGCCGCGCGGGCGGAGCCGACGCTCGCGCTGGCGGCCTACCAGTTCGAGGCCGTCGACGGGCTCGACTCGCTCGGCTGGCGCAAGTACCCCGTCTGGATCCACGACGTCGGGCACAGCCACGCCGCCATCATCGTGCGCATGGACAAGCCCAGCTTCCGCGAGGGCTGGGTCGTGCTGCGGCACTGGGTCAAGGAGGAGTTTCTGCTGTGAAGAGGAGAGGATTGGGGGTTTCTTATACCTATGGGAAGAACGAAAAGGGGGGTGGGCTGTGGGGATGTGATTCTTTGCTGCCTTCTATTTCTATCATCTTGGGAAGCGGGTTTAGCATTGGCGTTTCGGGGTTGATGGGCTCTCTTTTGTATTCTGATATCGTGATCAACCCATTTGACACTGGAGGAGTAATAATTGATCAACTGGCGGATGGCAGTGCTTCGGACACTCATGAATCTCGACATCACAGCAGATTGTGCATACAAGAGCATGGCTGGCGTTGGTCATAGACAATGGTACAGAGCATCAATAGCAAAGAATTGATTACACGCTTGACATGCTTCTTGCTGTGAAGCCTGTTCCAAGGCGACTGACTATTTCCGAGAGAAGGTATGATTCCATGGCAGCGAGTAAACTTGTCGAGAAAGAGACTCTGGGTTCTGGGAAAGAACGTGTACGGGAGAGTATGCGAAGCTAGCTGTCAGTATTTGGTCTCATCGTGTGGTGGGCTTCGGCGGAATTAGTTCACTTACCAATACTCCAAGAACTTGGTCAATCAGAGACGCAAAAGGAATTGGGGAGGTTGTCTGGCAGGGTTAGACTTGTTTTGTGCACATTCCGAAGCAGCGATTCAAGAGAAGCCGTTCGCCTGGATGGTGGAATTATGGACCAAGTTTCACTGTCTTTCGCCAGGGCAGTTTGGGGTCATGCCCAGGATGCAGTAGTTTAACGTTGTCTCGAACGAGGAAATATTAAGCAGGTACATAGCAGTAATAGGTGACAAGTCACAGAGATCACGAGCATGGAACCAGGTTTCATGAAACGTTTGCAATGGTATTGTACGATGGGCCTAATGACGAAATCTTCGAGGGATGAGTTCAATCTTCTTCGATGCTGTGAATCGAGGTTTCATGAGCGACGTGTTGTGGCATTGGGGGGCAAGGGTGTAGTGGTGCGAATTGGGGACCTTCCAGCTCTCTCTGATTCTCAGGGGGGGAAACAGAAACAAAAAGAAAAAAATTGCACAGTCGCAGCTCTGACGTCTGCACCAGACTACCACTGAGCGGCATTGTAGGATTCGGAGTCTTCAAAGTCAAATCCAGAAGAATCTCCAGAGGCATCCTCGCCCGAAGAGGCAGGAACCTGGTCGCCGTTGTCAGAGACAGACTCAGCGACCCATCCACTCTGTAAGGCATCGCCGCCGAAGTCGCCGGTATGCTCGTTGGTGGAAGAGTTGGACTGGATCAAGTTGGTCAGGTGCTGTTGCTCTTCAGTAAGGCCGAAAACAACGGGCTCTCCAGTGAAAGTACGGGCAGAGATGGCCTCGTTGCGGAGGAACTGGACCTTCTTCTCGTCGGTGTTGGGGCACTGGGACTTGACGTGACCAGTGGCACCACATTCGAAGCAGTTAAGCTGGCGGCGACGAGAATCGTTCTGTGGGCAATCCCTAGCGACGTGGTTCTCTTCGCCACAGACTCGGCAGGCCTTGGGGAGCTTCTCAACAGGGCAGTCAGAGGCAATGTGTCCCGTCTCGCCGCACTTGTAGCAGTCTCTAGTATCACCATCCTTCGAGCAGTTCCTGGCCATGTGTCCGGGCATCTCGCACTCCCTGCAGATTGAACGACGTGCCTTGTACAACTGTGCCTCATCGCACTTGCCCTCATGCTTCTCGCGGCAGTGGACGCAGATGACGCAGTTTTGAGCTGAGTGGGCTTTGGACTTGCACAGGGCGCAGGGCTCTTTGTGGCAGTTCGAGGGCAGATGATCTTTGTGGCAGTAAACACAGAAAGCCGGGTCTTTCTCACAAAGATTTGTATCGTGACCGACTTCGCCGCAGTGCAAGCAGAGGGACTTTGTGGGGCAGAGCAGGTCAGGGTGAGGGTCGCCAGTGCAATCGCAGAGGTTAGTCTTGGCTCCAGGGGATGTGCAGCAGCCAGCTGCATCAAACTCTGTATGCTGTGTGGTCTGGCAGACAGGGCAGTAGTTAATTCGAATGTTGACGGATTTGAGCTTGTTAAAAATCCTGCATAGAATGGTCGCCTGCGGGTTGAGATTCGGATTGTCGAAATTTCCGAGCCACATTCCCCGGTTCATAATCGCCACCTCATACTGGATGCTGCGAGTCAGTGCCAGGCAGATTCGATGCAAATCAGCAGTGAACCTAATCCAAGAAGTCTGTGTGAAGTCTACAATCACTATATCAGCCTTGTTTCTCTGGTTAGAATTAAGGGTGCCGCTCTTGAGGCGTACAGCCTCCTCTTAAGTAATTTTATCAGTCTTGACCAGATGTTCCAGCTGAGTCTGATACACACAAAGTTGCGCCTTGTACAGGGCCAAGATGAGGATGCGAGCAGGCTTGTCGGTATGAGGCACCATCTGGGTCAGCTTCTTGTCCCTGAGAGCTGGAATGACGATCTTCTCCAGAACGTGCTGAACGTAGGCAGGGTTCACGGTTGAGTCACCTTGCTTGGTGGTTTTGGAGCCAGGGAACTCGAGCATGACACGGAGCTTGTTAGGAGGCTGAATTGGGTTGATATGCGTCTTGATGAAGGCCCAAAAATGCTTCACAGAGTCTGGGAACATGCCGGCAGTGCCTTCGACAGAGACGGTCATGTTGTCATTGTAGATGAGCTGAGATGGCAACGTGTGTAGACCGCCCTTGGCGCGGTGGTTGATGACGAGGTATGAGTCAATGTTGCCAGACTCGACGGCCCGGGTCATGGTCGACAACTGGAGTTGATGCAGCATGGGATTCTGAGCCTCAGGATGCATCTCGCCCGTAATATAGGGTAGAAGCTGGAAGGGATCTCCAAGCACGAGCCAGAGGGCCGGAGCGAACCAGGCGATGGGGATCAGGGTCGTAAGCTCGCGCATGCGGGCAGCCTCGTCGAGAATTACAAGCTTGGGTTTGTATGTCGAGCGGAACAGACCATTGTAGCATCCAACAGCCGTGGTGCAGATGACACCGTTGTGCTCCATAAGAGTGCGCTTGTACAGGTCCTTGACCAAGGCTTTGAAACGAATCCAGACTTCACGGTCTTTGCCTTCAGTAGCTTTGAGCTCGTCCATGGTCTCGCTGAGCTCACCAAACTCAGCCTTATGATCGGTATAGAACTTGAAGGCGGCCTCGTGGAGGGAGAGGGTCTTGGCTTTGCGCGAGCGCGAGATGCGGAGCTGGTGGGCATCGCGAGTCATACGGGTCAGGCTCAGCTGTGAAAGGAAGTGGACCTCTATGGGTGTGGTCTTCTTCAGGGCCTCCTCTGCGGCTTGAGAGTCGAAGAGTTCGGGAATAGCACTGCTGAAGCGACGCTTCATGTCCCTGACCTCGGTATCGACTGCGTAGAGACGGATCACCGAGGGCCGAGGACCCTTGAAGCCTCCAGACTCGTACATTTGGTCAAATGCCTCTTGGAACCGATGTGCTGCCATGTCTAGTGCCGTGTTGTTGTTGACGATGTACAGCGACTTGAACGCCTGGGTACTCTTGGAGTTAGACGGATTGGCAAAATGAGAGAAGATCATGCACATCTCGGCCACCCTGGTCTTGCCGCATCCCGCCACGCCTGGGACAATGTGGACGCGCTGTGGTGCATTGGGAGCCTTCTTGATGGCCTCTTTCTGATGGTGATCAAGGCGCTCCCAGCCGGCCTGGACCTGTTGAGGCAGAGATGTGAAGGTATCGCCAAGCACAGAGCGGATGCCCGGTAGTTCCTCGAGGATGTCGATCTCTTCCTTGTCTTCGGGACAGCGGAAATTCAAGAGGTAATTGTAGGCTTTGCTAGAACGCTCTGTCACTGGGCAGTCCGACTTCTCGGCGATCCTAGGATAGTTTAGTGCGTTGACGGAGCTCGCCTCGGCACGCAGAGTCTTGTCCGACTGGCATTTCCTGATGCGGATCTCCAGGCCGTGTGCAAAGTCGAGGTCGCACAGCGATTTTTGGTCTTCTTCGAGCTTGCCCTGGTCCAGAAACGGGATATCGACGGTAAACTGGTCACGCTCCATGTCGTCTGCGTGCTCTTCAAGTTCGTTGCGAGGCTGGAGAGGAATGGCCACGAGATAGATGTGATAGTGCGCAGGAATTCCCTGAGCTAGAATGTCGATCCGCTCGTAATTCCACCACATATATTCTTCGTCAATCGGAACCTCCTGAAGCGAAACGAGGCGCTCGCGATTCTCTAGGCACCACACAATGATGCGCTGACGGTAGGCATAATTATCTGCCATCTCCGCCTTTGTAGGAAGGAGTGCAGTAGCCTCGCCTTCAGTAAGATCCTGAAAGAAGCGACCTGATCCCTGGAGGATACTGGCTTTCGGGTCAGGCTCAGCGCGAGCAGGCACGATGACATCCTCTAGGTAGTCCTCGGCCAGTTTCTCGACATCCTGGGAAGAAGCCTCTGGCGACTTCATCTCAATATCCATAATCTGAACCTTAAACGCCTCTCCATCACGGGGCAAGATTGACTCGTTGCCTTCTGGGTTGACAACAAGAAAGAAGCGACGATCTTTGATGACGTGCTGGCAAGGGAGTGCAATCGCCTTCAAGGAGATACTGCCTATATCGTTCTCGTATGCAGTGCTGATGTCATGGTCGAACACTGTTCCAATCATTTGTCGCACCAAGAGGTGGCAGCTGTCGACATACTGAGAGACAGCAGGGAGGGTTCGAGTGTCTTTGATCGCGGGCTCTGACGACAGTCGGGGAACCCGGTCGAGGAACATCACCCTCTGGTTGGGTGAGTGTTCGAAGTACTCAGCGGCCATGTATGGATCTTTGTAGGGAAGCATCGCGCCGAGAATTTTGGGCAAGACATGATCGTCAGGAAGCCTGACAGTGAACTCAATCTTCATCGCTTCTCCCTTGCGGGCAGCGTTACCCAGATCTTAAAGCTTGGTGGCCAGTTTGCTCTTAACGGACCGGAGCTTTCGGTGAACGAGCTCCTGATAGTTCAGATAGAGCTTGGCGGTCAGAGTCAGAGTATAGATCCGCGACCAGGAATCAACTCCGACGTTGACATTGGGGGTGAACTTGCACATCATTTCAGATGCCTCGGCTTGAGACTCAGCCTTTCTCAGCTCGAAAAGGGGCGTGTTGTCATCAGCCACAGCAACCTCAGCCAAGTAGATCTTGACCTCTGCGACCTGAGGGTTGTCAAATTGGCGATGCAGGACAGAAAAGGTCACCAAGAGGTAACTATGGTCGAACGGGAGGTAGACAAGGTGCACCTTAGCGTCAAGAGACTCGGTGCCCTTTGGACCAGTAAGAATTGCTGCCCGCTCCTTGACGGGGGTCGTAATAGCAGCACCATCAATGGAGACATAGGTTCGACAAGGCTCTGCATGGTACTGTCGGTCTCCAGGACCAGCAGTCGCGTTGCGAAAGAACTCTTCTCTCATCTTCTTCTGGATGAGAGCATGCTCTTGTTCCTCGTCGACCTCATCAACCTCAAATCCAGCCTGGGCAGGATCTAGACCAGCCTGGAGAGGATCAAGTGCGGAGGTTTGAGCAGCTTCCACGTGGGTAACACCAATGTCAGAAGTCTCCACAGCTGCAATAGTAGATGAAGAGCTGCTCATCACTAAGGGCATACTAACCGAACAATAAGATTAGAAGTCTCATTGTCAGATTCTGCGTCGAGGATAAGCACCAAGCAGTACGGTGGTAGGCATTCATAAAGTCAATGCTGTTAATCCTGTTGGTGCATTTAGATCCATCGAGGTTGGAGACAGCGATGGAGGATGGGCTCCAAATGGTCATGCCCATGGTCTGTCTCATTCCAGCTTTGATAAATATCCAATTGACTGTCAATGGGATGAGTAATCCAGAAATATCGGATTCCCGAAGTGGTGGCCGAAACATGAAGGCTTGTCACCATTTTATAGTCACAGCTCGTCGCCATCAATCGAGGACTTACACGGAGCTTGAGGTCAAGAGTGGGGCCGGAGCCATCAAAACGACCCACCTTTCCTTTGACATCCCGGACGGCCGGCGCACAATTTCTCCGAGCCCTAAAATTTCGCGGAATTTTGGCCTCCTCACAAAAATGGCTTTTTCCTCTGTGGTGGGGAAGCTAGGAATTTTTGCGAATTGTCACCACCACCACTACTTCCCCCGCGACAGAAATCACCCACGGCGCAGGATTCGACTTCTTTGCGTCCTATACCCTCCTCCCCAAGAAAAATCATATCTTGCAAAAGATAAAACAAATCAGAAGCAATGGCTCCCGCTCAGACCGTACGTACATGAACACCACCGCTTTGCTGTTGGCCCAGTCCCTCGCCCATTTGCAATGGAGACATTGCAAACCAGAAAAAGCATGGCTTTTTTTTTGCGAGAGATCATGGCGTGAAACAGTAGGCTAAGGTCAATTTGTGTTTTTACAGAGAAAGGGCAAGTCCCCCAAGGTGACCAAGAAGGTATGCACTCTCCCATCTCTCCCTCTTCCCCCATCGACATGCCGACACCGATGCTGACCGTCTCTTGTTTCGCAGTTCGTCATCAACGCTTCCCAGCCCGCCAGCGACAAGATCTTCGATGTCTCGGCCTTTGAGAAGTTCCTGAACGACAAGATCAAGGTCGACGGCCGTGTTGGCAACCTGGGCGACACCATCCAGATCTCCCAGGTCGGCGAGGGCAAGATCGAGATCGTTGCCCACAACGAGCTCTCTGGCCGCTACCTCAAGTACCTGTATGGCGACTCCCTTCTTCGCTGTCGATCTCAAGTTCGAGGGACCGAATGCTGACATGTATGCGCCAAACAGGACCAAGAAGTTCCTGAAGAAGATGCAGCTCCGTGACTGGCTCCGCGTCGTCTCCACCTCCAAGGGTGTCTACGAGCTCAAGTTCTTCAACGTCGTCAACGACGGCGATGAGGAGGACGACGAGTAAGGGGAGGATCTTTGAAAAAATCTGGTTTGGGGAAAAGTTTGGGGCATGGACTGGGTAGACAAAGGCGTTTGTTTGGCCGATTGACGACTTTCGACCTGAAATAGAGCCATTGCCATTTCTGTCGCACACCTTGCTTGCTACCTGATCCAATCCTACGTGACATGCTTGGGTATATACATCATCTTGTTGTGTGATTCCGCCCTGCCATCTAGACCCAACCTACGGTAACGTCCTCATGACGCCCTCGAATGCGACCAGCGCCATTGCGTTGGCCGGGAACGCGCGCAGAAAGCAGGGCAAGAAGCCTCTCCAGTACCCCTTCGCGCCGCCTTCCCGGTAGACCGCCTTGGCCGCGTCCTTCCACCTCCTGAACCTGCGCTCACCGTCGTTCAGCCCGCCGCCGAGCGGGTCCGTCATGATGCGCTGCTTGACCACGTCGCTCGGGTAGCTCGTGATCCAGAAGACCTGGGCGCTCAGCCCGCCGGCCCAGAAGTTGATGGCCGGCGCGCTCAGGCTCGTGTTCCGCTTGAACCAGCGCGTGAAGAGGTCGTAGCTGCCCCACCAGAAGAAGAAGAAGGAGCGGAAGATGAGCGTGGCCGACAGGCCGTGGTAGACGCCCGCGACGCCGTGGTGCCGGTAGATCTTGGCGAGGCAGTCGATGGGGCCCCTGTACAGCCTCTCGGACTTCTTCGCGGCGTACTGGATCTGCAGGCGCGCCTTGACGTGCTCGACGGGCGCGGCGATGAAGCTGACGGTCGAACCGGCCATGATGCCGGCCAGGCCGTGGCCGTGGGAGGGCAGGTGGTCGTGGTAGTCGGCCTCGGCGTGGGGCCGGTGCAGCGGCGGGGCGAAGAGGTTCTCGCGCAGCAGGCGGCGGTAGACGGTCAGGGAGCCGAGCATGACGCTGTCCATGAACATCCAGCCGACGAGGGGCGGGGTGGCGCCCTTGTACAGGCCCCGGAGCCCCTCGTTGCGGACGGTCTGGGCGACGCACTGCAGGGGGCCCGAGAAGCGGGTCGCGTCGGTGGTCTGGAGGCGGACCTTGACTGTGTCGAAGGGGTGGCCGACTTTGGGGGTGCTGTTAGTCCTGGACGGGAGACGGGGGCATGGTGAAGTGAAGTGAAGTAGAGTGGAAGATTGTTGTCGCTTACCGGAGAGCTTGGCGATGCCGGAGAAGACGCCGGCGACGAAGCCCTTGTAGTTCTTTACGGGCTCGGCCTTCCTCGCGGGCTCCGCGGCGGCAGCCGCCTGTTCTTTCGGGACGGCGGCGGCCATTGCGGTGGTGGTAGTGTGCGCGTGGTGCTGGGTGCTACCTGGGGATGTGGCCGGGCTGCATGTGTGATGTGGGCTTCCTGAGAGAGGGTGAGAGAGCAGATGAGATGAGGTTATGAGACGGAAGAGCTGGCTTGCATTCTCCTATGCAAGTTCCGAACAAGTTCCCGAATGGAGAACCTGGGGGGAGATGGAAAATGAAGAAGACGGGCAAGCCGGTCCCTTTCAAGGTGATTTCGTACCCGGGGTAAGCTCCGCACTCCGTCCGTGCTGTAGGCTCGGGAGAAAAAGTTGAGCTTACTCTTTTGCCCGCCGTCAGTGAGGGTGGTGGGGTTGGGGTAGGCGATATCGGGGTAGTCATCGCTGTTTTGGGGCGCTGGACTGGCTGGGATATGGGATATGGGGAGGGCGATCGTCCAGGGTTGGCGGCGGAGGGGCTTCTAGCTTCCCCGGGAGGTGCGTTCTGCCTAGAAAAAGTTGGAGAAAAAGCGTCCCCGGACCAGCCAATTGAGGGAGCTTGGGCGGAGGTGATGATATGCAGACGATTGGTATTCTGGATAGGAGAAGGGAGGAAGTTCTTCAAGAGGTGCTTCAATGCTGACAATGCATAAGATTCCTGAGCATCACACATGCTTTTTCAACATAGGCAGCTACTATTGATAGGTTTGATGGACTGCCAATATGTCTGTTACCAACCCGTCAACCCATCTTACCACATTGGATTGGCCTCTGCCGATGATTCCGATCACACAATATGATCTCTGACTCATATTAAAGCACCGGGCCTGCCATGCCATCAAGCCGTATCCAAAGAAGGTATCCCAGAGAGTTTCCAGAGATGCACGAGAACCGTTGCCTAAAGCGCACGCGAAAGGGACCACCCGCTCTGACCTTCTTCCAAACTCCAATCCCAAATGCGCATAATGATGTCCGCTATGCAGCCCCTCAGACTCAGAACCCATCGTCCTCGATCCCGGCCGCCCGCTCCGCCGCCTTGCGCTCCTTGTTAACGTCGGCCCACCACAGGTGCGCCTCGTCCGCGCTCGTGCTGTTGCCCTCGGCGTCGAGCTCGTCCCACGGGTTGGGGGTCAGGATGTAGTGCACGTTCTTGACGCTCCCGTCGCGCCAGATGGCGTCGTGCACCCCCGGCCAGCGCAGCGTCTTGAGCGCGTTGTAGACGTAGGGCAGCGGCACCCAGCGGCCCTTGTACAGCGTCGACAGCAGGCTCTGGTCGGCAAAGTCGAGCGCCGCGGCGTTGTCCTCCATGTACTCGACGATCTCGTCGAAGATGGCGCGCGACGGGTTGACGACCTGCAGGCCGCCGTTCATGTAGCCGAGCGGGCCGGCGGCCGGGTCGGCGCCGACGGTCTGCGCGGCGTCCGGGTCGGCGTGCTGGCTCGTGAAGGCGCAGTTGGCGGGGACCCAGTCCCTGGGGTAGTGCGGCTTCCCGAGCGGGTTGCAGACGCAGGCGTGGCCCGCGGCGAAGACCCGCCTGCTCTCTCGGGGGTCGCCCCGCGCGGCGACCTCGGGGTCGTCGAGCTCGAGGGTCATGAGCTCGTCCATGTTGCGCAGGACGAGCATGTCCGAGTCGAGCTGGACGACGCGGTCGTACTGCACGAGGCTGAAGGGCGTCAGCTTGCTCCAGCAGTCGTAGAAGCGCGGGTCGGCGCTGTAGTCGCGGGTCGAGCGCGTGGGCAGCAGGTACTCGATGCGCTGGGCGGGGATGCCTCGCGCCGCGAGGGCGGCGAGCCCCTCGGCCGGGAAGGTGTCGGTGTAGAGCGCGACGAGCGGGTAGGCGGACCGGGCCTTCTTGAGGGAGAAGTCTAGGGTGAGCAGGCCGGAGAGGTAGTCCGTGTTGGTGATGAGGGTGGTCCAGACTGGGTTTGGTGGTGTTAGTGAGGGGCAAGGTACATGGGGGTTTTTGAGGGTATCGCGATAAGGGCTTTGCCGCGTTGGTAACTCACCTCTGGCAGAGTCGGTGGCCCGCTTGCCGTCGGCCATTGCGGAAATGGTATTGCAGCCGAGGCTGGTGAGAGCACAGGAGGAAGGATGCGAGAATAGAGAGGTCTGCCTGTGAGGAGAAGAAGCTTGGCAGACCTCGAACTCTCTGCTCTAAAAGAGCTCACTTCCGAAGGCCGGATAACGCAGCTTGGCAGATGAAGTCGTCATTATCGCTGCACGGGAAGCGGCAGGACTCTGATCACAAATCCGCGCTGGTACGACTACCGATCGAAGCAATCTGCGGTTATCAGTGGCTGGCGCCGTGACTAGCTTCTTCCCCTGGTGGGTTCAATTCCGAGAGGGAGCTTGAGATTGTGTGTACCGTGGATAAAGTATCCAGCTGGGTTGGGAATTTCCGGACAGCTGTGTGAGTGCCGGCATTTTGGGGCACCGAGACGCAGGCTGCAGCCCTACAGACTCTATTTGAGTGTATCTAGAACACTTCTCTAGAGGCGGCTGTCAAGTAAATATCAAAGCTTACGGATGTGCTCTCTGTAGCTGAAATAGCCTCCTCGTCTTCGTTGGAGCAGCTCTAGCTCTGCGAGAAACACGGACGTGCATTGCAAGACCCGGCTACCTAGAGCCGTGGGTACTGTCAACTCTCACCTTGTAATGTCCCGATCCCACCGTCCATTGAGATCTGGCTCATTCAAAGCCTGGGTACAAGAGCCTCAACACTCGGCGTCCGCGTGATGATGCGGGGGACCGAAGGATCGTGGAAGCTCTCAACCAGGACCTCGGTGAAGACAGCCGCGATAGCCTCCGTTTTTCTACCAGAATCTGGACCCGTCTTGAAATGACTCTTTCAACAGCAAATTCGGCGTCAATTGGGTCGTGGGGGCTTCATCTACCCGCGACTAGCACGGCTGCAGCCGGCTGTCCGCGGATGCCCTTCTCTTGGTGTGTGTTGAGGATGTTCGTCGAAGGTCTAGGGCCAAGGGAGTCAACAATTCGAGCCGGCGCCGTTCAATAGGTGAAAGAGTGCACTAAAATTCTTTACGTAAAGCTCTAAGTGACCTCGGGAGGGGATCGGCTCCCCGCCAAACCACCAACAGAAATTTGATATATACTAGGTAGCTCTAGCTGGATTTTCTCCAATTCCTCTGACAGGAATCGTCCAGTGTGACTTTTTCAGTCTCTTCAACTCTTGTCCCCTCGTTGGGCTCTCTTTCTTCTTCCGTTCTCTTCTTTCCCCTGCTGCCATCCCGTTTGCCTCAGTTCTGTGTGAATTCTAGACTGCTCCCAATTGGATACAACCTGTTATCAAACATATATCCGAGCAGCAGTGCCTGAAGAGACTGGCAGCACGCGCTCCCATTGCTTCTCGGTCACAGTATGGCCTCTAGATCCACCGAGGAGCTGCCGGCGGGCGGCGACAGTAAGCATGCCGCCGAGGTGCACAGCGGCGGTACAGGCGACAGCCTGGCGCGACAGGAGGAGGGCGGCGTCAACCCGGAGGACGACTTTGACGACGAGCGGGTCGAGCAGGTCTACAGGAAGCTCGACCTGCGCATCATCCCGGCGTTCTGGGTGCTGTACTTCCTCTGCTCGGCCATCCGGTCCAACATCGGCATCGCGCAGACCATGAACGCCAACGTCAAGCACGACCTCATGTCGGTGCTGCACCTGTCGCCCCAGGACACCTCGACGGCCCTGTCGCTCTTCTACGTCTCGTACGTGCTCTTTGACTTCCCCTCCAACCTCATCATGAGCCGCCTCAGCCCGCGCGTCTGGATGGCCCGCATCGTCTTCGCCGTCGGCGTCATCGGCATGTGCTTCACCGCCGTCAAGGCCGCCTGGAGCCTCAAGTTCCTGCGCTTCCTGCTGGGCGTCGTCATCGCCGGCATGTGGCCCGGCATGTCGTACTACCTGACCCTCTTCTACCCGCCGTCCCGCACGGGCCAGCGCATCGGCTACTACTTCACGGCCTCGCAGGTCTCGGCCGCCGTCGTGGGCCTCGTGTCGGCCGGCTTCCAGAAGATGGACGGGCTGCAGGGCCTGGCGGGCTTCCAGTGGATGTTCCTCATCTACGGCCTGCTCGGCGTCGTCCTCGGCATCGCCCTGCTCTGGTGGCTGCCCGACCGGCCCCTGGCGCCCGGGCAGACGCGCCCGCGCAGCCGGTGGCTCCGGTGGCTGCCCGCCAGCCCGGAGGCGCTCGAGGGCGAGGACGCGGCCGTGCACTACCAGGAGATGCGGCGCGTGTACCACCCGCGGCCGTGGAACCTGCGCGACCTGGGCTACGTGCTGATCGACTGGCGGCTGTGGCCGCTCGTGCTGATGTACTTTGGCGTCGTGGGCGTGGGCATCGGCACGCAGCTCTACTGCACCATCATCATCCAGTCCATCGACCCGACCTTCACGGGCATCCAGCTCAGCCTGCTGTCGGCGCCCATCTGGATCATGGACCTGATCGCCATCGTCATCGTGACGCCCATCTCGGACCGCTTCCACCGCTACCGGCCGCACTTCTTCTCGGCCGCCGTCTGCGTCCAGATCGCGGGCCTGCTGACCGTCTCGTTCGCGCTGTCGAACCCCTGGGCCCGCTACGGCGGCCTGCTGATGGTGGGCTTCGGGCTCGGCCCCACCGTGCCCATCTGCATGACCTGGACCAACGAGATCTTCCAGCGCCGGCACGGCGAGGTCGGCGTCGCGTCCGCCTCGGCGCTGGTCTCGGGCCTGGGCAACCTCGGCAGCGTGACGACGACGTACGCGCTGTACACGGGCTGGCCGGCCGACGCCAGGAAGGGCCCGCACCAGTACCGCATGAGCAACTACGTCATGATCGGCATCCTGGCCGTGAGCATCCTCGCCAGCTTCGCCAATCTGCTGCTGCTGCGGACGTTTGGCAACGAGCCGAGCGGCAAGATCCTGAGCGGCGGCAGCTCGGCGGTGGACCCGGCCGACGACTACCAGGACGGCGCGGCGCGGCGCGAGCTGAAGCAGCGCGGCTTCGGCCGTTTCGGCCGCAAGGTGCAGCATTAAAAGGGGTTCCGAAGAGGCTCAACTAGTCGGCCGTTTTGATCTTCAACAATCTCTGCCGATCTCCCCTCTGACGACAACACCATCGTCGTCTTCTTTCGTTTCGGCCAAACGGCAGACTTCAACACTGTCGCGATCTATAATCTTTCTTGTTCGTTACAGTTCACTTCTTCAACTTCACAATTATTCGATATTTTCCTCTTCGACCAAAACACAACAAAACGAAGATCTCAAAACTACGACGGACACACATGTTTTAATATGCCTTCTGCCGAGGGAAGGCAACAATCCAGCCGGCTCTCGTCCTCCCTCCCCGTCGCAAGCTCGTGGGCCGGAGGGAGAGCCGGTTTCCTTTTGACGAAAAAAAGAGAGGTCTGGAACCCCTCGAACAGCGACAGTGCCGTTGCGCCATCGCTGAGAACGGCGTATTGGAACATTACATTTTCGAGAAGGCAGCTCTTGGACCGGGGAGGACGACAATGCTATTACGCTATCGGCCACCCCTCATGTCCAGAGACGACTGCGAACTCGATGGGATTTATTTCGGAATCGAATTTCATCGACACACACATACAAAAAATGGAGGCGGGCAGGGTGACGGTCCTTCTTTTTTTTTTTTTTTGCATTTACATATGATACCCCATTTGTGTTTAGATACGCTGTCATGGCCCTCCTCGGGAGCACCTATTGTTTATTCGGAAAGATAAATTGGGACGGCGACAGTGCTGCTACGCCATCGCTGGGACGGCGTATTGATACCAGAGTTCCCGGACGCGGCGACAATGCTGTTGCGCTATCGCCTTGCGCCGGCCTCGTGGGTCTATTTTTGTGCCTTTTTATTATACTGTTGTTTCTCGATGGTATAAGACAAATCTAGACAAGAATTGAAGCTCTTTTTATTTTGCGCGAATGCGTTCAATCCCTCTTATGCTATGCAGGAACGGTGTCGATCTTCTGGATCCGAAGCGACCTGGTCTGACGAACCAGACCTTCCGTCAACACACCGCGTCGGGGGCCTTCTACCGAGATGAGAGAAGATGGGCGCGACGTGTAGAGTGTGTGCAGCGAACCATCTTGCGGGAGAGTGTGATCACAGCAAGCTGAGATGAATTTGGGTGGGTAGGATGATTGGCTGTCACATGCCGTGATGGGCTCCAGATTTCTTTCCCTGCAGGTCGAGTACTTGTACATATAGGGAAAAAAAAAAAAGAAAAGCAGGGACGCGCGCGAACTGGCAGGGATCATGAGCTCTTTCTCCCACCCCTTCCCACGTGCATGGGATCGGCCATCATTTGGGGAGGCCGATGATGTTGTTTAGGGCACGCGACAAATGAGAGACGACACGTAGTTTAAATGGGGGGTGTGTGCCTGTGTGTGTGCATCTGGTTCACGCGTATTGTTTACTACTTCTTGCTGCTAGTCGACTCACAGGTGATTCTTCTTTCATCCTCTCTTTGACTCTGCTACACTGACACATCTCGATGAATGGGACGCACGTTTACCACTCTGGAATGTGAGGATAATTAAACCCAAAAAGTTGACATACAGAAGTCGACAGTCACATGCTGATAAGATGCGGTGCGATACGCAGGTACTTCCTATTCGTAAGGAAAAAGAAAGAGGCCAGATGTACCTACAGGGGTCCAAAGTGGCCAGTGCTGGAAAATAAAAAAAATTTAGCAGCGAAAAGACACCTGCTAAAGTGTGCTAAATGGGAGCTAGTCGAGCAGCTAATCTGCCACTGTAACTCCACGTAGGGCCTGGTCCAGCAATCAATCTCTCCAAATCTGCCGCTGTGTGTGTCCCGCCCGCCGTGCCGTGCCATTGTTCAAAGTATCTCTCTCCAAGGCAGACAGACCGCTGCTTTGCTCTCCCTTCTCCAACTTGTCCTCGATGCGCACTTCACTTTCAAACGAGAGCATTACTTGCGGAAGCAGCCCCTAGATTTGAGGACGCCTTATCTGGTCGCCCGGAAACTGAATCACTGACGAATCAGCGGCATCGACCGCTCGACTCGTACCTGGCCTCGTCCAGCCACTGGTACCAGACTAGTTCCCGCCCGCCTCTCACAAGCCAGCCGGACATCTCCCAGCCTTGCCCCGAGGCTTCAACACCGACTGCACACCTCGATACCGCCCGCCACCTTGGACGCCCGTCTACTGAAGAGAGGTACTCGCGCGCCAGGTCTCGACGACCCGACATCTCTGCTCTGCTCCCCAGATAAGAAACAGACACCGATCCAGCGCCGTCAGTCCGACCCGCGGCCCTCCCACCCATCCAACACCGCAGCGCCACCCCGGGGCGTGTCGCCGTCCGCCCGCCCGGGCGACAGACTGCCAAAGAGCCAGACCGCCCACCATGTGGTGGATCTTCCGCGTGCTCTTCAGCACCCTCTTCCTCCTCAGCATCGTCCTCTCCATCCCCATCGCCTTCGACGTCGGCGGCCGCGACGCGGGGCTCGCCTACTCCTTCTCCCTCTTCCTCTTCTACGCCGTCTACTCGGCCGCCAAGCTCCTCCTGACGACCACGGCGCCGCGCGCCGGGCCCGCCACCGCACCCGCGCGCCACCTGCGCTGGCTCGTCTCGACCGCCTTCCGCGCCTGCCAGTGGGTCGTCATCCCGACCCTGCTCATCTGGTCGCTCAACCGCTTCTCCGTCGACGCGGGCAGCACCGACTGGGTCGCCCGCACCATCGCCCACGTCACCCCCAAGGTGGGACGGCCGGCCGGATGGCACGAGTGGTTCTTTGGCCAGGGCGGCCTGCTCGAGTCGGTGACGCTGGGCGGCTGGGACCGGACGCTGAGCACGCTGAGCCCCGTCTTCCAGCTGCTCGAGGGGTTCTGCAGCCTGCTCATCATACAGGCCGCCGGCCAGATCACAAAGTACCTGGTCAACCGCGGTAGGAGTGACCTATGGGTGGTACGTTTTGCTTTTTTCTTGCTATCCCCCATATATACAGACTTGCCAGGCGGACCCAAGCTAACCAAACCATTCTTCTTTTTTACAGATCATCCTGCTCGTCATCTCGAGCTCCGTGCTCGCCAGCTCCGTCTACTTCCTCTGGCGGATAGCCCAGTTCCCCGAGCTCGGCAACCGCGACGCTGTCCTCATCGGCGCCACCACGACCTCGGCCTTCTTCCTCTGCGTCTTCTGCATCGGCTCGGGCCGCGGCAACCCCGTCGAGGCCTCCCTGCTCTTCGCCTACGTCGTGCTCTGCATCTACCAGATCTTCACCGACTACCAGCCCTCGTCCCGGGCCCGCGCCGAGGCCGCCGCGCACGACCCGCCGCAGCAGCCCGAGTTTCCGCCTCTGCCGCCCATCATCATGGCCTCGTACTCGACCCTCATCCACATGCTCAGCAGCCTGCCCTCGGCCGTCGGCTCCTCCTTCAGTTTTATTTATGCCGCCTTCCAGACCATCACGCCCTCGGTCATCATCTCGCTGACCTACCGCATCATCGTCTTCTACTGCGCCACGCGCATCATCCCCGCCGTGCGCGAGTCGGGCGCCCGCGCCCTCTCGCAGGAGCCCAGCCTCGAGGACTCGGACACGGCGAGCAAGCTGCTCGGCTTCCTCTCGTGGTTCTCGCCCTCGATCCTCATCGCCATCTACACGAGCCTGCTGCTGCAGCACTTCACCGTCTCGAGCGACGCCGGCGACGACGGCGACGTCGGCTGGACGCTGAGGGGCGGCGACGCCGGCGGCAACACGTGGCGGTGGATCAACGTCGCTGCCACCATGGCGCTGTACTCTGTCGAGCTGTACCTCGGCAGCGACGACGACTCGGGGATGACGAGCCACTGGAAGATGGACTGAACGAGCCGGCGACAGGCCTGTGCTCAAAGGGACGACGCATTGGAATGGGCCTAATGAGTTGCTCTGAGGGCGGACTACGCCCGAGATATATCGAGGGAGAGTGAGAGCCAGAGGCTCTCGGGATTTTCTTCGATTTGAGGCCCGCACGGTCTCGAGAAATATCTTACATGAAGAGCTGAAAGATCATTCAGTAGCCAATGGCACGAGAAAGCCGGATATTGCCCATAAGTACAGCACAACCCCTTCCTCATACACTACCTCCTGTTATCACCCTTTACTCAGGCAAGGGGCTACACTTTTTCACACACGACACATAGAAAACCGGACGGAAATTGGGAACTCAAAACAACCGACACGACATGACATGAAATACCTTTTTCTTTCTCTTTGTATTGTTCCAGGGGGGGAGGGCGGCTTCATACAGCACGGCGTTATACGGTGCACCAAATGGGGCGGCCTCGATTGCAATGATCTTTCTATTTTACTTTTTTGTGGAAACCCCTTCTTTTCTTTTTTATTGTGGTTAGCTTTTACTTCTGATACCGGCTCACGCGAGAGTCTGGCGAGAGAGAGCGAGAAGAGGGCAACTCGTTGAGATATTGTAGTTTGAGAAGGGCTCTCGGGGGGGTTGCTCCCCTAAGGAGCGGCTGCCCTTCTCCAAAGGGAGTTGAATATGATACGCGGCCTTATGAAGTCCTGCTTGAATGCGGAGTGCGAAATGGTATGTTGGCGGTTTGGTCTGGCGTGAGCTTGTAAGCGTATCGCTGGAAGCGCGGATCTCGAGAACCTCGATGCGCAATGCTGCCATCGCCTGGTCTCCTCCATGCTCTGCCGTCAGATTTCCGTGCTCTCTCGTTGTGCGCACTTCTGTTTTGAGTTCATAGCCACGCACCCCAGTCACCTTCAGGACGGTAGTGCTATCATTGTCAAGTGAATGCACGAGATGATCTTGCCTCGTCCGGCATGCTTGATGGCAGCAAGACAGGGAGAATTCCTTTTCTTCTTTAACTGCAATGCCACCTGACATGAGGATAATCTGTTTGCTCTTCCAAGTACTCCGGTGAGCGAACAGTTGCGCACTCCCTGCACCGATTCCCGAGCGCCGTCTTGTCACGTCATGTTAACGGTCTGCTCCGCGCTAGCGTTTTCAATGTTGCTCGTTTCTTACCTTGATACACGGCGCTCGGGATGATCGCTGAGCCTGGATCTCAGAGGCAAACAAAAGGCGCAAAATTGTCTCGGGGTAATGCACTGTCGCAATTGTCTGGAACAATCCGGTCTGGACTGGGTTGGCTTTGGCTCGCATGATCTGTCCTGACACGGTTAGACGTTCTGTACTAGCTGAAGGCAGCGAAGAAGGAAAACTGACTGGAATCTCGCCTTCATGTGGGTAAATTCTTGGCTTTTCGCCCAGAGGAGAGTAGATCCGTGACTACCTCGTTGATTATTCCGGCCAAGAAGAATAAGTTTCAGCTTGCTTTCCGGCAGGGAAAAGCCATCATGGGACAGAAGGTCGGAATTGAAGGGATCGGGCAACCCCTGCCACGAGGCCCCGGCTATCCAGCCCTCATAATAACCAACAGTGCAGGTCGGATTGCATTCGCCAAGAGGATGGGACTCGTCGTCTGACAGGGTGCCGTTCTTGTGTGCCCAGCTCCGGATTTGCATAGTTTTGAGCAGTGGCCTTTTGTTTTCTCATATCTAGGTGCTTGATGTGGGTAAACTTGCCCTGTCTTCGCATCTGCTGGTGCGTGGACTGCCGAGACGGCGTCCGCTGGTGCGTGGACTGCTGAGAAGTCCTCAAATATATAGACTGCTAAGAAGTCCTAAAGTGCGTCGACAAGCCAGAGCCAGCTCAGGAACGGCCACATGGAGGGGTGCCCAACTAAGAGCCCTCAGGCTGAGAACCTCCATGTTGGGAACCACGGTCCGACCGAGTGTCGGAGCCACCATCGTACGATGAGCGACAAGTCGAGAGGCTTGAACTTGTTCTTGTTCTCGTTCTTCCTCGGCATCTTGTCTGCAAGAATGGTCAGTAACTTGAACGAATAGAGCAAGGTGAACAAGAGGCTAGAAGAGGTGACTGCCCCCCACTCCAGTCCTCTGCCAGTGGCAGGATCTCATGTTCCAGGACCCTGGCTGCGCAGCCTCACCACCCGCCACGGCCGAGTCCACTATCTGACCTGAGGGCCGCGCACGAAACAACCAGATAAGACAGTACAGCTGGTCGAGATGCACCTGAATGTCGTATTATTGGAAGGAGAGGATGGTCTGGTGAGGGAGTTCACCACGATATGAAAGCTGGCATTAAGTCGCATGGGAAAGTTGCTCGCGACACCTTCAACAACTAGATGAAGATGTCCTCGCCCACATCAACGTTAAGTCTGAGCATGTCCTAGAAAGTCGCGTCAGAACGGCGTAAGGTGGAGATGGGTGCCACCGAGCAGGTAACATGGACCGTTGGCTTCAATGTTGCCCAACCCGAGCATCCCCATTCCAGGCTAAGATGTTCCGTTTTGGCCCTCTTCGTCCCCGGCTCGTCTGTCAATCACCCGGGGAGCCACCACCATCAATCACACTCTAAACCGTCAGTCCCTCATCTCTTCTGTTCAAGACTCCTCTTCCGTGATTCACGCTTCTCATATAGCCCTCACATCAGTCTTCCCTTGAGTTTCTCTTCACAATCCGACAAGATTCACAAGAGGCAATTCCCATGAGGAACCGCCAAAACCACGCCAGCCGTTTGTCTGTCCGCCACCTAGTTGTCGGTCCTAACTGCTGGCTGGCTGCACCCACTGGACCCAGCAGTGCAGTCCTCCCCAGGTTATCTCTCGCTCTTTCTACTGCCTCTTCGCAACGCCCTCGCCTGTGCCGACGGCGGTTCGTGGGGCGGACACAGAAAGGCGTTAACTAAAGTTAGGCAAACTACTGGTTTCTCATCGCACACCCGCAGGTCCCCAACATTTTGGTGGGGGGATGAGAAGAGGTCGAGATCCCCTTAAACACCGCAGCAACACATCACGTGCAGTTGTTGCCCTCTTAGGCAGGTATTCCCTGTAATAAATCCCTGTCTCTACAACATCAGTGGATGAAAGACATTGGAGTGTTGCTGCGGCGTCTAAAGGGATATAGAAAACTTTATGGATGTCTCCCTTCAGCTTGTTTGCCATTTCTGGCGAAAATCGGGCCCTCTCCACAGGACAACTGACAGATCAATGGTCCATTCACTACAAGTAGCTACCTTAGGTAGTGGATCGTCTCAAACGGTACGGGCGGGTTTCGGGGCGCCGCCCCGGACTTCGAGAGATGCTGCTGCGGGAGACTGGCGTCAAGCCAAAAGTCACCACCATCGTGGCCACGAAGCGCCACCACATCCGCTTTTTCCCAGACCGCGGCGACCGGACCGGCAATGCTCTGCCAGGCACTTTGGTTGAGACGGAGGTCACTCATCCTTTCCATTATGACTTTTACCTCTGCTTGTATGTCGCCATCCAGGGAACCGCCCACCTTGTCCGCTACCATATTATCGAGGATGATGTAAAGATGTCAGTAGATCGCCTGCAAGCAATGATTTATCAGCAGTGCTACCAATACCAGCGTTCTACTACACCGGTGTCCCTGCACCCAGCATTGCCTACGCGATCAGACCAGAACGTCGACATGGTTGCCGTTGAGGCACCAAGGTCCACGTCCATCAAGGACAAGCACAAGGACGCCATACAACGCCTGGCGAGGCCGCGCAAGGTCTCGCACTATCTCGGGAACCTGCAGTGATGTGCCACCCGCCCGGCCGGAAGCAGGATGACCCGGAGTTCTTCGCCACCCGGGAGGACATGATCAAGGCTTCGGAGATGTTTTGCGACCCGATGCACTCAAGCGATGTGAAACCCGGACTCATTGAGGGCGTGTATAACAAGATGATCGTGTCCGCTTCTTGGAACGACGCGGAGAAGGACTGCCCAACGCTCGACATAACCTCTAATGGGTTTGTCGACATGTCCAAGTCAAGATTGCTCCGCGCTATTGACGCATGTGAGTTTGTTTATCCATCCTTGCTAGGTGCGGTACAGTGCACCTAGTGCATTAGGGGTTAGGGCACTGGATTAATATGATCAATGATGATTGACACTGATACCTAGTTACTTAGCAGCCCCTATCCCTCCCGTCGCTGAGAGCGGTCATACCCATTTAATTCACAGCAACGACAGGGATCTTATGGACAAGGATGCGACCCTTTCACGGCATCGTGCCAGACGAATGACTTACGGGATAAACTCATTCGGTCCCTCAACATCAAGTTCATGTTGGTTCCTGTTATGCAGAAGTGGAGGCTACTTGACACACGCCATACACGGGTCTTCTATTCCCATGATGGTGTTCTGAGGCATAATTTAAACAAATTCTTTCCATCACCGGCGAGAGATGCTGGCTGTGGCGGGAGACCAGAATCAAGCCCAAAGTTACCACCATCATGGCCACGAAGCACCACCACATCCGCCTTTTCCCGGAACAGTAATACACTGCCGGGTACTTTGGTTGAGGCGGAGGTCATTCATCCATTTCACTACGACTTTTACCTCTGCTCACACGTCGCCATCCAGGGAACCACCCGCCCTATCCACTACTATACCGCTGAGGACGGCAAGTTGCCAGCAGATCCGCTGCAAACCATGATCTACCAGCAGTGTTATCAGTACCAGCGCTCCACCAGGATCGTGTCCCGGCACCCTGCTCTCTACCACGCCCATCCGGCTGTCCCCTTAACTGTCTGCATCAAGCCCAATACCGGAATCTCCTTCCTCTGCCGCTTCCGCGGTACCAAGATCATCCTGCACCTGAAGGATGAGCAGACCGACTACCTCAACGATAGCAGGATCAAGGAGGTCATCAAGAAGCACTCCGAGTTCATCTCGTACCCCATCTACCTCCACGTTCAGAAGGAGGTTGAGAAGGAGGTCCCCGATGAGGAGGCTGAGGAGACCAAGGAGGTAGAGGGCGACGACAAGAAGCCTAAGATCGAGGAGATCGATGATGACGACGAGGAGAAGAAGCCCAAGACTAAGAAGATCAAGGAGACCAAGATTGAGGAGGAGGAGCTCAACAAGCAGAAGCCCATCTGGACTAGCAACCCCTAGGATATCACCCATTATCCTCCTCATATGCTTCTCCCGGTCTTGCCTTGCAGTCCTGTCTGCAAGCTCCGACAAACGTGCTCTTCAACAGGCAGTCCGGAACTCCCTCTGTGCGCTGCTGCATGACCCATCAAAACAGCCGCGAATAAAAATATCCTCACTGTGTTGGCTAATGTATGCCACTCGATACAAAACGAAATTTCGACCCGGTAATCGAAGTGGACGACACTGATTTTGTATTATGAAAGTAGGCCCTGCTCACCAAGATTGACATGACAAGCTGAGAGCTCAATGTGGGCTCTCTTGTCCCTCTCCCTATTTTTCTCCTCTGGCCTGCTTCCTTCAATTTCAACCACTCCAGGTGTTCTAGAGTCCTGCATTCTCGAATCTCCAGGTGACCAGGTTCGTTCCCGGCAGCGATCCGATATGAGCAGCGTCTCTTGTGACTCTGCGGTGGACATCACGAGGAGTCAGAGGTTGAAGAAACCTAAAGATGTCTCTAGCATACTTAAGGGTGTAATAAATCTAGGATGATGGAGCGGGCTTGTAGTCTGATACTATAGTTGCTGAAAGCCAGGAGCAATAGAAAGTTAGGAGTCGTCTAGATGAGATGGTTAATAGACTTAAGATAACTAAATAGAGCCTTAGATAAGTTATGCTTAACAGTACTGACATAAAGGGCTATAATCAGAATGAAGTAGATAGGGCAGATAGACATGAACTTGTCAGGCAGCTATGTGAGGGTGTGCTCTTTATTGTCATTCTTTTTGCCTTTAGTGTATCTTAGAACGATCTTGATGTAGATGTTCTTATCCTACAACATGCAGACCGAGACATCTCTCCAGCAGATACAGAGCAGGTCACCGTTGGAGTCTGCATAACCGCTGGAGATAGCCATGTCGCCGGCTCTGGTTCTGAAGGCAGGCTTACTTGCACCGAGCGACAGGGAATCAAGATCAGGCCTAAACCGGAGACTGTCGTCTCCAAGCGACTTGAAATGACTCAACAACTCGCCGCCATATTCCATAAGCAACAGGACGCCACCCAGAGCGCCCCTAAGAACACTGTCGACCAGGAGAGCACCCCCTGGAAGAAATGCATCACCTGCACCAAGCCCCGACCTTCCACCGACTTCCAGAAGGATTCTGATGTCGATAATTTCTGTGTAAACCTTTAAAAAGACCCTCTTCCCCAGGTCTATATAGAATATAGTCAAGCTTAATCAGACAAGGACTTCATCTCTACTCGAGGACATAAACTATGACAGTGTGGCATCTATATAGCTACCACCAAGCCCTAGCCTCAATCTAAGACTTAGGTCATTAAGATAGAGACCTCTTATATTATTGTTAACGCTAAGCCAGAGAAAGCGGTCAAGTTCACCTATGAAATTAATGATGATACAGACATTATTAAAGGTGAGTGGGTTCTTGACCAGGCATAGAATGGCATTTAGGATCAGGATATGGAGGATGCAGACGGATGGTAATGGATTTGCTTTTTACATTGACGTTTTCGCAAAGACGGCCTTCACACATGAAGGATCGCAAATTTTGGAAGGATCTGTTGATCAGGGAGGATGTTGTTTTCGTTGGTCAATCGAGGACGATTGAGGTTGGATGTAAATCGCGGGGAACTGACCACACTCACAAGAGCGTATGTATCAAGTCCAGGAACACGCTGAAGCAACGACACGCTGACCTTTCTGCAGCCAACAGATCGATGAGCATGATGGTATGAAATGTGCGCAAGTTGCCAACAAGAAGGTAAGACCCCGCCCCTTTCCTTGAGTGCCACTACTAAGGTAACCATCATTCAGCATCCATGGTACACGATAGCGAATGCCACACCTGCCTGCCTGCTTTGCATGCGTGCATGTGTGGTGCATGCATGATGGATCCATCCTACCTTGCCTTTCTCCGGGAGGGTGTGTGCGTCTTTCCGAACCATGCTGGCAAACTCACTCTTACTTGCGCAACTTACTTTTCACGCGCGCGGGAACGACCATAGAACGAATCCATGTCTTGTCTATATAAGTTTCAGATGATCCCCCCTCTGCGGAACGAGTTTTTGATCTCGAGCATCCACCATCATTCAATCAGCTATTCTTCCAATCATCCATTCTCTTCGCGGACCAAGTCTCGTCCACACTCTCATTACGATGGCCACCAGAACGGCTCGTACCTTCCCCGTCAACAGGCCTCTCCTTACTGGAAGGGCTTTGTCCTCAATATTCGCTCCCCGCATGCCCCGCATGCTACGGGCTTACCACATACAGCCACAGCATCAAACCACCAGCCTCGAACAAGCGCGTGCAACTCAGACAAGGCTGCGTCAGGAGATGATAGCTCAAGATGCAAGGATACAAGAACGACTCCGTGCCCTACACACAAACGGTGTCCAAGCTCCCGTCTCTGAAACCCAAGAGCTACTCCTGGAACACTTTCGGAACGCAACAAAGAATCTTCATGATCATCTCGAGGCCTCGGACGCACTTCTTCAAAATCATGTTCATGTCTCAGAAGATCGGGTTCAGAAGCGTATTCAGGTTGCGGAAGATCACATTCAGAAGCATGCTCAGGCCAAGGAAGATCGCCTTCAGGAGCGTCTTCAGGCCGCAAGCGACTCGCTTCAGGAGCGTCTTCAGGAGCATCTTCAGGAGCATCTTCAAGCCGCAAGTGATTCGCTTCTGGAGCGTCTTCAGGCTATGGATACTGGAAGGTTCGCGGACGGAGAACGCTGGCAGCTCATTGTCCAGCATCTCGATCAAGAGCGAAGAAGAGCCAAGGCACTTGAGGCTATGCCCTGGTACCAGAGGGCATGGGCCAGTCTCGATGCCAAGTAGGTCTTGGGCATCGCCATTTCTTTGGTCTTGAGTCTGATGGTATTATACACACACACACCTGCATTAAGTCAGTCTCATACTAACTTTGACAACACTAGGGTATGAGATACCAATGAAATCGGAAAAGCTACGGTTCCAATTCCGACAAGAAAGCAAGGAGATCGGGTGGGGGAGCATGGAGAGACCAAGCGATGGTTTATATTACTTGCAGAACTGTGTCTGGCATTTCAAGATAATTCCTCTAGCGTACAATGAATAACCAATAGTGGTATTCCCTGTTTCATGCATCCAGCAACCTCATTTCCTGCCGATACCAAGTACAGGTTCGAGAGTGGCTGGTGATTGCCATTGGCGTCGATGTTAATAGCATGTCGCTCTCCACAAACACCCACTTGTCCAATGACTGCGGCACGTCGATGATCACGATCAGTGCCTCCGCAAACATCAAGCTCGAAATCAAGCTCTTCATCCATATCACCTAGCTCTTTTCTATCGGTTCTAGGGAGAACGGCGTCTAAGAGGGTTGGACAAGCCCTATAGAGCTTTTGCAGCTTGCTTGTCAATTCAGCATCCTTCCAGAAGAAGGCGTTGCACAGTGCAAGACAGGTAGTGATCTGCTGTATGTTGGCCTTTACCAGCAGGGGCTTCTCGATATTTGAGTAGTTAGTCTCATACACCTTCTTCTTGAACCACCTAGATAATAGTAAGTATTTTGCTTATGGATTAAAGGTCTAGTTGATCTTACCTATACTAATTCACACCCAGCAGGGTGTTCATATTAACAGGCAGAGCATACTCATCATGAATCAGGCCATAGTGAGAACCAAGGTGGTCATTCAGTCGGGTTATGTCGTGTCGGTACTAAGTGGCTCGTGTCGGTGCTTAGAGTGACTCCTCCTCGACAGTTAGGAGAGGATCATCTTGTGTTGGGCCAGGGTCTCCAGGACGTAGAGGCGGTGCCATGCTGCCAGCGGCACGGGCTTGAGTGGGTGGAACAATGGCTGGCTGCTTTCCCTTGCCTATATCTCTAGGAGCATGGCTACTGAATTGGCTGTGGGCGTGAGGGTTGTTGATGATTGACTGCGAAGTAAATTGGCAGAGAGGCTGGAATACATGTCGAGTCGCAAAGACGTGGTCTATCAAGCTGAGTTGATTGGTTGGCGATATCTTAAGACCTATAAGCAAGCTATTGGACTTTGCCAACTTTATGAAGGCGTTGACCATGAAATTGATAATATTATCTGGAGATCTATTAAGGGAAGTGCTATTGATATTAAGAGCATTCTTAGACATCCTTATATACTGGCTTGCTATAGCCATAAAGTTCTTATGGATGAACTTCAGATGAAGCTAAGAGTGAAGCAGACTAGGAATGATGACCGACCATTAAGTATGGATAGCTAGTGAGTAGCTCTTGAGATGATGTAGTGGCGACTAGAGACGCTTCCAGTCAGATGGAGAAGGCCAGATTCACAGGACCTTACTGTACTCCGCTCTATCATTAATGTCAAGAATAGTGTTAATAAACAGGCTATATATCAGCTCTATCATGCCTTAATACTCTGAATGGGCTGGGTCGGGGGGACGACTCATGATGATGTCGAGAGCAGAGCTGACATAGACCAGTGCAGGCTCTTTATTACTGAGTCCTCACTATATAGCATACTCCTGCTTAGAGACGTTTATTCATTGAAGACTGAGTGCCTTCTGCATCTCTAGTATTTGATGATGATATCGACCATATATAACAATATTAAAGTCAAGAATGTCACTTAGATTGCCCGACTTGATTACAGTCTGTCCAATAAAACACTATCGACAGTACTTATGGGCCTTTAGTCCTTGAAAAGCACCGTTCTTGTCCTATTGGACCATATCTACAATGTACGAGATGGTTGGAACATAAAGCAGGACAGGCTTATTGTTAACAATGGCATCAACACCACGATCAAGCTCTCCAAGACATTGGAGAGCACGAATGGTATCATTAAAGTTCGAGCCATGGGGACTCAGTGTCAAGGGGAAGATATTGGCAGGTCGATACGGGCACTGCCGTCAAGTCCGGCGGGGATCGCGTAACAGGCAGATTGGTGTTATCCCAAGCCTCGAACATTTCTCGGCCATAGGTCTCGATCTCTAGGTCAGTACGGATCGGATGGGTGTGACAAAGCGGAACCATCATGCCCTGGTCAACATCCCAGACTTGGTAGATGAAGATTGACTTTCCCTCCATCTGAGCTGACGGCGAGTGGCTGTATTTAGGATGCAAAGTGGTGTGGCTCTGAAGCATTGATCATTGGGTAATCTACCTAGCCATCCTCTCGGAACGGGCCCGTCGAGGTTGGTTTTGGAGCGCCCATTGCTGGCGCCAAGTTGGTCTGCATTGGCGCTGAATGATAAGGTCAGTTCCGTCGATTTGCTTCTTACGAGTGCTTCTTTTTGTGATGGGCTTGATGTCGGCGGCTGAGGGGTTTTCTCCTCAATGGGCTCTTTGCAGGTAGGCAAGAGGAGGGCAGCAGAGAAAAGTGCCATTACACCACTTACGAAGTAGATACAGACGAAGAGGACCATTCCTCGTTCAAGACTATTCGAAAACAGTGTAATTTCCTGCTCGGCATAGCCCTGTGTATGGCCCGTACTACTCGAAGGAGCAGTCATTGTTCCAAGCTTAAACCCGCGTTCAGCGTTGGAGTTGGACCCACGGCCCAAGACATGCATGTGCATGCACTTGTGCATTTGGAAGACAACGGAACCAACGGCCAACGAAAAAGCAAAGAGCTGGACGCGAGGGATGGATTAGACCAGCGCACAATGTTGGTCGCTGCATAAACAAGGTTAGCACTGGTCCAACGTCCCGTCTGTGCAGATCGGATGGTGTAGTTCGAGTAGCGTAAGCAGCCCCAGGATGCGTTCCACGACAGCGGCAGGTTTGGCAACCTGTCCAACCACCTCCCGTGGACAACACGAGCAGCATCACGCAGCGTCGACGGTTCCCCGCCAAACTCGCCTGTGTTGTAGGTCCAGGCCGACTTGTAGGTCCAGGCCGACGCCGTGGCCCACTGCGTTTGCGTTCAATTCTCCCTTTTCCCAAGAGACAGAGAGGGCAACTCGGCCGGATCACATGTTCGGATCCCGTCACCCACCCTTGATAATTCGCGAGTCGCACCAAGTCAGAGCTGGGCTCAATAGCTGAAAGGGTGCAGCTGCACTGCTGCAGCCACCTCCAGTAGTGCTGCGCTAAAATAGGTCGTTTGGTGGCAAGCAGGAGGCTCGGAAATGGATGAGCTGGAGGTCTGCATCCAATGTGCAATTGCACAATTGCAACACGCACAGACAGTGGAGGTTGGCTTGGGGCTGGTGGGGGCCTGATCTCACTTCTTGATCGACACTACAGGGGTGCCTGCTCCGGGATCGATGGGGTGAGGGGTCAAGTTGGTCTTGTCTTGGGGGTTCATCCACGACAAACCCGACGTCACTCGAGCGAGCCAGCCTCGTCGGCGCCTAACCACATCCATCATACCTATTTTAACTACCCCTTTGCTCTCCACAAGCTTTCGTCTTCTCTTCCCATTCCCATTTCCTACCTCCGCTAAAGGCTTCGTCTCCTCTTGGCGGCACCAAGCACAGCACCGTCGACCAGACAAATCATATTTCGATTGCATGACTTGCCTCTCTCGGTGGCTTCCATTCATCTTCATCAGCCAGCCACCCGCAGTCCTCGAGCCTGACCTCGACACCAAGCTCGAGCCAACAAGTGTGTGATACCGCACCCGACCTCCACATCCGGGCCTCCCTAACACGAGACCAGAAAAGACCCTCCTTGTCATGGATCCAGTCAGTATCGTACCGGTCCTGGACCCCGACGTCGAGACAACTAGACAAGACCTTTGTTCGATCTCCACTCTCGACCTCGAATTCAAGCCACCGCTCACTGAAATGGCAAAAAACCTCTGTGCCCATAATACATCACATGGCTGTGAAAACGGAGCAGAATCTTGGGAGAAGCTCTGTCCTGTTTGCCAAAAGAGAAAGTGCTCATAAGAGCTTCGCTGGGAAATCGTGCAAGAAGGGTACCTACCTAGGTATCAACTAGGGTCCAGCTGCCCTTTGAAGTGTCCAATTTTTTTCCCGGAGGAACGACGGGAGGACGGAAACACGTATCTTGTTCGACCATTGCTTGATCATTGATGTATCTATCTAGGTATCATTCATCCATTCCTTTCAATGTGACGGATCAATAAGGTACTTTCGGGGCCCTTGCTCGTTTCCACTAGGTAGGCTGCTGGGCCACCATTACGGTGGATGCCTGTCCCACTTCGGAAGGCCTTTGCCTTGCGGGGGGACGGCGCTTGTGTTAGCGTGGCGCCCGGTGCTTGGAGCTATGGCTCCCTCGGCGGCGCCTTTTGCCTCATCTTGCACGAGTCAACTCGGCGGGAAGATAGCCTTTCTAGCTAGCACGTAGGTGCATATTCAATTGTTCGTTTTCCTACCTCCTCCCAAGCAGCTAACCGCCTTCCAATCTTGGTCGTCGCGGATGAAGTGGTGTGTCTCCGCTTGGGGCGTTCATGGCAAGCGGCGCGGCCCCCCTTCTGCCAAGACATACATCTCTTAGCTTTCCGGAGGGCGGAGCTCGACGCATGACTCCCTAGTCCGAGTTTCCCTGTGTGCTTCTATGATGGAACAGCAAAGGTTAGGTGCTGCTGGTTGCCTTATCTGGCTTTCCTGCTGTGGCTCCGGCTTCTGACTAGCATGCCCCGTCTTCTCGTTGCCCCCCCTCCGGCCAAGAAGCCGCCGGGATGTTTGACTCGACCGTTGAGGTCCTCGAACTGCTAGCCTGGACGCACTTACACTACCCTGTCCATTCCTGTAATCTCGGTGGCAATGGGCTACATACATCGATGGAGATGGCTGGCTGAATACATATTCGAGCACATGGCATCTCCCCCGTCTCCGGACCTTGTTCTTCCCTCTTCTTCTCATCTCATACTTCTATTCAGTTACAACAGCCCACGCCGTATCACGTATCAAACCTTGCCCGTGGGTGCTCAGTACTGTAGCCATACAGGACAGCAGTGGCAGAATCAGCTGCACCCCGTTTGCTCAACAGCATAATTCGCTGTTCAACCGTCTTGTTTCTGGCAGAGTGTCCTCTTTTTTGAACGGAACATTTCCCACTGAAAACAGCAAACCGCAGCCATGGGCTTGCTGCCACTCAACTACCGGCGCCCGGCGCTCGTGAGAGACAATGGCCAATCGTCCAGCACCTCTTCTGCATCGTCGAACAACAGTGGTGCAAGGACCGGGTCGGCTGACTCTATGACATCCGGCTCGTCTGCGGGCATTCCCAATGCCCTCTCCTTCAACCGCATCATGGACGGCGGGACTTGCCCAGTAAGTCTTGGAAACCATGCAGTGTCTTCTCCAACAACCTCTCTGCTAAGCAAGACCGGCACAGCCCTGTACAGTTCGTGACTTCATGAACTACTTGATCTACGTGGAGAGGTCGGCAGAGAACCTTCAGTTCTTCCTCTGGTACCGCGACTACGTCCGGCGCTTCGCCGAGGCTGACACGTCCGACATCGCGCTGGCGCAGGAGTGGACGCAGGCTATGGAGGACGAAGCCGTGGCCAAGATCCAGAAGGACCACGTCGAAAAGCTACGGAGACAACCTCCCGCGGCTGCCATCTTCAAGGGCACGGATTTCGAAAAGGGCGAGCAGTCGGCTGCGCACTCCGAGGGCGGAGATCCCTTCGGCACGCCTCCAAGGTCGCTGGGGGGAGACCAGGACTCGTACCTTTCCGGCTCCCGGATGACTGGGACATACAGGGAGCAGGCAAGCGAGGCCTTCACCCAGGCCGGCATCAAGCAGCCTTGTAAGTGAGAATCACGACCCTTGGGACATGGGCGGCTTGCTACGAAGCGTTTCTGACCAAAGTCTTCCCGAGTCACCAAGTCACCATCCAGCCGTTCCGGGGAGAGATCGACCGCGTGATCGCAACGTACATCATGGACGACGCCCCGCGCCAGCTGAACCTGTCCTCGCGGGACCAAAAGGCCGTCCTCGCGGCCCTGGCGTACACGACCCACCCGTCGGCCCTGCGCACGACGGCCGCCGGCATTGAGGCCACGCTGCGGCACCAGGCGCACCCCAACTTCATCCGCTGGTCCGTCTGCAACGGCAACCCGGCGCGTGTGTGCTTCGCGCGCGCGCTGGGCGCCTCGACGGTCGCGCTCGCCACGGCGGCGGCGCTGGTCCTGACGCTGTCGCGCGCGGGGCGCGGGTACCGCGCCGTCGCGGCCGTGGGCTGGGCGCTGGGCATGGCGACGCTCGTCGCGGCGGGCAAGGGCATGTGCGTCGTGCTGCACGGCTTGCACCACCGGCACGTGCGGCCGTGGGAGCTGTTTGAGAGCGACGACGAGGACGGCGTCGGCGGCGGCGGCGGCGGCGGCAGCGAGGCGGAGAAGGGCAAGATGCGGAAGGGGCCGGCCGCGTCGTCGTTCGACTCGTTCGGCAGCGGCAACAGCTACGAGGAGGAGCCGTGGGTGATCCGGTACCGGGAGAGGAACGTGGTGCGCAAGATCTTCGACCGCGAGGTGTGGATCCGGGAGCCGGCGCTGCGGCAGATCCAGGACACCATCTTTGTGCAGGCGGTGCTGGGCGGGCTGCTGTTCGCGGGGGTGATGTGTGCTATTTTTGTCCCTGTTCCCGGTGGTGGGTTCTTCTGATGGATGGGTATCGTGGGAAGAGTTGTGTGGGAGGATTTTGTTTCCTCTGGAAGGTCGGCTTGATACTGGCATTGTAGATGGTTTCCCGGGTGGGACAGAGGAGCATTCGGAGAATGTATGCTTAGAAAAGAAAATACGGGGTCCGAGAATGTACGGAGTTATTGATTCGGAAGAGTTCTTATTCAATGCCTCTTTCTCTTGACTTTATTGGGTTATAATCTACAAAGGCAGTTACTTGAAGCCAGCCCTTTGATGATAATGCTTGAACTACACGTACACGGCGGTCCAGATCACCTCTGCAACGGTGTGGAATGTCGAGGCAAGTACATCTTCAGACTGCAAGGGGTTCCTTCCTTACCACTCACTCATATCCTTCCTCCTTCTTCCCACCTCTACCATGGGAAAGAATAACACCGAGCAGGTTCTTTGACAGCAGGGTCGTACCGAGATGCCATCCGTGCTTCCTCCATGGGATCCGGCCTGACTAACACCCTGCGTCGCCCAATCTGCCTCGGCACCGGCGGATGCCCTATTTGGTCCTGTAACGTGGTGGGCGGGCGCCTGTCAGACTCCGCGCTGACTCCACAACTCCGGCCTCGGGCCAAGGGCAACAGCGCTGTTGGCTCTCAACTGGCGGGGGCTTTTTTGGGGAGGCTCCTCCTCTCCTCTCAACACATCGTCCACTGCGGGGATTAAAATACCTGTAAGCTTGTCGCCGGCTGTTATCGATAAAGAAAAAATAAGAAAAACCCCAGTTCTTGCACGGATGTAGCGCATGTGAGGATATCTACACCGTACATGTCAGAATGTCAGGCTGAGGAACCGCACATTTTCATTTTATAAAATCGCAGGCTGCCAAGGGTTGCCGCGCGTTCCGCTCCATGGAAACAACAGCGAGGGCATCACCAGCACTGTCAATGCCTCCCTGAGCCCAAGAAACGCATCGAGGGTTCCCCGTGATCGCCCATACGCACACACGCGACTCAACGGCGGCTGAACCGCTAGCTAGCAGCATCTGGAGCGCTGAGGGGTGGCTCTGGCCCTACTAAACCTTCCTAGACCGAGGTCCCCCCTCCACCAACAACCGCCAACGGAAACCTCACCAGCCCCAATCCTGCTGTTCTGCAAAGGACCAGGACCAGGACCAAACACCGCCAGCTCGTCATGGTGGCTCCGGCAGAGTCAACGGCCTCGAGGCCGGACGCCGACCGGCCCCAGACGGCGACCACCACGGCCGAGATTGACAGCACCATTGCCCATCCCGGCTCCGTGCGCATCAACGTCAAGGGCGCATTCATCGTCGACCAGGTCCCGGGCTCTCCAACCGCTGGGCCCGGCGGCCGCAACGGCTCGCCAGACAACCACCAGACCAAGGACATCCGGCTGCCAAACCATACGGCAGTCGTGTCGCATGTAGCCATTGATGTAAGTGTTTGCCTGCTGCTGGGCCGCATTTCCCTGGGAGGAAGTAAAAATATTCTGCGGCTGACCTTTCCCCCTCTTCTCTCTCATACAGATCGGTGGCTCTCTCGCAAAGCTCGTCTACTTTTCCAGAGAGGCAAACTCGACCGAACCCGGTGGTCGCCTCAACTTCATGAACTTCGAGACGGACAGGATAGACGACTGCATAGAATTCATCCGCGGTCTACGGGATAGACACCAGGCCCTCAATGGCTCCAAGCCGGGCGCCATGACGGTCATGGCGACTGGTGGCGGCGCCTACAAGTACTACGACAGGATCCGGGAGCGGCTCGGCGTCGACGTCCTCCGCGAGGACGAGATGGAGTGCCTGATCATCGGCCTCGACTTCTTCATCGCCGAGATCCCGCGCGAGGTCTTTACCTACTCCGAGACGGACCCCATGCACTTTGCGACCCCGAGCGACAACATCTATCCCTACCTCCTCGTCAACATCGGCTCCGGCGTCTCGATGCTCAAGGTCTCTGGACCCCGGCAGTACCAGCGCGTCGGCGGTACCTCGCTGGGAGGCGGTACCCTCTGGGGCCTGCTGTCCCTCCTCACGGGCGCCCGCAGCTTCGACGAGATGCTCGACCTCGCCTCCCGGGGCGACAACACCAAGGTCGACATGCTCGTGGGCGACATCTACGGCACAGACTATGGTAAGATCGGGCTGAAGAGCACCACCATCGCCTCATCCTTTGGCAAGGTCTTCCGCATGAAGCGCGAGGCCGAGGACGAGGCAGAAGACAGCGGCGGCCTCCACCAGCATCACGAGGGCGAGTACCACGCCGCCACGAACCCCGACGGCGTCGGCGCGGCCCCCGACCACCACCATTCTGCGTCGGCCACTGCCGCAACACCCCACGCCTCGTCGTCGTCGCCGTCGTCGGGGCCAGACGGCTTCTCCAGCGCCGACGTGTCGCGTTCGCTGCTGTACGCCATCTCCAACAACATCGGCCAGATCGCCTTCCTGCAGTCGCAGCTGCACAACCTGTCGCACATCTACTTTGGCGGGTCCTTCATCCGCGGCCATCCGCAGACCATGAACACGCTGAGCTACGCCATCAAGTTCTGGAGTAAAGGCAAGAGCCAGGCCTACTTCCTCCGCCACGAGGGCTACCTCGGCTCCGTCGGCGCCTTCCTCAAGCGCCAGCCGCCCAACTGGGGCCGGCGCGGCAGCTTCGAGGGCCAGTTCGAGACTAGGGTCAGCGGGCGCCTCGGGGAGCTCGTCGGAGAAGAGGCCGCCGCGTCCGCACCCGAGTCGGCGATTGTATGAGTATGGATGAAAGGAGGGAGCCGAGGGCTCTATACATATCCCTACATACATACATATATATAAACAGCGTGTGGGAAGGATATTCTGCGAGGCGGTGGAACAGGGCCCAACCCCAGAAAGGGGGACCCGTTTTATTGAGCGACGGCGTGGATGTGGATTTGTATATCTCACACAGCATTACTTCAGTGAGCGGCATCAAGAATATGCTGGTGCTTGAAGAGCGAGAAGCCAGGCCCCCTCATACAATGGATCGGGTTTAATAATAGAATGTTTTCCAGCACGTTGAAACCGAGCGCTGCGTTGCATCAAGATGTCTTGTGTGTGAGTGGTATCATTCAATATCGGTACAATAATCTCATCATCCGAGAACCTATGTGTCTCGTTTTTGTATGTACATGCCAGGCGGCACTAAGCTCGAGCTCTAGCGCCGCTCGCCGTATATGGCATCCGTTTCACCCTTTGTACTATTCTTCATCTCCTCGTGTTGTCTATGACCGCTTCCTTCTTGTCTCCGCCGCCTACCGTCCGCAGCGAGTCCGCCCGCGCCGCCGCGGCCTCGTCCCTCGCGCGCGCCGCGGCCTGGGCCTCGTGCCACTGGTCCTTCCACTTCTGCCTCGCCTCGGCGAACTCCTCCCTCATCTTCTCCTTCTTGCCCTCGTCCTTCTCGAGCCTGAGCACCCGCGCCACCCACTTGTCGAGCTCGCTGGCCGCCTCGCCGGCGCCGGCGCCCTCGCCGTCGTCGTCGTCCTTGCGGCGGAAGTAGACCTTGGCCAGGAACTCCTGCACCTCGCGCTCGGCCTCCTCCTCCGTCTGGGGCGCCTTGCCAGAGCCGTCGCCGTCGGGCCCCATGCCGAGCAGCTGCGCGCGGGCGCGGGCGCGCATCTCCTCGGCGCTCGAGACGTCAAAGGCGAAGGCCAGCCCCCCCGTCATCATGATGCCCCAGCTCAGGACGCTCAGGGTGGCGAGGTTGAGCGCCTCGAGGGCGATGAGGGGCCCGTCCGGGTCGCGGCGGGGGGCCGCGTCGGGCCGCAGGTAGCTCTCGTCGAAGAGCTTTGGGTAGGCGGCCGCCGTGCGGCGGCGGACGGCGCGGCGGGCGAGGAGGGTCGACCAGGTCAGGAAGCCGGCGCCGACGAAGAAGACGCCCAGCTGCTTGAGGGTGCGGGTGGAGAAGAGGGAGGAGGAGGAGGAGGAGGAGGAGGAGGGCGGTTGCTGTTGTTGTTGCGCGGGCGGTTGTTGTGGCTCGTAGAGTTGCGGCTGGGCCGGCGGGGGTTGTGGTTGTTGGGAATCTGAGGAGGATGGAGCCATCTTGGGATGCGTCTCTTTTGGTTTATGGTGTAACAGGGCTTTGGGAGGGCGAGTAGCTCCGGTTCTGGGCCTCGCACGAGAGGCGTTCTCGCGAGACGAATACCTAGAGAGGCAGCTAGGTGGCTTGTCGTAAGACTAAGGCACCTAAGGATGAAACTTGTCTCTCTCTATCGTGAAGGGGATGATGGACCGTTGTTGATGACGTCTGTGCTTGGCCCAATTGAGCATCAGTCTCGAGTCACTCCTCGTGAAAAACGTGGAGTCGAGAATGCGGAGAGAGAGGGAGAGAGATCGAGAGAAGCTTGGGTCCGTGGACTCCTCAAAAGTTCTCGAGCCATGTGGGTCCGGGGTTGCTCGGCGGTCAGGGGTTGTCGAATCCCGCCTACGGCCACTACTCCGTAACTAAATTTCCAGGGCCGTTTGTTTTAGTGGACCACGTTTGAACTAATCTCAGTACAACAATACTTGTAGAAACGGCGGCAATTTCAAAACGCTGGTCATTGGAGCAAAACTACGTTGATATCTTCAACTGTTCTCACTCAGCACTACGTAACTTGCTCGATCTCGAGATAGGTCCCCTCTCGGAAGCCATGGCAAAACCGGGAAAGGGAAAGGCAAACAACACGAGTGCTCAAGGCGCACAGACCACGACGACACCAGCCTCGTCATCAAGCTCTTCACCACCAAACTGGCCCGCATTCAAGCCACCCCTGCCCCTACCCGGCTTGTCGCTCGAGCTTGAGCCCCTGGTAGAAGACCAGATAGTAGTGGTCAGGAACTTCTGGCCGCGCTCGCTCTGCAGAGACTACGTCTCGTTTCTCAAGACCCTGCCGCTGGTGACGACGCCGGGCAAGCCCAAGAAGGGCGATGCGGTGCGTGTCAATGACCGCTTTGAGATCAACGATGCCCGATTCGCAGACAGGCTCTGGAGCCAGACCGGCCTGAAAGATGTCGTGTTGCAGGACGAGGAGGCTCGTCGGTTATGGGGCGGTGAGCCGGTAGGCCTCAACCCTCGCATCCGCGTATACAGATACTCAAAGGGCCAATACTTTGCTGCCCACTGTAAGCAGTCAAATCTCTCTGCTGTCGAACCACCCCAGGATTGTCCGAATAACACCCGTCTCTGCAGATGATGACTACAACGCCGTCACGGTCAATGACAAGCCGGCCAAGACGACATGGACCCTCCTTCTGTATCTCACCTCGGCTGCCGAGGGTTGCTCAGGGGGCGAGACGGTATTCTATCCCCATGACAGGATCTCCGCCAAGGAAGAGATTCCCGTCTCCCTCGAGACGGGTATGCTGCTCCTACACAAACATGGCGATGACTGCATGCTGGTATGTACAACAATGTCCTCTTCCAATCCGGCAGTGGTGTATGCTGATTCATCCGGCCATAGCACGAGGGAAGACAAGTCACGGCCGGAGAGAAATGGGTCTTGAGGAGTGACCTGTGTATTGCGAAATGATTAACTCTACCGCAAACCTGTGGCTTGACAACGAAGCCGTGTTGCCAAGCATCCGTAGGCTTTGGGAAATGGTGAAAGTCTGGATGAGCTATGGCACCTTGATCCCATCATCTTCTCGACTCCATCCCAATACATCGCCCCCATGCTACCCATCGCCGAGAATCCCATGATCGATCCGACACTAAGAATTGCCCTCCTTGGCTCTAATCAAACACCTCCCCAGAATCTCCTCTCTCAAAATGCCCCATTGCGCGTTTAGCCTCCTCGAAGTCGCCGAAGATCAGTCGCCAAACAGCCTTGCTGCCCTCTCTAGGACATTCTCCTCCTTCGATATGGTGATGACCTCCGGTTCGATCTCAAAGCTGTCATCTCCGTCGGATTCATCGGACGCAGGGACATCTTCAGCGACCAAGCCGGCTACGTCTTGTGTGCCATCCATGTTGGCCACTCCATTCGTCTCCTCCACTGGGGAGGATGTCTCCTGAATCTCAAGAGCTCCAGGCAGACCGGTTTCTGCAAGAGCTTCGCCAGTGACATTCGGCGAGGCCGACGATGCGGATGCCGCTTCATTTCGGCTACCACTCGCAGGAGGCTCATCAATGGACAGATCCACCAAGGCCTGGTTTTCCTTTGCCTCCTGTTCCGAACTAGGTGTACTCGAGCCTTCGACCTCTGCTGTGTTTTGCACATCGACCCGTGCTCCTTGGTCTTCTTGACCAGACACGACACTCTCAATGTCATCGTCCTCCTCGTTGTCCGAATCATGACTGAAGAAGTTGATGATCTCTCCACGGTGGAAGACTACTCCGCCAGCAGTGCGAACGTAGTCCATCTCGTTCACCTCGTCCACTCCCAGGCTTTCTGGAGTGTCCTCCGTCAGGCTCTCCGGACTATCGGCCGTAGCAGCATTGTCGATTTTTCCAGAGATACGCTTGAGCTCCGGTTCCGTCGACGACCCCGTGGCAATCTTGCCGAGCTCCTTGTGGAAGATCCACGGGAAGCTGATCAGCGGCATGGACTTGGCGTTCATCTTGCGCCTGTACACCCTGCCGCCGGAGCTGATGTTGTCTCGGTTGCACTCGTGTATGGCGATCCGCACCTCCTCCTGTGTGATCTTATACATGGCGGCCACAAAGTGGTGAAGCTTGTCGGGATCCTCCCTTGTGCCCCCCGCCGCCTTGACGCAGATGTCCTTGAAGCGCGCCTTGAGGGCCGAGGCCTCCCGGCTGACCTCCTCGGACTGCTTGTAGTCTGAACCGAACCGCGGCTTGGACAGGATGAACGAGGACCAGACCTCGAACTCGGTCTTGATCTCCCTCTGGCCCATGAGCTGCCTCATCGCCATGTCGTACCTCGACTTGATGCGCCGCGCCTCTTTCAGCATCTCATTCTCCAATTTGTAGCGCTTCAGGATCCTCTCGTCAAAGGGCATATCGTACGCGGGCTGGAAGTCGATAGTCTGCACCTCGTCATAGAGCTGGCCGAGTATCCGGCCCGAGTGGTAAGGCTTCTTGTGGCGTTTCTCCATGAAATGGGGCCAGTCTCTGGGGTTGAGGTACTTGGGCATCTGGGCCGGGTCACCTGTCTTGACGTAGTCGACCGCCTTGGAATGCAAAGCTGCGAGCTGCAGGCCTATTTCCCACAAGGTTTAGCTAATATGGATGAAATATATATCAGAACTGGTGACTCACATTTCGGATTCTTTGCTCCTCCATCCAGTCGATCTGCTTGGGCAAGATGTGCATGAGCAATTCTCGGAAGCGAGTCGTTCTTCATGTAGATAACGAAGAACCTCATGAGATCACCCAGTGTGACCTGATCAACCACCGGGGGCTTGGGGGCCGTATAATTCATAGGTGGGTAGTTCCACTCTGTCTGGGGCGGGATCAATTCCTCGTCCCAAAAGACAAAGTAGTCGTCGCCGTCTAGATCGCCTCCTGAGCACATTCCCGCTACGTCGCGATCGCCCTGGCTAGGCAGGACGACAACATCCCTCAGATGGCGAAGTTCGGGTACATCAACCGCCTCCACGACACGGATGTCACCGGGATGCAGCGAAGGGTTTCGACCCAGCACGCACAGGCCGTTGATCACCCTGTACTCTCCTTTGGCAAGGGGGTTGGGCACCTGAAGGAAGATTTGCGGGAGCTGACTTGGGTCACATCGAGCCTCTTGATCCGTCTCAGTCTGAGTCGAGTGGCCTCTCAAGGTACCCGTCTCATCGACGCAGCCTAGAAGAAAGGCACCATCTTCGACGGCTATTCTCGCCTTTTCTTTGATGAGTTTGACCGACCACGACCTCCAGAGACGAAGCAAACTCCAGACAAATGGCTCGTGCACATGCATGAATCCGTTCAAGACCATCTTCGCCATAGTCAATGTGGTCTGGTGCTCATCGACAGAACGAGATAGCTGAAAGACGGCTTCCTTCTCGGACTCCATGGCGCTATTGATACCGGACAGCTGCTTGCCTAGTAGGCGGTGGAATACGTGGCCGGGAACGCCCAAGCAGCTCAGGATGGTGATGCTCTGTCTATTGAGCGTCGGCGTCGAGAAAGAAGAGCATCGGATAACCTCTAGGCCGTTGAAAACAGCACCGGTGAACTTTTCCTGTGAAGGACGGATGTGCACTTCTCCCCTCTTCGCCACTGGCCAAGTTACCAACATACCCTTGCAGCCACCCATTCGGAACTGGAATGCGGAGGGGATATAGTCGAGCCGTAGATGGTTCGCAGCCATGCGCGCCCAGAAGGTAGAGATCTTGCCCACGCCATCTGTGAAGCAAAAGCCGTTCCTTGTGATGTCTTCAATGGTCACAAGCTGAGGGACCGAAAATCCAGGGATCAGTCGCGTCGTGGAGAAACACTGGCCGAGTCTTGCCGCGTATTTTGCAATGTTTTTGATATGGGAAAAGTCACCCATCCAATTCCTGATGTCTTCGCACTTGACGTGGTCAGTCTCGGCGAAGAAGAACGCACCGTTGTCGCGAAGCTGGGAGTTGCCCCAGGCGAGCAACTTGTAGTGGCGGTCCCCTATGCGGATACCATTCATCAAGCATCTGAAGATGCGGACGAAGATCTCGTCGTTCTTCTTCGCATCTACGGAGGCATTGACCCGACCCTCTGGTAGCTCATCTGCGAACTGAACGCGAAGAAACCGGTCCTTGAGGTCTTTGTACTCTCTCAAGACCCTGTTATTCGTTTCCACAGTCGGAGTGGTGAAGTAGATCGTAGTTGGGGTGAGAATAGCCTTCCTCACCAGAGCACAGTACTCCGGTATCGAATACTCCGTCACATTGGGGAAGTATGTGATCACGTCAATATCAGAGAAGATCTCTGATGGATTGAACACCCGTGTACCCCGTTCGGTCAAGAATTCAAGCATCATCCTGGCTTGATCCGCATCGAGGTGTGCAAGTTTCTGAACAAAGTCCTGGCCAATATTCTGTTCGAGAATTATCCCGCGCGAAAGGCAGACCTCTAGTTGGTATCGGACATCAAAACGCAGTGATGTGTGAGCAATCTGTCCCAGTAAGGCTACTGCCGAGCTGCTTGACTCAGCTGCATGAAGCGAGCCATCCAGCGTTTGGCGCAGGTCAGACTGCTTGCCAGCCACAACCTCAAAGCTGCTTGGGCTCGACGTCTTGATGTTGTAATCTCGTAGGTCACGCTCCAGGCTGGGCCATTCGGCAGCAGACTTGCTGTTCAGTTGAAGTCGGTACGTTGTCCATCTGCCGATATCAATGAACTGTTGGGTCTTGTCTAACGACACAACCGCATTCTTCATTGATGGTGGATCTGCCATGATGTTGATCTGTCGATGCCAAAGGTCCCAATCTATCCACGATAAGCGGTCGCTAGAATGTGTCAAGTCGATGCGGTCCATCTTGCGGTAGAAGAGGGGAGGGTGTTCCAAATGGATGACCAAGGCGATCCCACTCGCTTCTTGCTCCTGGCAAATGAGCTTCTTCAGCTGAGAAAAAGCGATCTCGGCTTTGTAATGATGTGTCGTGGTGGTGGCGCTTCCATCAAATTCATACGCCTCAATTTCCAGCTCAGCCCAATTGAGCGAGAATTCCAGGGACAGGCGCATGCGTCTGAAGTCAATGGATAGACGGCAAGCACCAGATGCTGCAGATGGCTGGATCGTCCGCATGCTCATCATGACATTTAGCTCGGAGAGGAGGCCGAATTGAATGCTCGAAAGGCTCAAGACAGATTTCGCCACGACTCGTCTGCCCACTGGAGTCAACACTCTCTCGTCAAAGGGTCTGAACCCGTGTCTGTCAATCTCAACACGGGCCTTCACCGCGGGGGCCTCGTGTCGAGGTATCTGCCAGAAACCAGACTGCCAGTAGTTGATCTTTGGGGGAGGCTCAATGCGTACTATCGCCGTTCCGCTTCTCTCGCCTTGGCGGTTCTCAAAGAGTTCGATAAAAGTCACATTGACCTTTCTTCGAAAGGAGTTGTGGATGTCCCACGTTGTCACATCAGGGGGGAGATTGGACAATCTCAATTTTAGGCTGCTGTATTGTTGCCATTGTGGTGCAGCTGGGGTTCGTCCCCTTGGATGCTGATTGATGCCGCCTCGAAATGCCGGGGGTCTTCTAGGGGCCGCACCACCAGCCTTCACGTGTTGATCAGGATAACTGGAAGGCTGGAGAGCACCTGTCGTAGCGGGTGCAGGAGGCGTCGGACCTGCAGCAGCACTGGCTGCACTCTCAGCAGGCTGTGACATGTTCAAGGTCCTCTGCTGTGTAGTATGAGCTAGATGGCTTTGGACATTTTTGAGAACAAGCCTCTTCTGTGATGGATGATAGCGACGCCTTGACACCCTGGGCGTGGTCGAGACGTCGAGATGAGGCAAGGAAGAGTGTTTGGGAAGCGCGTTGATTTGTCGGCGGAGACCTTTTGAGAAGTCGAATCTCAATAGCCACCAGCCAGTGACTTGTGAGCAGGGTAGAGTACTCCAGGTAGGTGAGGGCAGAAAGGGAAGGGTTAGAGTGAGTTTATGGTGATGATAAAATTTCACACGAGTATGGCTGCAAAAAGGGTGAAGAGTAGAAACGCGCAGCAGGCGAAGTGGGAAGAGGACAGAGCAGGCAGGAGCGCTTGAGAAGCCTCGCGCTTCCACTTTTTGGATGGGGAAAAACGATAAAAGAAATCGACCAGAACCAGCGAAGAGAAATCTGCTAGGATTCTGTCCGGTCGAGGGTAACGATCACAACATTTGTTTGTCGGCTTGTGGCAGCATTTAGGTGGCAGCCTATCAAGCAAATTTGAGAAAGCAGACGATCGGATGAAAATGAATGCAGTTAGTAGACGCAGCTGTATTGCACATCAAGTGGACTTCTTGAGTGACGAGAAGCAAGAAAGATGCTAAGAATGCCCCTGATGCAGATTTTCCCCTTTTCAACACATGCAGTCTGTCAAAAGGAGCAACATGCAAACAATGGAGAATGGAACCCACAATGCAATGGCCAAACAACCTTGACGTTCCACAAACCCAATCTGGCCGGCTCTCTGTCCTTACATTTTCAAGAACTCCAGATTTCTCCTCCTCCCCGGAACCATCACATCAAACCGGCGTCTGCCGGTCAAATATCTTGCCCGGATTCCTGGAGCAGGCTAGGTTAGCCACGCTGCACATACAAAGATGGCTTTGAGCCAGGAGAAACCTACATAATCCAGTACGGGTCCAGAGCGGCCTTGATCGCTTTCTATACAGGGTGTCAGCACCAAAACTCGTCGAGAAATGATACGAAAAGGACCTACCATGACTGCCAAGGTATCCGGACCAACCTCCCAGAGGAGCGACTCCTTCTTGCCCCAGCCGATGGAATGCTCTCCGGTGCACGTTCCCTCCATGGTGAGCGCCCGCTTCACCATGTTCTTGACGCACGTCTCGACCTTGTCCAGCTCCCCTTCGTTTTTGCGGTTGTACATGATGCTCTCGTGGAAGTTGCCGTCGCCTACGTGGCCCAGAATGCTGGCGAACAATCCCAGGTCGTCCATCTCCTTCTTGCTGACCTCGATGATGTCTGCTAGCCTGCTGAACGGCACAGCAACATCGGTACTCCCTTGGATGACAGCCATTAGCAAATAAACAAACAAAAAAAACCAAAAAAAAAAGAGGCCGATGCGGTCTCGAGGCATCACGACCGGGCCCCTGTTCCAAGAACTACTTACAGACTTCGTCGCCGTCCCTCCTCAGCGCCAGCATCGACCAGAGCGACTCCTTGCGCGCGGACCACAGCAGCTTCTGCTCCCGCGCGTCCTTGGCGAACTCAAAGTGGCTGCCCCTGTTGGCCTGGGTGATCTTCTGCACGTGCGCGATGTTCTCCCGGACGCCGGCCTTGGTGCCCGAGAACTTGAAGAAGAGCGTCGGCGCCTCCTGCCACACGCGCGGCGCCGTGGCCCCGCCGAGGTTCACGACCTTCATCTGCACCTCGTCCATGATCTCCATCGCGGCCACGGGGATGCCCGCCTGCATCACGCCGGCGGCCGCCGAGGCCGCGTCCCGGATCGTCGGGAACGTGACCACCGCCACCGAGAAGTCCTCCGGGATGACGGTGAGCTTGAGAGTTGCTGTTTTTCCCGTGAAGGTCAGTCTGTTGTTTCTCTCTTACTTCTGCCAGGCAGCTACTACTGCTACCCTCACGTACCTTCAGTCACGAGACCGAGTGTGCCTTCGGAGCCCACAAACAGCCCGTTGAGGTTGTAGCCCGCGGACGACTTGCGCGGCCTCTTCCGAGTCTTGATCACGGTCCCGTCAGAAAGCACGACAGTCAGGTTGATGACCCAGTCTTTCATGGTGCCATATCGAACGGCATTCGTCCCGGAGCAGTTGGTGCCGATCATGCCGCCGATCTTGGCACTCGGGCCCGGGTCGATGGGGAAGAAGAGGCCACTTCCCATCTTGGCGAGCTGCTCGTTGAGGTCCTGCCACCCGATGCTGGGCTGCACCACAATATCCATGTCCTCCTTGTTGAACTGGACGATCTTGTCCATGTAGGCGAAGTCAACACTGATGCCTCCGAAAGGCGCCGAGAAGTTCCCCTCGAGGCTCGATCCTCCAGAGTAAGGAATGATAGGGATGCGGTACTTGTGGCAGATGCGCGCTACCAGGGATACCTGCTCGGTGTTCCTCGGGTAAGCAACCGCCACAGGCAGGCCCTCGGGGTTTGCAGTCGACCATTCCGAGTACCCGTGAGCATGGAGGTCCTCTGGGTCAGTGGAGATGATGTCCTCCTCCCCCAGCTCGCGGCGGATCTCCTTCAAGGCCTAGGTTGCACAGTCAGATCTGAGCAGGAGCTAACTTCTCATAAGGGCTTCGCGAGCAGCTGGGAATATCACAAAGCGAGGCAGGCACGGGGAAATGAGTCATGATACTTCTTCGTTAGAGGAGCACATACCGTCTTCATCTCATGCATGCTCGCATACCGGGGCCGCGACGCGGAGCCGTCGAACAGCATCACTCGCTTGCCCGGCCAGTCACGAGGACCAAAGGCCGCGATGCCCCATCCTATAGCACCAGCAGCAACGGCTACGGCCATGACCTGTGAGCCCTTCCATCTCGAGGCCGCGGTCTTCGCACCCGAGGCACTGCCGTCCGCGGACCGGCGTGCGACAGAGGCGGTAAAAGTTCTCGTCGGCCTCACACACCGGCGCAGGGGTGCCGCAACCGACTTTGTGAACAAGTTGACAGACATCTTTGGCGGAGTATCTCTGTGCCGTTGCCTTTCCCCGTGGTGACTGGTGAGCTCCAGAACCTTGAGACACTAGGATACCGGCTTACTCCACTGTTGAATGGGTTATGTCTCCTTGACCAGGCACAGTACCTCGCCTCTCGAGTACTTGGAAGAGGATGAGGTGGTATGAAGCCAAGGGGAGGGAAATGTGCTCAGCTACACACTCCCGAGCACGTATGCCGTCTTCGGCGTCCCCACGCGAGCCAGGAAAAATGGAGCCGTAAGCCCCGATCGGAGGGGGAAGGGGGTCTAGACGTGTGGAGCTCGGTAGCGAATCCGGGAGGTCGGGCGGTTCAGGCCGGAGGCAGATCGAGGCTTGGTCGGCGCAGGGAGGGATGATACAGGAGGGCTCGAGGAGTGCGGCGGAAGAGGTATATAAGTGCGGAGGCGGCACTCGCCTCCTCCTTTTCTCAAGAGGACCGGAGCTGCCATTTGGCGCAGTCGGAAACCCAGATGCCCTATGGATCGGGTCACACTGGGGCGGACTTCTAGTCCTTATGATGGAGTGGAGCATGAAATCAGCGGAATCGAGCGACACCAATCAGGCAAACTAAGCCTTTCGAGATACTAGTCAGGTGGAGGGCGAGGGGAGGGAAGGCCTGCCTGCCCAGGAAAAGGCGGAGTAAGGCAATGAAGCTAAAGAGAAGAGGTACCTCGGGGGGCAGACAAGGTTCTTGCCGCGAGGCACTTGAGAGAGCTTAGCTTTGCCTGGCAGAAGACGAACGAGGTCATCCACGCTTGTGGATCGGTCCATCCTCCGACTTGCACAGCACATCGTACATACATAAAGTACCAAGAGGTCGCAGGTTGAGTAAGGATGCAGAAGAGCACCTACCTGGGCAGATCATGACCTACCTGCACACCATCAGCCACGCAACAGGTACATGACATGTCTCCTGCGACTGCGAGGCAGAGAGCCAAGAGCCACAAGAAGGGGCACGAGACGCTAAGGGGACACGCGAGAAAGCACGAGGGCAAAAAGAGAAAGGCCTGCGAGCAGGAGAGCGCCCCGACATCCCACGCCCGCCTCCGTCTACCTTAACAGACTTGTCAGAAAGGACAAGGGAAAGGTTGTGGTGTGTCAATGTATGTGTGGCCAAACACGGACATGGACATGCGGAGAATTTTTCTTACTCGCGCAACCCGTGACATGGACACCCCACGGCAGAAACAAGGCCTTTGTGCCCTGGCAGGGGGGGTTGTTGGCCCGCCTGCTTTCGCATTACATACCGAACGGCTCTGTTGGGCTTACCGTCGGCTTGTCCCACGGCTGGCTCGCAAGAGGGGCAAGAAAGCAGCAACTGCTCTTCGGTCTCTCATATGATCGACCTGAGGTCCGAAGGCACAAGAGTCTGGGCGTGCCTCGATCCCTTGCTCGCTCGCTCGCTTGCTTGCTTGCTTTTGAATACTGTTGCAACGAGGCGTACAACTGCAGGAGGAGAGGCGGTGGACGAGGATGAACGGTCTTGCAGAATGCCATGTGTAAGTGAGAATACGTGGTGCTCACATCAGACCTCCGTCCAAGTGGATGTGCAGGTCGGTTCGGCCCTGTGGATGCAAGTACCGAGGACGAGCAGTGGCGCCGAGCACAGATCGCTTCCTTCAAATGCCTCTGCCACAACTGCATGTCGTCCAGACAAGCAACTCTTTTCGAGACTTTGAACCCCCACCGTGCCGATTAGAACAGCCCTTCGAGAAGCGACGCTCCACAGGCCGGGGGGACCTGCAAAGATCCTGATCCTACGAAAGCAGAAGCGGACCAGACCGCTACTCGCCCTCTCGTACCGATCGGATTTGAAAAAAGCCCATCGACAATGACACCGTATAAAAGCATCAAAATATCCCGCAAAACAGTTTTCCAAGCCATCTCACAACAGAAACAGGGCCGTAGTCACGCGACCGATATGCACATGGACGAAAGCTAATGCTGGCACCGAAACGGACGTTCAATGAAAGGAATTCTGTTTCGTAATACAACCGGCCGGTCAGCCAGTGCCGGTGATCTGACTGGTTCCCGGCCTTCTGGAGGCCGTCCAACCTCCAGGGGGCCACCCTTGGACGAGCATCATGCAAGCTGCCAGGTTCGGTACGTACAGGCAAGCTAATGCATCCGGCTTCTTGCAGTGATTTCCCCTGGGCGCATCGCGGTACCGCAGGTCTTCGTACTTATACCGTTGAGGTTCTAGAACCGAAGCCTCCAGGATATGAAGCGAGGCGGAATAAAGAGCGCAGTCAACAACCACCCTCAATTTGCTCCACGTCCAATCGCTAGACTCCCATTACAAGATATAGCCAAATCAATCGAGTTCTCGACTGCACGAAGCTATTAGTAACGGCTTGTTCGGAGTCAGCATTTCCGTCACGGGGAGCGTCTTGCAGCTGACGGCAAGTCGACCTTATGTTGTGCAACCTCGAATGAGCCATTGCAAATGCGGAGTAGACAGACGCCCATCAATCGTCCATCAGCATTGCGTAGTGATTGTCAATATTATGCACAAGGCGGACTTCATCGGAACCGCATGCTGAGCTGCCCGACTTTCCAGGCCACGAAAAGTGCGAGTTGCCCATCGAATGAGAGGTGAGTTGTCACTACATCAAACAACTCACAACCGGATCGGTGCTCGGATTCGCCGAAACAGGGTCTTCTCCAACCTGCCCGGCACGCTGCAACACCACACAGATAGCGGTGGTGTACATACCCGGTGCCCATTCGCCTTTGCATCGCAAGGTTGTATCAGGTTTTGTTCATGCCCGTTCCAACCTACCTTATGTAACCCGCCTCGCACACAAGGCAGTGGCAGCAGTGCAACCTTACAGCCACAGTATCCCGATAACCTGGTTTCATCAATATGGCATCAATAGACCGGGTCTGCCATGTCAAATAATGTCTTTCAGAACCGAGGCTCATCCTACAATACGATGCATCGGAGGGGAAACCAGAAGAGATGCATGGTTTGTGGGAGCAGTCTGGCTTCGGGAAACATGCACGCGAGACACACAAACATCACAGTAACAGGCAAGGACGGCTCGACTCTGGTTCGTCAGATCATCTTTGCATTCAAAGCCCTCCTTGGATTCAACCTTCTTTTGGGTCGTCCTAGAGGCTCCAAAAGCCTAGCTAAATAAAAGTGACAAACCGAGACTCCCATGCCCATGATTTTAGGTAACCAGTATCAAACGACATCAAACGCCCAGCCATTAGTGACCAGCCAGGGCCTGAGCGCGTCTGCGGTCACGCTCCTCAGCAATGGTGAGCTTGACACCCTTGCCCTTGGGCAGGGAGATCCAGGGCTTCTCAGTGCCGATGACGAAAACGTTGCTCTCACGGGTGGCGAACGAGTTGTCAATGGCATCCTTCAGGTGGACAATGTTGAAGCCTCCATCGTGGCGCTCGCGGTGGGTGATGACACCAACACGACCCATGTTACGACCACCAGTGACCATGGCGAGGGCGCCAGTGTCGAACTTGATGAAGTCGGTGACCTTGCCGGAAGCAAGGTCAATCTTGACGGTGTCGTTGACCTTGATGGAAGGGTCGGGGTAGCGGATGCTGCGCACATGCATTGTTAGCAACAGGGACAGCATTTCAACGTACCAGCCGTATAGCCCTCGCTTTAAGAGAATCGGTGAAATTCAACCAAAGCTTGGTCCAACGGCTGACAGATGTCGGAAGAACTCACGTTCTCGCATCATGCGTAACCAAGAATGGGATTCCGCCCTTGCCGAGCTGGACGCGGCGAACCTTGCCCAGCTTGTACTCGGCCTCCTCGGCCTGGATGCGGTGGACGGTGAAGCGGCCCTTGGTGTCGTAGATCAGGCGGAAGTTCTCGCCGGTCTTCTCGATGGAGATGACGTCCATGAAGCCGGAGGGGTAGGTCAGGTCGGTGCGGACCTTGCCATCGACCTTGACGAGGCGCTGCATGAGGATGGCCCGGGTCTCGCGGTAGTTGAGCGCATACTTGAGGCGGTTGCGGACGAAGACGATCAGGGGCATGCAGTCGCGAGTCTTGTGAGGACCAGCGGAGGCCTTGGGGGCATAGACACCCGACAGCTTGTCGAGCAGCCAGTGCGAGGGCGCACTAAGGCGCTTCTGGTGCTTCTTCCTGTGTGAGGGGGATGAGGGTCAGCATGGTGATTCTGGTGATTCTCGAGGAACGGCTGCGACGTCGTTCTCGCGACAGAAATGATTGAAGCGCAGACAAGGGCAGAGCATGACTCTCTGGCGGCAAACTTACGGTCCTCGGCCCATCTTTGCGGATTGTCGATATTAGATGGTGGTGTTGAAGGGAATGGGAGGTGTCGACTGTCGTGATGGGGGAAATCTCGAAAAGTTCCAACCTAGAATTTTTGATGGGACATGAGGGTTTTCGTGCCCTAGAGCGCTAGTGTGGGGCTTTTGGTCGTTCGCAGCGAATCAATAGCTTCGTGGCTATGATTGGCTCTTGGGGGAGGGGTGATCACGTGATGGTTAGTGGCCCTGGATGGGCGCATTGGACCATCCAGACCCTTGTCAGGCTACCCTAACCCTGAATTCGATCCGCGTAAGCTTCGAGGAATCGCTGGTGCTCAACAGATCACATCAGGGAGGTAGGTAGCGTTGGAGCATGTATTAATAGGATTGTTACATTTTACGATTCATGGATCGCTCAAAAGTCTGTCTAGAATTCATACTCTTACTCCCGTACTCCGTTGGCATCAGCCCGAATCATTCCCATGTTCTACGCTGTAACGACAGAATTCCAAATCTATGCCTCGTATTCTTCCATGTTCGCCACACCCGTCCGTTCAAAGAGACGGGTGCGATGGCCGTAAAAAAAAAAGATTGCACACCTCAAGGGTTACGATAGCTTCTGTCCTAGTACCCGCAAAGTGACAAAATTTCTGTTCAATGCCCAGGGGGCTTATCTGTCTTCTGGACCATGAGCATCGTCAAGCAGCAGCCTTGAGATGTCCATCTCTCCCGCGCTTCCAAATGATGCGAAACCATGCGCATTGGAGACATCGAAAAGGTCAAGACTACCAGAGAGGACCGTCCATTTCTCTCTGGAACTAGCGTGGTTTAAAGGTCTCTCCAATGACCCCGATGAGGAGGGTAAGGGGTTCTTGATAGAGGTGTTCACTGAGGGTTCCAAGGGGCCAGTGTTTCGAGCAGGCTCCTTGGGGTGGAAGGAACCCTTCTCAATCCGGGCGTAAGTTTCGGGGTACTTGTTGCGGACCCTGTCGCGCAAGTCTGTCGGCTGTCTGCCAGAAAGACCAAATCTTGGGTCTCGCTGGATCTTGGTCCAGGCTGGTCCGTAGTGTTCAAGGCCATCCAGGATGTCCTTATCGTCTTGTTCAGAGAAGGGCTTCCTTACCCGTCGATGCGACGTTTTGAACGGTCCTCGGATACCCAGCTCCTCTAGATCTTCAAGCTTCTTGCGATGCGCCCGGCTCTTCTTCTGCTTTGGGGCGGCATCGGACTCCTGCTGAGCACCCGGATTTGCCTTGGCCGAATCGGGATCATCGGCGTCAACCAAGATGTTCTCAAGCTGGAGACTCGTCTTGGTACGTAGTGGCGGCTCCAAATCGGGTTCAATGGGCAAATGTGACTCTTTGTTGCCTCTCTTGGTCCTCAACTCGTTTGGGCAGCACGTTCGAAATCGATCCTTCAGATCCCCCGCAGTGCGCTCGTTGAACTTGTAATTCGGATCCTCAAGAATGGTCGTCCACTTGCCCACACCGTGCTTACTGACTCCTAATAGCAAGTGGTTGGTTTCTTCTTCGGACCACTTCCTCCTCGGTTTCGCAGCTCTCCGCTTGACCTTGCCGGAAGCATTCTTGTCGCTTTCTGCAGGTGCTGGAGGGCCGGGACCGTCATGAGTTGCGGAGTCGAACCCGTGCAAGGGACCAATGGGGGTCGCGTTGTCGCCACCACCAAAGCCGGCAGATGATATAGGCGGGAGGAGGTGGGCAGCGGCACTTGGCGGGGGTTGGTGCAGGCCGCTGATGATAGGAGGCATGGGGCGTGGCTGATTGGAAAGATCGCTGTTAATCGGCGCAATCTTGACCTCCTGCGTGGACTTTTGTCTCTTGAGCGGCTGGGGCAATTGCATGAGCTCATCCTTGCCGGTAAGTGCGCGGTGGCGCTTCTTCGGCGCCCCCTCGTCCAGGGATTCCTCTGTGTCAACTAGTATCCTGTGAAGAGGGGCTGAGGAATCGCCATTCTCGGCGTGGTCGAGGAGCATGCGCAGCGAGTGGCCGGATCTCTTGGTTTTGGGAGTGCCTTGGTCGCCGGCCTCTTGCGAAGGGACTAGGCCTGGCGATACATCCTCGTTCCCGAGCTCGAAGAAGGGTGGCAACTGTTTCAAAGGGGTGTGGACTTGGGAGGAGGCCTTGTCGTTCCGCTGGCTGGCGCCGACATCCAGATCGAGAGGAGGGAGAGACACAGGATGTCCGCCATCTCTGAAGGAGAATGAATGGATGGGAGGGAGATCGCGAGAAGGCGAGTGCGTGACGTTAGTGTCGTTCAGCAGGTGTATCAAGCGTGGCTCGATGGTAGCCATCGTGGGAAAGTCGTGCCGGATGGGGCATTGGAGACTGAGGAGCAGAGACGACAGGGATTAGAAAGGGTTATATGTACAATGCCGAATGCAAGGCAATGGCGATGACAGCGGAAGTCACCGGGTCAGAAGCGAAAGGTTGCGCATGAGAAGATGTTGCAAAGGGAGCAAACAAAGGTGGGCGAGTTTGACTGATACAGAAAAGGCGTTGGAACGGCCGAGCATGAGGATAGTGGCGGGATTCATAAGTGCGGTTTGCAAATCTGCCGGCGCATTTGCGGTGGCATGGCCACCCAGGCGATGGCCTGCTTTGGGGGCGGCCCATGTTGGAAACGTTGGAAACAGCGTGGGCAGCGCCAACTAACAGCATGGCTCGGCGCTGTAACTGCTCCGCTAACAGAACCTTGGAACCCTACAGTGTGTACGGACAGACTGCTGCAGCCCCGGTGCACTAACTAACACTCGTACCTGCAAGGCGGACGTTTCCGTGCTACACAAGTCCCCAGTTGCAGATTTGACATCTGCCGGAATGTGTGGAGGGCGTGGTAGCACAAAGAGTTGGCCGATTATGAGACAGTCCGGAGCGAAATCCCTGGTACGATTTCTTGTATGAGAGCATCATTGATAGCACTGGTGATGCTTGGGCCCGGCGGCCGGATGGGCCTGTTGAGGCGTGGGCTTTGGAAGCGCCAGAAGCCTGTCTTGGGCTTCGATAGCAGCTTGTTCATGGGACCGGTCCATCGTCTTAGTCATGGCATCCTAACGGCTCGAACGATTGTTATCCACCCTGCAACCAGAACCGTTGAATGTAGACACCCGTCCATCCCAAGCCTTATACAGCTTCATTGCTCTAGACCAACCACTCGAATGTCCCTTATTGATTACGACGCCCCGGCCTCCCCGTTACATCTCATTTTTCATTTTAACATCGACAGTGGCCTGGTCAAGCTGAGTAACCCTGTAAGTTCAGGACTATTCTTTGGCGCACAGTGCGCTCGGACATGGACAGAGCTCAACTGACCTGAATTGGTTGACGGTGAGGTTGAAGCAAGATGGCCTCACGACTTCCTGCTTTTCCACGCTTCGTGTTCACTATCTTTGAGCCGATCTCGCTGTGAGTGCAGCCTAGACCCGGAGGCCCGTCGCGGGTGTAACAAGATTGTTGTGGTCCGGATTACTCACCTGCGCATGTTCTGCGCTCGTTCAGGATTGGCGGCTGCGTCCCAGCAATGTTGAACCCAGCATGGTTCGTCAATGAGCAGATTGCGTCGTCAGAGGTCTATCGTGGCACCTCGGACAGCAGTCTCCTGGTCACTCAACAACTCGGCAACGCGTACGGTCTGCTGTTTATGCTTGGCGTTGCCGTGCTGTACACAACGACTGAGATCAAGGTCGTGAGGAACTACTTGGTGGCGCTGTGGATAGCCGACATTGGCCACATCTGGGTCACTTACAACATCCTCCAGTATGACAGATTCCTGGCGATAGGCCAGTGGAATGCCATGACCTGGGGTAACGTCGGTGTGACGGCATGTACCTACCTATTTCCTGCCCTTCTGCGGCCTCGATGTTGAGCAAGACCGTGTGCTAACTTGGGTCTTTTTTCTGTCCGCCAGGCATTTCTCTGTCTCACCAGGACGGCATACTTGTTGGGATTGTTTGGCCCCGACAAGCCACTCTCTCTCTCACCGAGGAAGGTTGACTGATCGCCCGGTGACGCACGCAAGGCGGCCAACACCAGCAGCTGCTGTTGGCTGCGCCTACAAGCCAGAAATTCTGCCTCGCGCTGCCAACAGCCAGCGGTTGGGCTGCAATATCGTGTTGGATATTCGCATGTGAGATACATGTATTGTTGGTACTAGCAAACAAAGGGTGGATAATGGATACTGGCGATCTTCCGACCCATAAACCCCCACACCAGAAACCCGACGCCAGACTGTTGATAAAGTCTCATCCTTGACGCTTTTTGTTCCTACCTAGGTATCTCGCTCTGCTTCCTTTCCTGAATTTTCCTCCTCCCATTCGAATGCCGACGTCACCTTGGAAAATGTCCGTCCAGTCACAGACTCGCAGCCGCAACCAAGGCACACTCACTACACACCACTCACAATGGGTGGCGGTGACTCGGCCTTTCTGGCCATTGTTCAGTGGCACAGCTGGTCCGCAGAAGCAGGCCGCGTCCCCAAGACTTGCCGGGATGTGAGTCGGCATCTCTGAGGCTGAGTCTCCACAACCGTCGTGATTGGTGATAGTCCGCATGCAGGTTGCGACACTTGCTGTGCTGCCCGTCATCATGCCCCGGTCCATTGGGCGTCATCGTCGAATGTCCCGTAAGGCCAAGGCTCCGTAATCCTCCACACCTGCATCGCATCGTGCCCTTTTTTTAAATACTGGGGGGCCAGCCCTTCTCCCCTGCTCCGAGGACCTGTTGTCAGGACCTCACCTCTCTCCTGTTTTATTTGTCGGCCAGGTCAGTGCCGTTCTGCTTTTTCTCTCAACCCCAACTGGTGGAGGGGGGACCAACTCGGACGGCCGCTACATTGGGCACCCACCTCCACTCGGCCTGCTGCCCAACATGGCTCGCCCATCACAACGTCATATCATGGACCAATTACAGTCTCGCCTCGGCGACCTTACCGAGGTCTTGTTCGAGCGGGCGCCCTACTGCAGAGGTGGCCAGTTTCGTGGTGCAGGTACCCGTCTGGCGGCCCTGTGTCGGGGCCCTGCAGCTGCTCACAGCGCCTTGCACCAGCTCGAGGAGAGATGGGCAGACTTGGACGCCGCGCGGCAGACGACTCTGAGGACGGAGTGGGAGATCCAGATGATCAGGTTCTACCACGACACCAAGGAGTCGTGCAGCGCATGCCAGCCAGTGTTTGGCAATGGCGGCTACAGTCAGGCGATGGACTGCTCCGTCTGCGCTATCAAAGCGTCGACCATGTCGGAGGACCTCGAGAAGTTCGCAAACACCTTTGCAGACAAGTTCAAGCCCGAGCCGTCGCCGCCGGAGCCTCCTCCGCCACCGCCAGAGCCCGCGCCGGCGCCAGCTGCCGAGCCAGACCCTGAACTCCTGGAGAAGATCAAAGCTCTTGAGCTCCGGGTGGCCGTTCAGAAAGACGCCCTGGGCGAGCTGCAGAAGGTGATCGACGGAGCAGACACCGAGAAGGAAGCCCACAAGAAGGGGCTCGAAGAGTCTGAGAAAGCAAAGCAGGATTTGCAGAGCCGGTGCGACACACTGGAGACGGACATTCGAAGCCTCCTCGAAAACATTGAGAAGTTTGCCGAGGATCTTGACATCGGTATGCGCTGGCAGACGGCGCAGATGGCATATGCCGCATTGCACAAGTTCACGCTCGCTCGGCGGAGCAGGCTGGAGTCCGATCCCGCACAGGAAGAGACGTGCCGCGAGCTCGAGGTCAAAGCTTTGTGCTTCAAGCATAAACAGATCCAGTCGCTCACCAAGCTCGGCCGCTTCAGTGACGCGGAGCCCATGGCCAAGCAAGTCTGGGAGCGGAGAAAGGAGTTGCTGCCTGCGGATGCCAAGGAGACCCGCGCCATCTCCAGAGACTTTTGCGACATCCTGCGAAAGAACGGAAAGTACTTTGAAGCGGAGCGAGAACTGGTGTCGATGTGGTACAACTCGATGCAAAGCGTTCCTGGAGCTGAGGAGGAAGAGTGGAAGTTGGAAACCGCCTCCAGGATCGGAGAGGTGATGGCGGAGCAAAGAAAGTTTGCCGATGCGGCGTCGTGGCATCGCCGCGTGCTGGAGCAGCGCTTGGCTAAGAGCCCTCTCGACGTGGAGAAAGCGTCTGCTGCCGCCGTCCAGTGCATATCAGCCCAGAACCAGCAAGACACCGGCTTCGTGATCATGGACCACGCTATCATCCCCCATCTGGAGCGGATATGGAAGGAGCGCACGCCGAACACCGAGAACGAGAACGTTCTGACATGCGGCCACGAGCTCGGCGTTCGTTTGATAGGACTGGCCAAGGATGACGAGGCAGCGCCTATTCTCTTGTCCGTGTGGGAAAAGAGAAAAGCATTTGGACCTCCGCACCAACTTGAAGCAATGGAAACAGCGCTTGCCCTCGTTGATCTCTCCGTCAAGACGGAGAACCTCCCGAGGCTCGAGACACTGTACCACTGGATCACGATGAACCGCACGCCGGACCAGAGCGAGACCGAGCATCTCTGGTACCGGTACCGCCTGGGGTGCGTCCAGGCGGTTCTCGAGAAGTGGGCGATCGCGGAAGACAACCTGCGGAAAGTCCTCTCGCATCACAAGCAGCTCTTTGGAAGCGATGACCCGGATACTATACAGTACACCCAGGTCCTAGCCGAAGTCCTGAGAAGGGAGAACCGGCTCGACGACGCGCTGAGGCTCGTCCAGCCGCTCTGGGAGGACCGCCAGCGGCACCCGCGCAGCTGGCTGCAGGCGACTCTGAGGATCGGCCACCTGTACGGCGACATACTCAACGAGTCCAACTCGCCCGCCGACCTAGCCAAGGCCGAGGCCATCTTGCGGGAGGTGTGGGAGTCGACAGCCACCAACATCTCGAGCATGATGCCCCTGGCGAGCCTCGTCCCCGCCGGCGACTGCTACGGCATCAGCCTCATGAAGCGCCAGAAGTTCCTCGAGGCGCGGCCCATCTTTGCCCAGGTGGCCGAGTGGAAGCGCTGGCTCGGCTTCGACCAGAAGGCGCTGGAGCGCTCCGAGCACCTGGCCATGCGTGCGACGGAATGGGGCAGCCGGAAGCACCCGCCGATCTACCGCCCGACCCCGGTGTACCACCAGCTACGGCTCAGGGATTTCCTCGACCGATGGTTCTCGTCCACGGTCGTCACCGCGGCTATTACGGACTCTTGAAGTGACTTGAGTGTTTTACGCTTGCGCATGGTATTCTTTCACCCTGGTCCTGGCTATCTGATTGTTCTAGAAACGCCATGGGGATCCGCGTATTCCATTGAATGGTTCATTGAATTACACGACGGCAAGCCAGTTAGATAGAGCTTGTTTTTTTCTTCTTCCTTTATTGTGATTTGAGGAGCTGAGGATGCCCTTATCATGGGTCTTGTAGTGTGTACTTGGTTTGAGGTGTTCTGCGATATGTAACTCTTAGTGATACACTTAGTGATACCCGTAGCTTTCTTTCGTGGTTTTTCTTGTCTATTTCTAGCGTTCTTGTTAGACCAGCCTCTAAAAGCAGTTGCAAACTGAGAAAAGACATTGAAAATGTTGAGTTCCAAGAGATGCATTCACATGGATTTCAGGTCTTCACATCCAAGAGAGAGAGCGTGGGGGCCGTGCTGGTCCCAGTGGTCAGGTACAAGTACATGCAGATTGATTGATGGATCCGTCCGGCTGTCAGCATTCCAAACCCCACACAGGCTCTGTGTCAGGCGGGTCTACCCACTAGCGCCACGCACTACAACTTTTCTATAAGTACAAGTACCTAACTACCTAAGGTACCTAGATTCCCCACCGCGACCCGTTGGCCAACAAAGATGCCCATCGCGGTGGTCCAGAGTTTTCCCCTGTGCATCCAAGTCAGGAAGTGAACAAGCTAGATCGATCATGATTCGCATACCTGTTCGGGGGCGAGGTTGATGCAAAAGCACCACTTCTCTGGGCTGCTAGTGTCGCAGGCTCTGACGGCAAAGCACGGCCAAGGCGAGAAAGACGAGAGCAATCTGGCCACCACTGGACGTTGCGACCTCGCCGAGCAAGACGCTGAAACCTCCTCTAGCAACAGCCTCTTGGTGCTGCTGCATGGCCTTGAGCGTGGGTTGGGAGACATTGTATCCGGCGAACACAGATGATTTATGGCGGCCAGTCTGGGCAAAGGCGACGAATTGGCCCGGCAGGTCGGTGCCCGGCAAACCATCCTAGGGATTGACCGGGGCCGAAGCGCCACGGGAGGAGTTGGCGACTGTAAGGTTGCTCCATCCAGTTACTGCAGGGAGCCAGGCGGGCAGAAAGGTTAGCCGTCACTCTGACCGGAGCTGGTTGGGGGGTGGGGGTGGGTGAGGGGCAGGGCAGAAGGTAGAAGGGGAGAGGGGAAATAACATACCCAGCTCCAAGCCCTGAGAGGCGAGGCCATGCATATCGCCGTTGTCGGTATTGTCGAGGCCGTCCATATCGAGAGGCATGCACGCGACGAGAACAAGGTTATTGTTCTTTGCCATGACAAAGGCGGCTCGGTCGTCGCGCTCGGCACTGGCAAGGACGCGAGGGTCGTCTTGACCCTCGTGCTTACCGTCGTTGTTTTCGTCGCGGTCTTGGGTACCGCCGTGGGCGAAAGAATCAAAACAACCTGCCATGGTGCTTTGATTATTGTTGTATTCGCGGGTTGGCTCGGATTTGCAGAAGAGACTGGGCGGTGGACGTTGCTGATCTTCTCTTGAGTTACGTATGTGTCTGCACACGGTACCTAACGATACAAACGGCGGTGATGATTGAAAGAGAGAAGAATAAGGAAAGGGCATGTGTAGGAGAGAGAGGGACAGAGATGGGTCAAAGCTCAATGGGAGAAGAAGCCCTGGTGAGTTGTGGGTGAGAGCTGGAGGTGAATTGATTTCAAAGATGTGCCCCAGGATTCAAGAATGAGCTTGAAGTGGCTCCATTGGTAGCGCATTGGTAGCGCGGTCGTGTCAGTATAAACTAGGGGCACGATACAAGTACCTAGGTAGGTACCTAGGTACATTGTGATCAAACAGCTTGGACAGTGGAGGCAGTCAGCTGAGCAGCACCATGGCTTGAGGCCCAGCTGTATGTAACAGTAGATGAGAAAGAGGAGATGGAATTGAAATGAAAGGTCACTGAATTATTTTGTTTTTACATTGAGATACAATTCCATGGGATCATTTGAGTACCAACGAGTCGTCCTTTGAGGATTTTGAGAAGGGGGATTTTGGCACGGGAACCGCACCGCTCTCGAGCAAGTTATTTCCATTACTTCCGAAGCCCCCTCTCTGCTGACTTATCCATCTGCCATGTCGTCACGACGTCTCATCTTTCTTTATCGTACTGACAACCACCTCTGCGTCTTCTTGGCAACACTGCGTGCGCATTTCAACTCGAAGCGATAGTCTGAGGCTCCGACTTTTGATCGATCCAGCTTCGCACTTGCAGAAATACAACATCTCTTTGGCAGAGGGACTTGTTTTGGTACAAGTCACAGGTCTTGCCAGCTCAAGCTTCGGCGATAAGAGAGCGGTCTTGGAGTGTGGAGATAGCCACTTCCCATCGCCAATATGGCATCTCATCAGGAGGACCCTGAAAGCGCAGGAGAGGACGTGTTTGAATCAGCTGAAGAAGAGATGGATTTATTTCCCGTAGCCTTTGGCGAAGATGACGATGACGACGAAGGCTCCGAGTACGTGGATGAAGATGACGAGGATGCCGAGGATGACGACTATGACGAGCATGATCATGGAGAGCACCATGCATACATCGACGGTATGTTATCTCGTCATCTGTTGCTGCACGTCCCAGCACTGCTGATGCTGACCGGGTTATTCAACTTGCAGCTGGTGGCATGCAAGTGGAGATCTCATTCCAACCAGAGGATGGCGAAGATGACGAGGCTGCCGGCTGGGCTGAGAGGAACCTCGCTCAGGTCATCAATTTGATTGCGGGTGGTAAGTCGGAGTTGCCTATTCAGGTAAACAGACACTGATTGCTAATGCCCGACCAGGAGGTCAGGCTGGCCATACTTTCTTGTCTCGAACGCAGCTGCGGGCTCTGTTGGGAACAACGAACGCTCTCGCCGATGATGACGACGAGGACCATGAATGGGACGAGATGGGCTATGGCGGGCGGCGTAGGCGACGAGTCAGGGGGGATCCCGATCGGTTCCCTAAGATCCCAAGTGATGAAGGAACGGAGCTGATGACCTCCGGGGTCTTTGGCTCTACAGACCGGCAAGCATCATCACAGGTCCCCAAGCAGAAAGCGCTTGCCCGAAGGATACTGGATCGCGAGCTTGGGCTTGACGACAAGATTAGCTGGAGGATGCGACAGGGCCTTATGGCGCAGAGCCTCATACCCACCAAAGATGCCGACATGGTCATCCACTATCACGACCCGGTGTATTCTGGACAGTTTTCCGATGATGGGAACTTCTTCTTCTCCTGCGTCAAGGATTTCAAAGTACGCATGTACGACACCTCGAATCCCTACAACTGGAGGCACTACAAGACAGTCAGCCACCCCTTCGGGCAGTGGACCCTCACCGATGCGTCGTTGAGTCCTGATAACAAGTGGCTGGCATACACCTCTATCCAGCCGACCGTCTGTCTCGCACCGACGGACCCGAGCGACACTGGTGACCCGTACACCCTGAATCTATCTGACTCGGGCAATGCCGCCCAACTCCACGACGCCTGGCATACACACCACTCGTTTGGCATATTCTCGGTTCGTTTCTCTGGTGACGGCCGAGAACTCGTAGCTGGCACGAATGCCGCTACGGTTGTGATCTACGATATCGAGTCGAGGCGAGTTTTGCACACCGTGTCTGGCCACGAAGACGATGTCAACGCCGTATGTTTTGCGGATAAGATGTCGCCCCACATCCTCTACTCGGGTTCAGATGATGCTACCATCAAGGTATGGGACAGGCGCAGCATGGGAGATGGGCGCGAGGCTGGCGCCTTCGTCGGCCACTGCGAGGGCCTCACATATATCGACAGCAAGGGCGACGGGCGGTACATTCTCTCGAACGGCAAAGACCAGACGATGAAGTTGTGGGACCTGCGCATGGCCATGAGCACTGAACAGTTCGCCGAGAAGAACCCGATGCAGTTCACGCGACACAGCAACTTTGATTATCGCTTCCACCGGTACTTCGATGACGACTGGTTCAAGCACCCCTACGACAACTCTCTTGTGACGTTCCGGGGCCACCAGGTGCGGCGGACGCTAATTCGATGCCACTTCTCGCCCCCCGGCAGTACGGATTCTCGGTATGTCTACTCGGGCAGTTATGATGGCAGGGTATACGTATGGAATATGGATGCAACTATCGCAGCCAAGATTGATATCAGAGATGCGGCATCCGAGATGATTTATGGCTCGAGACAAATGGGAATCAGGCGTCACCTTGGGTCTGCGTGCGTACGAGAGGCCAGCTGGCATCCTACTGCACCCATTCTTGTTGGTGAGTACTGTCGAGCTACCCCTTGACTTTGTGTGTCTGCAATGCATGTGTGGAGCTGAAACTGACACATTTCGAAACCAGCGTCTGCATGGAACGGACAGCAGGACTTTGGCTCATGTACGGTCCACTCCTACAACGATGCTCGTGAGGATGACGCGGACCCTAAAATGGGTCGCGTTGTCGATGACCAGCTCCGTCCGTTGGGGTTGCGCGCAGAAACAGAGTCTCCGGAACCGGGAGCAGGCGACTTGGGGCATTTCTTTGGCACTGGTGACTGGTAGGGCTTGGTCATGGATGATGGTGCAGTAGATTGATGCTGCTAGGTTTGTTTTCGGGCCTTCCTTTATGGTTCATGTCTGCAAGATGCAAGATAGACATCAAAGTAGCCATGGAAATAGCTATTCGAGTTTCGTTGCGCGAGGTGTGTCCCCTCGTCTCATGCCAGTGTCAGATCGGGTGTTGAGCTGAGGGCGTGCGCGTCCACCATATATCGAACTCTGGCTGTTGAATTCACTGGATTGTTGGGGCCATTGATTTGACAGTCATGAAGATGGATTCAGCCCAAGTAAAGAAGGCCACTGTCTTGTTCACAGTACTTTACGCAGCAGGACCGAAAGACCCAAGCCTCTCAATCACTCTCCAGGGCTGCTTGCATGTTCAGCACATGCAACATTCTCACCTCACTGTTTCGCCCCAGAACAGTGTAGGCACTAGAGGCCTAGAAAGCACTCGTACAGGCAGGTATGGAAACGCTGTAGGGAGTCCGTGCACAGGGAGGACCCCACAGCCTCGTCTCGTGCGCACGCGCCGTAACCTACTCACACCTCGAGAGCTCCAGTTTTCCATTCTCATCCTCCTCCTGTCTCCCTGTCCTCCAATATTTGGTCGTCCTCTACACAGCTCCTGCCACCACTTTGAAGCTTGCAGAGCGATTCCAGCATCCTCTTTAGCAGAGCAGACGCCACTTCCGTCGGTAAGACGCCTCTTTATGTTGGGTCTGCGGAAGCGCGACCGACCCGAAATCTCCAATCGAACTCGTAGCATCCTTACTCGAGCGAGCTCACCCGACCGGATTGGCAGCGACCCTTCACAACCCCCATAGCGAACAGCTCGATTATATCCCCGACACACTCTCCCATTTCGATCCTTGAGCCTTGTGCTCGTGTCGCGCTCACTAACCATTCAAGGTGCCGCTTTCTACTAAGGCTGGGACCACGGCGCAGAGAGGCAGATTCACTTGTCCCGTTGGGCAGAGTTCCTGTAGACATTTGGCTCTGGGCGCCAGAGATCATTTCTCTGCATCGAGATTCTATCTGCATTATTCCCAAGCTTCTTGAAAAAGGCGCAGCCAAGAGCTACATCTGGCCTGTACAATAATCCTTCCACCATCACGGCACCTGTCGTCGTCGCAAGACTGCAAGCACAGAGCTTCGTCTTCAATCACCTTACCTGACTGAGGCAAGGCATCACTTTCTCATCATCTGTCACTCAGGATCAGGAGTGTACGTATTGCTTGCTTTTGCTTCCTGTCTTCTAGCGTCCCGCCTTCTGTATCCCTATTCTTTTTATTTATTTTTTTTATTTCTTTTTGCACGCCGTCTCTCACTTTACTATTGTCTATCCGTCGGTGGGCCTTGTGCAGCTGCTGATATGGGATTCCGGACCGCGCAGACACCTTCGTGTAATTCTAATCCAGACTCTAGGCTTCAATACACATTTTACTTCGCAACCAGACTGAGCTTCGGACAAGGTCACTTGGACTTTCGTTTGATACACCAGGGCTGGAACAATGGCTGAGGAGGAGTACGAGATAGATATCTATGGGGATGAGCAGGGCCATGGCGCCGAAACCCACAACCGACACGATGACCAGGGGCGCGATCAACACAACGACGGTGGCCACGGCTACCATGGCGAGGAAGGGCACGGCGCACACGGATCTGGCGATTATGATGAGAGCCATCACGACAGCCACAGCCACAGCCACGACCAGCATCAGGACTCCTCAGAGTACGACCAAGCCAGGTCATCATCACAGCCGCGCCAACAAGGCGTCAAGCGCAAGGAGTCGTCGGACGAACGCCCTGTCGACCCTGGCGCTACGACCGCGCTCTTGGTCTCCGACTTGAGCTGGTGGAACACGGACGACGATGTCAGGGGCTGGGTGAACCAAGCCGGCTGTGAAGACGAGCTCAAAGACATCACCTTTAGCGAACACAAAGTTAACGGCAAAAGCAAAGGGTAAGCTGGACAGAAGCACCGGGCCGTTTTTCTCACCAGACATGCTGACCTGTTGGATAGTCAAGCCTACGTCGAATTCACATCCCAGCAAGCCGCCACCGCAACCAAGCACAAGATTGAGGAGCTCTTTAATGACGGCACTCAGCCGGGCCAGAAGCGGCACTCGGTCATCTACACGTCTCCCACCAGCAACCCCTTCCGCACCCTCCCCAAGGATGCTCCGGCCCGGGCCAATAAGGACGGCCAGAGCCGCACACCTGCCGGACCGGGCTACAATGATCGTTCTGGTAACATGGGTGGCGGCAACTACGGCGGCGGCGGCGGCTTCCGGGGAGGCCGAGGAAATTACCAACGCGGCGGCATGGGCAACCAAGGCGGCTACAACCGCAACTTCAACAACAACAACAACATGGGAGGCTTCAACAACGGCATGGGCTTCAACAACAACATGGGCGGCGGCAACTTTGGCGGCTTCCGCGGAGGCGGCATGATGGGCAACAATATGCGCGGCGGCATGGGTATGCGCGGCGGTCGTGGCGGCAACATGGGTGGCATGATGGGCAACATGAACCCCATGGGCGGCATGGGCGGTATGGGAGGCATGCCCAACAACATGGGCAACATGGGCGGCATGGGCAATATGGGCGGCATGGGCGGTATGGGTATGATGGGCAACGCCATGGGTAAGTCGACGGCACTGTCCGGGCTTGTTTGAATTTAATGCTCGGTTTACTGACACGATGGCTATCCTATAGGCTTCCCAAACATGCCGAACATGCAACCTCACTTCAACCCCTCCTTCTTCCCCAACGGCGGAGGGAACCAGTCGGGCAGCAACGAGTGGCAGAATCCTCATGGGGCTAAGCGACCGCGACCAGAGTAGGGCTCAGGCCGGCCAAGCACCTCACGCACCCAGAAGGATCAAGGCAGTCATGCATCGACTCACGCTAGAACATGGAACACATCGACACAGTCCTGGACAATTCCGTCCAAGCCGGGAGGTCCTGCATCGGGACATCCGAGCTCGCATCCGGGAGGCTTTTAGTTCCATCTTGCCGCTCGAAAGACCACTACTCTCACGCGATGAGGAAGGATGCCTTCTTCAACCCTGAGAATACTGTATTACATTGCTCTTACTGAAGCAGAATCGTTTGAACTCGGGGTTGACATTGGAATTTCAGAACGGTGTATGAGGGAGTTGAAAGGGACACTAGTCAAATTTCGCAGCATCCTGCGTTGTGTTAATCAGGTACATCCATAGCATCCACATGGCAAAGTTTCACATGAAAGCTCCGCATCATCACATGTTCAGTTTGACAAGGAATAACCCTGGCGTCATGGTAGCCTTGTGCTACTCGGTATGCATCCTTGGATGCATGTATGTCTCGGGATCCAACACATCAATATGATCTACAGGCTTAAATCGATGTTCAATTTGATTCACTGATAGGCCAAGAGCAGGAGTGGATATGGAGGCTCTGTCCCGAGCGGACCCAGCGCTGAATCCACTCGAGCTTATCGAGATACAGGGGAGCTAACAAGGGACCTACCCGTTTTCGGCATTTCAAGTCGAATGATCACATCACATCGTCGAACCATCTTTGCGATCCTTACTCTTGCACCTTGACATGTGTGCAGAGAGGTGTCAATTCGAGTCGCGATGAAGGCCGTCATACCGCGCTCTTCAGCAGCAGTGGCTGCCGCCCGGCGGCACATCAGCCGCGCTGTTCTCGTCCCGGCAGCATCATCGGATCCCTCTTCTTTGAGGCCGTTCTCGGTCCTGAACCGCCCGCCGCCCAATTATCCCGGCCATGTCCCTCTCACTGGCCTCGAGCGCGCAGGCCTGGCCATCGGTTCAGGCCTCATGTCACTGATCAATCCCAGACGAGGAGGCGAGCCCCCTTTTTTCCTTTGATTTGCACACCAAAGCCTCCATAAAGGGCAACCCCCCCTCCACCTACAGCAGCTGACCCTCTTTCCCATGCAGACCTCATCGCCGCCTTTGCCGAGGCCACGGCCACGCCCTACTTCATCTACCGCCTGCGCGACGCCATGCTCGCGGACCCCACGGGCCGGCGCATCCTCCGCGACCGCCCGCGCCTGACCTCGGCCTCGCTCGACCTGCCCCGCCTCCGGGCGCTGGGCCCGCGGACCGTGGGCGCCACCTACGCCGCCTGGCTGGACCGCGAGGGGGTGTCGCCCGACACGCGCGCGCAGGTGCGCTACATCGACGACGCGGAGGCCGCGTACGTGATGCAGCGGTACCGCGAGTGCCACGACTTCTACCACGCGCTGACGGGCCTGCCCGTCGTGCGCGAGGGCGAGGTCGCGCTCAAGGCGTTCGAGTTTGCCAACACGCTGCTGCCCATGACGGGGCTCAGCGTCGCCGCCGCGGCGACCCTCAAGAGGCCCGAGCGGGCGCGGTTCGCGAGCACGTACCTCCCCTGGGCGGTGCGCAACGGCCTCAGGGCCAAGGACGTGATCAATGTGTACTGGGAGGAGGAGCTCGAGACGGACGTCGCCGAGCTCAGGAGGCGGCTCAACGTCGAGGCGCCGCCTGACATGAGGTCGATTCGGAAGAGGGAGAGGGAGGAGCGGAAGAGGAGGAAGGCTCTGATGGAGCAGCGGTAGAGGGGGGGAGGGGGGGATTATACATGTATGGAAGTGTTTCTCACGGTGAGGGTTGTACGATGAGTGTATATATCGATTCTTGTATTTGTATCCCGTGCTTTTTCACGGAGACCCTGTCCCTTCGTGCATAGAAATGTATGGACGGCTCAACCCTCTTCACGTAGACACCCTTCTCGGAGTGCGTGTACGCCCTGAACGGCAGCCGACACAGTGCTTGCGAGGAGGACATGAATCAGAATGGTATTATCAAAAGAAGCCTTCCGACGCAGCCCATGCGTGACAGGAATTCATTCTCTCTCTCTCTCTCTCTCTCTCTCTCTCTCTCTCTCTCTCTCTCTCTCTCTCTCTCTCTTCCCGCCTTTCCCTCCTCACAGGTCCAGCAGGTCGTCGTCGTCGTCGTCCCACCTCTTGTGCTTCTTGACCACAATCTTCTCCTGCTGGTTGTTGTCGGCCACGGCGTTGAGCAGCTCCTTGAGCTGGTCCTCGGTCACCTTTTGCCGCAGCTGGCCCGTCTGCGCCAGCATGATGAGCCGGTTCTCGATCTCGGTCGCCCGCGACTCCTTGACCATGCGGATGCGGCCCAGGCGGTCCGCCGCCTCGGGGTGCAGGATCTGGTCGAGGATGCCCCGGCGCGCCTCGGCTGTGCGGCGTGTCGTGCTGTGTGGTTAGTCGATGCGGTACTGTACACACACAAGACTCAATTTTTCGGGACCAATGTTGGCAGCGTACCTTCTTGCGCCCTGTGATTGAGAAAAAGAAAGAAACAAGAGTCAGCTCATGCTTTTTGGCTTGGAAAGAGGGTGTATGTCTTGTGTGTGAGAGGGCACTCACTGCCGTTGCTCTGCCTGGCCTTGCCCAGATGCACCTCCACCACCACCACCACCACCCTGGCCGCCGCCACCCTGCGCCTTCAGCTGCTCCAGGCGGGCCTTGCGAATCTGCGGATTGTCAGGTCCGAAAATACTGCGATACTTGCGAGATTGCAGCAGTGGCATACCTGCTCGAGTTCTGCGTCATCCATGTTGAATATGTTGGGTTGTGTTTGGCGGGGTTGATGGTTTGCGAGCTGCCGTTGGTGGTGCGATAAGCCCAGGCGATATAAATATCCAACTATGGTGGAGAACTGACCTACGCCAAGTAGATGAGCACAGTGAAGAGACATTCAGCCGCCAGTACACGCACGAGAACGAAATTGAAAATTGAAAATTCTTCTAAGCCGTCAAGTACATGATACAGCTATCTATGTGTAGATCTACTAGGTGTTACATCAATGGGTCATACAGGTGCTACAAGGCTGGTGACGCTGGCTGACCAACGACACGACACGCTCGATAATTATACACGGATCGCCAAAGCTCTCTAATGATCACCTTAGCTTCCTCTTGTCGACGGGGATATACTCGTCTATCTCGCCCACGCCATTCCGCTGTCTGGCCTTCACCATTGTGATGATGGTCTTGTTCGTCGCGCACGACAGGCCGACCTCCGCCCCGCGTTGGACGAAGTAGCCGTTCAGAAAGTCGATATCGCTTTCTCTACCCCAGCGAATGGTATGGAGCATGTGGCTCTCACCACTGCTTCTCTTCCTCAGACGAGCACGGCAGTCCTTCTGAAGTGCGCCGTCATGGACATATCTCAGCAGCTCCTCGGAGTACTGGAGCTCGGGCAGAGACGTGATCACTTCGGAAATCTCTCGCAAAAGCTCGAAAACAATGTGCCGTGCTTCTAGGTTGGACCAGACCTTGTCATACGGCATGTCGAGCGCCGCAGACACCGAGTCTACCGCCGAGGTGAATACCATATCCGGGAGCCTACGCCGGAGGAAGTGCGCATACGAGTAACCTCCAGCTTGGAGATTTGGCGTCGTGGTCAGCATCCTCAGAAGATGAGAACTCTGCGTATGACGTTCAACGGGTGGGTAGATCTTGACAACGGGTTCGGTGACCCCTTCTCGCAAAGCTGTAAGGCATAGTCGCCCGCTAGCCTTCTCGTTGACCGAGAATCGGCTCTGGCCGTGCGCCAGGATATGGGTCATGTGTCCCAGAACATATCTTGGCCGGTAAGCTGGATCTGTGAATAGTTTCTGGTTGAGATGCTCTGCAACACCCAGTCCGTCTTGGATAAGACACAGAGTGGTCCGCTGGTCGATCCGATGCGTAATGTTCGAGAGGGCTCTCACAGCTCCCGCGGCCGAAAGTGTGACGATCAGGTTGTCTATGTGTGGTTGGTGCGCTGCGCGACCACGTTGGTTCATCAGCTCGACAATTGGCGTGTTTCGCGTCGAGCACTCTCCGTTCCGGAACACGTGTATCTCGTGTCCTTCAGACTTCCACTCCTTGAGGAAAGCCCAACGATTGGACAGTAACCGCACTGGTGGTATGGAGGAAAGACCTGAGATTGCGTGCGCAATATAGTGCGCTTTGAGGTCGGAACCAAGGATGTGCACTTGGTCAGAGTGATGGTGTAGTGCTTCTCTCCGGTTTGAGACGGGTAGCACAGGGCTCTCTGACATCGAAAGACTAGAATCGGGCGTAGCCTCATTGACAGTGCTGTCTTCGCTCTTCGGTATTGTCTCGTTTGAGTCGCGAAGAGGCGTTGGAACTTCGGGGGCGACGGATGAGGCATGGTTGTCCTGACTAGACTGCAGAGGCTGATGTGCTGAAGGCGGCGATGTAGAGGACTTGGGAGAGGTTGGCGGTCGATAGCCGTGAGGAAGATGCTGAGAACTTGGCAGGGTAGATATCAGGAGGGAAGGCTTGCCGAAAGGGAAGTGGTAGTCGACAGGCGCGCTCGGAGTGGCTGTCGCCTGCGCCGAGATAAACTTGGTGGCCCCCCGGCCGGCCGAAGTGTTACCGCGGTTCCATGACAACTGGCTATAGGGTATTCGCGAGAATACCCTTGATTTTGGTCGACCGGCTAACGTGAGAGACAGATTGGCTGATTTCAAGACGCTACCGGGGCGTCATCGCACTCTGGTTGTGTGCCAAATCCGACTCGTGCCCAGCTGAACAGATCCTCGGTCTGGCTGATCTGGTTCTAGGGATCGACTCGATGGTGGATTAGATTGATCTCGGATGCTCGGTTGCAAGAAGGAACGGGAGACAAGAATCACACCAGCGGCTATCCAAGACACTAAAAAGGCCGTGTGGTCGTGGCGACGGGCCTTTAGAGAGTGCGCCGTTGGAAAGTTGGGAGTTGATGATGGCGACAATTTTTCGTAGCAGCTCGGTCCCTAGCTTTTCTGAAGGGAATGAATTGCGCGCTTGCGATCGCCCGATAACCATCATCTCCTTTTGCGGCCACCCGATTGGATCCAGGCCGGTTTGGGTGGGTACAAGTCCCATATGCTCTTAGGCCAGGGTCCCTCGAAGTACCTTCTCCACCAAAAATCTGCGTCGATGGTACTGCAGCCCGATGATCAACCGCTAAAAATTGCGTTGCTGCTTGAGATGCACCCGCTCTACGTCTTCAAGCACACTCACTCCTTTCGGATTTCAAGATCACCGGATTGCAAACCTCGAAGTGCTCATAAGCCCTGCTTCTCACAGATTTTGTAAAAACTCTTCAGACTCAGACTGTTTGCTGCGCCTCCCAAACCTGCCGAACGCCTCACCAGCACCATGGCCGATATCTCGGACCTCAATCCTCACCTCGAACAGCTCGAGGCCGACCTGGACCAGCTGGAAGAGGCTCTCAAGCCACTTCTCGAGGACCTCGGAGGCCTTTCGTCACAGCTTCCGCTTCTGGACAAGAGCAAGCTCTGTGTTTTGACAACTTATGCTATCGAGTCACTCCTCTTCTGTGCGCCGCCTCTATCCTTTACTGGACTTGCTTGACAGCTACTAACTATTAATGATAGCCACTCTACGGATCAATGGAGTGAGTGCGCGGGAGCACCCTGTCACCACGGAACTTCTGCGTGTCAGACAGTACTTTGAAAAGATCAAGACCGCGGAGAACCCTCCTGCTCCAAGGGAGAACAGTCTGAATAAAGAGGCTGCGATCCGCTTCCTCAAGTCAGATTTGGTATGTGTATCCGTCTGTATGCCAGTCATTGCCATGTTGTTAACATCTAAACAGGCGGACAACGCAGAAGTCAGCAAAAAGCTTGGGGAGCAGCTCACCAAGGAGCGCGAGAAGACTTCGTCCACCGCCACCAAGGGCAACAAGAAGCGCTCAGCAGACTCGAGCGATAAGGGCACCCAGGGGTCTGCAAAGGCTACTAAACGATCCAAGACTGGGCGCTCGGGTGCGAAGTGATTTATCTTCGTCACAGGAACATCTGCATACTCACAAGCCCTTCCATCCTGCGAAGGCAACCAAGGTTCGTGAAACAGGCCAGGCAGTCGAAGAACACCGGGCAATGCCCGTGGCTATACAGTCAACGGCCAGCATACCGTGTGTCATGCCTTTCCCGTACTCCTCCTGCCCAAGGACGGCATGGGGAGGTAGAGCTCGAAGCGCAGAGAGGTCACTGAGATCCTGGTCCAGGGTGGCTTCAGAGGTAGCCCACTGTGGATCAGGACTCTCTCTGAGCAGGAAGCTCAGGGAATCGGACGGCCTCATGCTTTCATACCTTGCAACTATCCAGAGATGGATAGATCAAGGCCAAGACACTTTCGCAATACTTGAAGCCAAAGCGGCTGGTGTCGGAGGGCCGTAGCGAACATCCCAGGTGACTCAGGATAGATAGAAGATGTAAATTCATCAAAACTTCACGATTCCAATTGAGATGAGCATACATGTTCGAGAGAGACACAGCAAGCCTCTTCACGTATCCCATGCATGGTGAAGGTGAAGGGGGGTACCATTACAAACCTGCCTCGCCAAATACGCGTGGGCCTCTAGAAACCCCCATTCACCACCCGTGGACAGCGTACAGTGTAGGTACTGGCAGCGCTACCTTGCGGGTCTCTTTAGCGCCCTCGGGGGCCGTCAGAAGCCGCAGGACGCCCCGAAAACCAATCACGTGGAGTGCATTTAGCGCTATTCGATTGGCTTCCCGGCACTTCGGGAAAGCTGGGGGGCAAACTCGGTGGTCGACTTGGCTTTCCCTTTTTTTAAATCCGACGAACAGAACAAGACCTCCAACTTCAAGTTCACAACTTCAAAGTCCACGACCACACAAGCACGCCTCTTCTGGCAAAGACACCACACACACACACACACGCTCCCGCGCCGCAAAAGACAAACAGCAAAAGATGCCTCGCCAAAGATCCGCCGGCAGAGCCCCCTCTCGCCCTACCGTCCCCGCCCGCGCTCCCGCCGCGCCCACCCACCAGCAGCAGTCCCGGCCGGCCGCCACGTACGCCCCGGCCCAGCAGCAGCAGCACGCTCCCCACGCCCCGGCTCCCGCCGCCGCGCCCGCCGCGTCCCAGGGCCCCGGCCTCTTCGGCCAGATGGCCAGCACCGCTGCGTGAGCTAGCCTCCCTCCTCCCCCCCTTTGTTCCGGGAACCCATCCGTCTAGTTTGCTAACGGAAGACTTGTGTGATGTATACAGCGGTGTCGCCGTCGGATCCTCCATCGGCCACGCCATCGGCGGCCTCTTCTCCGGCGGCTCCTCCGCCCCCGCCGAGGCCCAGCAGGGCGCCGTCGCCGCGCAGGCCCCCCCTGCCCAGCAGCAGAACAGCTCCTGGGGCAACAACTGCCAGGGCGCCACCGAGTCCTTCACCAAGTGCATGGACGAGCACGGCGGCAACATGCAGATCTGCGGCTGGTATCTGGAACAACTGGTGCGTTTTTTGTCTAAACCCCCGTGTGTGTGGGAGGAGGGAGGGGGAATCTTGACCCCATGATGTTCGGGAAGAAGGGGGTATACAGAAAGCTAACAATCTCTGCAGAAAGCTTGCCAGCAGGCTGCCAGCCAGTACTAAGCGGCAGATCGGAGAGAATATGTGTTGGGCGGGTGGAGTTTGTACAGATATGCAGAGCACAGAAAGCATGAGCATTTGTCATGGCTCGCAATTGCATAATGACCGGCTACGGTTACACCAGCAAAGAGCATTATACATTTTGTAGATTTTACATTACGGCAGTCCACTCATCAAACTAGCCTCCGAATCGAAGAGAATAAAACAAGACAAAGGTTTTCAAAAGAGACTAAGGACTCCCAAGTCGTTGAACCATCTATTGTGTATTGTCGTCACCGTCATTCCTCGGCTCGAAGTTGAGCTAGAGATCTGTTAGTGGGACAGATAAAGGGATTGATCGTAGCATGTGTAGCATCAGTACATACCGAGTTACCATTATACAATTGCTGATCCCTCTGACTGTCGTTGGGGTTCCTGAACCCCTGGACGCGGCCGTTATCACGTTGGCCTCGCTCCTGCCTGCTGGCGCCTTGCGGTGATGGCTGCGACGCTTCGGGTGCGGGCGGCGGGCTACTGAAGATCGTGGTAAAGAACGTGAGAACCATTGTGAAGAAGTGGACAATGGCACCGATGATTCGAGACAAGATTCCGGCGTTGCTGTCATCGTATGCGTCGGAGAACTTATCGACCCGGACGAGAACCAGGGTGGAAGAAGGCGTGAGCCCGAGGTCTTGCAAGGTCTTGTCCTCTTCCGTCTCGTCGATGAGCCGGCTCGGAAAGAGAGATCTGAACGTGAAGGGGCCCCCGTCGTCTGTCCGGCTGTCTTCAACCCATTTCCTCACATCCGTCCGGAGGGTGTTGCTGCTGGGGAAGCGTGTCCTGATATTGGAACCATCGAAAAGCCGAACCTGAAGTGCACATTCCTCGCTGTTCTTCGTCGCTCTCGAGGCCAGAGCAGAGTGTGGCGCCAAGCTGATATCGGCCCCCGTCGCGTCCGCCTCTCCACCTGCTCCCTCTGCCAGGGCCGCAGCAGCCTCTCGTTCCCGCTTCCGCAGCTCTTCTCTCGACCTTCGCTCGGCCCTGTCGTCTTCGATCTGCTTCAGGACACGGCGTCGGGCCTCCAGCTCTTCCTGCTGTCTCTTCTTCCGCGCCTCAGCGGCCTTCTGCACCTCGTCCCGCGGTCGGCCAGCGGCTTGAGGCTTGGTGGTCTCGTCGGTCGATTCCTCCGCCGCCTTTCTCCTAGCTTCTTCCGCCTCCTTCCGCTTCCGCAGCGCCTCTTGCTTCTCGCGTTCACGCCGAGCCATGGCCGCCTTTACCAGCTCCGCACGGTCCTGCGGCGGGGCCGAGGATGAGGATGAGGATGAGGATGAGGATTCGACCGCGGCGGAGGCGGTCGGGCTTCGAGCAGCAGTGGCCGCTGTCTCATGGGAGCTCTGCACGGCCGCCGCCGCTGCCGCACTTGCGGCAGCAGGGATTGAGGTGCTTCCTGGGAGAGCACGTCCAACCCTGGTCAAGAAGTCTGTCTTGGAAACGCCTGAAGCAATGTATTCCTTCAACTCGCCATTTCTGTGCCAATTAGCATCTCAACAGCGTGCGTGACCAGGTAGAAGAAGCTCACTTGATGATGACCAAGGTCGGGGTCTTGGGCAGGGGGAACAGCGCGGCGAGGAAGCCAGCTTCTTGTGAGCCAGCTTGCAGCTTCAGTAGGACAGAATCAGTCTGAAGTGCTTGGCTGATCTATAGATTGCGTTAGAAGCAGATTCAGCCATGCTGTTTTGTGAGGGTGGAAGCTTACCGAGCTGTCTTTGAGATACTCGTCCTGCCAGAGTTTACTCTCGTCACCCTCATCTGCATTAGTGTTAGTAGTGCATGTGAGGGCGTAGCATTGGGGGGGTGGCTAGGCTTGCCTGAAACAAAACAAGCTACCAACTTAGACTGCTGGAGAGCGGTTGCGATTCCCTCCTGGAGCGTGCCTGAGAAGAACATGGTGACAGCTATTGGATGTATGATGATAACGACGTACGTAGGTGATTGACAGGCAGTAAGGATGATGCGGTGGCGGGGGCAAGAGGTGATTGAAAAAGGTCCGATAGTTATAAAGTGAGCACCACGTAACGCAGCGTTGGCCACTCCGGTCTAATGGGTTCTAAACAGCCGCAAGTTCTCAAAAGAAGTCAAGTGAAGCCCAGAATCCCGAGCTTTTACAAGGGCGTAACTATGGATGAGGTGCGCTGTTGCTGACGAAATTGCCCTGTTGCTGCCACGTGGATCCCGCTATTCACGTGCCTGGCTTTGTGCTACCTCCTCCCCTCCAGACATGCGTTCGAGTCAACAGCCACCTGGGCAATTTGACATTGCTTGTGCATCGTGGAACAGAGAAGCTACTGGTGGTATCGAGCTCATTAACTTCACCATTGTCTATCTGCAGTACTCAGACAAATAATCCTCAGGTGCCTCGAGCTATGATGATCTGAGATTAGAATCTTACTGGGAGAAGCCAATTGGTTGCTTCTCGCTGCAAGCCATGAGAGCTACACATTCTACGAGGCAAGATGGAGCGATTCTGCTCTAACCATGCCTCACTCAATATCTTGTTCAATTTATCAATTGGCATCCAACCACCGCCCCGACCAGTCGTCTAAGCCGAATGCCCCTCCAAGCTCGCCATCTCTGCCTCGAACAAGGCAGCATCGGTGCAAGGCGTGGACGTGGTCAGCACCGACGAGAAGGACCAGCCGCCCACCTAGAAAAACCATCCCGGATCATGCAGACAGCCCATCAGCACATGTAGCCGAGTAAAAAGACAAGCAGCGGCTTTCTGATAAGCCTTGTCCCCCTCTCACTCTGGGTCCAAAGGTCCTGCGCTTCCACGCATTGCGTGACATGGGTCAAGAAGGCCGCGTTGGAAAAAGCCCGGTCTCGATCGCGGCCGATAGGGTCAGTACACCGAAGCAGGCAGCCCTTGCAGCTGACGCCGCGCTCGACGCTGGCTTTCTTGGAATCGTAGTACGGGTGAGCAATGGCTGCCAGGAAGCGATGGTTCTCCTCGTCCCTGGGAGCCGCTAGATTCCGAACGGCATCCTCGGTCAGCGCCCCGACGGCAAGCAGAGATTGCCTGGCCCTCTCTTCCGAAATCAGATACTCGGGTGGGTGTGGTGAAGTCCCCGTCGCTGCGCTTTTGATTCTAGGCACAGTACGTAGGCCTTGTCCGACAAGATCCCTCAGTCGAGCGGGAGACACCTGAGTGAGCTCGGCAAAAGTGGATGGAGGGATGACACGGAAGCGGGAGGACGACTGGAGGCAACCCGCACAGGTCCTCTCGGCTGTCGGGAGAAACAGAAAGCCTCCAAAACTGCCACAGGCCGCGCACTGGTCAGTGACAAGAGACTGGTAGAGGTCTTGGATGGTGAAGAGATGAGCGAGCTCGGCGCGCAGCAGGCCTCGCAGCGCCTCCAAACCGTGCTTGGCGGCCAGTCTGTAGTCCCGGGATCCAGCTGAATGAACGCGAGCAAGCCTGTTGACTTGGCGGAAACGAAACAGAGAGCGGATGTCGAGCGCGCCGAGGACTATCAACATGATCTCGGCGGGGAGACGACCCAGCATCCCAAGGTGGGCGATGGGCGGCTTCACGAACGGCTTCTGGAGCGATCTGCGGACTGGATGCATCTCGTGCGGGGATGACCAGACGACGACGGGGTCCAAACCCCGCCGGTCGTAGGAACATACTTGCAAGATCGCATCGGCATCGTTCTCGATATCCACAAGGACACCAGTGTTGCTCATACTGGGCGGAGGTCAGTCGGTTTTGAGAGGGTTGATATTCATGCTGGAGTCCAGCCCAGTCCAACGAGACACATAGTCCATCAGGAATTCCGGAAAAGAGGCTTCGTTGGAGAGGATTTTCGCCCCAGAACCGTTGGCTGAGAAGCAGCCAATTCGGGCCAACCGGATTGAAGATGAAGGCATCCCTGCTGTGTTACCACACAAGGCTTTTGTGCATTGTAGTCGTCGAGTCGAGAGCTGAGGATGGAATTGATGTTGCTAGGCGGTGCGCGCAGCCCACTAATACCCGCACAATTCCACTCTGGTCAAAGCCTCCGCAGCCAATCGGCCGCTTCGCAACTCTAGCTCCATAGTTGAGCTTCGCGGAACCAATGGAGCATTTTCGACAAAAGTCTCCAAGGACGCATCATCCGATCAGTTCAAGCCCCCCTGCAACATAGCAGTCGCTCCGACTCTACGCGCCAAAAGAGCCACAAGCGCACGATGAAGAGCCTCAATTGCATCTTCCGGCCGTCCACCGTCCAGCGGACGGCCCGCCAGCTCCAGCGGTGTTCCTCGAGGGCCTCGGCCGCACCACCACCCACCCAGCGGTGCCCTCTCGCGTCGTCGTCGTCGCGATCCGGCCTCCGCCCCTTCTCCAACACGGCCAGGCAGCGCAGCAGGCAGGCGGCCGACGACCCGGCCTTCACGTCCATCGTCGACAACCCGCCGGAGCTGGTGCGCACCAACAGGAGGCACGGCCCGGGCCTCATCTTGCTGGCCATCATGCCCATCACCGCCTTCTGCCTCGGCACCTGGCAGGTCTACCGCCTGCAGTGGAAGAACGACCTCGTCGCCAAGTGCGAGGACCGGCTCGTCCGCGACCCCTTGCCCCTGCCGCCGCGCATCGACCCGGCCGCCATCCCGGACTTCGACTACCGCCGCGTCTACACGACCGGCCGCTTCCGGCACGACGAGGAGATGCTCATCGGCCCGCGCATCCACGACGGGCAGCAGGGGTACATGGTCGTCACGCCGCTCGAGACGACCGCCGACGACGGGCGCAAGAGCAAGATCCTCGTGAACCGGGGCTGGATCCCGAAGAAGTTCAAGCTGCAGAAGGACAGGCCGGCCGAGGCCCTGCCCGCGGGCGACGTCAAGGTGGAGGGCCTGCTGCGCGAGCCGTGGAAGAAGAACAGGTTCACGCCGGACAACAGGCCAGACATTGGCGAGTTCTACTTCCCCGACGTGGCGCAGATGGCGAGCTTGACAGGGAGCCAACCCGTGTGGATTGAGGCGACTATGGGTGAGTGAGCTCTTGGGGTTCTCTACCCACAGCCCTTTTCGCTATCTAGAGCGCTACTAACAATATTTCCGTGCTAGAACCCGACATTCTTCAAGTGTATGACATGATAGCCAAGGGTATCCCTATCGGCAGAGCTCCCGAGGTCAACCTCCGCAACAACCACGCACAGTACATCTTTACGTGGTAAGTCTAGACATCTTCCACCAGCGGGCCCAAAATGGTCCTTGTTCGTCGGCTGATACAGTCCATAGGTACAGCCTAGCAGTGGCGACGACCGTCATGTTCTGGCTCGTCGTGAAGAAGCCTCCCACTGATATCACGAAGCGAGTTCGCATGAACAAGTCTTGGTGAATGTGGCTTGTTCATCATGGTGTGCATACAAGTCTTACAAGGTCCTGTGTGATGCCTCAGGTGATCTCTGCGCCTCCGCTAACGTTGCGCCTGCGCCGCTGTTTGACGGGTGCAGGAGGCGTCATGCGCAATTCTTGCAGAAGCTCGCGCGGCAGGTGGCGCTGAGCGAGGGAGAAGGGCGTCGTGACAGAGCTGGTCTGCCGTTGTCTAGAAGGGCGCAGCGGATGATCAGACGACTGTAACAATAAACCAGATAGGAAGGATGATACCCCATTCCGTAAAGTGTACAATACATACCTTCTCATGAGCGTCAGCATATCGCTCTCGTCGATGGTCTTGCGCCCGGCATGCTTGGCATAGGCTTGCAGGTCGTCTCCGAGCTGCTCAAAGAACCAGTCCGAGGCTTGCATGATGGTGTTGAGTGTGTCGGGGCTAATCTTGGCCTTGCCGACTCCACTCGTCTGCGCAAAGGTCTGCGCAAGACGCTTGACAACGCTCGGCGGAAGTGATGGGTATTCGACGCCGAATTTTGAAACTTTGACGCCTCGCTTCTTCTTTTTCCCTTTCCAGGCTGCATCCTTGGCGGTGGCCTCCTCAACTTGCAGGTCCTCCAAGCCAGTCGCATCCATGACCCCGCCCTCGGCGCCATCGCCCCCTTCCTCCTCCTCTCCAAAGGGGTTGTCGTCATCCACCACCATTTGCTCTTCAGGGTGGAAAGATGGCCGAACGGGAGACGATTGCAGTTGAGGCGCCAGAAATACAGTGCTGTCATTGGCGTTGACAGGGGCATCAATAACTCCAAATTCGCTCTCGCGACCTGCAAGGAAGGTCGCCCGCCGTCCTGCCCCGTCGTCGATCCTGGAAATCTTCATTAGCATTGGAGGGGAGGATGTTGCGCAAAGAGCGGCAGGGCAGGGAGAAACGTACCTTTCGTATGTCATATCGCCAATCGCCTCCTCCTCTGGGATATCGTCGAATGGGCCGGCGGGGAAGAACGCAGAGTCGATGCCAACATCGTCGTCGCTGCCCAAGTCGTTCCCACCCATATAATCGCTCAGGCGCACACTGCCCAAGCTGCTTCTCGACAGCCGTGGCGGCTGTTCGCTCAGAGCCCTCCGCGGTAGCTCGATAGACTGCATCGTAAAGTTCTCGTCTTCCATAAAGGCAGAATGGTGCGGCTGTAGATCGCTATCGTCGTCCATATCGATGGGGAGGGACAGCCGCGGCCTGTCGATGGGGAAGTCGTCGTCCTCATCGTCCTCCAAGATGGTGCCGATGTCGCTCGCCATCTTGGGCCCGGGAGAGGAGGAGGACGAGGCGGCGGGCCGAGTGGTCGGGGCGAGGACTCGACTAAGGTTCCGCAGGATGTCGCGCGGGGTCTCGCGCTGCTCGCGCAAGCTCCGCCGGCGGCTCTTACCCGGCGTGAAGATGGCGGCGCGGCGGCTGTCGAGCGCGCGGAAGGCCGCTCGGGCGTGCGGCGTCGCGGCGGCGGCGGCATTGGTCTTCCTCCCGGACGCGGAGAGGCCCTGGCGGGTGGTCGATCCGGGGGCTCTGGCGCCACCCGTGGCGGGGGTGTGTACGGATCGCCGGCTCGACGGCGGCTCGGCGCTTCTCGCTCGAGAAACCAGCGGCGTCAATGCCGGCCGTCGCTGCGCGGAGCGAGGTGTTGATGCGCCGGCGGCTGTGGGTTGTGCCGTCTCGGCGCGACTTGGAGTTGTGGGCATGGCTGACGGCGCCCGCTATCGATGTCGAGCCTAGGATTGTGGTGAAATGCGGGCACTCGCTTCGATGGTCGATTGATGAAATATCTCAGCGAACGCTGGTGTGGTGCGCGGTATCGGGTATCGGGTATCGTGGGTGAGGTCTGGCAGTCAATCCATGCCGCTTTGAGTCTTGGCAAACCACACAGGCTCTGGAAATTGGGTTGTTGAGATGAGTGGATAGCCAGCTCACATGATGGGATGTGGTGATGATGACGCGCCGGCCAGACGCGTTCTGTGCAAGTTTAGTGGACGGGCACACGGGTGACGGGTTGGATGGGGCGGGGGCGATTGGAATGGCAGGTGGGGCGGCCTGGCCCGAGTCTAAAGCTTCCATTCTGGAACATTGCAGCAGCTCGGCGCTTCCCCGACTCGGCAGATCGGCAACAGCTGGAGCTCTTTCTCGAGTCAACAGCGCAGGCAACAACACAAGGTAAGGTAGAGGTACCTTGTGTAGGTGGTACTTCACACTTTATGACCCAGGGGCGAGAGAGCAAGATTGAGAGAGAAAATATGCCTCCATGTCAACAATAAACTTCACTCGTCTCCTGAAGCTAACCTGCCCTGATTGAACTCTGGCCTTTGTGTGGAGGAGGGGCAAGTTGTTACAGATTGTGCTTCAAACCTGGCGGTCTGAGGTTGTTGCAGATATCAAAGCTGCTCTACGGAGTTGGGCTGTATTTGATGTATATTGAATGTAAAGTACTTGCCATTCCGATAGGTAGGCCATGGGCTCAAGAAAACAGCATGTTGCAATTGCCTACCATCTCCTCCAAGTGACGGCGCCTGCTGCCACAATAGTCAATAGTCCATCCTCGCCTTGGATGAAGGCGGCGAGTGATGTCAGCCAGTGGTGAGCCCAATGTGTGCTGGCTGGGCTCAAGTGCTACCTGTACTCTCGGCTAGGTACATCAATTGATGCACTTGCAGGTTTATTCCGAGTGCAGACTGGAGACTCGATGTCCCACATTTTTGCATCATCCGCAAATGCAAATGTTCGCACCAAACCCACAAAGAGAACGACCATGAGGTTTCAAAAGCAGCAGGTCTCCACACTCGACACCCCCAATCCGGATATCTGAGACTGGTTTCCAGATGCGACCAATTGTGTATGAGCAGGCGAGGGCATGTTCTCCCCAGCACTTGACACCAGACTTGATTGACCCTTTGGTATCGAGTCATCGACACTTGATAGGTGGAGAAGAGGAAATGTTGAATGTCACCTGTGCCACCTCATTCATCCCTCTCGGAAGCCTCACCAGGACGGACGGCCAAGGCCGGAGCGAGTGTCGCTAATAAAAGATGCGCGGTCCTCTCCGGCTAGCTGATCTACAAGTACGTGTAATGACAGGCGGCGGCGACTAAGAAAGTCTTGGGATGGTGTGAATGGGGGACCGACAGGAACTAAAGGTCAAGTGTTTCCCTATCGAACCAGCCAGCCCCTTTTCCAAGCAAACCAACAGTGCATTCTCATCCAGTCCTTTGCGCTACTGCTTCACATCTCGATGACGGCAGACAGTCCAACCAAGGACACGATAATGAAGAGGCCATATGATTTGTTTCCTACCCGCCCGAGTTTTCAACCCTGTGGTCCGGTTGACACGACTTGAAGTGGTACTGATCAGCAGCCAGAGCTCAGATAGCTTCTTTTGACCAAACACCCCCCCTCTCTCTTAGTAGTTAGTACCAAACAGCTTGCAGCAGCCCCTTGTTTCGACGCCTAGGTCCGTCGGCATGTGCTTGCGATGTTTCGAGCTACCTGAGCTCCCTCTTCCTTGGTACCCATTTGGCGGTTGAGGATGGTGCATCTTACCAACACTGCTGTCATCCCGATTGATCCTCCCAAGTGAGTGTGTGTATGTGCCAACCCACACTTCCACACTTCAAGGTTCTGTCAACTCCTTGCATGTCAACTCCTGCCGACCTGTGGCTAGGAAGGAGCGGATGCAGAGAGTGGGTGTGCACGAGCACCCGGCCTCAAATGAAGCAAAAGGCCTGCATATGCAGATACTTGTCCCAAGAGCCTCCCAAAAAGCTGGTCCTGGGGATCGATGCGAGCCTGTGCTTCAGCTTTCCTCCCCTCCTCCACCACAGCACCCCTGTAGAAAGAAGCGTACTCCGTAGAAGCAAAGTCGGTAGTAGATTCCATGGATGGTAGATGCTCTCGGCTGTCCCCAAAAGCCCAAAGTACCTTCTTACACATTGACCCATCTTCTTTCTCTTCCAAGGTTGTCTCCTCTCCTGTCCCTACCCCACCCTCCACTTTCTGATACCTACCTCCCCCCCATCCCACCACAAGGGTAAGAATCGCCCGTGCTGCAGCACATGCGTGCCTCCCCTACCCCTACCACCCCTACCGCCTCACCCAATTCTCCCACTAACCCCCTACATTATCTGCACACCTTACGAACTCTCCCCCCCCATCGACCTTAATTGTTCGTCCTTTTTTCCAACCTCCAGACCAGACTCACTGTTTCGCTTGCAGTGCCCGCCCACCCGTTTCTCCCACTCCCGGCTGTCAACAGATCCGCTGTCTGTCTAACGCCTTAATGCTGATCTTCATGCCATAATTCGAATTCCTCATTTCCATTGCTGCTTTCCTGACACCTCAGCCCACACCGACCCGACGACCTAGCTGCTGCTGCGCCGCCGCCCTATCTCGTCTTTGGAAGCCAAAAGGTACTCCGACTGCTCACGTCGCGATCACCATCATTGCTTCCCGGGCCGATAGAACCGCACAAGGTCTCTTCGGTCAATTCTCCCTGAGCATCCAGCTCTCGAATTTGTACTGCTCCGACAAGCTTTACAAAATACCACAAGATACCACACAATGGCTGCTCCCGGAGTTCAGTCCCTGAAGGTGCGCAACCCCTCTACCTAACCTATACAAGGCGCATGACGCCCGAGGCAACAGCAAATTAACGAGCAATATCTCGAATCTATAGTGTGTTGTGACTGGTGATGGTGCAGTCGGAAAGGTAAGTCGTTCTCTTTGGCTGCGTCGGCCTTCGACGCCACGCCACTATCCTCTCAGAAACACCTCAGCTAACACCTGCCTTAGACATGTCTGCTCATTTCCTACACGACGAACGCCTTCCCCGGTGAATACATTCCCACAGTGTTAGTCCCTCCGCCGACCATGATTTCCTACTGGCTACCCCTCGACCTGTCCAGCTTCTAACGTGGCTGCTGAAATACAGGTTCGACAACTACTCGGCGAGTGTCATGGTTGATGGCAAGCCCATCAGCCTGGGTCTTTGGGATACTGCCGGACAAGAAGATTATGATCGATTGCGGCCCCTCTCATACCCCCAGACCGACGTCTTTTTGATTTGCTTCTCCATCGTCAGCCCTCCTTCTTTTGATAACGTCAAGGCCAAGGTCAGTGGACTGCTCTTCTCTTCTCCTAAACTACGTATAGAGCATCACCAGCTGACCCCAGCCGCAGTGGTACCCCGAGATCGACCACCATGCGCCCAACATCCCCATTATTCTGGTCGGTACCAAGCTCGATCTGCGTGAGGATCCAGCGACGCTTGAGTCACTTCGACAAAAGAGAATGGAGCCTGTCTCATACGACCAGGCTCTGATGTGCGCCAAGGAGATCAGGGCACACAAGTACCTCGAGTGCTCTGCCCTCACCCAGAGGAATCTGAAGAGTGTTTTCGACGAGGCCATCCGGTATGTCTCCAGTTCCAAGCATGAAGCCCCTGAAGAAAGCCTTACTGACTAGTCATTCCCTCCCAGTGCCGTCCTCAACCCCCGCCCTGTTGCGACCAAGACCAAGAAGTCAAAGTGCGTCGTTCTATAGATCCCAAGGCGTGTCAGTGACCGGCAGCACCGATAAACTCGAGATATACGAGGACCGGGGCTCAGCCGGCACAGCACAGGGGCTTGCTCTGCCTCGAAGTGAGTCAACCGCAGCCTGCACACATCTCGTAGGGCCTGGAGCTATCCAAAGCAGCATTTCAAAAAGTTACAGCATTCTCCGCTCGAGGCGGCTTTTGGGTCATTATCATTCGCATCCACGGATACTGGCGAGCCAAGCCGCTTTTCTCTCTCTCTCCCCCGATATAGGTTTTGGTGTTGGTTTTTGATTGCCGATTTTTTTGTTGCTATTTTTGGTCGTTGCAGAGTACTTCACACACACAGCGCATTCACGTAAAGGATATCCCATGGCTCACTAGATCAACGGATCCCTCCCCCCTCAAGGGAACGATTGGATTGTTCAGGAAGCGAGGTGGTAGCAGGATGCTGGATGCAGGATGAGGGAACAGGCCTTTCGAAGCGAGACACGAATGTTATGAGATGACTAGTTTTTCGCATGAAGAAGTTTTATTGGTGTTTTTGATTCGTTGCTTTATCCCAACTTACAGTTTCGATGTGCCTAACTTTTATGATGCTGCTTTTAATGTTGTACAGCAGGGTATCTCAAGAAATTGACTACTGAAAAGAGTGCAATCATTGCTCCCATTACGTGCCAGTGCGAACAGAACCAACCCTGTTCACCATTTCCTCTTGTTGGACATTTGGCCACGGCGACTGGGATGGACGCCAGAGTGGTCGTCCTCGTCGGCCTGGGCCTGCTGCTGCTGTGGCTTGGGCCCGGACTTGACTCGGGTCCTCTTCTCCTCCTCCTCGGCCTGCATCCGCCTGGCGCGCTCCTCGTTGAGCTTGATGTTCTTGGCCTTGATCTTGTCGCGACGGTTCTGGGTCTTGCCGCCGCCTCCAGCACTGTGCATTGCAGTCAGTACAACCCGCCTATGTAGATATCTGGAGACTTGAAAAAGGGGGAGGCAGGGAAAGGAAGGAAAGGGTGTAGTGGAGTGGTTGGGGGGGGGGGAAGGACCTACGTGAGCTCGACGTTGATCTTGCGCGGCTGCGACTTGCCGTCGCTGAACTCGGAGTGGTGGAACTTGGCCAGGCACGTCTTCATGGGCCCGTAGCTGTCGAACTCGAGGAAGGCGATGCCGCGCGACTTGGACGGGTCCTCGCGGTTCGAGAGCAGCCGGATGCTCGACGGGCTCAGCGCCTCGAAGTGCTTGGCGACGCTGGCCTTGGTGGCCGTGTAGGGCAGGTTGCCGATGAAGACGATGAAGCGCGCCGCCTTCTTCTGCTCCTGCTCCTGCTCCTCGTCGCCCTCGCCCTCCTCGCCCTGGCCTTGCTCTTCTTGCTCGGCATCATCGCCGGTCGTCGCGGCGTCCTCCGCGGAGGCAGGCTCCTCCGCCTTCTTGGCCTTCTTGGCCTTCTTGTCCTTTTTGCTCTTGGACTTGTCCTTGGTCTCGCTGGCGGCAGGGACCTCTTCGCTTGGCTTGTCCGACTTGCTGCTGCTCTTCTTCTCCTTCTTCTTGTCCTTCTTCTCGCTATTCTTCCTCTTTGGCTTCTCGTCGCCGCTCTCCTCCTCCTCCCTCGGGGCAGCAACCACTGCTTCCTGGCTGTCCGCCGCCTCGACCTGCTCCTTCTCCTCCTTCTTGGCCTTCTTGTCCTTCTTGTCCTTCTTCTTCTCCTTCTTTTCCTTCTTCTCCTTCTTGCTCGGCGCGGCGACCTCCGCGGCGGCCACGTCGTCCTCGGCCTTGCTCACGCGGCGGCGCTTCTTGGAGGAGCCCTCGACGTCGTCGCTGGCGCGCTTGCTCGCGGGAGCCGTCGCGGCGGCGCCAGACTCGGCTTTGCGCTTCATTTTCTTGGTTGGGTTGGATTTGTTTTATGGAAGAGATACTGGTTTCCTGAGCGATACTTTTCGAAAAGCAATGTCAGGTCTGGAATACGACCAAGTATGTATGGGGGGCGATTGCTGAAGAGGTGATGTTAAGACTTGAAATGTAAATCTCGAACTTTTTTGTCAAGAGAGCTCAAATTATTTTTCTGCCAGGCGGACTAACACGGCAAGAAGAGTATTACCTTAGGTGGTGGGGCGTCCATTTAGTAGGGGTCTAAATTCCCTAAAATGGAACCCGGAAAGCCCCCGCAACATTCCCCGGCGGTTCCATCCATCAACTGAACTTGTTCCACACACAAGTTGTCAACATATGCGAAGCCTAACCGGGATAATAACTTCTCACGTTCCAGAGCCGGAGAACAAGAGCGTAGCTACGCCGTCCTAATTCACCTAGTACAAGGATACATTAATCCAATATGTTTATCTGTATTCTTCCTCGGGTTCCATCATTACTCTCCAGCAAACAATGCACTACCTAGGTATTATTTGTTTACAAGTTGAACCCCAAAAAGATCACTATGGCACATCCAACGGCTACTGCCGACGGGCCTTCGTCTCGACTCGCTTGGTTGATCACAGTTGCCGGCGGAGGCAGTGTCTCTCCCGGAACCGTCCCGTTCGACCCAATGGTGGATGACATCGTGGTGAAGGGGTTCGTGTTGCTTGTGGCAGGGACGCCAGGAAGCCACGGTCCCGATATGGTCGCGACGCCGGGGGGCGGGCCGACTGCAGGCACCGGATTCGCACTGACTAGGGGGGAGGGCGTATACGTGATAGCCGTAGGTCGGCTGGGACCCGTCGAGCCGGTGGGACGAGGTGGACCCGAGGCTGTTCCATTTGCGAGACTCGGAGCTTGAGGGTCTGTGAGCGGCTGGGTAGACGTTGTGAAGATTGAGATCTCGGCAGATGAACCGCCGGGTACGGAATCTGTCAACCCCCCACTGGGAGAGGGCCGTGGTGGTCGAGGTGCCTGCGGCGCTTGGCCTTGTATTGTGATCGGGATCGAAGTCAAGCCTGGAGATGATGGTAGCATCACCGTTATTGGGGAAACCGTGCCTGGCGGACCTCTGGGGGCGTCGGGCGTCGTCGTCGCGACTCCCGGCGGGCCTTGCGGCCATGTGTGAGGCGGCGGCGATGCCACGGGAGGCACTATCGTAGAAGGAAGTGCTGGTGGGGATATCTGGGGAAGGCCGGGAGTTGTAAGACTGGTCCAAAAAGTGGTGGGACTTGGCCCGGGTGCTGGGTTTGCTTGCGAGCCTTGTTGGGGTGCAAAGGATATGATGTTGCCTGGGCTTGATGGCGTAGGGTTGGTGCTTCCGACGCTTGGTCGTGGTGGCTGAATAGGCGCTTGAGCAGATATCGCGCGTGGAGGAGTGGGATTGCTTGGAGGGGGCGGCAGTGATCCCCCTCCAGGCAGTGTCGGTACTGTTATCGAGCCCGGGCCAAGTGAAGTTGGAGGGAGTGTCTGAGTGCCGCCTCCAGGCGGCGGGAACTCATTCACGGTTCCCGGAGATATGGTCGGCGGGGGGGAGGGCAGTGTATTGTCCAGCGGCAATACATTTGGCCTCGGCGGCACGGGTACAGGGAGCCTACTACTCAGCATAGCGTTCGGTGTCGGCGAGATAAACGAAGCTGGAGAGACAGAACCAGGAGGTGACATCATAGGTAGAGGTCCCATAGTTTGAGTCCTGCCAAATCCTGACAATGGCTCGCTCGGCGTGACTGAGGGGGGCTGAAAAGGGACCGAGGGCCCAGTACTCGGGCCATTGGTCAACGGTACAGGAGGTATACTGCCTGTCGGAAACACTGGCGGGATGGCTGGTGTTGGTCGAGTAAGAGATCCGGCTGGAGGTACCCCATCGGGACTATCCGGCCCTTGACTCCCTAGCTGTGGCACAGGAACTGTGCCAGTAGAGACCTTTGCTGGGAAGGAATCTGGCGGGGAACTCAAGAAGCTTAGAGTGAGTGGGAGCCAACTTCGAGAGCCCGACGGTGTGTCCAGAGGGGCTACGGTTGCTCCCGTTGGGAATAACGGGACTCCTGGAGTTGGCGGAGTTTGGTTCGGATTCGTCGTTGTCGTGCAACTGTGACTATTAGGAAACGGAGCTTCCGTCCCACCCAGGCTGTTCTGGTGGCCTCCCGAGGGCCCTGTATCTCCGTCACAGGAAGAGGACGGAATAGGGGTCGGAGCAGGCACGGTTATGATGACCGTCTGCGTACACGTTGTGCTGGTAACCTCTGTATGTTCGAAGAACACAGGCTCAGGAGATCCATCATCATCAGTCGCAAGAGATGCAGCTATAAGTGAACTGTAGTTGTACGGCCCCGCAGTATGAGCAGATATAACTGTCGCGAAGGTATCGGGAATGGCACCTGGGGCGCTCGTCGGTGAATAAGTACTGGTGTCGTTGACTGTCAGGGGCGATTCTGAAAGTGGCGTATTTTGTTCTCCTGGGCCATCTTCGTCACCGCTGTTTGTCGTGGTACTTGTTTCAATGCCAAAAGACTCGGGACTGGTTCGTTGCGAGCTTCCAACCTCTGGCAAGGTGTACTCAGATGACAAACTTGGCGGAACAGGTGTTGGAAAGGTTGTCAATACGTGGGGGCTGCCCACAATGTCACTCTGGGATATGTCGATGCCAGTGATGGTAGTGGCAAGAGCCGAATTGTGCATTCCAGAAGCAGCGCTTGTAGGCCAAAATGTGTTTGGCCGAGTCGTTGACGCCGAGAATATGGTACTTATCAAAGTAACCACGTCTAGGTCTTCACCTGCCTCGTCCTCGCTGAAGTCTGGTGCAGCGACGTCGGTAGCTCCTCTCTCTGTGTCCAGTAGCTCCAGTCCATCATGCTTCACGGCTTCGGGAGGCAGAAGTTGTGGATCTGCAGAGTTGTACCCTTCCAATGCCGAAAGGTCACTGGAGCTCCTTGGATTGGTTGCGTCGGGAATTGTCTGTACCGTGATGGGTTTGATGTGTGTCGCATTTTCTCTCTCTCCACCTGCTTCTCGAATCGTGTCTACAGCATCCATGTCGACAGCTACTCTGGCATTCGCTGAAGTTGTTTGGCCTAACGCATCCGTCAATCGTACCTTCGGTGATACGCTCGAGCTATGGGTACCTTGACCGTCCTCGTGATTCCAAGCCTGCGTATGAACGGGTTTCCAGTCGAGAACTTCGCGAGGAGCGTCGTTCCCGGCAGATGCTCCTCCAAGAATCCGTCTATCTTGGTTGATATTGATGTCGAACACCAGATGAATGGGACCCGTATCATCCAGCATCAACGACGGATCAGTACCTCGCAGGCCCTGGTAGCGGGATTGCGTCCGTTCTGGCCAGGATATCGGACTGCCGTTGGCACAAACCGATGCCGTCTGCTGCATCGCAGAGATCAAATCTCCAGAAACTCGCTGCAGGCATCTCAATAGGCTCTTGTTCATTCAGGTCAGAGCGAAGTCTTGGAAGCATTTGGCGGTGTCTTACCTCAGTGTGACTCTGGTCCTGGCATATGCAAGAGATGTCTGCGCAGGCTGTCTCTTGCGAAATCCGCGGTAGACAGGCAATGAGATTATCTTTGAGGCAATCAGTAGATTGCTTCGGCGGCGGGTTTTCTCTGGTTACATACCCACAGCATCATCGGCAATAGCGACAGTTTGTGTAAAGAGTCCTGTGAGGACCACGGGCCATAACTGAGCGGTCTTCATGCTGGATGCTCGGTGTGGCTCTGACAGCGGACTCGACAACCAAGCACCAGGTCAAGCAAGAGGTTAATCTGGTGGCCAAAAGTGACTCGGAGGGTTGCTGGCTCATCCAAAAACAGTAAACAAGTCAAACGAGAGGCGATCTAAGAGGCGGTGGACAATAGACGGGAGTGCGCCAGCCTCTTTCGAGTAGAATCAGACAAGACATATGCGGCAAGTCCTGATCAAGAGGAGGAGGAAAGGCCAGTCTGGAATTCATGCTCCCAAGACTTTGCCAACTCGGGAAGGAGTGTCCGCTCCAGGCGAAAGGAGGACCGGCAGGGACCATCCATAGGCAAGCGACTCCTTCATCACTGGGACTTGGATCTTCCACGCCTTACTCGCGCTGAAATGATAGAGGTTGCAATTCCTGGGTATCTAATTTTGAGGACGCCGACCTCCGCGAGGAAGGACTTTATGTGTGCCAGGGAGGAGGGTGCCTCCTAGGTCAAAAGAAAAGGAGCTCAAGGGGCTTTTCCTCCGCGGCATACCGATCCTTGAACTCTTGTCTGGACAGCCATTTAGCCAGGGGCATCATTGTGTCCTTCATATCCATAACACCCCGTTTCTTCATATCAATATGCGAGGCATCCACCACGAGGCGCTCCAGATGCTCCACGGAGAGAGCGCCTAGCTCTACCGTTAGCCAAGACTCGGCTCATCCAAGATAGGTGAAGGAAAACAAACCGTTGTTCAACAGGTCCATCAATCTAGCTGGCGTGCCTACTGCTATACCAGTACGGTTCGATTTCAGGAATGTGACTGCCTCTTCAAGCTTGATGTGCTTTGCAAACTGTAGCAAAGCAATAGTTAGTCTCGGCTCTTGGTATCTTGCGTATCAGAGCGCTCGCTCGCCGAGCTACTAACCAGCTTCGAGACCACGTTACCCTTCTTCTGGTACGTCCTCACAGCTCTAGACCAGTTGTCAGTTTCATGATAGCCCAAAAACCATGGTTCATCTCGTCTAGGGCTGCAGGCCTACCTTACGATGTCTGCGGCTCGCAAACCGGCACCCGCTACAATGATAGTGTGCGGTGCACCTTTCGGCACAGGAGCCTTTGCGAGGTCTGCAGGCTTTTCTGAGAATTCCTCGAGAAAAGTAGGCAGATTCTCAAGATTCCTGGTTTTGGAGAAGGACGAGGTATCCTTGATCGAGTTCTCTACCACAGCGATCCTGATTAGTGCGCGTGCATATGACGTGATTCCGCCAAAGATAGATAGGCTCACTCGATATATAGAGGTCAGACAGTTCGATGGGACTCAGGTCTTTCCCAAATCTTGTCGTCTGTTGTGAGAAATGGTCCGATAGAAGCTGGCTGTCCATCGTCTCAAACGCTCTGTTCACGCCGGCCTCGGTATCGAGGAGGCTGTCGTCCACGAAGGCGTCTCCCTTGCGTCGCTTGCGTGAGCCACCGTCATCTCTCTGCTTTCTCTTCTTGGCCTTTGCCGACCTGGGGACTTCGGCTGCCGACATGATGCAGCCACTGTGAATCGGAGTGCAGAGACTTTTCCCCTTGAAGCAAAATGATCTTGCGCCGATGAGTAGAGCTCCTCACTTGAGACACAACAGCCTTGAGTATGTCTCCCTAGTGTGGTACTGTTCCCAAAAATGATTTGAAACGAGGTTTGATGATAGCGCTTCCTTCAGTGTTCACTTTCATCCTGAAGAACCATGGTTCATGCCAAAGTCTCGAAGATCTCAAAAACTTTTTTGGAGCCGTGCATTGACCAATCATGACTCGGAGGGGCGGCACAAAACAGCAAACGTCCACTGTAATGCCCCACTGTGCTACTGATAGGACTACTATTTTCTCGCCTATACTTGGTAGGCCACAGGCCATGCTTCCGGGTTAGTTTTGGGGGACATGGGCACTTACAAGTCCCGCGTTTGTAACATCTGACAACCAAATGATCCAGTTCTTTTCAAGCACTTGACAAACTCTATGGATTGACAAGCTCCAATATCATTTCTTGGGCCGCAATAATGTCAGAGCCTCTCCCCAAGTTATCAAGGTATCCCGCCTGTAGCCACATCGGTAGATCAAGCTTTCTGTGTGGATCTGTTCTGGACAAGCGTGTGTGGGGGGGCGAGCCTGCGACTGAACTCTTGCATTTGCCATTAGCAATTCAATTGTTGTCACCGTGACTAATGATGTAACAGTCTATGTAACTGATCTCCTGCTATTCTCCTCGTTCTTCTTGCTCTTTCTCTGGTATCATTATTTCTACTTGCGTTTCGAAGCATCTGCCGCGTGCTGTTGGTGTAGTCTGCGATGAATTCATTGTCTATCGTCTACTTTATGTTTTGAGATCTTCCACGTCATAATAACGGTACACTTTATGAAGCACTGCAGATGAACGGGCGTAGGATACTGACCGCTACACCGGAGTTCAGCTATTGCACGGGAAGGTGCTGGTTTCATAGATAGGAATGGCCCCCCAGGTGGAAATACCTGTCGTAAGTACTTGATATCAGACAAATACGCAACGGCGTGGTGCCGACACGGGATGACTTTGTTTAATAATTCTATGTCGCAGGCCGCCACTGTCCTGGGTGTAAGTCGTCGTTGAGAGGTGAAGTTGGCCCAAGTCCAGACTGACCACGACACTCTTGCCCTCCAGACCATTGGCACAGGTGAGAGCGCAAAAAGCATTCTAGGCAATACGATGGACTGATCCCTTTCGCAGTGTGAGGACCTCGAAGGAACAATAGCAAGAAAGTTTCAAAAGCTGACAGAAACTGGGTGTCTAGTCTGTGGTGTGTGCAGGTAAGAGCAAGCGACAAATCAACAACTCAACACCTAGGCTGACTTGTACAGCTTATACCTCAGTATGTACTCCTCGAATGAGACGATTCAGAGAGATCAATCTGATTCTCAGCAGAATATGGACGAACTGGAGAACCAAGAAGACGGATGGCTTGCCGGCAGTGATGATGTTTCTCTGGGCAGCTTGTGAGTCGATACTGTCGCCGGTACCAGAGCTCAGTCTCATGTTCACTGACTGGGTCCGTAGGCGGTCCTCCGTTTGGTATCTACGCCGTTGCGCAAAACTTCAATCTGCCCATCCAAATACAGCCGCAGGTATTCACGGCACTCTGTCTCATAAGCTGGGCACAGACCTTGATGTACCATCAGTGCGTCACACATCCAAACCCCCGCGCGTACTTACTGGGGACTAGACAGGCTGACTTCAAAGCATCCGGCGCCAGTAAATGGAAAGCGTGGGCAGCAGTAGGCGTGGGCATAGCGGTGGCTTGCCTCTTCGCTGGCATCGAGGCGGCGTTGATTTTGACTTTGCGGGTAAGTGCATCAGATCGAAGTTGCAACCCCCCGCCGCATGGCCCCTGACGCAAGCTGCAGCCGCTCTACAAAAGGGGTAATGAGACTCCCATTACGGTAATCGGCGTCATCGCGGCCGTAGTTCTTGCAGCGGGCCTTCTTCCGCCCTATGGCGAGCTGTGGAAGCGGCGAGGCAGAGTCATCGGGATTAATTGGGTATGATGATGACCGACTCCCCAAGCCTGGGCATCTTCTTGCGTAACTGACTGACTATGTATGCAATTCTAGGTGTTCTTGGGCATGGACTGGTCGGGTGCTTTCGTTTCATTGATGGCTCTGGGTAAGTTAGACCCGAAGACGGGCCGTGAGCTGTGGCCGAGGGCTTTCCTGATTTGAAACACACCAGTTGCACAGGACACCTTCGACGTACTTGGAGGCGTCATGTACATCGTGTGGTAAGTAGGGCAGTCTACCTAACTACTGAGACTGTGTGGCCGAGTACTACTGACAACTGCTGTTCATGTTCAGCTGCATGCTTGAGATTGGCATATTCACCTCGCATCTCATCTGGCGCTTCCGTACGCGCAGAATACGAAAAGAAGCGGCATCAAGGGGCAAGACTTTTGATGATATCGCCGCCGAATATGAGGCGCGCGGCATTCCCTTCAAGTTTGCAGAGAGGAGGTCCCGGAATAAGACCAAACCGGCCATGGGCGATGAAGAGCTGAGTTCATATAGCAGCGTGCGCGGACAGTGATAGCGAAAATTGAGGAGATGTAGGGAGATCAGGCTGGGTATTCTTCTGAACTTGTATGTGTAAATCGAGTTGAACTTCGACTATCCGGGCCGACACGTCACATTGAAGAAGTGAAGTGAAGAGAACCTTTGAAGCGTACATGCGATGCGGCCTCGACTGGAGAGGCGCGATTCGGGACAGGACGAGACAACGACTCGATTCGGGGAACGTCTGCCGGCAAAAATTGCCGCATTGGAGGCCGGGAATGCAATGAATGGGTTTGAGAGGGGCCTTGTCAAGTCCTTGTATCCTGGAGAAAACGGGGTTTCTTTGAAAATGGTGGATAATGGCGCCGAAGGCACCCACGAAACATCTACTTGTACAAGGGATAGCGCTCCTCTCATCCCAGTTGGATTCTCCACCGTTCTGGTCGACGGGTACGGAGTAGAACATGCTGGCTCTTTTGGCTACTGACTTTTCTCGAACAGGCAGAAGATGCATGTGATGGTCGGGAGGCAGATGCGGGCAGGCGGGCAATGTACGGAGTAACTGGACAGGAGGATGAGGGGGTGCCCAATCCGCCGAAATGAAGTCGGCGCTTGACTCTGGCGGCACAGCACAGCGGGACGTCACAAGTTGGAGGGAAGATGGTCGCAGGAGGGAAGTTGGTCGCAGGAGGAGGATGTGCATGCTGGGAATGCCTGACTAGTGATGTTGTTACTGCATGCGGCTGCTCTTGAAGCCTTGGAGCAGCCCTCCTTTGGGACCCGAGATGAGATCATCGGCGGTCAGTTACACTACAGACGGATACCTACGTGTTGCCGCCCAGGAGCGTGCAACATGAACATTGAAAGACCGGCACGCTGTCCTTCAGGCCACGGAATAAGACTCGGTGCGCGCCGTCCCTCGCTCCATGTCAGCCTTTGAGGACCCATCAACTCGTTCGGCTCGACATGACCTTTCTCTCTTTTCTTCTTCTTGACTCAAGGTCGAGGGACGCCACCCCTGCCGAGTGCTTCACCTTCACCCCGTAGCTCAGCAGTGCTTCGCTAAATCGAGCTAATTTAAAAGCACTTTAGACTCTAGAGTAAGTATGGTGGAGGGCCATCTGCGATGCTACGTCAAACGCCAATCTTTCGATATGCAAACGAGAGACCCCGTTGCTTTTTGACCCTCTTCGTCGTTTCTCGATATCTCGCCTGCTCGCCTTGCCCCAAACACCCATCCCCTGTCGTCGTCACCTGAGGCAGCAGGAGAGGATGAAAGGGACTGCTTGGGCAAGCCAGGCAGTCTTGTCTGCTCTCGTCCAATGGAAGTGGCTGGTAAGCACTGGAGGCGACGATGATGGTGATCTCCCTGCGCTAACTGGACAAACCCACCAGCCTGCAAGGCGTTGGAGCGCGCCACAGGGGGCCACTCGGGGCCCAACCCATGCTTTTTGGGGCCTGCTCGGTGGAGACTTGCCCAGGTGGTGATTGTTTCTTTCTGTTTGCTGGCCCTCCACCCAGCTCCAGGGCGCCCCTGAGCTCCTGCTGGGTCCCAGCGCCAGCGTCCGGGGAAAGCGGCCAGTGCAGCCTAAAGTCTCCCTTGTCTCTGGCGAGGCCCAATGGGAGGCGGCGCGCCGGGGTTTCCCAAGTGGACTTGGTGGATGCCAATTGCGCTACAAACGCATGTCTTTCTTTCGGTAGCTCGACGATGGAGAGGTCCAGTGCCAGTGGCCCAGGACCCGGCTCTCGTTTGTTTTAGCTCCTTCGTCACTGTCAGGGGGTGAAAATTTGGGGGGGTTTGATAGATGGGGACTGACTGCCGCCGCTGCGTGCTACGGGCTTGGCCTTGGAGTCGAGAGGGATGGATGATGGATCCCATAGATGGGATGGGATGGGATCAATCCCAGATGGACGGACTGACAGACAGACTGGACTGCGTCCCTGTGCCGCCGTCGCCGCTGCTGGCTCACTTGCTAGCTGGGACTTTTTTGGACTTTGCTTTGCTTCGGGGGAACCGACACGACACGACTTGCAAAACTCGACACAACTTGTCTCCAACCCTCATCAAATCGCGTGTCCCAACTCGTCCGTCCCTATCCCGGTTCAATTGGGCATTGTTTGACCTGCAGCTCAAGAAGCAAGCCACCCCAGGGCTGACCACGCGCCGTCTCGTTCTTCTTTTCTCTCTCGTCTCTGCCTTTGACTTGCCTGTCATCGGTCACCACGCGGCAGATCAACACCCCGTCGTCCGTCCCGTCAAGATCTAGTTATCCATTCCTGAATTCCTGACACACACGCGAGGACGAAAAGGCCACGACAACGCAAGACAAGCCACGAGGATCGCCCGGGACGATCTGCAGTAGCTGCAAATCACCAGGGCCACACGGACAACGCAAGACGCTCCAGCTGTACGACTCCGCACTTGAACTTGTGGTGTGCTGCGCGCGTTTTCTCTTACAACCCGGTACCTTCTTGTTCCTTGGTCGTTGACAGCTCGGCTCGGCCAGACTCGTGCCAGGTTTCGTCCGTACCTGACATCAGCGCCCAGCACACGGTCCAACTGCGTCACCGCTGAAACCCGTGGTGCCGTGGTGGGGGGCCAGAGGAACCAGACCTTCGGGCTCGATCAACTTGTTTCATTAACTCTTGTGTCATATAACCCTCCACGCACGCGGATTTCCCCGCTGTCCCCGGCGAGTCGAGGCCCTTTTGGTTCCTTGCGCGTGTACCTGGTATCCCGGTTCGACTGACCCTCCATACTCCATCCCGTTCGGAGGATTTTGGCCCCAAAAAAAAGCCAACTGCAATTACGTGCCCAGCCCCAGCCCCATTTCTTTTCTCGGGGGTCGCTCGACGTTTTGACGATCCAAGGCGCGTCGTACACTCGCGCCCATCTTGCACATACACATATACACCCCATTCTCACCGTTGTTGCGGTCTGTCGTTGCCTCAATTGGGTCTCAAGAATTGCCTACTATAAGTTGCCATCAGATTTGGACCACCCGGAACTCATTTCCACCTCCACATTTCAGGCGAGGATATCACATGTCACTGTCCGTCTAGAACCCTCACTCAATTCGGCATACCAAGAAACGCTCGGCTGCGCTCGTGCCATCGAGGACGACGAGCGACCACGAAGTCGCCTTTTCGGGGCAAGAAACTCTGGTCAAAGTCTGCTGAGTGCGGCCTGAAAGCCCAACCAACCGAGAGCCACGATGAACTCCACGGCGTACAAGTACATGTAAGCACACGCCTATTGTCCGACGGACAAGCCCAGAAAAAACATACTGACCGTCGTACTCTCACACAGGCGGGAGTTTTCCATCGTCGTCCTGGGAGCAGGTATGTAGAGCCCGAGGAACTAGCCATGGCGCCTCGCCCATCATGTGCCCGGCCGGTATCTGTGTGTCCAGCCTGCTGACAGAAACGACCCTCAGGTGGCGTGGGAAAGAGTTGTCTAACAGGTATGTCTCTTTTGTGGAACCCCAGAGCTGCATGGCTGGGATGAGCGGTGCCGAGCTCCCTTCTCACGGCTACGGTATCGTGTTGCTAAATCGCTCATGTAGCACAATTCGTACACAATGAATGGATAGAGAGCTACGATCCAACCATTGAGGATTCTTACAGACATCAGCTGCAAGTTGATGTAAGTGATTCTTCCGGACCATGTTTCCCTCCGTCAGTTGCTGATATTGAACTTGCCAGGGCCGGTTACTGGTACTGGAGATGTGCGTCAAGATCCGTCTGAACATTTTGATTGACCAATGTAATGTGATCTATCTAACCCTTTCAACAGCCTGGACACTGCAGGGACTGAGCAATTCGGTAAGTTGCTAACCTTGTTCACACGCTGGTTTGGTTGACAAGACGCTGATGTTTCCTTCCAGTTGCCATGAGAGATCTGTACATGAAGACTGGCCAGGGCTTCCTCCTAGTCTTCAGCATTACATCCCAGTCGTCCCTTGCGGAGCTCGAGTCACTCCGGGACGAGATCATCCGTATCAAGGACGACGAAAATGTACCGATTGTCATTGTCGGCAACAAGGCCGACTTGGAGGAGCAACGGACGGTGCCGAGGACAAAGGTGTTCTCGCTCTCCCAGCAATGGGGTGTGCCGTACTACGAGTCTAGCGCTCGAACGAGGAGTAAGCAACGAATGCAGGACTGTGCTCCCCCGAAACAATGTGCTAACAGTGCATCTCACTCGTTGCTCAGCAAACGTGGAAGAGGTCTTCATCGATCTCTGCAGGCAGCTCCTGCGCCGGGATGACGCCCACGAGCTGTTGAGGGAACATCAGCATGCGCATGACGACCAACACAGCGGGAGCCAGCCTTTCAGGCGCCGCGGCCGCAAGAGGAGACGGGACGGCCACCCGCGGTGCATCATTCTCTGACGAGCACCGCCCGAGGGAGGGGGATCGGGGGGTTTCAACGCCACCCACAAGCGTTGAAAAAAAAAATCTACTGAGCATGGCGTTTTTTTTCCAGGCTTTATACTGGAAAAGAAAAAGACAATTTAGATGACGACGGAAGGCCCTCAATGCGGCTGCACATAGAAGCGGAGGAAAAGACACCTTTTCACATACACACAACACAGACAGAGAGCAATTCTTGACCGGCAGCAGAGGTCATCAGCAATGACACGTCTTTGATGAATGATCACTCTCGCATTTCTGGGCCACCATCTCTATGCTACCTGAGCCTCCTTGTTCTAATTAGGACTGCTAAGTTCTCCCAAAGCAAGTACTCGAGACGCCAGGCTTGTTGGTTAGAGTGTTGGCAGTGGCAGCCAGCTCCACGACACGGCGAACACCACCCCTCCACATCCTAAGACCCCTGCCGCTACCAACCGTGAGGAGGAAGGAAGGTTCACGCCGGAAGTCGCGAATCAGCGACTCAACAAACTCTGGCGACAGTCTGTGAATGGCCACCGTGGAGGTCAGTCTCAAAATCTCTTCGGCTAAGCATGTCAGGGGATGGTTGCAGACTTACGCGTGGCGTGTCTGCCGGATGGCCGGAGTTGTTGTTGGTGTTGTTCTTCTTGGAGTCCGCCTCCTCGAGCAACTTGGCGAGGTCCCCCCCATCGCGGCCTCGTGAGTGTCGCCGTCCCTCTCGCGGCCCAGCCTCGAGTCGGAGTCGCTCCGCCAGTAGTTCCCCGGAGACGCGCTCCGGGAACGGCTCAGCAGCCTCTCTGAACTCGCCGCAGGGGGTGGGTGGAGGTTGGTCAGGTCCCGGACCGTAGCTCAAGGCCAACCTGGGTGTGGAGAGTCTCATGTGCTGTCCGTCAGCCACTTGCGGAACTAGTTTTGGCCGGTTAGTGTCAAAGAAGCCCCCTGGTGTTGCGGCTGGGTCGGAATGCTCGGCTGGGAGGCCTTGTGTGTTTTACTTACGACTTGCGAACCGGGACCGGGGGCGTCAGCCTGGGGCTGGGCAACAGCCAGCGGAGAATAAGGAGAGTGATCGCCTATGCCATCGTGACCAATATCCTCAGGCAGGATCTGCACCTTTGGGTTTAGCGAGGTACGCGAGGTATTCTTCGCTGTAGGTTGCTAGCGAGAGGTAAATCCAATCCGCCCTTTGCGAAAAAAGGAGTGAATGGCCATTGTCACCGAGGCCGCCCAGCGGGTTCAAGGCCATGGTGCCACTCTCTTGGTCGAAGTGCCGCGCCCAGATAATGGCGATGTGCTCCAACGCCTCCTGTGTGTAAGTGGCCCAGCGACCTTTAGGCGGCTCTCGGTCGCGCTTGGCTTCAAAGAAGACGCATAGCCTGGACCCAAGCTTCGGCACGTCGAGCAGGTGTCTGTACAGCTGACCATCAATCCGCACTCCGCATTCGTACTCCTGGGACAATACAAGCTGTGTGGAGCCTAGCTCGCTCCCATTTCTTGATGATCCCGCCCAGTTCTCGGGAGAATACAAATCTAAACATCCTCCTCAGGCTCATAGTCCTTGTCACGAGCATCAAGCTTTGCCTGGCGCATACGGGCCACCTCCCGAGCATTGGGCCTGCCGATCGGCGGAGGCTGGCTGCGCTCGAGCTGGTTGCTTGTGCTTTGGTCCGACGTTGCACTCATCTCGTGCTTCTCGGCTATGTCGACAATAGTGGCGAGCTGCTTGTACGAAAAGGACAGGGAGACATCCTCGACACCGTCGCAGAAGTGCCTCGGGGCAAAGTCGCGTAAAGAGAGCGAAAAGGACTTGTCGCTGTTCATGGCATGGCCAGTAGAGTAGAGGAGGGGAAGGCTCCGGTGTTCTAGAGGTGGTGGACATCTTCTTTCTGGGAAGTTGAGTTGTGATGTTTGGTTTGTTGGTTATGTAGAGACAAGAGAGACAGTCTGACTTGTTGAGCATGTTCTGGAGAGGACAATTTCAGTCGAAAGGCCTGCTTCTCAGAAAGTGTGCGCTTTTCGGGCTCGGGCTGCAAGCCATCAACCGTGTCGTTGACGGCTTTGAAGGCCGCGGAAAGGACAGGGCAGCAATGTCGCGTGGCCGGTACCACGACGGACGCCGTCGCCAGTACCACCACGGACGCTGCTCCAGGGCCTTTTGGATATTGTCTTCTCTCAAAGCCCTGCGATGCTTCTTGAGCGTGGAAAAGCATGCCCATTACTCGCTTGACCCGCCGACGGTGCCATCGTCGCCGCCGCAGAGGTGGTCGGCGGGGGTGCAGGGGGCAAAGTCGCTCAGGGGGATGGAAATCGAGGGCTTGCCATCCGACGCGTTGGGCATGCTTTTCCACGCTCGACCCGCCGACGGTGTACCTGCCATTGGTGTGCTGATACACCGCGATGGTCTGCGGGGATCCTGACTCTTTGAGAAAAAGATGTATATATATATAAAGAAAAAGAAAAGATGTATATATAAAGAGAAAAAAAAGATGTATATATATATAAAGAGAAAAAGAGAGAGAGGGGCCTAGGCCGTTTCGTGAAGCCGGCATGATGACTTGTTGTTCGCGACAATCCGCGGATGGCTTCGGAATGCCATGATTGCTTGTCTTGCGGAGTTGTTGTGATGGCTTCAGAAGATTGAGGTAATGTTGTGCGAAAGAGGGCAGATGTTGCCACAATTTAAAGACGCTTGGTCGGTATTTATCCTTGGAGGGGTCCGAGCGTCCTTCATGACTGAACAATTGATCACTTCTCTATTGTGATCAATCTCAGATTGACTTGACAGATTGTGACTCATGCTCATTGTTCAAAGTTGAACGCTCTATGACGTTGGGGTTGCGGAACAAAAGAATCTCTTTGAACAAAAAGAATCTCTTGGAACAAAAAGAATCTCTTGGAACAAAAAGAATCTCTTGGAACAGAAGGACTAGATCAGGTTGTACAATAGACAGCTAGTCTGTGCTTTCCCACAACTCCAAGCTAGGTATTCAAAATAAACAGGCCAACTGTTCTACCACCTCGTGTTTGGGGTTGGGGAGGTCTGAATCATTGTGGCCGGCCCTTTCCAATATCTTGGCCGTACACTCCCCCGTCCAAGCAGCAATTTGTTAGCACTTCCCTATAGCACGTCTGTTGGCAAATGGTGGTCTCTGAGAAGACGATGTTCTCGTCATTGACGTGGAGGAGTCACGTAGTCTACATACCCAAGACCGACTGTTCGCCCCCTGAAGTGCGTCGTCAGTCAGTCTGGTGCGATAGTGCATTTGCTCAAGCTGGTGAAAGTATTCCAGATGTGTCTCAACTTCAAGAAAAGACGACATGATCTTACCTTGTCGTCGTCTGTCAAGGAGAGAGCAGTATCCCGGACATTCTTGCTGAATGACCGGTTGAATCACTGGCAGGTTTGAATGACCCACCAGAGGACCAAGCCTAGTTTGCTCACGCCAGACAGGAGCTGGATGCCGGTATTCAAGGTACTGCCAACTAGGTAAAATTGATGGACACTTTGAAATATTCATCATAGGAGTCGTAGGCATTGTGCTCCCTATTCTGAAGAGGAACTGGAAATTCATAACTCTGAGCGGAAGGAAGGAGCTCTTTGCAGGCACAAAACAGACATCACATCTCTCTGATGGGCAACAAAAATCTCAGGACCAGGCATAATGCCACCAGGCAGTCTATTCAACGCTTTACTTCCTTCCTCCTTAGCCAAGATGACAACTTCGACAATAGTCATTCTTTTACTAGCAACTCAGTGTTTGTGCCAACCAGGCGGATGCTGAGCAGGTCTGCCAGGACGAGCGAGCACTGATGGAGGCAGCGCACCTCGAACCAAACCCAGAGGATGCCATGCTTCTCGAGCACCTTAGCGTCCTGGGAGGGCACTTCTCGGCTCCCGCCTCGCCAATGTGTTCTCGACCGAGCACACCTCTCCTGTTTCCCTTCGTCTAGCCTACCTGGCCAAATTCGGCATTCTATCCCTGGAGTGATGCATGAAGCCTGAGCTGTGTAACTTGTTGGCCTTGATTTGCTTTCCCATCGCCGCTAGCCACGAAACTTGCTTTTGAAGTGCCATTGGCATCTTATGAATTGATGTACCACAGCCGCTCGAACAGCCCGAGCTCGTCACTGCCAAGCATCTGCACCTGTGACATCGACCATGGGTTTATTTGGAGCACATCGCCAGAATCCCCTCATGGGATGGACGATATCGGACTGAAGCCCTGTCGATTTCGATCGTCTGCATTTCTCTCGGCATCGGCGCCTCCTAATACGTGGCAGGATGTGGGGGTTATTCTGCACGGAGCCCAGCCTTCTCCCCAACCTCAACATATCGAGGTGGCTCTTCCGATGCATCGCATATGTCCAGCTCCGACAGCTACCCGACACGCGATCAGGGAAGCAGCAGCCGGATGGTTGACTTGGGGAGCTGAAGCGGTGAGAACCCGCGTCCTCGTGCATCCCTCTCGTGCATGGAGCTCCTGTGCCCAACAGTCCACAAGGTCTTGATGAAGAGGGACGGAAGAGAGCCGACAGACTCGGTGTGGAAGCCGCAGGGAAGAGCCTTTCACTGCAGCGGAAAGTCGAGCCGGGCTTCGAATTGGATTCGTGTTTCTTTTCCACCTGACGGCAATAGATGCAGAGGGCGCGGACCGCTGCTCCATGTCCTGCACCCGGAGAGCTCCAGATGGCTTTCGTGGTTAACGAATCAGCGCGGAACACATTCGTCGTCTGTGCTCTTGGGGTTTCTGAACCCGAGGATGGACGGCTGGCCTCTATCCGACCTGGGATGTTGTTTGCTCGCGTCCTCCTGCATCAATAGTGTCGAAAGGACATGGGGCGGGGGAGCAGGGAACAGCATGACGAGACAGAGGAGAGCCGCATGTGGCACGACCTTAAGCTTGCTGGATGCAGGGAGAGGGGATTATGCTGCACAACTGCGGTGACTATCTTGTGTAAGGATCAGGGATGCGTGTAATTGGTGGTGGCTGTGAAAGGGAAGAACCCTCAGCCGTTCTGAAAGGTCATATGTGCACGTTCAGACGAACCAATTGGCTGATGAACCCAGAATGTGCAGGCTGTTCTGGAAATGATGCTCGCGAGGGGGTCGCGGGACCAAGGACAGAGAGGCCGGTGTGCCTCATGTTACACACGTGCTTTGGTCGATCCTGGACGATCTTCCAACCTTCTTCACATCGCCAAGGTTTTCCAAGTGCTAGGTAGGCACGAGAAACCTTGACGATTGATCGAGGATCACGGAATCAACCGCTCCTCTTGCAGCAAAAGAGAGGCTTCTCGTGCATCCTCGGCCTTGGTGCAGACGCAGCTAGATAAGCGACTCAAGCCTCATTGTAAGAAAACAATGAAGAAGCTGCACGGAGACCAGGCTTCAATCATCAGCTTGCCTTGCTGCATATTCGAGCTGCATGAGGCCTGAAGTGTGCTGCAACTTTCGCGAGCAGGCAGACGACCAGCCCTGGCCAGTCCAATGAGGAGGACCAGATGGACTGATGGTGTGGAAATCAACGGAAGGCGACAAGGGTCCTTATCCGACTAGCAGTCGCCGACAGGGAGAGGAAAAAGTAAGAGCAGTGACGTCCACGTTGCTGCAGATTGGACCGGTATGTCACCGCGTCAAGTTGGCTGGCCGAGAGCACGGCGGAACGATACGCGGGCCGCCTGCCTGGTCCCCGGGCTGCAGCTCGGTAAGCAAAACGATGTTTAAGGCAACGACGTTGCACGGCACTTGGCAAACCACCAGTGAAACACTGAAACCAGGTCACCGGCCGCACCAGCAAACATGCAGATGCCTGCATGAGAGACGGGCTGCAGGGTAAGCTGCTTGCCTCCCGTAGCTCCCCCGCCCTCCCTAGGGAGCTCTCCCGTTGGCAGCTCGTTGGCGGATAACCAGGTTTGTTGGGCCGGTGGGAAATGACACATCATAAAATCGCGAGAGTTCAGCCTCGTACCCGTCCATCCAGGATGGGCGAGAGACATAACTCGTCCCGCGCCGGTGCTCCCTGTCTCCAGCCCGTCCGTCCTTGGAGCGAGCGCCGCGGATCTGTCGAAGCCTCCTGCCGCCCCCGACGACACGAGACAAGTATTTTGCTTGTCGGCCAGACGAAAGACGGCAACTTTCCCCGGCGGGGGGTGCGCGCCAGCCCGGTCCAGACTGCGCGAGCGCATCCAACTCCCACGATATGATTGGTATGGTCTCGGTATGTGTCCTGCAAGAAGCTGACAGATATGGCCTCGTGCAGGGATGGAGGCGGTTTGCTTTTACGCTTTCCTATGCAGCCCGCAGTTTCGGACGCAAGTCTTGCGAGACTGATGTTCGTTAGCCGGATCGAGATGATTGCAAATGACCTGTCTATGACGATCCTGGCCGAGACGCTATGGAGCAGCTGATGAACTGGTCGGGAAGAGACGTGTGGAGGACGGGATGGGTTCGAGGACCAAAAAGCAATGTTTGCAGCTTGGGCTGCATATGCTCTCAGACCTGCGCGATTTGGATGCCTTCAAGCTCCCTCTGAGGCCGGGTGCACCTCGTCAAGAACCTTGTCTCGAGCGGGGACGACAACAACAAGTCGGCTGGGCTGATCGAGAAACCTGGGACGGAGAGCATGCATGCCTGTATGCCACTCAGGACTCGTCCTCGACAACTCTGGTGCTTCACCCGATCCAGGAGCTCCTCATGTCTAGCGCCTTCACCACTTCTCCCGTCAATATAAGTCGCCAGCACTGCCCGCTCATCCAGGCTATGGTTTTTCTTCGAGACAGGCAATGGAAGTTCCTCAGAAACTCTCTTTAGTAAAACTGCCACACGCTGCTTATGCTCATCGTCACACCCACCGAAAGGTCAGGTTGTCCCACCACGCTCGCAAATTCCTCCGTCAAAAGCGTCAACAACTCCCTCGTCGTGCACTCCTAGCGAGAGAACCAGAGGCTTCTCCAGTGTCATCGGATAGCGCACTGCCCTGGTCAGGTACGCACGAATCCGACTTGGCCAGCCGGCCAGGGCCCGAGGCGGCCACGGGTACGTGTGAGCCCCTGTCCTGTGTAGGCTGATCACCACCGTGCCAGCTTGATTCCAACACATTACCAACACATTACCAACTCCTACAGAGCCCGTAACTCCCCCAACAAGTCTGGTACCGCCTGCGCCTATACTCAAGAAGTACAGGGCTCCCAAGGTTGCCAAGGTATGTTGCGCTCTTCATGCCCTTAGCAGTGTATACATTACTGACTCTGAGGGCGGATATGTCCAGGCTTGTGATCACTGCCGCGCGACGAAGCTGAAGTGCGGCATCAGGAGACCGTGCAAGAACTGCACCACGAAAGGCCTTGATTGCAAGCCAGAATATGGGTACGTCTGGCTGTATACCCACGGCAGCGCCGCACGAGAACTTGCCACTGACGTGTTTTGATAGTCTAGAGGCCATGCTGGATTTTATCGAGGCATCGATAGACGGTATAGCAGCAAAGCTCGACGACCGACTCGACAGACTTGAGATTGTGATCTCACGCATCAACCCCTCTACAGAGTCGAACATCTCGGTGCGAGACGTCGTGTTGCGCGAGATACGCAACGACACTATGCGAGAAGTCGGCCTCTCCCCGCTGAACGACAATTTCGCCTCGTTGGGAGTGGAGGACGACCCGGACATATCATCAGAATACATGCCCCCGCCAGACTTTCCCGTGGCGCTTTATGTGATGCTGCTTTGGCCGCCTATCGATGCCCTAGCTGGCAGTATCGTCAGGGAGAATGGCATCGACGATCCACGCGTGTTCCCCTTGATGGTAGAAATGCGGCGACACGTGAACAACCCGGGCTCATCCGAGTGCTCGTGCGCCGCATGCCGTCTAGGGGGCCTCCAAGCGGGCCTGCAGACAGGGCTTTACCTGCCGGCGATACCTCCCCCGTGGTTGGCATACCCCGCGACGAGCAGCATGATCTTGTTGCCGCAGTTGATGTGCGACATGTCCGAGGCCAGAGTCTGGGAGCTCATTGACAGCTTTGAGGTCAACATCTTGTCTCTGCAGCCGCTGGTCACGCCGGCGGTGCTCCGCTCCGCGGTCCAGATCATGCTTCAGGACCCTGCAACCCCGCGCGTCCGCGAGACTTACACCAGGAACCCTTACCCTGTCATGGATGCGATCGTCTATCTGTGCCTGGCTCTGGGGGAAGCCTGTGCCTGGAATGACGGCGACAACAACCCTCTCCGTCCGGCGTCCTGGCATCGCAACATCCCTACGCTGCCGTCCAGCGCGGATCCGCTCGAGATGCCCACCCCGACCCCGAGCAATACGCCGGTGCTCATGCCGGGTGTCAAGTATTACAATGCTGCTCGGGCAATCCTTCGCGCCGACACCACGGTCGTCAGCTTGTCCCACATCGTTGCGCACCTGCTCGCTGGCCTCTACCACGCGCAGTTCGCGCGCCTGAGAGAGAGTCTTAGCTACACTGCTCATGCGAGCTGGATGCTCCTTACCATGATTACACCGTACGCTTGTCCCCCCTTGGCGGCTTGCCAAGGTCTCTTGCTTTGAAGCTGACCAGTATGCTATCAGGATGATGGATCACTTCCAGGCGATGCTGGACAACAACACTATTCCGCAGAGCGAGGCGGAGAACCAGACGGTGATGGCTTATTGGTGCTGCCTGCAGCTTGAGAGGTTTGTTTCCTTGATATCCCACCCCAGTCCATAAGGGTCTGCTGGAAGAGTGAGTTTGGGGAAGCTGACGGGAGAGTCTTGCAGTGACATCATCTTTGAATTACCGTTGCCGACCACCGGCATCATGGGGCTCGAGAAGCGAATGCCGCTCCCCAACGTCGACCTCGCGGCGCGCGACTTTGGCGGGAACGTCATGATGCACTTCCTGACGCAGATCCACTTCCGGCGCCACCTCAGGGAGATCCGCGACTGGCTCTACCAGCCCACGGCCACGGGGGAGGCCCAGCCGGCCAACATGACGCTCGAGGACGTCATGCGGGCGGTGCTGCGCGAGCTGCCTCCTCAGCTCTGCTGGGACCAGCCCGCGGCCGACATCCTGGACATGCGGCTCCGGGCGCAGTGGAGCGCCGCCCTCATCCACATCTACCGGCCGTTCGTCCGCCACATCCTCGACTTCAACTTCAACCTCGCGCACGGCACCCGCCACCCCGTCGACGCGGCGTTCGACGGCTGCCGGATCGCGGGCCTCCCGAGCATCCCCGAGGGTGCGACCTCGGCGGACGAGATCCCGGCGTCGGTGCTCCGGTACGCGTTCCTCGCCATCCAGGGGCTGATCCAGAGCACCAGCTCCTTTCAGCGGGAGGACAGCAAGCGGTGCGCCCTGACCAACATCTTTGGAGCTGCCTATGCGTAAGTCACTTTTTGGTCCCTTCTGGCTGGTCACATTTCTCGTTCTGACACACGACGTTTCTCGCCGTTTTTTTAGCCAATGGAACAATCTGCTGGTTCTGGCGGCTGCTTTCGAAGATCCCGTCCTCGGCGCGTTCATTGATGGCGTCCTGCTGCGGGACCTCTTCACGCAGACAATCAGGATCGTCTCGTCTATTGCGGAGGAGGGCAGTTCCCTGGAAAAGGGGACTTTGATCCTGACCGGGCTCCGGGAGAGGCTGTGGCCCGGCCAGACGCAGCAGGCATGAAGCGGAATGCGGAATGCGGAAGGGAGGGTGTAATGGGCCAGGCGCGCCGTCTCTACCGGAGAGACCTGCGGCCTGTAAATGACTTGACGAGATCTGGCTTCTCCTTCTGTTTCTCTTTCTTCCCCCCCTCTTTTCTCTTTCCTACAAAAACATCCAAAAAAAAAAAGGAGGAAAAAAGCATAGGTCTTACAAGTGTGTGTTTTGCCTTTTTGTTTTTTCTTCACAAGATATGGCGACGGCGATATTGTGGGCGTGTGTTCAAATATGCCAACCCTGATTGGGGGCACGATGAACCATGAATGAACACTGCCTCGCCTGACAACCAAACATATCTAAGTTAGTGCAGCTTCAGTAGCATCAGAAATTGACACCAAGCTCACACCCAACACCCATTGCCTGTTCATTTTCCAAGCCGAGGTGGTAGGTATCTGTTGAGATGGCTCTCTTGGGATCATCATCCAATCGCGTGCAGTGGCTCCTCTTAACCTCGCCTTGGGTAGCTCGAATCTCCACAACCAAAGGCAACGTGGCGGAGTGGTTAACGCGCCAGCCTGTACGTTCCATTCTCCACCCACTACGACGAGTTTCCCCCAAAACTGACCAGATTACAGGCTACATGTGTACACATCTCCATATGTTCAAAGCTGGTTCCTTCGGGAGCGTGTGTTCGAATCACACCGTTGTCGATCGTGCAAAGGTCGAATACTTTTTTTTTGCTTCTCCATGATGAAACATAAGAGTGTAGTTGGGATAGATACACATGCTCAAGATGGCCGGCGAAAGGGATGGGATTATTTTCTTTCTTTTGCTGCTCTCTCACCTCAGGTAGTGAATGAATCAGGATCAACTTGTTTGTTAGCGTGTCTCCTGGAAGGCAGAGAACGATTCGAAGCTGGCCATGAACTAACTACCTTGGGAGTTACTTCATCTTCCTCGGCCAATGGAAGGACTATCACGAGTGGCTGCAAGGCATGCGGAACCAGAAAGCGCTCGCATTCGAGTCCTGTCACGAGCTGGTTCCTTGGTTCCTTGATCTCGAAGCCTCGACGCGCCATGAGCTGACTGAATGGATTGGCACTTTTCCTACCTAGGCTCGCTAGGTACCCTTTGGGCGAACAGGGCTGGGCTGACTGGGCCCACTCTTGACCGGGCCCATCCGGCACTACGAGTACAAGTACAAGTGCTTGTACTTGTAGATCACCACCACCAAGATTTAGTCCTAGGAGCAGAATAGCCCCTGGTCGGGCCCCTGGTCGGGTCCAGCCTATCGGGATCGCTAAAGCCCAGGGCCTGGCGTCTCATTGGGCTGTCGCTCCCCGGAGCCGGCGCCCGTTTCGTCACTGGGCCCTGTACTGCCAGCGCACAACCCTCCAGGGGTCAGGTTCTGGCGATCCTCGCAGGGCGGCGGCCGATGTCACCTCGAGTCCTCCCAGCCTCCTCCATTTTTTGGGGGTGGTCCGAGGGAATTGTGTGTTTGTGCGTGCGTTGCATGCGACACCTCTGTGCGATCGCACAGCAGCCCGCCGAGCAATGTGTACTCTTTCTGATCTCGAGACTCGTGTCGAGCCCGTCATATCGGAGATGCATCCGTCTGGATCATCAATGCTGGCTGTAAGGTAAGGTCAGTATGTCTTCTTGCAGCCCGCCACATGGTGCAGCTAGGTACATTGGGGTGGTGGGGGGTCCGCTTTGTGCAGCTCTGGCCACGACCCTTGTATTTCTCGGAGTCTTTGAAACGCTGAGTCGGCCGTCGTCGTACCGTTTCAGGCCCCAAAGTTGGCCAGACAACACAGGCGTTTGACATCGTTTTCAGGAGTATCAAATGGTGAACAGAGCAGTGGGTATGCAGTCAATTCGAATCCTAACTGTTTTTTGACGATAGAAGACTGCCTCATGTCACTTGAGGGGTAACCACGCACTCGCAAAGCACCAGGGGGGAGATACCTAGGGCAAGCGACGAGGCCTCAAGTGCTCATTTCCCAACATCTTTGAACTGCTCCGGGCGGATAGTCTGAATCGAGGTAATGTGCGCGTGTGATCAGGACTGGAGGGTAGTTCAAGAGCCTTTTCGAAAACAACTGCCACTTCCAATCGGTTGGTGTGCGGCATTGTCCGAGTTGATGGAAGGCCATGATAGTAATATCAAGTATTTCATATGTTGGATCCTTAGTATCCACTGTGCGCCGTAGACTGGCCGAAAAGTCCATTAAACATATAGAGCATGATCCAGGAATGTCGGTAAAGTCGTCGGTATCATCGTAAGTTGCTGGATCACTCAAGGGTCTCAGGCTAGAGACCTGAGTGGGAAGATCTGCAGTCAAGCATCGTGGGTCGCGACGGCATTTGTGTGCGGTAACATGGTGGCATATATGATGTTTATAGTTGCAAAACAGGGCCATCCGGTTTCGCGCTTGATGTTGACGTAGAAGAAGCCGATGTGAAATCTGTAGGAAGAGCTGACATCCTATGATACGGGGTATACAAATAGTAGTCCAACCTGTTGTCCATGGATGAACTGTAACTTGTAGATGTTTAAGTGGAATGCCGTGTCCGTAGCCGAATAGATGCTCGTTCATGACTAGCTGAACATGGTGGAAACCGACATAAATATCACTGAAAGTGGTAATAGTTGGTTTACACGACGGTTCATTAATGCTCTTTTCATGTCGGCCTGGTCGCCAGAGAAATACATAGCGATGGAACTTGATACAATCGTAGCATAAGAATAGCTTGCGGCTCACACTCTCCTCCAGCAAGGCGAGGAGGCTTTGTAAACTTGGATTGTCAAGACGGCGCTTCTGGTCGGGGAAGAAGTTCCGGTAAGCAAGCTTGCAGGTAAGTGTAAAAGCCACAGCAGACTCGGGCGGAAGATGATCGGACAGTTGAAGGAGGATATCCATGGGCTGGTTGAGGAGTAGGCATGGAGCTTGCGAGTCCTCGCCCTGGACTGCGAAACGAAGGCTGCGGCGCGCAAGGCGTGAGAGGTATAGCAAGATATTGTTCATGGTGCACAGACGAGGAATCTTTGGTGGCCCATGCGAAAGGCGGTGCAGTTGCGGCACCAAGGGGATACTGGATCACAGGAGATCGAGCCTAGCTGTCAGGGACGAGGTGATGGTGGTGTATTTCTTGGTAGTTGATGATGATGATGATGTAGGTACATTAGGGTTGATCCAAGCTGACCCAGGGCCCCTGCTTTTTCTGCCTATCTTATCGCGCTGACCGTCTTGAGGCTGGTGCCCCGCGCGGTGCCTGTGGTTCATTTCGTGAGTTAACAAAACGGTATGAAAACGCTGAAGAAGCGTACAGGTGTTCCTCAATTTGATGGACCTGCTCCCGCACAAAGCCAAGCGAGGTCTGAGACTCCTTGTCCGTAAAGTAGTACGGAGTAGGCCAGGTACGTAGCAGCCAAGTCAGCTCCAGAGAGTGGGATAGGCAGAGAGAGCCCTGGCCTGGCACCACCAGCTCGAACTTTTGGGGGCCACTCGATGCTCCCTCCCTCGGAGTCCCTCCACTGCGACATTGTCTCGGTTCTGGGTTCTTGTTTCGCACAGAGAGCGCGGGCGGTTTCCTCTTCCCTCTTCGAAATGATCTCAATTTGCCCCAGCCGTGTCTGTGTCTGCTCTTTTCTCGTGACGGCAGACGCGGAGATTGACCTCGTATGAGCATTTGCCTGCTCAATTGTATGTGTTGCAGCTCGGTGATGCCTTGATTGGGCGGCGAGAGCGCTCACAAACCTTGGGGAGCTCTCTCGAGAGTCGAAATACACACCGCGCGTCTCGGTCTGTCTCGCGCGCGCGCTCCGTTCGGCCTCAATGCTGGGCCGCCCAACTGAATAACTACCCCAATTGGGTCTGTTGAAGCTCGAGCATGTTGGCGACAAGACTGCAAAACGGTCTTGTTACCCGATTGCGTCCTTCAGGTCTCTGATTCAGGACACGCGAGTCTTGCGACCGAGTCTGCTGGGGTTTGGGCGCTGTCGTGATACGTCCGTGTCGACGCCCGAATCCCGCCCGTCCTCAACACCACACCCAGAGCCAGTTTGGCCCATTGCCCCCGTCCCAACTCCAAAACCCATGCTCCTTTTCGCTCAATGCGCATTCCCGAGTCGAATCTGTCGTCGGCGAGGAGCACCGCGCATTTTTGACGTGTTTTCCTGGGCTTTGCAGGGCCCCTGCAGCCGTGGCGCATAGCCTGTGCTTTTCGCCCTGTCGCAAGGCCTGGCGCGTGGTCTTTCCTAGCCACCAGCTTTTTTTTTGGGGGGGGGGGCTCTCCCAACCTCCGAATATTCACAGCAACACGCACGTCGCGCCTCCGCCGCCGCCGCCGCCGAGGCCCAGCTCTCGCAAAATTCCCAAGCCCTGCCAACGGGGTACTTCTCTTTTTTCTGCTCGCCCATTCATTCCTCTTGCAAGCATATCCTTCTTCTCGCCGGCAGTACTTTGTCTTCGCTCACAATCCCACGCTAATTGTGAGTACTCGCTTCCTCCATCCGCTGCGACCCAGAGCTGCCCTGGAGCTATTGGCGATCCCTCACAGGCTTGCATTTGTCTTCTGCCGTACCAACAACAATAGCTTCGTCATGTCTGACCTGCCCAGCAGAATTCCGTACCTCCTTGGGCTTTGAAATATCGCCACCAATTTCTTTGACACCCAGCGCGCCACCGAACCCCGGTGACGCTCGCTCGCTCGCTCCCGACGATAGAGGCGTCTCGTGGTGAGCAACAAGTGCCAGCAGCCAAGTTGACGGAACCAAATCCCCCAACATCTTTTCACGACCGTTACGACCGTTACGACCCTCCCACGCCCTTCGCGCAGCGTCCGCCGCAGACGCCCTCGCGCGAACACCAGAGTCGTGGGGCCGCTTCAGACGGAAGGTCAACGCCCTCATCCCACCGGCTTCTCCGTCGCACGCCACGGTTCGAGGAGCTTCGCACCCCGACTCCGTCTCTCGCCAGCCGGCGATCAGTCCATCTCGAAGCCGCGTCTGTCGGCCTCGAACCTCCACCTCGTCCAGCAGAAGCTCCGGTCGGCGTTGCAGGTCTCGACCCGTCAACGACTGCTGCTCCTGCGCAACGCCGTCCCCGGCGCAGGCTCTCGCAGGACCTCAGCGAAGAGGAAGATCCAGAAGAAGATTCTGCTCTTTCGGCCTCCTTTGTCCACCGGCGTAGCGTCTCCTTTGCCGAACCGGCGAGAAGAGAGCCTCCTCACCCAGCCGTCCGGATCTCCAAGCGGACCCACAGTGCCATTCTTTGGACTCTGGAAGAAGCACTGAGGCAGCCGTACCCCTTTAGCCCGGACCTGGAAGAGGAAACCGCCTCTATGGCTGACCTGCTCGGCACCCCCGGCGGGCCGGCCGTCTCCAACGGCCATGACATACCCTCGACGCGGCCGACCGCGCCGCCCCAGACCAGCTCGCCTGCGCAGGGGATTAAGGGCCCCCGGATGATCATGCGCGAGCGGCAAGAGCGGGAAGCAAGGCAAAAGGCGGAGAGGGAGAGGCTGGAACGAGAGCGAGAGCGAGAGCGCGCAGAGCAAGAGGCTCGGATAGCCGAAGAGCAGTTCAGGCAGGCCGCCGCGGAACGCGAGCAGCGGGCCGCCGCCGCTCCCAGCGCCGCCGCACAAGCTCCAGCGCAAGAAGTCGACCCGGCGATCCAGCGACGCCAGCAGCGAGCAGCCGAGGCCCAGCGGGCGTCGGCAGCATACTCGCACGCCGCACCGCCGGCGCAGGCACCAGCCCCACAACAACAGCAACAACAACAACGGACCTCGCGACCTGCAGATGCTCCAGTCGGCGGGCCTGCAGCTCCTGCTCCCAGTAGCGTTCCTCTCGGGCCTTCTGGCGTGCAGGCGGGCGAGAGCTCCGGGGCCGCCGGCAACCGCCCGCGGAACTCGTTCCCCCACGCCTTTGAGCGGTGGGAGGCCCTGTCGGCGCACTGGGAGGGCCTGACCAGCTTCTGGATCCGGCGCCTGCAGCAGAACACGGACGAGATAGACCGGGACCCGCTGTCGCAGCAGCTCTCGCGGCAGGTCACGGACCTGTCGGCGGCGGGGGCCAACCTGTTCCACGCCGTGGTGGAGCTGCAGAAGCTGCGGGCGAGCTCGGAGCGCAAGTTCCAGCGCTGGTTCTTTGAGACGCGCGCGGAGCTGGAGCGCCACCAAGAGGTCAACGGCGTGCTGGAGGCGGCGCTCGAGGACGAGCGGCGCGGCCGGGCCGGCGCGATCCGCGACGCGGTCGAGCAGGAGCGCGCGGCCTCCAAGACGCAGCGGCAGCTGGCCGAGATGCGCAAGGAGCTCGCCATCTCCAAGGAGGAGGCCCGGCGCGCGTGGGAGGAGCTCGGCCGCCGCGAGCAGGAGGAGCGGGACCGCACGACGTCGCTGCAGGAGGGGCTGCCGACCATCGTCGGCGGCGTGCAGGTCGTGCCCATGACGCAGGGGATCCCGAGCCGGCAGGGCAGCAGCGCCAGGGACCCGCGGGCCGTGCAGCAGCAGGCCCAGCAGCAGCAGCAGGCCGAGTCGTCGTCGCGGCGCCAGGGCCAGGGCCAGTCCCAGCCCGCCGCCCAGCAGCAGGCCGCGCCTTCCGGCGGCGGCGCGTATGGCCAGCCGGAGATGGGCCACCCCGAAGACGATGGTCGGTATGGCGGACAGGGCTCTGAAGGTGGTTATAGCGAAGGTAAGCCTCCCCTCTTCTCCTTGCAGACACATTTTCAGAAGACTTGGGGATAACTGACTGTTTTTTTGGGGGGGGACTAGAAGAATACGAGACGCCCGGAGCACAGCCCGGCGTCAGCTATCCTCCATCCAGCTCACAGCAGCAATACTACTCCGGAGGACCAGACTACGCCGGCCAGGGATACGCTGCACCGGGGTGGGAGACGGTCCCGCGGCATCACCATCCCACGCGTCTCAGTGACGTGATCGAAGAGGACGACGAGCGGAGTAGGACCTCAGCTAGCCAGGTCAGCCGGCCGTGAAGAGGCCACGCCACAGCCGCGTGTTTGTGCATATCGAGCACTTGGCGTGTCATTACCCATCACTGGCGGCATTACATAACATGACGGACAAGTCCCATCAGCGCCTACCTGGCGGGCAACACCATAATATCTGATCAATGCATCGGGGGGAGGGGCTCCTGCATCCAAAGGCATCAGCACATAGACACATTTCTCCCCAAGACAAATGCCTTTTTTTTTTTTTTTTTTTTTGCTTCTGCTTCTTCTTCTTCTTTGACCCGGTCCATTCACGGAATGAGATTCCGGTCTTTGGGGGGCGGACTTTGCCGACTTGAATAGTCCTTGCATCGGTAGCATAGGGTCTCGGCGCAGAGGGGGTGCGAGTGTCTTGGGACAGGGCAGGACTTTTTTGGGAACGGCTTTTCTTTCGAGACTGACCTCTTTCTTGTACACACGAGCATACCTTTTTTCCCTGTTCTTGATGTAGCTAGAGATGAGGTCTATCTAGATCATCGGGCTTCCCGGTTCGTTTTCTTTTCATTGCAGGCAAGGCGTCCAGAGACAGGCTGAAGTAGGGATGGGTTTCTTCCTGAGTGTGTCTAATTGATTGATTGTTGTTTTTTTTTCATACAAAGAAAGCACCGGCTCATTGTGGCTGCGCTGAAAGCGATGGTATTACAAGGCAAAAGGAAGGAAAAGTCATTTGTGGCAATGAGAATTCACACGGAAAGGGGAATGATGAATCGATTGTTTTCTTCTACAAGAGCTTACTTATATGCGTTTTCAAGTGGCTACCCCAATGTTGTGTGTGTGGATGTTGCATTCCAGAGTCGAGATTTAGTTCGCATGCCGATGATACAACACCGCGAGCTGCCACTGGTATTTACTACGGGAGTGGGTAGAACACCATTTGTGACACTCGACCAATAGACGGCTGTAATCTCGCTACACTCGACAGGCCCTTTGAGAAACCAGGCTGGTCGTAAATACTAGGTAGCAAAGCCACTGAGGTCTCTCGCGACGCCATTGACCGGCGCCCGGGCTACAAGGCTTCAAGTACCTAGACGCGATGCTTGCTGTGTGTGGAGTTGATTTACAGCCCCCAGAGGAGACCCCACCAAACCACCAGACGCACGCACGCATGTGCTGAAATCATTGATTGACGGTGGCCCGTTATCTCGAGACGGTCCCATTATTCTTCCGCCGGTCTTGGACTCATTGAACTCCACCTGGCCATCATCGAGACGGCTACCTAACCCCCCCTAATAAACTTACCCGTAATTGCTTATCATCACTGCCCGCCCCCTCTTGCTCATCATAGAAGCATAAAATGGTAATATAGGCGTCCGTTTTTTTGTGTGGTGATTTCTCTCGTCTCTTCCAAAAGAGAGTCCGGGCTATCTCGCTGCAAACATGAAGGCGACAAGAGCATTGCGAGCCGCAGGCCGGCTGCACACCGCGGCAGCCCCAACGGCGCGGCCACGCAGCTCCACAGGCCTGCTCCGGCGGCCGGCTCTGATGCGCGGGTCACAGACGAAGAGCGCTCGGAGCTCACTATCACGGCCCGGCATCGGTGCCTGGGCTCAGACGGCGGCGGCCGGGCTACCGTCCAGGTCTACGGCCGGTGCGCGGCAGCCGTACAGCACCGACAAGCTGATGGGCCACGACGAGTGCCTGGTGTCTTCCGAGGCGCCGGGCTTCGCCTTCGTCTTCGACATCGACGGCGTGCTGCTGCACGTGGCCAAGCCCATCCCGGGCGCGTCCGAGACGCTGCGCTACCTGCACGAGCACAACATCCCCTTCATCCTGCTGACCAACGGCGGCGGCAAGCCCGAGGCGGAGCGGGTGCGGGACCTCGGCGAGCGGCTCGGCGTGCACCTCACGACGGCCAACTTTGTCCAGTCGCACACGCCCTTCCAGGACCTGGTCGCGGGGCCCGAGGGCCTCGGCGACAAGACCATCCTGGTCACGGGGTCGGACCCGGAGAGGACGCGGCGCATCGCCGAGGGCTACGGCTTCAAGATGGTCGTCACGCCCGCCGACATCCTCGCCGCGCAGCCGGCGATCTGGCCGTTCGACCCGCTGCTGGAGTCGGCCTACGCGGCCACGGCGCGGCCGCTGCCCAAGCCGCTCTGGGAGCCGGGCATGGCCGACGGGGACGCGCTGCGGCTCGACGCCATGTTCGTCTTCAACGACCCGCGCGACTGGGCGCTCGACATCCAGATCATCGTCGACGCGCTGGCGTCGCGCGGCGGGCTGCTGGGCACGTACTCGGCGCGCAACGGCCGGGCGGACCTCGGGCCCGGCGAGGGGTGGCAGAGCGACGGCCAGCCGGCGCTGTACTTTAGCAACGCCGACCTGCTCTGGTCGGCCGGCTACCACCTGCCCCGGTTCGGGCAGGGCGCGTTCCAGGCCGCCGTGGCGGGCGTGTGGGAGCGGCTGACGGGCGGGGTGGCGCTGCGGCGCACGGTCATCGGCAAGCCGTACGCCGAGACGTACCGGTACGCGGAGCGCGTGCTGGCCGAGTACCGCCGCGAGGTGCTGGAGCGGACCGCCGGGACTACTGTCGGGGCTGCAAACGGGGCCGGGGAGGAGCTGCGGGCCGTGTACATGATCGGGGACAACCCGGAGAGCGACATCCGCGGGGCCAACGAGTACGAGAGCGAGGCCGGCACCGAGTGGTGCTCCGTGCTGGTGCGGACGGGCGTCTGGAGCCCCGAGCGCGGCGGCGGGGGCCGCATGGCGTACCGGCCGACGAGCATCGCCGACGACGTGCGCGCGGCGGTGCGGTGGGCGCTCAAGAGGGAGGGGTGGGAGGGCCCGCCGTTGTGATGGATGGATGGTGAGTGTGTACATCATGTATGTAGATTTGCTACCTGGATAGAGTCTACTAATATTTTATGTAACTACTATCCTGCGAGAGCGATGATGGGAGTTGGTCCGATCGATGGCTCTGCATGCCGACAGACAGCCATGCTACATCGCCGTTTCCCGCTGTCGTGGGATCGGCCAGCCAGGTCATCGCTTGTGACGGGCATCGGAGAGGATTCAAACGATGTGTACTGCTTGTATTCTGCTGCCCTGCCGGGTGACTCACCCAAGGTGCCTCCCCCTAAATTAAACATTTGGCGGCCCGCCCACAGACCAACACGCTGCTTCTTTCAACTTCAACTTCATCCTCTTCTTCCCTTCATTTTTCTTTGATGGAAAACCCGTCACAAATATGCCATCTCCGCCCGCCCGCCCCACCGCCGGACACCCAGCACCAGCACGGGATCCATTCTCCCTCTTCAACAAGTATTGACCTGCACTCCCGCAACCCCTTGGATTATTTCCGACAGGCGATCGCCGATCAGGTCTCTGAGATCCTCGCAGTAGACCGGCAGCTCGTTTTCGAAAGCCTCGACCGCGCATCTCTTGACAAAGCCGATCTGGTCTTGGCCACTCCCCGCCTGCGCCTACGGGGGGTAAACGGTGCTGATGTTGCGGCAAAGGTAGCCGCCGAGGTTAGTACCTACTCGGTAGAAGGCTCAATTCCGCCGCCCGCAGACGAGCCGCCGCTAATCTAGTCCGTCTACCTACCTACTTACGGAGTAGTTTCGATTGCTCGACAGCGCCAAGGTCCTGGCCCCCACCGCCGACGGCATCCACGTTCGATTCTTCCTCAGCCCTAGCGAGCTCCCTTCCACTCTCCTACCGTTCATCCTCCATCAGGGGGACAACTATGGCTTCGACCCGAGCCATGGCCTTCGGGATCCGTCAGATCCAGAGGCGGGAAGAAAGACGGTGCTCGTTGAATTCTCTAGTCCCAACATTGCCAAGAAGTTCCATGCCGGCCACTTGCGAAGCACCATCATCGGAGGCTTTCTCTCGAATCTTTATGAGAGATCAGGCTACAATGTAGTCCGCATGAATTATCTGGGGGACTGGGGTCGCCAGTACGGTCTTCTTGCTTGTGGCTGGGAACGGTACGGTGATGAGGCCGCTTTTGCAGCGGATCCAATCGGGCACTTGTTCGACGTCTATGTCAAGATCAGTGCCGATTTCGAGCCGGAAGAGGCGGGTTTCAAGGCGGCCAGCAAGCGAGGTAATGATACCTCGGAGCTGGAGAACAAGGGCCTCCTCGGCCAGGCCAAAGCCTACTTCAAGCGTATGGAAGATGGCGACCCGGACGCCTTGCAGCTGTGGGCACGTTTCCGGAGTCTCAGTATCGCCAAGTACCAAGAGACATATGCGCGGCTGAACATTCACTTTACGGATTATTCTGGCGAGTCCCAGGTGAAGCAGGAAACGATGGAGAGTGTCGAAAATATCCTCCGAGACCAGGAGATCAGCCAGGCCAAGGACGGCGCTCAGGTGGTGGATTTCGCTAAGCACGGTGCCAAGTCCCTCAACGTGGCCGTCATCCGAAACCGAAACGGAACTTCCAACTATCTTCTTCGAGATGTCGGCGCTGCTGTGCAGCGACATGACCAGTATCACTTTGACGAGATGATCTACGTTGTGATGGCCGAGCAGGAAACCCATCTGCGCCGACTGTTCAAAGTCCTGCAGCTCATGGGTGGCAGATACGAGCTGCTCTCCAAGTCGATGAAACATGTCACCTTTGGCAAGGTAGGTTCGATTCCCTGTGCGATGAATTGCGGGCGCGGCGTTCCGCAGATTGGGAGCAATTCAACGATACTGATACGTATTACAACACAGGTCATGGGCATGTCAACCCGCAAAGGAACTGTCAAGTTTCTGGATGACATTCTTGCAGACGTTGGTGACTTCATGCACGGCATCATGCGTCGAAACGAGGACAAGTACAGCCAAGTCGTCGATCCCGATCACACGGCAGAACTTCTCGGAATATCTTCCATCATGGTTCAAGACATGACCGGGAAACGATGTCACAACTACGAATTCAGCCTCGAGCGGATGACATCCTTTGAAGGAGATACAGGACCGTACCTTCAGTACGCTCACGCAAGACTGTGTTCCATCTTTCGAAAGGTGGATATATCCCGTGACGAGATGCTGCGGGCGGACTTTTCCGTCCTATCTAGCTCGCCCAAAGCCGTCAATCTCCTGCGCGTCATGGTACAGTATCCTGACACGGTGAAGCAGGCGCTCCGGACTCTGGAGCCTACCACCATCCTGACCTACCTGTTCAAGCTTACCCATGAGCTTAGCTCTAGCTATGATCATCTGAAAGTCTTGAACCCTCCGGAAGGACGCGTCACCTTGGTGGCCCGGGCGGCGTTGTATGAGGCTGCCCGTCAGATCCTCTGTAGCGGACTTCGGCTGCTCGGCCTGACGCCGATCGAACGGTACGAACACCCTGCTCGATTCTAAAGCCTCTCTCAGTTTCTGACCTTGTCTAGGATGTAAATCTGGCCGCCAAAGATGCCATTCCGTCGACCAGTATGGGTTTCTAAGAGGAAGGACGGATAGATAGACGAATATGTAGATTGCTATCAGAACCTCTATTCACTAGATTTCACTGACACGTCTGTAATGGCATCCATCTATCATTGTGTGGCATTCGCGCTTCGATCAAACACTCACATCAAGACATGGTTTCATTACCTTGGGTAGTTCGATCGCTACCAATCGTGCTATGGCACTAACCTACCTTTCTGTTCTCTCCAGGCGTTAAGCAGGTAACATCCATATACGACCCCCTCACGTTAGGGCTAGAGCGCCAGATTCGAGGCAACTAAGGAACGGTATATCATTTGAATTGTAAACATTAGATAGAACATAACTAATTGTATTTGGCGCTTCCTCTCCGCCTCGGCATGTTGCCCCTCCACACCTCACTCACCTACCAACATCCCAAAACCGGGAATCGCAGCCAGTTTCACCCAATGACAAGCCCCGAGCAGCGCCTGCCCATCTCGATCCCGCGCATTTGTGTGAATAAGAAAGGCCGCCGGCCCAGTATGAATGGACGACACGACACACCCCGTGAAACAAAACGATGATGCACATCCGCCATCCTTCGCCGCAAGAAACGCCAGGTTTTGGACTGGATTGAACGGGGTTACGTCACTGAATAATATGGAGCTTGCTCACCAGGGGTCAGCCGGACCCTGCTTTAGGATCTCTCGAGCCCGGCCTGGGCCCTGATTCCCCCTGCTGTGAGTGGGGGAAGCCCCCGAAAGATGGGGCTCGACTGTGTGTCTCTTCGTCCCACCGCACGATGACACATTTTCCTGGGCCCGCCCTAAAGAGATATCAATGGATGGTCTGGCACCCGCCGGACTGCCCGCTAAAATCTCGAGACGGCGTCGAGGGCTAGGGGCCTAACTTTATCAGACGACTCGAAACGGGGCAGGGCAGGCAGCTGATAAGCCAAGCTAAAGCACCTAAAGTAAGTAAGTACCTTAGTCTACCAAGCTTTTGTGTGTGTCTTGCACCTCGTCTCATCCCACCTTCCACAGGGAGAAAACAACAGACAAACATCACACCGACTGCGAGGGTTGCCGCAAGCCAGGAAAAAGGCAGTACATACCTATCTGCAACGCAGTTTTTGTGTCGAGGCTGGCCAGTTGGTTACACAGCTTGGGCTTAAGCGAAGAGGCTCCGCGCGGTCCTTGTTGAACTGTGCAGCCGGGGCAGTGTGGTGGTCACAAAAAGGTCACGAGCAAATTACACACTCCCGTACCCGCGCACGACTGGCTTTGTTTGTTGTTCCGGCCTCTATCTCAACCGCATCCACCACAACTCTGGTCTTTCCGGAGGAACAACACGCTCTCTTGCTGCCCGCCGGCCTCTGACAGCTCTTGGCTAGCGCATACGAGTCCGTGGTTATCCAGCACAACTGCCTCACGCCGGCCGCGGACGCTTTGCAGTTTTCGCTGGGGCGGGGGAAGGAAATCGACACTTGCGGAGTGAAGTGCCTCTTGGTCCGACTACCCTAGACGTGGGGGGCTCGCGCCACGATACACCAGAACTTGGTTGACTCTTCCATTTTCATCTGATCTAACCGCGTCGCAAACACCCTCGGACACACACGATCACAATGTCCGCTCCGCCCTCTCCCGTGTCCATGCGGCCCTTGCGGTCAGCTCTGAAGGACGAGTCGGAGAGGACTACGCCTGTGGGTGGCTCCAACAAAGGTGGGTGTCCGGCAGTTTCCCATCCCTCGGTCCTGTTATATCGTCCTGTCTCTCGAGGCTTTGGATGCCTTTTCGTCTGAAAAGGACCGGGGAGTAGCTCAAGTGATACGCCTCCGCTGTTTGTCTTGTGTGTCAACTCTTGTTGGGTTTCAAGTCAGAGTCGGGCGAGTTTGCCCCCGAACCTACAGTACTACTTCATTGTTCACTCCCAGCCACCTACTTGTACGCAGTCAACTTCATTCCCAGGCTTCCTTCATAGACCACTCATTGCAAGTCAAAGAACGGTCCCTCGTTCACCACACCGCCAAGCCTCATTCGCTCGCAGCACCAACCTGCTGAACTCATTTTGCTGATACAATGATTCTGTAGCTGTGCAAATATCCGAGCCTGACCTGACCACGCCCGAGGAGCCCCAAACCAGGAAGCAGTATCCTGCCAGCAAGGCCAGACGCCTCAGTGGACGCCTCCCTGTCACCTCGGCGAATGCTTCTCGGTCGTCTCTGATAAGTCAGATGAGCCTTGAGAACCTCACTGCTCTAGCAAGCTCCGCATCTCCCGCCGCAACGCCCGAGGACGGCAATTCGCATCATCACCACCACCCTCACTATCAGCACAAGATCGACAGGATCAGCGAGAAGCTCCTCACCCAGGTTGCCGAGTGGCTCCAGCACGAGAGAGCGAAGAAGGAGTCCAGGAGAGACAAGAAGCTCTCGAGAAAGAAGGCCAAGGAGCAAGCCAGCAAGGAGTCTACCGCCAAGGGTGCAGACGACTCTTCGCTGTTCCGGGTTGCATCTCACGATTCGCATTCCAGTGAGGTTTCCCTCGACCGGCTCCAGCACATCATCGAGGACAGCATGGCTGCACTCGGCCTAGACGCCCTGCCGGCGCCCAAGCTTGGACGCCGTCACAAGAAGCACCGGTCCATACAACTGCACCGTACTGTTTCCGCGTCTGACACCGAGTACCAAGATGGAGAGCCCCTTGTCCCCAGCTGCGACGCTGTGCTCGACAACTCCAAGACGATGAGCTACAGTGGTGGTGGCGTGGCCAGTGAGGATCCCGAAATGTCTTCGACGCGCCGGGAGGAGAAGGAGCGAGAGGCCTGGATCATCTTCAAGAACGACATTCTCCGTCTGGCACATACCCTGCGCCTCAAGGGCTGGAGAAGAGTTCCCTTGGACAGCGGCGAGACCATCTCGGTCAAGAGGCTGAGCGGTGCCCTGACCAACGCTGTCTACGTCGTCGCACCGCCGCCCGAGGTGGTTGCCAGCACGCCGGAGGGCAAGCGCCCTCCTGCTAAGGTGCTCTTGCGGGTGTATGGCCCGCAGGTAGAGCAGCTCATTAACCGTGACAGCGAGCTGGCAGTGCTCCGCCGGCTCGCGCGCAAGAGGATCGGCCCTCGTCTGCTCGGGACGTTCAAGAATGGCCGGTTCGAGCAGTTCTTCAACGCCATCACCCTCACCCCGACTGACCTGCGCATCCCCGACACGTCTAAGCAGATTGCCAAGCGCATGCGTGAACTCCACGACGGCATAGAGCTCCTGGACGAGGAGATCGCGGCTGGCCCGGCAGTCTTGCAGAACTGGGATCACTGGCAGGACGTCGTCGAGAAGAAGATCAGCTTCCTGGACGACCAGATTCGCTCGGACGAGGAGGCTGCTGGGCCGGACACCAACGGACTGCCGGCCGATGCGTGGAGAGCGCGAGGACCAGTGTGCGGTGTCGAATGGCCCAAGTTCAAGGCCATGGTCAGCCAGTACCGGCACTTCCTGAACGAATTCTACGGCGGCGAGAGGAAGCTCTGCGAGAAGCTCGTTTTCGCGCACAACGATGTACGTATAGCTGCAACAACAAGTTGCGATGATCTAGTCATGCTAAACACCAAGATTCTTTCCTATAGACGCAACACGGAAACATCCTCCGTATCCAGCCAGACGACGAGAAATCGCCCCTCATGCAGCCCGCCAAGCAGCACAAGCGGCTCATCGTCATCGACTTCGAATATGCCGGGCCCAACCTGCCCGGCCTGGAATTTGCGAATCACTTTACCGAGTGGACGTACGACTACCTGAGCCCCGTCGCCCCCTACGCGTGCCACACGGCCCTGTACCCGTCCGTCGAGGAGCAGCGCCGCTTCATCAAGGCCTACGTCGAGCACAGACCGGACTACGTCTACCCGGGCTCGGCGACGCCCAAGCTCACGCCGCTGGCCACGCCGACGCCCGGCAGCGCCGCCAGCACGCCGGCGCTGCAGACGGCCAGCTCGACGAGCTCCATCGTCGAGTTCATGCTCGACGCCCGCGTGCCCCCCGGCGGCTGGGGCGCGCAGGAGAAGAAGCTCGAGGAGGAGTCGGAGAGGCAGGTCAAGGAGCTGATGCACGAGACGCGGCTGTGGCGGATCGCTAATAGCGCCATGTGGGTGGCCTGGGGCATCGTGCAGGCCAAGATCCCCGGGCTGAAGCTCGATGGGGATGGGGAGGACGAAGAAGAAGACGGGCTGGACGACGGGGTTGCTAAGAATGGGCGGTGCGGAGACGGAGGTGAAGCTGCGGCTGAGCAGCGGCAGCAGCAGCAGCAGCAGCAGCAGCAGCCCTCTGGTGGACAGGAGGAGGCTGTCAAGAAGGAGACGTACTCTGAGAAGAACGGCGACGACGACACTGTTCGGGAAGAGGAACAGGCCGAGGAGGAGGCGGACGAGTTTGATTATATCAGTTATGCGCAGGAGCGGGCCTGGTTCTTCTGGGGAGACTGCGTGCTGATGGGCCTGGTCAAGAAGGAGGATCTGCCGACCGAGTTGCAGGCCAGGCTGAAGCTGGTCAACTACTAGATAGTAAGTAAGTACCAAGCAGTACGCAAGTCCAGGGGCCCGCCCACCAGCACTGCATTTTGATGAGACGATGGCGGTCCCAACTTTTCATCATCCATCGGGAGGGACCCCCGGGGTTCAGCCGACTCTTCAACCGAGTCGCGGCTTCGTTCGCCTATTCGGCAGATAGATAGCTCAAGCTAGTGGACAATCCAAGCATACTTTGGTCATCTTTTTTCTTTTTGGAGGAGGAGTTTAGTCTCTAAGTTGCTGGTGTACACGATAGTTACAGTAAGGGAGGTGAGAAAAACTAGGTAGTTACAGATGACGGACGGCATTCAAATGAGACCAGCCTGCTCCGTTTCCTAGTGCCGTACATGTGTTATTACAGATGGGTATAAGGTGCAGCTCCCTCCCCGACGACATTACTTTTTTTGGGTTTGTTGCGTTCTGTCTGCCCTTGCTGAACCTACGCCGCCTTCAACGTGCCCTTGTAGTCCTTGATGTGGTCGACGATGACCTTGGCCGCCTGGTCGGGCGAGTGCTGGCGGCCGAGGGCCTCGACGAAGTCGCCCTCGGGGTCCATGAGGTAGAAGTAGATGCTGTGGTCGACGAGGTAGTCCTGGCCCGGCTTCACCTCGGACGGGGTGCTAAAGTAGACGCGGTAGGCCTTGCACATGGCCTTGATCTGGTCGTAGGTGCCCGTCAGCCCCACGAAGCCGGGGTGGAACTCGGCGAGGTACTCCTTCAGGATCTCGGGCGTGTCGCGGGCCGGGTCGCAGGTGACGAAGACGGGGAGCAGGGCGCCCGGCGCCTCCTTCTCGACGGCGTCGTACATGCGGGCCATCTTGTCGAGCTCCTCCGGGCAGATGTCCGGGCAGTGGGTGAAGCCGAAGTAGACCTGCGCGCAAAGTTGATAGATGTGTCAGTTTCTCTCAAATGTGTTTTCTTTCCTATTTCCTATTCCCATACCCTCCCTGCCTGGGTTTACATTTCATCGCGCGGGGGGGTGGGGGGTGGCTTTTGCTGCTTACCAGAGAGTACCGCCCCCGCAGGTCCTCGTGCGTCACCGTCTTGCCGTTCTGGTCGACCAGCGCAAAGGGCCCGCCGACTTTTGGTCTGCCGACGCCCTTGGCCGCGTCGGCCATGCGCTTGCGCTGCATGCGCTCCTTCTCGTACTCGAAGTACCAGAGCAGGCCCGCGCCCGTCAGGACGAAGAGGATGCCGGCGCGCCAGGAGAAGGGCTAGGTTAGGGGAGTTTGTCAGTGTGTGTGTCTTGTCGTCATTCCTCCTGGAAATATGCAATAAAGTGGTGGACAGGTGACGTACTCCTGACTTGTATCTGCTCTTGGCCTCCTCGACCGTCTTGTACGTCCTCCTCTGGCTGCTGGCGGAGGGGAGGCATCTCGTGGACGGCGGCAGCTGCTGGGCAGCAGCGGGGCGCTTGGCTGCGGTCTGCGACGCCCGCGCCGTGGCGGAGGACAGGAGTCGGCGGCCGGGCTGCGTCGACAGGTTCCGGCAGCAGCTGAGGAGCGACCTCGCCGCCGGGGCGACCGAACGGCTGTTCATTTTTCTTTCTTTGACAGGCGTGTGTGGGTTAGAATTGCAAGGTTTGAACCAGGCAAGACGGCCAATTGGCAATTCGCAAATATGTCGGGGGAGCCTGCGCCGTCTCAAAGGGTGTGCGGGCGGGCAATGCTTCGTTCGTTCGTTCGTTTGTGTCGCAGCTTTGCAGTTCCAAGTCGTACGACAACTTTCTCTCCGATGTGAGGTAAGCAGGCAGGCAGGCAAGCAAGCAAGCATCCGACGTTTTGGACGAGCTCCACCACGGAAAAAAGATCAGAGCTTGGGTGTGATCCCCGGTTTTTCCCAGGTCTCCAGCCCAATCACAGGTGCCGGGTGCTTTGGAGATCCATCACAGCGCTGAGTGCCGCTAATGCCCCATCCCGGTCCACTATACGCGCTACAGCACGCGCCCTGGAGAGAGCCGCTCACCTCATGAGAAAATGGGAATGAGATCCATCCTGGCTCACCTGGGAGGCGGCGAGTGAGTGAAGGGATGACACCACAGAACCCTCATGTGCAGTGCTGACAGGGTAACATGAACCATTGCCCTTTTACAACTTATTCATCCATGTGCATCTAGCTGTCCCCTTTTGCTTCATCTATTCACAACAGAGCAGGCCCGGTGGCCCACACACTCTTAGATTAGTCCCCCGGCTCGTCTTTCTTCAGCTCGGCGCTGCAGCCTCCCGTCACCCTTGCATGTTTGAATGTCGTACTCCGATGCATTTTTCACTGTCGACGCATCGATGGCTTCGGGTGCAGGAGGAGGAGGAGGAGGAGGGGCGCCACCAGCCCCTCCAGCAGAGGACAGCAGGACCTCGACATCTGCAGCAGCATCTGCACCTCCTGGTGGGAGCTTGAAAAGGGAGGGGTCGTGCCCTTCCCCGCGCGACCCAGACCTGATGGACGTCGAATCGTCGTCACCACAAGCCATCACCAAACTCTCATCCCACACAGCAGAGTCCCGCTCAAGCGGTACAAAAGGAGACGACGCCGCAGCAGTCGCAGCAGTCGCAGCAGTCGCAGCAGCAGCAGCAGCACCGTCGGCAGCAGGGAGCGACGGAGAGATGGCAAAATCGGCGCCCAGCAAGCGCAAGAAGGGCACCGCGACGGCCGTCAAGGGCAAGAAGCCCAAAGGCGGCGGTGTTGCGAAGAAGTCCAAAGGGGCCAGCAACAAAAAGGCCAAGAACGACAGCGGCCACGCCCTCCCTTCGTCGTCGCCCAGAGACAGCGACGACGAGGACGATGACGACGACGACGAGGAGGAGGCCTCAGACGGCGACGAGGAGTCGGACCACGGCCCCTATTGTATCTGCCGTGGGCCAGACGACCACCGCTGGATGATCTCGTGCGACGGGTGCGAGGACTGGTTCCACGGCGAGTGCGTCAAGATCAGCAAGGAGGTCGGCGAGAACCTGATCCAGAGCTACATCTGCCCCAACTGCACCGACGGCAAGGACTACGTCACGCGCTACAAGAAGACGTGCTCCCTCAAGGGCTGCCTCAAGCCCGCCCGCATCTACGGCCTCAACGCCGCCGCCGTGCGCGGCGACAGCAGCGGCGGCAACAACAACAACAACAACAGCAGCCTCTTTTGCTCACGCGAGCACCGCGACCAGTGGTGGGACCGCCAGGTCGCCAGCCTGCCCAAGCTCAGCAAGCGGGACAACGAGTACCGCCTTACGCAGGAGGAGTTCACGGGCTTGCTTGCTAGTTCCAGCCGCTCGGACGTCTCGTGGAAGCTCGGCGATGAACCTTTTCGTGAGTTTTTTTTTATTCCCTTCCCCTTTCAACAAACAGAAAATAAAAACTGTCCGACATCTCTACTGTAGATTTCCACTAACACCCATACCCATACATCCAGACGTCCCCGCCGACTTCTGGGACACGGTCGACCAGGACCAAGTCCTGACAGCCGAGGAGCGGCACATCCTCAGCGCCTCGTCGGCCGACCGCCTCAAGCTCGGCGAGGAGACGGTCCTGTGCAAGAAGATGCTCGAGCTGCTCGACATGGCCAACGACCGGCACAGGGCGGCCGTGGCCGCCGGCCACCTCGAGAAGAACGCCTGCGGCTACGACTCGCGCCTCGACGCCGTCAACGCCATGGCCCAGTTCGAGGCCTTTGTCAAGAGCCCCGAGGGCGAGGCCGTCTTCAAGGCCGGCCGGCTCGAGGCACCGCCACCACCCTCCGGCGGCGGTAGCGGCGGTGGGGGAGCAGACGGCGCGGCGGCGCCGGGTGATGACGGCAGCGGGAGCAGCAAGGACAAGGACAAGGACAGGAACCCGGCCACGGACGGCATGTGCCGCCGGCGCAAGTGCAACGGGCACGCCGGCTGGTTCCACACGCACGCGCGGCAGGCCAAGGCGCAGATGAAGGAGCTCGCCCGCGAGGCCAAGGAGCGCCTCGACCGCGAGGAGCGCGTGCGCAACGGCGCCGCCGTGCGCTACTTTCGCAAGAAGCACGAGAGGAACTCGGTCACGGCGGCCGCCCCCCTCGACCCGCGCTTGGACTGCCGTCCAAGCCTGAAGGGAGGAGGGTTTGGTTATGAATGAATGACTCGAGGGATGAGCCTCTTTTTCCGCCTCGCATGCCTTGCTGCTGTGGGAGAGGGGGGGAAGGTTCAATTTCCTGGGGTCTGTTTTCCGACGTTATGTCCTACTGTTTGTGGTGTCGTTGGATCGAAAAAGAAAATGGGTATAGAATCTTTTAGGAGGGATTGACCTTCAAAAGGGTCTTTGAAGAAGAAGGATGACGAGACGCCTGGGCGTGGAAACATCGATCGCGTTCTTTGAAGAGTAGTCGGTAGGCTGGTAGTATCAGACGAGTATCAGCAGAGCAGTCCTACATAATACTGCCACACTTTGACCAAGCGGCAATCAGATCAAGTGTCTGTTCATGTATTAAAGACCAGTCTCCATGTAGCAGTCACCAAATTCTCGTACTCGAGACTGTATTCGTATCCGAACCTGTGCTATCCAGTTCTCGAGAAAGGGGTATTATATCAAATCATTTCGCTCCAAATCAGAGACCAGCAGCAGTCTCGTGCGCTGTAGATCGGCAGGACGTAGGCCTCCTAAAACACTCAGGGCATGCATGCCTGTACAATATCCAAGCCTGCCAGCTGTCTTCATATCGCCAGAAGGTAGAAAAGGTCTGTCGTTCCCGAAAAGAATAGGCCATAAAAGCAAAAAGAGAAAAAAGCAATAGATAACCAACGCCAGTGATATCAAGCCGTGAGGCCAATGCCCGTTCTTGTATGAGCCGTGAGGCCTCTCAATCTTAGTTCCTCGTTCGACCTTGGAAGGTTCGGTTTTTTCTTTTCTCGTGATGTAAAGTGTACTTGCGTACAAGACGTGCTCAAAGCTCCAAGTTGTTTCTCGTGATTCTCATGTTTGCAGCTGATTCAGTATGTCCTGTTTCAATCCGTGAGGAGACTGAAGCCCCAGCCTTTGCCTTTCTGTGGGAGAGCATAATGTCTCCCCAAACAGTCGTGTGACTATTGATCTATTCGTGAGTGTAATTATTTTTGTTTTGTTTCTTTGGCGACGTTGTCGCCAGTGATGCATCGGCCAGCGTGTAGTGTGTGGTGTGTGGACCTTCGGTCAGCGCCCTGATAACAATGCCTCAGGTCTGTGGGGTAACCCCATCTTCAAGATGGAAACAGGAGCACATCAGCGGCGCGAGGAAGAAGAGGTATGCCCGTGCCGGTGTCCGTGAGAGTGGGAGTGGGAGTGGCCGTGCCTGGACGACGAAGAATGGTGCTGCCTGTCTCGATCCCTGTGTCTCGAGCTGGACCCCGAGGGCTGCGAGCGCTCGAGTTCGCGCTCCATTTCCTGCGCCCTCTGCTTGAAGCTGCTGACTATATCCCGGATGTGGCGTATGCGGTCGAACTCGACCTCCAAGTCGTCCATCTGCTTCAGCAGTCGGGTGTAGCGCGCGATCTCGGCGTCGGCGTTCTCGACCAGCTGCCCGGCCTGGTCGTAGACGTACATGGTCACCGTCGCCGACTCCTGGCCGAGGTACTCGAGCTGTTGCTGGATGTTGGCCATCAGGTGGTCGAAGTGGCGGGCAAGGGCGGCGAGCGAGGATGTGTCCATGACGAGCAAGCCCTGCGAGGACGCCCGGCTGGCCGCTCGTGAGGAGCTGGATCCGCCACCGCCGGCGAGAGCGGCCGACTGGCCCTGGCGGAGCAGGAAGAGCTCTTCATTGCTCAGGCCCAGCTGAGAAGGGTCTACCGCCTGCACCGAGGTCGCCGACATGGCAATATGGAGTTGGCGGGCGGCTGCGCCGAGGCGCTCGTTAAGGATCCGCTCCGTCCAGGCTCAGCCGGAGCTTTGAGGGACGGCGCGACTGACGACGCGGTGCGCAGCGAGGAGATTTCGGGGCGACTCCCAGAGAAGAGAAGGAAGTCAGAGCCGTAGGCGCCGAGTTTTGCGGTGAAATAGTCCGTCAGCAGGGGACGGCGGTCGGTTTCCCGACGACAATGATATATGGACGAAGTCGGCAGAGATAATGGATGTGTATGATGATCTCGAAAGGGCTCGGCGTTGGTATTCACAGCTCGGTTGCGCGTGCTTCACGGACGACCATGGTATCGGAACTGGCGTCATTGTCTCGATGCCGCATCGTTGGGCATTTTTCAGAATAGAGTTTCTGTGGCGTGTAGATCGGAATCGGCTCAGTCCGCAGATGTCATTCCTTGCTGCTTGCTGCCAAAACCGCGGCCGCGCAGGGCGTTGGCGTGTGAGGGAGACGGGCCGGCAGACGGGGAACAGCGGGTCGATTTGTCCAGGAATGACGATGATGCCAATGCTGGGTCGACGCACAAGTAGGCGGAGGGATTGGCAAGACCCCGAGTTTGTCGAGCGGCTGCGAGGGCGAGCTCCCTTGGATATGAGGGGAAGAATGCAGCCTTTTTGGCGAGAAGGGTTGCCGAAAATGGTGGTGGTGGTAGTGGTGGTGCGCCTAGAGCTGATGCCGCCCCTGGTTATTGTGGTGGTGCATTGGCGCAACCAAATTGCTTGAAGTTGGAGTGCAATGGCCGTGGTAGTGGTGGTGGTGGTGGGCCACAGAGGATGGCGAATTGACCAGACAGCCTTAGTTATTAGTCGTTACCGTCAGTTCGACACCCTCACGGACACAACACACACACTCTCTCTCCTCTCTCGCTCTGACATAAATGCCAGGTAACCCTCCCACGCCCCCTCAGCGTTGGCCGCTATCTGAGCCTGGAGTGGGTGCTACACACCCGGTGAGCGTCCCAAGCAGCGCAGGGCAACCCTCCAACGCGGGTCGGTCTGGAGTGCAGGATTGGAAAAGGCAGGTGTTTGCGGTGCGGTGTCGCAGCGAGAGGGAAACCTGGAAGATGATGGATGGATGTGTACGGTGGGTGGTGGATGAGCGGCCAGTCCGACGGCTGATCGATTATACAAGTACATACCTTATGTCTGAAGGTAGGAAACCAGCATCCATGCCAAGACCTGGAGCTGCTAATGATGCACGCAGGCCACTTTGTGGCTTGAGATGTTTCAGGCTCGTCTGGCCTGAGGGAGAAGAAGAAGCCTGGGAAATGAGATATTAGGTAGTCTAGGTACTGGTTGGTAGAGTCTGCAGGCCGGCCTGCAAGAGCCTCTTTTACTCTTTCCTTTTCACGCTGCAACGGACGGGCGCTCCTTCGTCCAACAGTCCCGTGATGGCGGTCATTTCCTTCCTTCCAGGCCCAGCCCAGAGAAGTCGTGTAACCCCAACAAACGAGCAAAAGAGCACCTGCCCGCCGTCATGGCTTGCGGCAGATAGATTCAACGAGGAAAGAGCTCGTTCCCGGGAAACACTGCCAAATTACTGCCAAATTACCAATCTCTTTATTCTGGCTGATGATCGCTGCACGGGAACGCCATCGCCACTATCACCACCACCCACGCTCCCGCCCGTCCGCCCGTGCGGACCAGGCCATGCGGGTCGCCGGACACTACGGGCAACGGCGTCGCGGGCGAAAGTGGAGGCTTGCACCGCGACCTGTCATTGACGGAGAAAAAGAAAACCGGCTTTGGGGTGTGCGTCTTGCTGCTGTTGGAGATGACGACTTTGAGCAAGGGTCCTGCATCGCAACGTGGATGATGATTTGTGACGGAGCCTGCGGAACTATCCTCGACGTTGAATGATCGACCTCCTCATCGCACCGCGCGATGTCCGCACAAGTCTTAAGATTCTATTTGGCTCCCGTCTCGTCCGCGCGCTCGATCGTTTCAAATACCCTGCCTGTCATACGACCGCGTGGTTTGCTGGTCCTGGGCGGAGACTTCCCCGGTTTGTGGAAGGTTACATGCATTGCATCGACTCTGCGGCAGCATGCAAGATGCCGAGGGTCGATCGGGATGCTGCGTAGGAAATATGTCATCTTACATCGACCCTCCCGTTCGAACACTTTGTGCACTCTGATCGTAAATCAGAGAATGCGGTATGGAGTTGGGTCAAATAATCGTCGACGCAAATGCCATCGAGACTGTTGATCTGTCTTGTCACGCGTATTGTGATGCTTGTAACCACGTCCACTGCAAAAGGACGAACCGCCTCAGTGGCACTGGGTAATTCAGTCAGTCAAGTCCGCCCAACGCACTCATTGCTAATCACAGTTACTACGCCTGCTCTGACAGCTCGAATTTTAGTTCCCACGCCGTATGTGTTAATGGACGGAAGACTTGCCTCCGAGGACGGATCAGGCCTTGCGTTGCATCTAACCTTGCGATGTATTGTTTCTAAGCAGGTAAATATCCAACGCCGCTCATCATCAAGCAGTCTTTCTTTCAACTTCTCTCGGCTCATGTACAAACCGAGTGGGCCTGCTCAGTTGAGTCCAAGCCATGGGTTCGCAATGCTTTGGCAGGACTCAACGAAGTGATCACCACGAAGCATCTTTTCATACCCTTCTCAGCAAGAGACGGGAACGATCCCATGGCTGGCCTTGATTACCCGGCCGGGGCCACCAAACAGCTACATACAGGATGTAGCTGCAGGAAGACATCATAATTCTTCCGTCCACCTCGGAATGAGCATGTGCGCTGGTGTAAGCGAGAGGGGGCTGTCGGAACACACCTTTCTGTCGTATGAAAACTGCATCTGTGTCAAACGTATATATCGATCAACGTTTCTCGCTGCTTTGCTCCAACAATGCAACCGAGTCTTGTTGTCAAACTCTTCCGTATCCCAGCCGTCGCCATGCTGGGACAAGTCATAATTGTCGCCTTGAGTGTCTTGTCCTGCACGGCCTCCTCCCTTCAGGGCCGGACGATCCTCCAGAATGGCCAGGTCAAGATCACCAACTATCCCAACACGGCAATCGACAAGTCCAGCCGCTCGTTCCACAGCTACCCGGCCAATGCGTCGCAGCTGTCTTACAAAGGGAGATGGGACTCGAGGAAGATATCATGGTGGTCGTGAGCCTCTCCTTTCATGATACCTGTATGGTCTGGGGACTGTTCATCATTCTAAGTCGCATGGAGGGGAAAAGGGCACCCGGTCTGAAGTTTGGCTACACCGGCCAGACAGTCGCTGTGACTTTTGGGCCTGAGACCATCGACACGACCCTCATCGGCTACCGCATCAATGGCATGGACTGGCAGTTCACCAACGTCACGACAGGGGGAACGCACCTCCTGGTCACCGAGTCGACACCGGGCGTCAACGAGACGCACCCATTCGACCCGTCCGTCTTCGAGCTGCGGGTGACCAACTGGGCCTACGGAGTCCAGGTCGACCAGGTCCACGTCGCCGAGGGGCAGAGGCTCGTCAAGATCCCCGCCTTTGGCCGGAACGTCGAGTTCATCGGCGACAGCCTGCAGGCCGGCATGTACACCTCGTTCGAGGGCCTGTCGAGCTTCGCGTACGCCACCGGCGCGGGGCTCGGGGGCACGGAGTACTCCGTGACGGCCTACCCGGGCATCTGCGTGTCGGACCAGGACTGCTGGGGCAATCCCCGGGGCCAGTCGCATCAGTGGTTCTACGCCTCTGACACGTCGCCGCGTGCCGCGCGGATATGGGGAGGTGAGTGAGAGTGACCGACCCTCTTTCCAGAGAACTGCCATGACTTGGGATCTTCGTTGCGTTTACCAACGTGTGTTGCTGCTGCAACCAAGACAATCCCGAGCCCTGGAACTTCACCCAGCAGCAAGACGCAGACCTCGTCATCATCAACCTCGGCACCAACGACGCCAACTCGGCAAACAATGTGTCCTCCGAGACATACGTAGAGTCCTACAAGAGATTGATCGAGGGCGTTCACGGCGTCTGGCCAGGTGCCCAGGTGATCATCATGGTCAGTTTTGTTCCCAACACGTGAAACAAAAGTCAACAGACAGCCAGATAAAAAAACAGGCATATCTGACACACGTACAAGTCCATGTGGCAAGGATTCTTCAAGTACGGCAACAGTTATGGACAGGACACAGATTTTGCCCAGGAAGTACTCGACGTCTACCGTTTCTTCAACTCGAAAGACTATCTCGATCGACCTGTCGCCTGGAACGGCACGACCAACTCGACCAAGAAGGCGTGCAAGCCGACGCGGCCCTTTGTGCACTACTTCAACACCACGGGCATCTTGCAGCACAACGATATCGGACCCCAGTGGCATCCGACAGATGTCGGTGCGATCAAGGTGGCAAGCCATCTGATCCGGTATATCAACCTCAAGTTCGGCTGGGATCTCTATGCCAACGGGCCAGAGTACGTGGCCGCGCCGTGTTTGCGGCAGATAGCCCTCATTGTTTTCGATCCAGGAGCTAACATTCACCAAAGGGTTCTTCACGACACTCTGTACTGGAACGACGAGTCGGCCTATTGATCTGAGCTGGAAGAGGCAGGCTTGTCGTGAGCACCTGGAGGTGGCAGAGGGCAGCACGTATGTAGCTAGATCAGTAGAAGGAATCACTCGGAGTGGCCCGGGCTGATATCAACTCGCGCCTTGTGGCCCCCCATGATCGCCCTAAATAAGCAATGGGAACATGTCACAAAAGTCATTCTCTTGTATGAGCAGTCCGTGAAACCAGAAGGTTTGGCTGTGAGTTCCTCTAGGCGCCATCCCTCCTCTTTCACGCCCCTCTGCCGGCCGGAGGCTGGAGATCGGCATGCGGCCAAATGAGCGAGGCCTTGCCATCCAAGTCGACGGTGCCAGAGAGACATTGGCAAGCCGCTGTCCACCAGACCGGAAACGCGGCCGACAACAAAGAGCCTTCGTCGTGAGATACCTACCTACCTACTCTAACTAGCTGACATGAGCATGCTCCGAAAGGGCAATGATGCTCGCCCTCCCCCCTCCCGGGCCACTTCAATCTCAATGCGAAGTCCGCTCCGCGCGAGGGGGGAATCTGGACCAGGCCCTTCCTTCCTGGCGCGCAGCAGATCGCGAATCTCACGAAAGGTGATGTGATGCTACCTGTGAAAGTGTGTTTTTGCGTGCGCAAAAAAAGTCAGCAGGTTTGGAAATCCGAGTCCCGTTTTGGGCGGTGCTTGATCTTGGTCTATTGACAGATGAAACACAATGTGGGCACCCGGACTCCCCAGGATCAAATTTGCAAGGGGTCCTTGCAGCCCTGCACGGCATACTTGTACAAGTAGTTACGGAGTCAGGAGTGTGTGCGTAGCAACGCGAGTCGCTCCGTTTTGGGCCATTGCTTGGCCTGTTGAAACCCTGGCAGATCCCCACACACGTTTACCAAGCCACGGACCAGGAGGAGAAGAGACATTGACCTCGAGGGCCACGAACTAGGTAATATCTCCAAGGGGGGCTTGCAAAGCCATTGTGGGCGAGCAGAACAAACCTGGCGATGACCAGGACTCGTGATCCTGGATTTCCTTTTCGGAGATTTTACTGCTCTCCCCCACCCGAGCTTCGTCCTGCTTGATGGAGCCGACGGGGCTCGGAAGCTGCAGTTGCACGGCCAAAGAACTCCTGCATGTTGGCCCGCCGCGAGCCAAGAGTGACCTTTCTTCACAAACGGCAATAGACCGAGATCAACAGGCCCACCCGCGCTGGGTGGTCGGCTCCGCCCGCGAGGGAGTTGAGTTGCCCTTGGAGCAGGGAACTCCGCTGGGAGCTTTTCGAAGTTGTGTGTCGTGTCCGGGATGAGCCTTGCTCCGCTTCTGGGTCCCGCCGAAGAATAAATAGCCTCTCGACGTGTGGGAACGGGGCTAGTCTGGGTTTGGCGAGAGATTCGCGGTCGATCATGATGATCTTTGATCGCTTGGAGATCCATGGCCAGGGGCCGTGAGTACAAGTAGCTTCAGGGGCCATCCATGCTCCTGAACTCTGTTGTCTGGACCGGGGGGGGACTGAAAGGGGAAAGGGTGCGTGCGCTGTGGTTGCAAGGTCAAGGTCCGGAGACCGATGGGCCATTGGGGCAAGTTGACAGGACCAGGGCCGAGGGCAGGGGGGGGTTTTTCCTGACAACACCGTTGACTCGTGGTCACTTGACAGCGTGCCATCGATGGGTGTACTTGGAAAGGGTAATGTACGGAGCAATGTACGTCTGGAGTACGTCGGCAGGAGGCTGAACAGGGATCGAGGACGATGAGAGCTCGCTTGGGGTTGTGTCGTATCGTGGCACAGCCCCGGAGAAAGGATGCGGGTGCCCGCAGTGATCGAGGCTGCTTTGGAGAAGGCCATCACGGATTTGGGGGTCCCTTTTTACGACGATTCCTACTTCGTACGTACGTAGTCTATGTACTTCGTAGAAGACAGAAGAGGACAAGTCAGTCCCCATCCAGCCAGCCCAAGTTCTTGGTCCACTACAAGGGCGGGCCCGGGGTGAGAAAGGAAAGAAAGAGAGAGAAAAAAATTCAATAATTAATAGACTTCTTCCCATTGCATCGTATGAGAACTCTAGCCTCCCCCACAGAGGCTTGCCCATCTGATCTGTGTATTCCCGGCGGTGTCCGGAGCTGTTTTTTTCTTTCTTCAAAAGCCACCAGACAGACTACAGAGCACGGCCCGCAGAAAAGGGACGGACGCCCGGGTCCGCCTCCAGTCCGGTCGCGATGACGGGCGTCGTGGGGACCAGGCGCGCCCGCATGGCAAGACAATGCTCATGCTAGTCATGGGTTCAAGGTTGGTTTGGCTCAAAGTGCGAAAAGTTGCTAGCAGAATCTCCAACGCTATTGTTCCGGTACAGAACAACGTCTCCTGTCAGGCCAATTGGGGGATCCGGAGAGCGACAAGCGGCGGGACCACCCCTGCGCCTAAAACATTCCAGCTTCTTCACCGCCCCCGGCGAGCCTGCGATCCGAGACCTCAAACACGCTCGTCTCCGTAACTAAGGTAGGTAGCCAAGGCAGCAGGCGACTCGAGGAAAAGATGACGACTTCCCGCAAGGACAACAGCAAAGCCGCTGCTCCTGTCGGTGATCCTGGGTGCCGTCCGGTTCGAAGATCCCTTCTTCTTGGAAATCTGGCAATCAATCACCGAGTCATTTCAACTATTCCGTCCCATCAAACCCATCAAAGACGATTCCAGAAGCAGAGAAGCAAGACCGAAACACCGAGGCGCTACTCTTCTTTTGGCGATTGGCAACAAGGCTTTATTTATTAAAGGGTCTTTGCGACGGCACTAGGCAATAGGTAGTACGCACTGCGGAGTACCTAGGTAGCCTCGTAGCCATATGCGGTTCAGTTTGATAGCCTGAGGGTTGGTTCCCATGTGGGACGTCCACGTCGTCTCCAGTCTCCAGTCTCCAGAACCGACGCAAATAACACACTTCTGAATGGAGAACTGAAGCCGAGACATCAAAAGATTGCGGGCGGCCGTGGTTGCACAGGAACCAACCCTCTGAGCTGGTAGGTAGCATGCCCGCCACACACACACACACACACACACACACACACACACACACACATACACACTTGCAAAGGTACAAGGAGGTATCTCCCAGTGATCGCCGACGACCGTCCCTCCGTCCCGCACGCCAGCGTCAATACCTAGCTCTCGGGAGACCGGCCGACCCGCTCTCTCGAGTCTTCCTCCTCTCCCTTCTCAGCCTTTCAGCTCCGGCCCACAATGCTGTGATGATGGGGGGTTTCATGTGGGAATAGTGCGAGTTTCGAGCCAAGACAACACTCTCTCTCACTCCCCTTCCGCTCGGAAACCTTGTGTTGAATCCGGTCCCGGGGCGGGCCCCCAGCCTCCCCGCCGTCCTCAAGCATTCTCTCTTGACCGCCGGGCGGGCGTGGTCGGCGATGCACCTTCCTTTTGTCTCTTGGCTGAATGCCTGTCTGGCCGCTGTCCCTGTGTACCTTGTTTTAACTAACTAGGTACATGGTCAAGCTACCTTAATCAACAACAACAAGGACGAGCCCTTGCTTGGCAAAAGTCCAAACGGGGGCAATCCGCGAACAAGCCACCACCCCCAGAACGGTCACTGTAGGGACTCGACAGGCCCCAAACAGGTAACTAAGTGGCGCCGCGTCAGGGACCAACCCGCTTGTCATTGTCATTGTCATTGCCGTTGTCGTAGCCCTGCCTGGCCAGCCTGATCCTTACTTACTGCACTCACACCAAATACCAAATCAGAGATCTGCTGTATCAGTCGAGTACGTACTTTTGTGTGCACTGCTCCCTAAATGAGCATGACAAATAACCAAGTTGATGCGATCCTTTCGGTTATTGGGGGGGGGGGGGCCGTCGAGGTGTAATTTCTTTGCAAACAAAAATAAAAAGATACGAGTTCCGCAATAACGGGCAGTCCGTCATGAAGATCTGCATTACCCCCATCCACGAGACAAAGAGATCAGCCTCTGGGTCCCCCGGCCGGTTTCTGAGCACACAAGTTCGAGTCCTGGCAACAGGGGGGGTTGGGAGGAGAAAACCCACACCTGGAGCGACAAGCGGTAGACGCTCTCGCATGAGCGTTCTTTGTACTTGTAATCTTTTGACCCAGTAGGGCTGGAGCCTCTGCCGATCCCCATGCAACAACAGCGAGGAGGTCCCGGCTGCGAGGTCTTCGGCACCGGCAAATGTGTATGTGCTGCGCGCGCAGTGAGGAAAAGGGAACAAAAGGGGACATGAATTCCAAATGAACAAATTCCCCTGGCTTGGAGATTTGGGGCCATGTAGGTGCCTACCTCGTACCATCAGCTGTCATTCATTTGGCGGGCCATCGCCTAGTTACCGGGACGCCTCTCCTCCCCTCTCGTCCCAGAGTAGATAGGTAGCTAGGTAGAATCCCCGGATCAGGAGGCACATGGCCGAGTGAGGGTACCTACCTAGCAGGTGTCCGGGACAACGGCAGGCATGTTGGTGATCCACGAGACATGCCTACCTACATTCAACTACTACTCCGTAGATAGGCGGAAGGAATCACCACGAGATGTTGTTTCTCCCCGACAGCGCGAGAAGAGCCCTGCTCTATCTACCGAGCTTGCTGAGCTTGGTTGGTTCCTGGAAACGGACGAAACGTGGGGGGGGACGCTACCCGTTGATGGAGGTCTAATGAAACATCCGCAACTTCTTTCTGGTCCCCCCTCCCAGCCTTGCGAGGAATGCGAGCCCCTTGGGCCCCTGGGGGGTATGACCTAATTCCCGGCCACCGCGCGCGCGTGCCGTCCCATCTTCTCTCGCCCTTGGTTGGAAGAGGAAAGGGGCCGGCCGTGGAGAGAGAGAGTTGAGGTCAGTCACCTTGGGTGAGACAAAGGACCAGCCCGGCGCATGCCAGGAGAGTGCGGCTGGCGCGCGCTGGTGGGCTCAGCCAGAGGTGTCCCGGAGCAGCACGAGCAGACCACGCAAACGGCCGCTAGGGGGGAAGAGGTGCTTGTCACTCACGATGTGACTTCATTTTTGGTGGATAGCAAAAGCTGGATTGCTCGCTTACTGCGGGTAAACCCCCCCCCCCCCCCGAATGTTATCACATCACCAAACAACTTTGCAGCAACGAGCATTCCAGCCCGTTTCACACCGCCTCGCCCGGCCCCCGAATCAAGGTGAAGTACAACACTACTTTTTGTGTCCCCACGTGCCAGTCAAGAGAGATATGATGTAACTGTATGTCTGACAGAAGAATTGTACACTGTTTGATTCCTCATCTAAGTAATTTAGCTTTCCAAGACCGGTGATGTCTTGGTTCGTTGGAAACCTCCCGGAGAATTGGTTCGTTCCCCCTTTCAGCTGAAAAGAACCAAAAACAAAAAAGAAGCAGTGCCAAAAGTAGAAAACGCCATGTAAATGCTTGCTGCTTTGACATTCATACCCTTGCTCGCCGGCATGCCATGACTTGACAAAGAAGAAAAGGCCCATTCCAAGACCGTGACCACTCTTGCCCGCCATCCATGCGTTAAACTCTTTTTTCGGATGAAAATAACATGTGGACGAATCGAAAAAAAAAAAAAAAACATCAGAAAAAGTCTTGGGTTGAGCTACCGAGCTCCCCCTCCCAGGTTCCCAACGCCGGTGGCCAGTGAAAAGCAGTAAAAAGAAAAAGGAAAAAGGAAGTGTTCCGCTCGAAACGCAACGCTGCAGAAAGCCCATTCCATCCGCTCCCCTCATGATGCAAAGCTGGCCGTGGTATATGGTTTGCCGTAAATAAAAAAAACATGCTCCTGCATTCTTCGCCCACCCCTTGTACCCGCCCGCGCCGCCTCCCCATGCCCCGGTGATTGATCCGTGATACTCCCCAAATTCCGATCCCCCCCGGAAGACCCACACCGTAAAAAGGACAAATGAGAAGAAAAAGAGGTCTCAAAGAATGGATTTTGTTTTCTAGTGGCGCAGACCCGAGCCGTTGCTGTCAAAGTTGTGGCAGCCCCGCTCGTGACGCTTCATGTTGCTCCGGACGCTGAAGGCCTTGCCGCAGCCGGCGTGGGGGCACTTGAAGGGCTTCTCGCCGGTGTGGGAGTGGCTGTGGATCCGGAGGGAGCTGGGCCTCGAGAAGGCCTTGTTGCAGGTCTGGCAGATGTACCGGTCCTGCGACTGCGGGAAGGAGGCGGCAGAAGAGGGCGAGATGTAGTGGTGGTGTTGCCACGGGTTCGGCCCCCCCGAGGGTCCGAGGGCCACCGAGACCGGGAGGGGAGGGAAGGTCTGGGGCAGAGGGCGCTGGTAGTAGAGCCCGGAGATCTGCTGCTGGGGCGGCGGCGTCGGCTGCATCGTGGGGTAGTACGAAGGCATCGCCGGCTGCGGCATGTAGGAAGGTGCCGCAGCAAACGAAGAGGGCCCATAGGTTGGCTGTACGGAGACACGGGGGACGGCGGCAGATGTCATGTGCTGGCGGTGAGCCTCGGCGTCGACGTGGCTCAGAGGCGGCGTCGACTCGAAGTAGTAGTTGGAGGCGACCGAGAGCTGGCTGACGGACTTTGTTGAGGGAGAGTGATAGCCCTCGAAGGAAGCCTCCGCCGTCATGGGAGGAGTTGGCGGCAGAGCACCGCTGCGGATGATGGCGCCATAGTGAGATGAGTTGGGCCTGGTTTCCGGCCTTGAAGGAGCTGTTGCTATTGTTAGTGGGCTCGCTGTGAGATTGCCATTGTGTCGACACTTACGTTGTTGTTGTTGTTGCTGCTGCTGCTGCTGTGACTGTGGTGATGTTTCCGAGGTAGGAGAGCCCTGGTCGGCAAGTCCGAGCAGGTTCGAGATGGAAGGCAGAGAGCATTTGGAGGTCTCATCGATGGGAGGTGAGGGAGGGCCTTGTGGTTGGCTCATATATCCATATGATGCACTGGGCTGGGCCGTATACGGGTTCGACAACAGGGTTGCCATTGTGTCTATTAGTCCACTGGGGATGCTGGCCTGACGAATATGGGATTGATAGGTAGATAGACGGGGAAGTGGTCAAGTCTCGCTCGGCGATGATGATGATGATGGTTGTTGCGAACAGGTGCGTCTAGCGTGTAAGTACAACAAAGAAGAGACAGGCAGGCCGAGGTGATTATATATGTAGATGTAGTAGTAGTAGGCTGGTGATGATGGTGACGATGTGCTTATTAGAAGTAGAGAGAGTTTTCCGAGTCTGCAATTATTCCTGTATTTCGAGGATCCGAACAACCCAGGAGAAGGGGAGAGGGAGGGAGGGGTGGATAACCTTAAGTATGCAACGATGTAAGATGCTTGTGGAGAGAGGAAGTGGCCGGGCCCGTCGAGAGCAGACGAGCATGGATCTTTACCTAGATCTGCCCAGTCGAGCGTCTGGGAGATCAAGCGTTAATCCACACCGTTGATCCCCTAGGCAGTGGCATTTTCAGCAAAACAGCTGTCACATATCTGCGGGTGGGGTCACAGCATTGGCCTTTGCCTGGGATCAAAGCGATGGGCAGTTGTTGATCGTCCAAGGGGCCATATAGCGCCTCCTGTTAAGGGGAGGGGCTCTGAGTAGGCCTGCATCGGGGGGTATCCTTGACGATGCTCGTGCCTGATGGGCCGGGACGGTATGACCCTGTTACCACCACCCAGAAACATGGGGGTGAGCGAGGAGCGGGTGTGCGTGTGCGTGGTGTGTGGTGTGTGGTGTGTGGTACCTCGACGCCGGCTCTGAGGCAGGCCGGGAACGCGGGTGTGGGAATTGGGATGGGAATTGGGGGTGGGAGAGGCAGGGAGGGAGGGCGTGCGTGTGAGGTGAGTGAGCCGAACGACGACTGACGAAGACGGGGCCGGCCGGGATCAGTCCAAGATGGATCACAGATGGATCAATGGGAGAGGCTCGAGAGAGGCTCGAGGTCGTCTGGGGGGGGCCGACTAGACAAGGTGAATTCGCCCACTGGTTTATGCAGAAGCAGGGTTTCACTGGGTAACGAACACGCCTACCGAACTACTAGTTTGTGACCTGGACGAGAGAGAGAGAGAGGGAGCTTTACCGTACAGAGTAAGTGAGTGTGAGAAGAGTTCGTGAGGACGTTAGAGTAGGTACTCCGTAGAGGGCGTGAGAGGGAGAGGGAGAGAGAAAGAAAGAGGCCGAGATTGTGAAAGGGGTACCTACCCGACTAACTAACTGACGGCCAACCCACATAGCAAACGGCACTAGAGAGGTACCTATGGAAACCAACTGAGGTAGGTAGCCAAGTCTTAGTCCACCACCGTTCTCATTCCATCCCCATGCATCATCCTTGCTTGCTTGCCTGGTCCGCCTTGCTCGCCGTGGCACGAGAGAGACGACGGATGGACGGACGGCTGCTCGACAAAACGATCTTTTAGCACGCCGCGCTAGGGCGCAAAAGGGCAAGAATGGAGGAACTGGAGGAGTGACACCGGCAATCTGGCTAGCCACAAACGTACCCTGTCACAACAGCATCGTGCTGCGCTGATGCATTGGACCACGGACCACCTTGCCTGAAAAGGTTGAGCTCCCGCCCCTGGAGCTGGGTCTGTGCCCATCCCTGTCTGTCACGATGAGGAGGAGGGGGGGGATCCCCTGTCCAGATGTTCAACAACTTGAGACGAGGATTGGCACGGAGAGAAGAGCTTGGTGGGAATAACCTTGAGTGGAAAACACAGCTTGGCGGCCAGTGTGGGTGGCATTGTACAAGGCTTGTAGCCCTGGAGAGGTCACTGGGGTGGCTCACTATTGTACAGGGCACCCTACCTCTGGCAGGTACCTGTAGCTGACTAGTTACATCCTTGTAGAGGGCGCGCTAGGGGTACCTACCACCATTATGCTTCGGCAGGGCGTCCGTGCTTCAGTTTTGTGCTGTGACCGGATTGCCAGGCTGATCTTATGCCGTGCGCGATCCCCCATACCGGCTGACTGCTGATGATGTTTTGAAAAGCTCCAAACAACCCTCCTCTCAAAGCATCGCAGAGCAATCCGGAAGAATCGCTGGCAGCGTTCCAGAAGCAGTCCTCCAGACCATGGTTCTGACCACTGCTCATTGCCAGATTCTTCGCCTCCATCGTGAGATCCTCGGCCTGCCCGCCCCTTGGCGCATTGCATCCTGATCCGAGAAATGTTCCGGATTCACCGCAAGGTTCAAAACGATCGCATAAAGTGCCCCCGCGGCCGAGATTTCAGAGGGATTTGTCAGTTGACATCTGCATCTGCGGACATGTTCGGTAATAGACGAAACCTTTTCGCCATTGCCCAGGCCAGCCATGATGGCAGAGCCAAGTCCTGGCAGGTTTCACTCGGGAAAATTGGCAAAGATTTGCTGATTAGTCGTCGATTACATCTGAGATCCGGGTCTTGGGGCCGGGGACACCCAGGCAAGGCATTACGATGGGAGCAAGGTACATTGCAATCGAATTCATCATCAAACACAACAATGGGTACCTAGACCCGGCTGTCGTCGTAGTCATTATTGCAGGGCTCGTTTGTACTCCGTACTTTGTGTGATGTCTTGATGAGAGAAGCACTCGAGCAAGGAGACGGCCATCAGGAGACGGCCATCACGGCCACATCGTCTCTTCTGTTCTCTCCGGGACTTGATATTACGACTGGACACGCGATACGACAGTCCCACGGCGTTCAGATGAGATGGGGCAAAGATTGGATCGCAAGCGAAGGGATGAGATGTGCATGCCAAGCCTTTGTCAAGGTGCACCAGGGCCAACGGCTAGACGTTTCAAGGTCTGGAGAAACAGACAGTGTGATGGCTGGACAATGACACCAGAAACAAAGGCTAATCCCAAGCGATCGTCGTCGAAGGAAGCTCCAGCACCGCAGCGACACTGGGACCGGGGGGGGGGCTCCCCTGCGGCGAGTGCCACCCCCGGCCCTCGCCTTTGGACAGAGTTCGTGATCGACTGCATGGAAGCGAGGTGGAAAAACGACCGGGGTGCAGACGGAAGGAGCTTGGTCCAGTTTGGGCTCTGACAAGGGGTGCGACAATCTCGGGGGCTGTCGAGCAGGGGTCCTCTCAGCATCCGGCTGGGCGGTCGCAGGCTGGAACCAGGGGTCGCCCAAATCGCACCTCCTTGGGCGGTTCGGTGCAGCAGGCCCAGACAAGGCATGAAGGAAGGCTGAGGTTCCGAGAGCTATCCGGCACAGATCCTGGCACGGCTTTGGGCACATCTGGAACAAAGCTGGGTCGAGTCTTCGGATGACACTGGCCTCTTGGTTGGCGGGTTTGAGATGTCCCCATGCTGCCGCCGCCAGTCAGCACACGGCCAAGAGCCGCCTCGAAGCCCGCGCGTCATCCCATCTCCTGCCTCCTGCCGATTCGAGGTGCTTGTAGAGTTAACCTACCGGCTTGACTTCAGCACCGTCCAGCAGAGGCAGGTATCGACAGGGTTTTGCGACCCCGCCCGACCAACCGACGTCAGCCCTCTCCATCTCTGTGTTTGATCGTTGCTGTCATAATCTGGCCTGAAGCTGCTGACTGATTTCTTTCTTCGATCCGAGCGACTGACCAAGCAATTGGGTCCTCTCCAACAGGGAAAACAAGAGTAGCGACTCCACCCTCCCGGTCCGAGGGTGCGCATGGTGTGTGTTGGAAGCGTGCGTGACGACGGAGTACGTACAAGTAGAGCCGTGACGATGGCTGTGAAAGCACAGTCTTGTACACACACTTTAGCTCGAAGGGGCTAATTACGAAGTAGGTACCTAAGGCAGGACCCGCGCGTCGTGGCGTCCTGTGGCGCCATCACATTCCTTCAAAGGTCAAGTTGAACCGAGGAGGGCGGCCCAGCCATGCCGGAACGGGTAACCAACACGTGCCGTTAGCCACTGGGAGCATCTTGGTGGCCTTGGTGGCCTTGTTGGTGGCTTTGTGTTCCACAAGCTTGCCGTTTCGGCCCTGGAATGGCGCCGTGTTAGGGCGGGACAGCGCTCGGCGCCAACGGCAGCTAGTCCCGACGCCAGAAGAATGCCAGAACCAGAGCAGGACCCTTTTTCTCTGTGTCTCTCTCCCTGCCTCTCCTTGCCCACTCACTCGCAGCGTCTTGCCTTAGGTAGGTGAGGTGACAAAATACAAAAAAACAAGTTCTCCTGCAGGAAAAGCAAAGCCAAACATGCATAAGTAGGTACGAGAGGTAAGATGATCGGCATCAAAGAAAACAATGTCGGGGTGTTTGCTGGTGATCTGCACTAATAACAGGGCAGAAAGAGATGGGGTAATGACGAAAATGGATCAGATGCCCCAGAAACGGACATGGGCAGAAGCTCGATGTCAACGGGCGCCAATCTCGCAGCGGTCCGGTACAAATGTTGGTCAGATCACACAAAGACATCTGGCATCTGCCAGCTACGTACGTACGGCTAACTACATATGACAGGCAAGGTTGACCAGCTCTAGTGCCGGATCAGCCCTTGCTGGATGCGGGTTCGAACTGCTCCTTACTTTTGTTTCCATGTTCACTGTCAAGATGGTCATCTCCGTAACAGACAAATCTGTGGTGTTGAAAGCGGTGGTACCTCGGAGCATCTTTTGATTGCAAAAGAGGCTATATCGACTGTCAGATATAGGGCATCATCATCCTGCTAGGGTATTTGGCTTGCTCTTTTCATCTTTTACTCCCACAGGCCCACCACTCTTATCCAGAACGGTGAACGGGCAGTACTTGTAGTTGACGGGGTGGAGGAGGGCAGGCCTGCAGCTTGCTCGTACGCCCACAGTGATCCAAGGCTCCCACTGGGTGAGCGTGCTGGGCGACCCATGATCCATCGTGGCCCCCAGCCCAGTGATCAACGTGGCGCTACATTAGCGCCCTCCAGTGGGACAGTATACTGCATAAGCGCTATAAATATGCGTTTGTATGCATGCACTTCCTCCCAAGTATTGGAGCTACTGTATCTCGGAGCTCTAGTTACAAGAAGCAGCACCAGGCGCAGG